TGATGTCAGTTGATTATTTGTATAATAGTCTGTTAATGTTTTGGATTTATTTAAAATAAGATTCATAGCAGTTTATTGATCTATTTATTCAGTAAGTTATAAAGGTTACTATTATACTTTTTATGTGGCATATCGATTAAATCTCTTTCTTTGTCCAAATTATTTATTTGGTAATTCTTCGCTCTATTATTTTTATAAAGATTTCGTCAATTCTTATAAATTGGAGTTACTTAATTTAGGTAATATTTGATTGATTGATCCTTTATGAGCCAGTCTAAATTTAGTATATTAGGTTTTGCTAGTTTCAGCTTCTGGAGTTCGTTTTCCACTTTATGTAGATTCATTTTATTCTAATTCATCTCCATCTATTGAAGTTCTAAATTCTTATTATTTCTTAAGTTCTTTAATTGTTTTAACAGTAGTTGATTATATTATATTTTATTCCATTTATTATTTCATAAATTATATTATTATATATGTAATAAAATACAAAATTATAATATAGAGTAGTGATCAGCTTCATTCATTACTTTTAAATTAATCTGAAATCTACCCAATTTTGTCTAAATGTTATGTAATACCATGTTTAATTTTCATATGCTGCATAAGTGATCCTTCAGAACCATAAGATTTATTGCAATTTTTTATCTAACATACATGACTTCTTGGAATCTCAATTGCTGATCTTCTGTTTCTTTTTCTTTTGTCTTCCATTGATAATTCACTTTCTTAATCTTCTAAAGCCTGAAATTTCAATAATTTTTGCTTAATCTCATTTCGCTCTTGAGTGACTTACTCAACCTAAGATTATTTTAAGAGAGAATATCTACATGTTAATGAAGAACTATATTATAATAGTATAATCTTATTGATTCCTTATAGTAGTCAATAGGATGTTACTGATCATACTCATTCATTCCTTCATTATTTGACATTATTGTTTAAATATATATAATTGCATTCTTTAATATACAATAATTTGGTTATAAACAATGTCATTGTGTTTATCTTGATAAATTTATTAATCCACATCCAATACATGAAAATACAGAATCCTCTATATTGAAAGTGACACCGAAAATTGAGCGAATAATCCTAAGAGTTTCAATTGTGTGAGTTGAAATTCTGCCTAATTTAATTTGACTGACTTTTTTTTAACTAATAGCCATTAATAATAGTGCATATTATTGTTAAGTTGTATCAACACATCCACTATTTTTAATTTCATCTAATAATCTCAATGCAGCAGTTTCACCAACATTTTCTGGATTATTAAATTCATTTGAATATTCACAATCACATGAAATAAATAGGCCATTTGTACTTTCAGCTATTAATGAAACAGCATAGCCACTTTAAAATTCTATCCCTTTTTATGATTTTTATAAATCAGTATGAATCCAAACATCAGGAATATAATCATTGAAAACATTTCTACATTAACTAACAACTCGATTCAAAAGATTAGGAGCTACCTTACTACCTGAACAAACACCTCTAATTTTGCAAATAGGTCCTCTTTCAATTAAAGATATAGATTAAACTTATTTTATAGGTTTAGAATGCAAGCTATTTATATAACCTAAAGATTATACATTACAGTTCCAGATCCTGCCAAAAATCCTCTTCTTGTAACTTTAAGAGATACATCCCAATCAGGAATAAATTTCTTTACCAAGGGAATATATGCATTTATTATTGAATCAACAGATTAATCAGTATTATCATTTGTTATACCATTTAATTCTATATTTAGTGGTGCTTTGCCAAATAAACTCAGAACTAATAAGATTTCTAAATAATATGATATTGATCTATCAACACCACAATTATAAGTTTGTAACATTCCATCTTGATTAGTTATTATTCCTATTATTAATTTAACAATAACCTGGTATATAAGTAATTCCTTTTGTGTTAACATCAATTTTACATCCAGTTTAGATTATTTACAATAGTTTTAACATTGTTTATAAATGAGGACCTGGCTTAATATAAGAATATTGATTTTACATATTAAGAAAACTCAATTTTAACTGCTCTCTCACTCAAAGTTGAACAGAGTAGAATTTCTCTAAAATTTATCACTTATTAAAAACTAATCATATATAAATTAATGACAAATATAATAGAAATTGATTCTTTGGTGAAACAATTAAATTAAATTGCTCTCTTTTTATTAATATTAAAGGTATATGAAATACAAAAAATTGATATCTGGTTAAAACAGGTCATATTTTATGAAAATATTTTATTAAAGCTTAGTATTAAATTTATTATTCTAATGTACTCTAACAGATCGCAATCCTATAAAAAGAATGATTCATTGAAACTTTATTCTGTCAGTCCAACTGAATCTCAACTTTAAGAATCAGAATATAAATATTTACCTTTGATATCAAGAGTTAGTTAAGAATAATTAGACCCAAAATGGTAGGAATGCAAAATAGAAGGTAAAAATCTTTAACCTAGATCGAATTCAGCAATAACTGTATTAAATAATCAGTAAATTAACATAATAACTCAGATTATATTTATATGGAGGATATTAGTATGCAATGGGAATAATGAAAGACTTCTATTAACTTAATTTGAATGCTCAAACATTTGTATGGTAAAAAATTTAATGCGATTACGAACCAGGACCCCGTTGTAGACATTCTATTTGCAGTTTTGAAGATAATATTTACTTATTTGGAGGATAAGTAGCTGATTCTATTTCAACAAATGAAATATTTATTCATGACGTCAAGCAATAATAATGGAAAAAAATAGAACTTAATAAAACTTATCCAGCACCTATAGATAGTCATTGTGCAATATTATTTGAAGATTAATGGATTATCTTTGGAGGATTTTATGGTAGCAAATAATGTAAACACTCAAATGATTTATACAGTTATAAATTTAATGACAATACTTGGATAAAATTGAATAGATAAAAAGGAATGGAACCTGCACCTAGAGATGGCAGTTCTATAACTAGTCATAATAAAAGTGTATATATATTTGCAGGCAAAAATGGAGATATGAGGTATAATGATTTATGGGAATTTGATATGATAAAATTAGAATGGACATTTATTTCAATAAACAGTTTTAATAATATTCCTATGAGTAGATCTGGTCATTCATTAATATCTTATTAAAATAAACTGGTTATTTTTGGAGGTATTCATGATGTAACATGGGAACTAGATGATTTACACTATTTTAATTTGGATATTTAAGAATGGAAAACTATTAATTTCGATACTTCAAGAAGATAGGAACTAGAATTACCTTCTCCTGTAAAAACAAATAAAAATCCATCTAGACAAAGGAAAATTAAAAGATTGCCAATTTTACTTAGACCTTTGAGTTTAAGAAAATCCCCATGCCCTTCACCTAAAAAGCTTCGTCCTGGTTCTTTGTCAGATTATTCATCTTATTCTATTAGTGGTCGTAACAATATTGCTAGTCCTGATTTAAGTTAGTATTAAAGTAATTAAAATAATTCTACTATTCATACAACCTTAAATAATGTTTAAGAAAGAAAGAGATGGGAGTAATTAAAGAAAAAAACAGCTATGTTAAAATTATTTGAAGTTGAAAATAGAGAAATTATGAACTTTTAAGATGATTGCATTGTTGCTGAAAAATTAAAAACTTCAATAATTTTGATTGGTAATCCAAAATAAGATTTAAAAATAAAAAAAGGAATTTTAACAGAGTTTGGATAATAAATCATATCAAAGTATATATAATTTTTCATACTTATAAAGATTTCTTTTACCAATAACAGGAGGATAAAATACTATTAATGGTAAGAAACCTTGTGCAAGAGATGGCCATTCAGTAGCTGTTTTTCAAAATTACATGATATTATTTGGTGGTGATAGACATACAATGTCTTTTAATGATTTGTATTTATTGAACTTGACTAAATTTTGAAAATTTCTAATTGATTTTAATTTCATTTATTTTATATTTTGCATTACAATAATATAATAATGGATTTAAGAGAGGAAGATCAATAAAATTAAGTAGATTTAGATTAATTAGATGATATCTCAAATCAAAATGGAGCTTTTGTATAGAAAATAAATGAATTCTAAGATATTGCAGCTGAAAAATATGATGACATTAATCAAATAATGAATTATAGAATGAGGGTAGTATAAGAGAAATTAGGATTTACTGGAGAAAAATCTTAAGTTTATTAATAAGCAGCTCTATTTGTTGCTGTAATGTAGTTAATAATAGCAACATTTCTATCAATGTTAATTTCATAAACAACATTTTTAGGTTATGCATGGACATTTATTCCTTGGCTCTAATATGTATTTATTATAGCATATCTATCCACAATTATTGCTATATAATATTTTACTGAAAAGATATACCAGGTAATATATTATTGAAATCTAAATTAAAGCAAAGATATAATTTTGGAGTGTTTTGCATTTATACAATTTCTAAGATCATTTTAGTCGTTTTTATATCCATTTGGTTCTTTGATATTAGGTTAGAAATTTTCTTAGTTGCATTAGTTGCAATATAAGGATATTTAGCACTTAAAATAAATGTTCCTACTTAAAAAAATGAAGAGTTTGATTTAAAAGTAAAAGATTTATGGAAGAAGATGACAATATATTAGCTTTGTGTATCTATTTTCTTAGTATCAATTGCTCTTATTCAAGATGTATTTTAATAATCATCTTATTTGGTTGGACCATTAGCGTTTATATTAACTCTATTGTTAGGATTTTACACTATATTATGCTTATAGAGATTTAAGGAATATTCATTTCATTAAAAAAATAAAACTTAAACTCCTACTCAATAATCATCAATTAGAAGTGAAAAAGAGGCAGAAAATATGAAATAAGTTTCAGAATAAGGAATAGCAGTATAATCTATAAAGAGTTTTGCTGATTGATACAAAAAAGTAGTTCTTTAATATATTAACATAAATATAGTATTGAAAACATCAAATAATCATTTATAATTAATTTCAAGATATGGATATATCATCTGGTTGATTTTGTTCTGTTTTACAAAATTCAGATTTTGAATCTTCATTATTTTCAGAATATGTGACTTCTAAATCTCCATTTTATTAAACTACTATAGATCTATCATGTGTATTGTATAAGATTTCTTTAATTCCTTTACAAAGTTAATCAGCTGTCAAACCTTATTATAAATGTTACTCCATCAATCCATCTAAATCTTTTAATTTCAAATAATAAAAATCTCTTTCACATTTCAAGGTTTCTATTTACAATAATAAATCTGTCATTGAAGCTTATCTATTTTCTTTATTAGAAAAATCATTATTCAAAATTTAAATTGTTGCAAAAGAGGAGTTCTTAGATAAATTTTGAATAATTTATTGCTAAAAACATAATTTAAAAAGATGTACATCTTTAGCATTGTTTTTAATTAGAACTTTTGGTTTTGATTAATTTCGAATTTATTTATCTGGATCTTCAAACTCTTAATTTCCTCTTTTGGTTAATGGATCATAGTCTTTTGTAACAAAATGAGTATCAATGTATTTTTTCATCCATTAAAGAAATTCAAGATTATCTTAATATTTACATTTAGTTAATTTTTCAATTTCAATGGGTTTTTACAAACCTAATTTTGTAAATGATTATTGAAGTATCTTAAAATTATTGACAAATTCATATTCTTATTTTGCTCTCCAATTTACTTTATTTAATTAGACTATTGATTGAAATATTAACAATACTTTTTCCAGGATGAACAGCGTCTATAAGTTAACAATAGATAGCTCCAGTTCCTAATTATTCAATTTTATTGATTGTAATTTTAAGTAAATCATTTACCCATTACAATAACTCGGCTCTTGATATTTCTGAATTCATGATAATTTAAATTCAAATTAATATATAGGTTAAAAAATATATCATTAATCTCTCATATTTTCAAGTTATTTTTCTAATTTTTTATATTTATTTTCATTTATTGAATTGAGCAATTTCATTTCATAACCATTACTTCTATCTACACCATCCCATCTAAATCCAGGTAAAATGTTAAATCTATTGATTGGAGGTGGAAATTTGCATTTGAGTAAGAAATCAGATTTTTTTAAAGTAATTTATTTATCATCTTCTTCCTATATGATTTATCTCATTGGATCATCAAATTTTTATTAGCCCATTAATTACATATCCATTTATTTAATCTAATCTTCATTTTTAATTGCTAAAGCTTATTGAGCATCTTCTTACTTTTTCTATTTATCTTAAATTTACACAAGTCCTTTTGACCACATTTCTATTTATTATTTATTTGCTTAAAGAATAGTCTATTTATCCTCCTTAGCTTTCAATTTAGGATTTTATTATTTTTCTTATTCAACTCTTTAACTTTAAGTAATCCTTTGCCCAGTTTTAACATCTCTATGAATGACTTCTTATGGTTTAGGTGCTCTTTCAACAGATAAATCAGAATCAGATTAACTTGAAGAATCATCAGACTCTGAATCTGATTCTGAGGAACTTGATACTTGACTATTACTTCTACTTCTCTCTTTATTTAACATCTATTAAAGAAACACTTATTTCTTCTATTTATCTATATGTATAGATTCTGCCGTTTCAACAAATACTGGCTATTGTTCTAATTCATCATAATTTTCCTTGCTTATTACTCTACCCATCAAAATATCAATATTGTCTTAATCTTTTAAATTATTTTGATAAGTAACTTTTGTTTTCGATTATCCTGAATCCATATACTTCTTTAAGTATGACATTTTATCCATTGTTAATATATTTATATTATTTTTAATATTTATACATTTTCATTTCTACATATACATTCTCAATTTCTCAACAGAAAAATCCCATAATTTCTCTGCTAATTATTTATTTGCAAACTTTGGTTATTTTAATTTGCAATCTGAATAATATCCTCCATCAATTAATTTATCATAATCTTCCAAAGCACATTATAAAGTAGTTTAAGCTCCTTATAAACAACTTTTAGTGAATATAAAATAAATAGGTGTAACTAATTTGAATAATAAATTTAAGATTGGATTTCCAACAATTTCTCTCACTAATTCTGTTCTAACAACTCCAGGATGTAAAGAACTAAAATTATTATTATTATTATTATTTACCAACCCTTAATTCCATGTCTTTTAGAAATTTCCATAGCATGAAGTATATTACATAATTTACTATTACCATAGGCTTATATATTGTATTTAATTGGCCATAGTTTCGAATTAGCATATTGAGCACAATTAATATCTTTAAAATCTAATTAAGAATGTTTATGTGCTAAAGATGCCACATTAACTACTCTACTTTATTAAGCACTTTTCAAATAAGAAATCTATACTATAAATTAAATTAAGTACCAATAATTCAGTTAATAAAAAATGTCCTAAGTGATTAGTACCAAATTAAAGTTCATAAGATTGTTTAGTTATTTTATATGTTTGTGGAGCCATTACACCTGCATTATTAATGAGAATATCTATTTATGAAATATTCAATTTCTTAAAATCTTCTACACATTACTTTACAGAATTGAGACATGACAAATCCAATTTTATCATGTAAGCCTTGGTTATTTTATTCTATTTATAATGTAAATAATTATACCAATTGATCTAAAACTAATTATCCTTTATTTGTATCTCGACAGGCAATCACAACAGTGGCTCCCATCATTCCTAATTAAAGAGCTGTTTCCTTTCCAATACCAGTGTTAGCACCAGTAATGAAGACTATTTTACCATTTAGATCTTTTTTTATTTTGCAGACACCTCCAGTCATGTAGATATGAAGCAACCATAAAAATAAAGCAAGACCTAAAATGCAAAATATACACATAAAATTTATATTAATATTTATGATTCTTAATTCCTTAATTTATTAATTAGAAGATTCAAAATTTCTTTTTAATTAAATAAGTTCTAAAATATATTCGAGAATAACGAAAAATTATTTATATTAAAAGATGTTTCAATAACTATTTGATTATCTACGATTACCTAGCTTTGTAGGAGATTCTATTCCATAAGACCGTAAACAAGATTATTAATGACTCATAGCTACAGATATCAAGATAGGAGTAGGTTAAAGTGCAATTAGAAAGATTTTCAAAGTACAAGATTATGATCAATACGAAAGAATGCAAATAAGTTCATTAGCTTAAGCATTATAAAAGAGTTAATAATATAATCCAAACCTTCATACAGATGATCTATTATTAAGATATCTTTATGCTAATAAATTCAATATTCAAGCATCAATTGATGTAAAGATGATTAATCATGCTAGCAATTTGTTTAAACTAATGAGATCTTTAAATAACTTGGCTAATTGAGACTAGATAAAGAAGTGGTATAACTTTATGTAAATAATATAATATAAATTAAAAGTAAAAAGGAGCAATTTACATAGAGGGAAGAACTAAGAATCATATTCCTTGTATAGTAGTTTCTACTAAATTGGTTGATGATTTGGTTTTATTTGAAAGAGCTGCCATTATATTATGTGCAATAGTTGAGGATTACATGTTTTATAATGGGAAAATAGAATCTTGGATAGCTGTCATTTAAACTAAAGATTAGAGTGCTTATAAAATGCAATTGGATAAAATCTTCTCTATAATTAAAGTATTGTAGACTTGTTTCCCTAATACATGTGAAGCAGTCTATATACTAAATGCTACACTCTCTATAAATTTACTCTGGTCGTAAATTGAAGGTAATACTTTACATATTAGACAGAATACATAAGTCCTATGACTCTATAAAAAATCAAATTCTTGAAGGATAAAGAATTGCCCATTTTATCCAATCAATTCCTTCCTGAAAAACTTGAGCAATCCTTAGGAGGAGAAAAAATTATTAAACAATATTGGCCTCCAGATGAAAACGATTACTATTATGATTAACCTCCTTAATAATAAAAACAATTCTTTGATTATGAAGAATAACCTTAAGTCTTCTTTTCAGAAAATAATAATCTATAATACATGAATGAAGCTCCTATTTTACATGAAGAAATATAATAACCTGTTCCAGTACAATAATCCCCATAATTGAAGAAAGAAGAAACTGATTCTGTTCCTGAAAAAAAAAAAAAATGCATTTGTGTTAAATGTTCAAGAGATTTAGAAGATTTGGCTTCTTAACCTTCTTAACCTCGATAACGTAAACCTTCTGAACTTTAACCTGTTAATAAACCCATTATACCGTAATAAGAACCATAAAAGTAAATAGCTCAATAATAATTGGACGATACTTATGTACCCTATGAAAGAAAATATGATAGTTTTATTAATGATACTAGTTTATTAATTCCAAAGATTATGAATGATACTATGTAATAAGATTAAAAGGAGGAACAATAATTTGGAGGTAATTCATTTAATAATTAATAACAATAATAATATATTCAATAACCTGAAATTAATTAAAAGAGTAACAAACCTTCTTTTACAAATCCATTTTATAATGCTGATTCAATGTAAGGATCATAATAAATAGAACCAAAATAACCACCAATAATATCAAATAAAGTAAGTTAAGAAATTCAAGCAAATATGGATGATACAATAATTGATGATAAACCAGATTATTAACCAAAATATATTAACAAACATAATCGTCCATAATAATCTTCTAATTTTTATTAGCCATCTCAATCAAGTCGTTTAACAAATAATAACCCAAATTTATACAATTTTCAAAACATTCCTAGTTACAATCCTATAAATTATGCTTAATATTAATAATAACCTTTGACATCTTAATCATATATACCAACTATGTAAACTTAACCGTAGAGTTAATAATACATAAATGTAGAACCTTAACTTTAGAAATTTGATGCAATTTAATAGTAACCAGTATAAGTACAGGACTTCGATTATAATAATTATAATCCTAACTAATCTCCTTATGCTCCATAACTTTCTAATGATCCAAAAAAGAAGTATGATTTTAGTTAATGGGATAAATATAATGATGGAAATGATGTTGTACCAATGCAATCTTATGTACCAATAACAAATACTTATACAAATCCATATGTACAATAGAGTCCTAACAATAATTATCCTATTAGTGAAGACTATAATAAAATATATGATACTACAAATGATTATAAACCAGGAGAATTTAGACCATCAACTTACAATTTTACCCCTTATGATTATAGATATAGCGATTAACAATTTTAGCCAAGTACTACTACTAAAGAAAATGGGTATAATTCAATAATTATTATTTAGAACACAATAATTATATCAATAGAAACCAGGATAGTAGGCATGTTAAATATTTTGATTTATCAATAAATAGTTTACATTGACTATGATTATGATGTAAGGTCCATTCTCACAGTGCCATGATTGTCTTCATCTAAATAATTATCATCTAAAATTTGATTAAACAAATCTTTGAGAGAAATTATTCCAAGAAGTTCTTATTACCTCATAACAAAAGCAATCTTTGTCTTTTATTTTTGAAACATTAGTAATAAATCTAACATTTTTGTGTCACTAGATATTATTAAAGGTGGATAAACCTTTACTTATTCTACTACGAATTATCCATAATTCGATTCCTTTAAATGGATTATATCTTTAGATTTAAAAAAACCTTTCACATTATCATTCTCAATTATTGGAATCGTTGAGTATTAATATATTTTTAATTTGCGAATCAAATTCTTACAGAAAGGTTCATCTGAATGAATATGAAAAACTCTTTCAAAAGGCTTTATATAATGAATGACATATTTATTTCTCAATTCCATCACTGACACTATTATCTTTAATTCTTCTGGTTTTATTATATCTTATTGTTAACACACTTACATTAATTAACGGATATATTATAAATGATATCTTTTACATCTTCTACCAAGAACATTATCTAAAATCAAACTCAAAGGATAACAAATCAAATATAAAATAGAAATCAGAAATTAAATATAAGGTATTATAAATGATGCTATTCTTAATTGATTCTTTCCTGTCATTATTGCTGAAGGAAAAATCTCTCCAAATAATATTACCAATATTACTGAGATTAACAATGCTATCCAATCACCTGTACTTCTTTTTAAAAAAATTGGAAGTGATTCGTTCGCCAATGAATTTGCAACCAATAAAGTTGATAATAATAAATGATGCTCTTCTATTACAGGTAAAATACGAGATGCCTACTATTATTTATGTAATACCCATTTTCTATTCTTATTCTGTTCCATATATTTTTTTCACTTCTATTGTTATTTAATCCAATGATAATAAACCTTATGTTGCCCCACTGCAAAAACCAGAAAATAATATTAAACACCTAATATTTTATTTATTCTAGTACAAACTTATCAGTCCATAAAATACATGATCTTCGAATTCTACTATCTCAGGATCTAAGGCTAAACAATTACCCATCAATCTAAAATAAAAAATTATTCGAATTATTCGAAACATTTTATTATTATTAATAACTTTTAGAATTCATTTATTACAAATTACTATATAAACAAATATTCAATATCACTATATAATAAAATTAAAAGTCTAATTTAAGATTTGTTTGACTTTTTTAAATAATATGGGTTCCTATTGTTAAAAACAATCTGAAATCAACACTGATTATTAAGAATCTGAGCAAATAGATTTTGTTGATATGAAAATAGATTAAGAAATCCATCCTATTAGAGTTCATAAAGGTTTTAGAATGACTCCTCGAAAATATAAATAATCTATGAAGATTGACAAGGCTGTTTCTCTAACATTTCTCTAAGAAGAATTGTACAAATACACAAACGAAAATTGTTGCAGTAAGAAAAATATTTATGCGGAGTTAGAATAGAAATAAGAAAACAAGCAAAATTAATAAAACAAATTGAAAAGTATAATAAAACCTCATTCATCATTTTAAAGGATTTCATCCCTGAAAGTCAATTATTATATAAATTGTTCTGAAAAGTAATTAAGAGTAGGTTAAAGATTACATTCTGAAAAATAAGTTAGATTTAACATTCCAAAATAATATAAAAAATCTTCACATTCTTGCTCAGTTCAAAAATCTAGGCTTAGGAAGACTTACATTAGATGATATTTAATTAAACTCATAATTAAAAACACAAATTCTATAATTTATTAAAAAATAGTTATTAAATTATTTTATCAATTTTAGCTATCAGCTTAATGAAGAATGATAGTCTTTTAATATAATATATTACTAAATTTTAGTTTATATTACATATTTACAGATAATTCTACTCTTATTAATGGATGCTGTATATTAATTTTAATAGTAAGGCTTTAAGAAACTATTGCGATAAAGTAACAAAATGGCTTTGTAATCCAAAAAAGTTTAAGATTTTTGAATTAAATAAATAGGCATTCAGCAGGACAATTTTTCTCATTTTAAAATTTGATCAAAATGCTAATTTGAAAATAATAAGAAAAAAGATAAACTATTAAGTTTTTACCTTATGTAAAAACTATAAATTTAAATGAGGAAATGTATTTACAAAAATACAATGTTTACCGCCACTAAAGAATGGTTTAAATCTTATTATTTTAATTTTAAAGGCTTCTAAAAATTTTTAATTTATGATAAGCTTGTGAAGTATAAAATTAACAAAATCATCATGGAAAATAAAAAAGAAATTAAGATTTAAAATTTTTTTAAATTTTATTTCATTATAATTAACAAAATTATTATTATTGTGAATAAATAGATATTAAATTTTATTAGAAATATATTTTGAAGTCCAAAAAATTTTATCATGAAATCATAAAATCCAATTCCAAAAGTAACAAAAAATGTTTTCATAATCAATTAAAAGTATATAATTCTTTTTAGAGATATTAGATCAAATATTATTCAAGACAATCCTAATCGATAAAACACACTAAGTAAATAAGAAAACGATTGTGAATTATAAAAATAAATCAAGAGTGCTGAAATTCCATAAGAACTAGAATGTATATTAAGTTTATTTTTAGAAAAAGCTCTTAATAATACTGAAGAACCATATTAGCGAATAACTCTATTATATTAAAAGAATAGCATCTAATTATAAGAATACTAAAATTAAATAGTTGAATTAAAGGAAAGAATTTAGGCTATCGAATAAAAATTTTTTAATTTGGAAACAACAAATAAGAAAAAAAAAAAGAGAAGAACTGCAGCTGAAATTGAAAAAAATTTTGAAGTTAAGTTAGATTCCATTTATTTTTTTAGTGTCCGTATAAAGATTGTTAGAAGTAGTATGGATCTGATGTTTCTNTTAGGAAGACTTACATTAGATGATATTTAATTAAACTCATAATTAAAAACACAAATTCTATAATTTATTAAAAAATAGTTATTAAATTATTTTATCAATTTTAGCTATCAGCTTAATGAAGAATGATAGTCTTTTAATATAATATATTACTAAATTTTAGTTTATATTACATATTTACAGATAATTCTACTCTTATTAATGGATGCTGTATATTAATTTTAATAGTAAGGCTTTAAGAAACTATTGCGATAAAGTAACAAAATGGCTTTGTAATCCAAAAAAGTTTAAGATTTTTGAATTAAATAAATAGGCATTCAGCAGGACAATTTTTCTCATTTTAAAATTTGATCAAAATGCTAATTTGAAAATAATAAGAAAAAAGATAAACTATTAAGTTTTTACCTTATGTAAAAACTATAAATTTAAATGAGGAAATGTATTTACAAAAATACAATGTTTACCGCCACTAAAGAATGGTTTAAATCTTATTATTTTAATTTTAAAGGCTTCTAAAAATTTTTAATTTATGATAAGCTTGTGAAGTATAAAATTAACAAAATCATCATGGAAAATAAAAAAGAAATTAAGATTTAAAATTTTTTTAAATTTTATTTCATTATAATTAACAAAATTATTATTATTGTGAATAAATAGATATTAAATTTTATTAGAAATATATTTTGAAGTCCAAAAAATTTTATCATGAAATCATAAAATCCAATTCCAAAAGTAACAAAAAATGTTTTCATAATCAATTAAAAGTATATAATTCTTTTTAGAGATATTAGATCAAATATTATTCAAGACAATCCTAATCGATAAAACACACTAAGTAAATAAGAAAACGATTGTGAATTATAAAAATAAATCAAGAGTGCTGAAATTCCATAAGAACTAGAATGTATATTAAGTTTATTTTTAGAAAAAGCTCTTAATAATACTGAAGAACCATATTAGCGAATAACTCTATTATATTAAAAGAATAGCATCTAATTATAAGAATACTAAAATTAAATAGTTGAATTAAAGGAAAGAATTTAGGCTATCGAATAAAAATTTTTTAATTTGGAAACAACAAATAAGAAAAAAAAAAAGAGAAGAACTGCAGCTGAAATTGAAAAAAATTTTGAAGTTAAGTTAGATTCCATTTATTTTTTTAGTGTCCGTATAAAGATTGTTAGAAGTAGTATGGATCTGATGTTTCTTTAAATTTACATATTAAATTTAAACACAATAGTGGAAGCAAAACTGAACATCAAAAAATAATTGTAATATAATTTTTAATTAAAGAGATAATTACAAGCTGGAGAACTTGATGAAAAAGATATTCAAAAAATTAATATATCAACTAAATGAATAATCAAGAACATTCAAATAAAATTTTGATTTAAATTTAGTTCATGTGTTTCAATATTTTTATTCCGCCTTTTTTTTATTATTTATACAGGTTTTATAATCAAAAATTTAAATTTGAAAGGACATTATTTTTATTAATATAGTTTAAATCAATCTGTATAGATTATGTCTAACCTAAATGAAAATAATAGAAAATTGGTTAAAACCAAATAAAGATGGGTATTAATTAAAATGTATAATTAGGAAACTTTAACATAGAATATTACAAAAAATAAAAACAAAGAAAGTAATTAAATAGGTTTGAAACATTAAATTGTCAAATCAAATTAAAAGAATAAATAAGTTATTGCTTTTGAGAAGCGAATTTAATTGCCATCAAGAACAATCAATTAGTATTTAAAAATATCAAAAACAAAAATATGCTCAAATTTAAAATTGCAAGATTCTAAAGGATTTGTTAGAGAGTTCAGATGCTATGATGATAAATCATTAAACATTCCTAATTATTTTAATTAAACTATTGCACATGTAAAATATTATTTTTACTTTTAGTCTTTAGATAATGATTGCTAATCAGATGATGAGCAAGTTTAATTAGCAGTGGATAAGCTTAAATATTTACTTGAAACTTAGTTAAATTAATATCAAAAGTCTTTTTGAGATTTTTAAACTTCATTTAAATTATATATTATTTATAAATTGTTTTAATCCTTTCTATATTATGAATAATTTAAAATTTTATAAAATTTTAATAGAATATCTAATAAATTTATATTATGAAAGAAGAATAAACTTGAGTTTAGTAAAAATTATTTTCTAAGAATTCTATATATTATGTAATATATAATTAGGATTAGAACATATTATTAATAATGAAAATGATGTAATTATTAAATTCATGAATTTATATTTAAATATATATATTTATATTTGTCAAATAAAAAATATTAAATTCAGAATTAGTTAAGGTTAATTTCAAAAGAATTATAAAAATAATTTAGAAATTAATTAGCACAGAAATAAAATTTATATTAATTTAATAATTAAATGGATCCAAATACATAAATTAATGAGAGATACACAAAATTGTAAGAGAAATTGAGTACTTTACAATTTGAAGTTGATACAACAAAAGATGCAAAAATAGATGAAATTTATGATAGAATCAATTAAGCATAAATTGAATTGAAAGAAATTATTAGTAATTACAGTGAATAACTTGTAATGTTTTCTTGTAAATATAGGGATAATTGACAAATTAATTTTCAGATCTTAGCAAATAATTTGAAAAGCAAAATGAAAAATATAGTTCTACACATGAAAAAAAAATAAAGGAGATTAAAAATTTAGAGAATAAGCTTTAGAAAAGGCTTGAAGATGACATAAAGGCTAATAAAGAACAAAGTGACTAAGTGCTGTCGAATTATGAACAATAAGTATTTTTTTAAATAAAAATATTAAAGGTTTAAGAATTACTCTAACAAATAGGATAAGAAATAAAGGTTAGAAATTAATAAGTAAATATAATAAATACAACACTTCAAAACGATCTACCAGCTTTGTGGTAATATAATGTATAAGAAAATTAAGAAAGAGTATAAGAAGATTAAGATATTGTTAAAAGAGCTAGCAGTGATATTACTAAACTGTTTGAATAGACAAATTAAGGAAAATAATAGAGGTAAATTTTATTTATTATTTTGATAGAGAGGATTCAGAAATGAGTATGTTTTCTATGCTGAAAGAAGTGGTAGTAAGAATCAAAAGTGAATTAGAAGAGGAGAGATAATTGAGGATGGATGGACATGAAGCTTTATTATCAATACTTGAAGAGGCTTATGAAAAAATGGAAGAAACACATGCAAAAGTTTAATAATAAAAGGCTGCTTTACAAGATAAATGAAATATAATATAAAATTAAATTTTTTAGCATATTTAAGAATTTTTGTTAGTGGTTCTTGTTCAATAAATATTAAGGAATCAATATTATTTACTACTAAATATATCATTACAATTAAATTACCATTTTTAGAAAATGATGAACTTTGTAATTAGTTTATGACATAAAGCAATAAAGATTTATTCCCCTTATTGATTGAAAATCCAGGTTATCTCTTTTGTCTCTGGATGTGTTTTCTAAATTTCAAGCTATTTGAATAATATCTTATTTAATATTTATTTGTTTTAAAAAGAAGAATAAACAAGATGTCTGAAGATGCTGAATAGAGTTTTAGAGTTAATGAGATAATTTGGGCGAAAGTCTTGGGCTGTAAGTATATTATAATTCTTTAGATCCATGGTGGCCTGCAAAAGTAATTATACAAAATCATCTTTTAGATTGCTTCAATTACTGATGCGAATGGCAAGAATGGATAATGTTACGAATACAGGGTGAATTTTATTGGAGATACTTCGCAGTATAATTTTTATTTAGCATAATAGTGCCTAATTAAAGTTTGATAAATTAAAGAAATGGAATCCTAAACCAATACAATAAGAAAATAAAAAGTTAAAAGAATCAATAGATTTAGCTAATAATTTAATTGAAAGGCTAGAAAAGGCTTAAGAAATTGAATAGGATAATTTAAATGAGCATACATTAAAGGATCTAACAATTAAACTCAACGATCTTGTCTTTAAAAAAAAATCTAAATAAGATGTAAATCGATTGTAATTAATTCATAGATCATTCAAATTTTAAATCTAATCAGCAATAATGAAAAATTATCTATTGTAAAATTAAACTTAGGATAATAATATTTTGCATTATATTAAGCCTTAAAATATGGAAAAGCAGAAAATTATCTATAATATACATAAGACTTTATTGATTAATTGAAATAAAAAATAGGTTTCAAATAGCAGCATGATTTTTTGCCAATTTTAAAAAAATAAGAAAAATCCACTCCAAACAGTGATGATACTAAGGAAATCACTGATTCTCCAATTAAGAAAAAGAAAATTGAAGAAATCTCTAAAGATACACTTTGTTATTAAAATTGATTTTATTTTAATTATTTCTTGGCATAAATTGTCTGTTTCTATTAACTTAGTGAATTTTTACAGNATAATATAAAATTAAATTTTTTAGCATATTTAAGAATTTTTGTTAGTGGTTCTTGTTCAATAAATATTAAGGAATCAATATTATTTACTACTAAATATATCATTACAATTAAATTACCATTTTTAGAAAATGATGAACTTTGTAATTAGTTTATGACATAAAGCAATAAAGATTTATTCCCCTTATTGATTGAAAATCCAGGTTATCTCTTTTGTCTCTGGATGTGTTTTCTAAATTTCAAGCTATTTGAATAATATCTTATTTAATATTTATTTGTTTTAAAAAGAAGAATAAACAAGATGTCTGAAGATGCTGAATAGAGTTTTAGAGTTAATGAGATAATTTGGGCGAAAGTCTTGGGCTGTAAGTATATTATAATTCTTTAGATCCATGGTGGCCTGCAAAAGTAATTATACAAAATCATCTTTTAGATTGCTTCAATTACTGATGCGAATGGCAAGAATGGATAATGTTACGAATACAGGGTGAATTTTATTGGAGATACTTCGCAGTATAATTTTTATTTAGCATAATAGTGCCTAATTAAAGTTTGATAAATTAAAGAAATGGAATCCTAAACCAATACAATAAGAAAATAAAAAGTTAAAAGAATCAATAGATTTAGCTAATAATTTAATTGAAAGGCTAGAAAAGGCTTAAGAAATTGAATAGGATAATTTAAATGAGCATACATTAAAGGATCTAACAATTAAACTCAACGATCTTGTCTTTAAAAAAAAATCTAAATAAGATGTAAATCGATTGTAATTAATTCATAGATCATTCAAATTTTAAATCTAATCAGCAATAATGAAAAATTATCTATTGTAAAATTAAACTTAGGATAATAATATTTTGCATTATATTAAGCCTTAAAATATGGAAAAGCAGAAAATTATCTATAATATACATAAGACTTTATTGATTAATTGAAATAAAAAATAGGTTTCAAATAGCAGCATGATTTTTTGCCAATTTTAAAAAAATAAGAAAAATCCACTCCAAACAGTGATGATACTAAGGAAATCACTGATTCTCCAATTAAGAAAAAGAAAATTGAAGAAATCTCTAAAGATACACTTTGTTATTAAAATTGATTTTATTTTAATTATTTCTTGGCATAAATTGTCTGTTTCTATTAACTTAGTGAATTTTTACAGAAATTTTATTAAAATTTTTTTTGGTAAAATTATTACCCAGTTAAGAATTAAGTTTAAAATTATTACCCAATAAAGAACTATGCTTTTACATAAACTTCATTTATCATATTATAATCAATAACATCATTTTTTTATCAAGGAATGTTCAATTTTTTATTTTAAGAAAATTTTGTTACGCCATCGTTTCTCAGTTCTTTTCTTTTGTGTTTATATCATAATCATGACTAAATTGAAAATTATGTATAATTCATTCATATTTGCTACATAAAAATTAAGCTTTAATTAAATTTATATAATTAGAAAGCTATAAATATTAGTCCACTTAGTCTAATTTTTTCTCATATTTTTATAATAAAATAATAAAGATGGTTATAGTGATATTGATTGTTAATAAAATGTTATCTTCTAAATTTGGCTATTTATGAGGAAACATATATTAAGTTTGAAAAATTATCAAAAATTTGCACAAATGACATTCTAAATAGAGAAAGTAAGTTATCTGTTCTTCTTATATGTATTTGAGTCCGAATAAGAAAAATGAAAAAATATTTTTATATTTAGAACAAAAAAGAATATAGATAAGTAAAAATTCATTTATTGTTTTTCTTTATTTTCTTTAGGCATCCAAAGGCCTATCTTAATTTATTCATTCTAGCTTAGTTTGTTAATTTTTGATGATGCATGATCATCCTATTTACTCTACATCTAAATTCATCAATCTATGTCTTTGATGAATCAAGGAAGTCTTATGGAATTGTATGAAAGGCATAGTCAAGTTGATCAAGAGCTTTTTCTGAACTTTCAAAAAGAACTGAATGTAGTTTTTATTATGGAAGTCTCATAAGAAGTATGAGCATAGTTCTTGATTCTTCAAGTATCTTAGGTTGATTTGATTCTGTTGCCATAGCAAGATGATTTGAATTATTTTTTAAAAATAATCAAAAATTAACCTTAGTCTTGCTTTATTGTTGTAAATTACAAATCAACCTCAATAAATATAATACTTATTAAATAATACCCTAAAAATAGTTATCAAAAACTAGTATTCAAATAAAAAAAAAAACTATTTTTACAAGCTCATCAATATCTATAATGTTAAAAAATGTTAAGAAAAAAATTAATTGTAGCGTAGCAATTTAAGTTGTTCTTTTTAAAATACAATTATAATATAACTACATTTTTGAGTTCATTTTAAAAGAATTATAAATTTATTGTAAATTATCAATAATTTTTACTTATTTTTAATGCAATTTAATACTATTAAATGGTTAGGGTGGGTTGTTAGAGAAATTTAAGATCAATATTTAAGTTTAAAAAATAAAATAAAATAAATGAGTTAAATATGTTAGAAATCATTCAAATTTAGAAAAAAATAGAATAACAAATATATAGTTTATATTTCTGTGTGTGGTGGAAAAATTCTAAAATATATATCAACAATCTTATTATTATTCGATAATAGTTGTTGTAACCATTCTACTTTTATAATACTTAATCAATTCCTTAGGAGCATATTTAGCAACTTCATTTGTAAAATATTCTCTAGATTTCGGAATTGTACCATTTGACCTGAGTAACATATAAAATAATACCTTTTTCTCCATTTTACAGTAGCAATTAACTTGCCATTCATTATGGATTTCTTAACAGATTCAATTTTTTATACTTTGTCACCTTATAAGAAATCTCCATTCTCAACTTTTGGTCCTAATGAGAATGATTATTCTTTAAAGATATCTAAACTCAAATCATGAATTTTTTATATTTTTGACAATTTAGAGGTTGTCATTAGATTTTATGTAAAGTCATCTTCTCTTTCATATCTAGTGAAAATATCAATTAAATTATCCAAGTTGTTATTGTATTTTTAAATGTGCTAATCAGCATCTAATATTTCTAATTTTGTTTTCTTTTTTTGATAGTCTTCTTGTTATTCTAATTGTTGCTTTTTTCTCGTATTCTTTTTCATGATTTATTTTATTTGCTAATAGCGGAAAATTTTTGTGTAAATTTAATTATAAAATACATATTAAATATTTTCCCAACTATATTTTAATATAATATACATACAAAAACATTCTGAGGAATTATTTTTAAAAACTATTTGAATTCCTGAAATTTTTAATGGAAAATATTTTGAAATTTGAATTATAAGAATTAATTATATTTTCCATAATATAAAATTTATACTATTATATTATAAGATGTTCAGATCTCAAGAAATGAGTTATTTTTAGTTAGTAATGCCATAAGATAGTGCATGGACTATCATGGATTAATTAGGATATCTCAGTAAAGTGGAGATAATTGACCATAATCCTAATGAAGCTTTAATTAATAGACCATTTGCAAATTATGTTAAAAGGTAAATAATTTTAGTATTACATTAGATGCGATGATTTGATTGTTAAAATAGAGAATATGCTTTAGGTAGCAAAAAATTCAAATTTGCTATCTAATTATAAGAGAGGAAATTTGAAATAGTTTACAAAACAAGTATTCCATATAATATAATTAATTGTTTATAGCAAAATTCTCACACTCATACATATCTAGATAAGATTGAAGAGGACATTAACAAAAAAACTTCATCTTTTCAGGAATAAAATAAACATCTTGAATAACTTATTGATTAATCAGAATACATTTAAAATTACATTGAAATCTTACTAGAGAGTTAAAAGTATTTAGGGGATAATGTATTTTAAAATTAATCAATCTCAAAATTTGAGGCATATGTTGGCATACTCAAAAATTAAGAACAACTATAGTATTTAATTTTAATAAAATAGATTTCATCGAGTAATTTTTAGAGTAACTAAAGGAAACTCTTTTGTTCATTTAAAAAGAATGAATGAGAAACAATCGATTTTCATTATTTTATTTCCAAACATAGGAAACTATGGAAAATCAAAAATTGTAAAGATTGTAGAATAAATGTCATAAGGAAAGTTTAGTTTGCCTTAGAGTCAATTAGAATTCGAAAAAAAAATAAATGAATTGAAAATAAAGCAAGCTGAATATATTAATGTAATAAACAATACAGAATCTAGCTTATACAAATGACTCAAAATTAGTTGTGCAAATGTATCTCAAATATGATGGTGATAAGAAATGGATTACCACTAATAGAATATTATAAGTTTTATTTAATAAAAGAAAAGGAACTATATAAAGAGCTAAATAAGCTAAAAATGCAAGGGAGATTGTTCCTAGGAGAATTATGGGTGCCAACAAGAGATATATAATCCTTAGAATAAACTTTATAATTAATTAAAGAACAACAATTAAATAATCCAGGAGGTTAATTAGCATAAAGAAGTCCTCCTGATTAACTTTAGAAACCTACCTATTTCAGGTTAAATGAGTTCACATCAATATTTTAAGAAATAGTGAATACATATGGGATACCAAGATATCAAGAGATTAATCCTGCAATAATAACAATAATTACATTTCCATTTTTATTTGGAGTAATGTTTGGAGATATTGGACATGGATTTGTACTATTTATGTTTGGATGTTATCTATGTTTATTTAAGAATAGGTAATTCTATAGATTAAGATATCTGATTTTATTGATGGGTTTATTTAGTTTTTATTCAGGATTAATTTATAATGATTATTTAAGTATATCATTAAATTTGTTTAAAACTTGTTTAAGATCATAGGAATAGTGTGTATACCCATTTGGAATAGATCCAATGTGGGGAGGACATTTAGAGTTTAATGACTCATTTAAGATGAAATTAAGCATAATAATAGCATTTTTCCATATGTTGTTAGGTATTGTCTTAAGTGGTTTGAATTATTTGTTTTTGGAAGATTGGTTAAGATTATTTTGTAAATTCATACCATAATTATTATTTTTGGTTTGTACAATAGGATATATGGTGTTTCTAATAGTATATAAATGGTTGACAAATTTTGAACCAAAAAATGCTCCTAGTATAATAACAACAATGATATCTATGATATTAAATTTAGGAAGAATATCAGGTCCTTAAATGTGGGAAGGAGATTCTTAAGATTATATTTAATATTGTTTGTTATGTATAATATTATTTATTTATTATTTAGTAATAACAATTATTTCAATACCATGGATGTGGTTTCCAACAATTATAAGTCATTTTCTATTAAAGAAAAGTCGCCAATAAAATGAAGGTAAACGTAAGACTCACAGAATAGATTATGGATAATTAATAGAAGAACCAGGAATTGAAATGTCCTAAACTTTTTCTTACAGTCATGATTAAATAAATGTTAAACAGAATGAACATATTGCAGAAATCCAGGATTAAACAGTTCAATTATAATCAAAAGATATTTCCCATGAAGGAATTCAAGACATTATTGTTCATGAAACCATTGAAACTTTAGAGTTTGTACTTGGAGTTTTATCAAATACAGCTAGTTATTTAAGATTATGGGCATTAAGTTTGGCCCATTCACAACTTTCAGAAGTGTTCTTTGAATTGTTATTAGTTTAGCCAATTAATCATGGATAGCCAATTAGTTTAATGATAGGATTCCTTTTTTGGGCTTTGATAACTTTTGGTGTTTTGATGTGTATGGATAGTATGGAATGTTTTTTACATTCTTTAAGATTACACTGGTAATATTCATTTTATTACTCAAGGGTGGAATTTTAAAATAAGTTTTTTAAAGGAGATGGAGTCTAATTTAATGTATATTCATTTAGAGATAGAATCAAAGAAACTGTTAATTTAGAGTAATAGTGAAGGATTAGAGTTATGTGTTTAGAATTAACTAAGATAGGATTATTAATCATAAATTATTATTCACTTTTATGCATTTTCTTAATTGAAATAAAATTATTATGAATAATAAACTTGATCCGTATTAATTAAATATTAGTAAAGAAAATGGCAATATCAAAACTAATATTTTAAGTAATGGAGATTACTCTGCTTCATAAGGATTAGAAAATCAGATGAACCTCCCAACAGAACTAGATGGTATGTGATGAATTAAACAATTTAAGATTATGAAGGACCTACTCTCTTTTATTGCTATCATTGTAAAATGGATTCAGTATCATCTTGTGAATATTAGGCTTCAGGATAAACTTTTCTTTGTGCATTTCTTTTATTTTTTATTCTAAACATTTTTGGCTGTTTAATTCCTTATAGTTCAACTGTATGTAAAGATAGAAAACAGATTTGTCCAAGATGCAGAAATATTATAGGAATCAAATATTATGATGCATGCGCATGTTGAAAACAAAAATTANGTGGGAAGGAGATTCTTAAGATTATATTTAATATTGTTTGTTATGTATAATATTATTTATTTATTATTTAGTAATAACAATTATTTCAATACCATGGATGTGGTTTCCAACAATTATAAGTCATTTTCTATTAAAGAAAAGTCGCCAATAAAATGAAGGTAAACGTAAGACTCACAGAATAGATTATGGATAATTAATAGAAGAACCAGGAATTGAAATGTCCTAAACTTTTTCTTACAGTCATGATTAAATAAATGTTAAACAGAATGAACATATTGCAGAAATCCAGGATTAAACAGTTCAATTATAATCAAAAGATATTTCCCATGAAGGAATTCAAGACATTATTGTTCATGAAACCATTGAAACTTTAGAGTTTGTACTTGGAGTTTTATCAAATACAGCTAGTTATTTAAGATTATGGGCATTAAGTTTGGCCCATTCACAACTTTCAGAAGTGTTCTTTGAATTGTTATTAGTTTAGCCAATTAATCATGGATAGCCAATTAGTTTAATGATAGGATTCCTTTTTTGGGCTTTGATAACTTTTGGTGTTTTGATGTGTATGGATAGTATGGAATGTTTTTTACATTCTTTAAGATTACACTGGTAATATTCATTTTATTACTCAAGGGTGGAATTTTAAAATAAGTTTTTTAAAGGAGATGGAGTCTAATTTAATGTATATTCATTTAGAGATAGAATCAAAGAAACTGTTAATTTAGAGTAATAGTGAAGGATTAGAGTTATGTGTTTAGAATTAACTAAGATAGGATTATTAATCATAAATTATTATTCACTTTTATGCATTTTCTTAATTGAAATAAAATTATTATGAATAATAAACTTGATCCGTATTAATTAAATATTAGTAAAGAAAATGGCAATATCAAAACTAATATTTTAAGTAATGGAGATTACTCTGCTTCATAAGGATTAGAAAATCAGATGAACCTCCCAACAGAACTAGATGGTATGTGATGAATTAAACAATTTAAGATTATGAAGGACCTACTCTCTTTTATTGCTATCATTGTAAAATGGATTCAGTATCATCTTGTGAATATTAGGCTTCAGGATAAACTTTTCTTTGTGCATTTCTTTTATTTTTTATTCTAAACATTTTTGGCTGTTTAATTCCTTATAGTTCAACTGTATGTAAAGATAGAAAACAGATTTGTCCAAGATGCAGAAATATTATAGGAATCAAATATTATGATGCATGCGCATGTTGAAAACAAAAATTACAACCTAATGATTGATAATTATTTATTGTATGATTAATAATTAAATTTATTAACCAGTTGAATTCGTATATTCATATACGATAGGAGGAAAGGAGACATAGCATTTTTAATTAAAAAATTAATTACCACAAAAGAAGAGAAATCTTACAGAAGAAGAAAAAAGATAAATAAAAAGAGAAATACATGATGAGTTTAACAAAAAGAAAATTGTAAAGAAAACAATTAATAAGCAAATCATTATTAATATTAATCACAAAAAATATTTAAAATTGTATGTCTTATTTAATATAGATTAGATTTAAGAAATTAAAAAGTAGAAAAAATAAAGTGACAAAATTAGGTCTAGGAAAAAGAATAAAATTAGTAAAGAGAGAAAGAATCTACAAGTTGACTAAAGAAGATGATGAAGAGTAAGTAAAAGTAAAGGATGCTTATGACAGAGAGTATGATAAAGGTAAGGTAAAGAAGGTTAAGAAGAAAAGAGAAAAATAATAACTAGATTTTGATAAAGCATATAAATTAAAATATAATAAATGAATTTAAAAGATAATGAAGAAATCTGTGTGAGGATAAAAACTTTAGATAATAACACATTAGATATTCGTATTAAATAAACTTAAACTATTAATGATCTTAAAAATTTAATTGAAATAGTAAATTGTCATATTTAGCAAAGGTCTCAACCATTCCATCATCAAGATAGAGATTATTGTTTAAAGGAAGGTAACTTAATAATGAAGATACTTTAATTTCTTTGAATATCGAGGATTAATGTGTTGTTCATTTAGTTGCCAATATGCCTGAATTTGAAACATCACCTTTAAACAGAGGTTTATCAACTAGTTCAATTGATGAACATGATAACAGAAATAGTTGTATGTATATAGTAAATATATAGTTGATGTACAGGAGAGTAGAAGAAACTCTCGAAAAAAGGTTCTTTAATAGAGATTGCATGGATTTTAATAGTTACCAACTAGGAATTCACTACAATAAAATGTAATGACATTACACAATCTTTTACAATCATTCAATACAGTGCCTGAAGTTATTGAATAAGGCTAAATATTTGCTCAAAAAGACTTTGAATTAGGTTAATGGATTGATTTTAAAGATTCTTATGGGGAATGGGTTGAAGGTTATATAGGATAAAAATAATAAAATCAGGTTTAAATAGTACATTAAAATGGAGAAGAATGGTTAGGAGTTCCATCAAATAGATTAGCATTATTTAGATCTCATACAATATAAAAGAGTTATCATATGTCTCCTATTCTTAATAATCATGAATAGTAATAGCTATGGACTTTTAGTGAATTACTTGGTTAAACAGCAATGTTATTATCAAGAGCAGGAAATATGATGTCAAGATTAGCAGATAGTGTAGAAGATAAATCTATTCCATAAAATAAAAAGGCAGATATGTCTAATCTTATTACTGGAATGATAGAAGAATAAAGAAGAATATAGGAGGAAAAAGTAGAAAAATAAGATGATGTTACATCTCTTAAATCTATGAAATCTATGAAATCAGATAAGATTTCTATTGATTATGAAACATCTTCTATTAAATCTATGAAGTAAATTGTTTATTTATTTAGATCTGATATCTCTAAATTAACTACATATTTTATTGGACATAATCATAATACAATGATGGCTGAAAATATCGCAGAAGAAGAAGAAAATAGTAGTTAAGACATGTCTGTTGATAATTAAAGAGATGCTCCAAATATTTCAAAAGAATTTAAAGAAAATTATGCTTATTATGAGACTTCTTTATTGGCTGCTCAATTAGCCCCTCTATCTGATCGTCTAGGCAGATTATTGTAATATTTTACATCTATTTTCTTAGAGTTGATTTATCCCCATATCTAGCTTTAAGTGGAGCCAATATTAACAAGTATCTTTATCTTATATGAAGTATCTTTCAAAACCATCCTAATTCCAATATATCCAATTTATCCATCATTACTAATGAAGGCAGTCAATATTCTACTTAAGCTAAGTAATATTATTTTCAAGTGCCTATATTGTTAACTCCTTTTGAATTGCATACACAATCATAATCTGCAACGTCAGCTAATAGAATTGTTGGAGATAATGTTGATATATTGAATCATCTAAACAATAATAATACAAATACAAGATAAAAAAAAACAACAAAAAAAGAGGAAGAAGAAAAATAATAATTTGTTAACTTATCTAAATATAAACCTACATAATCATATCATTAGTAATACTAATAATAATAATAACAATAACAATAACAGTAGCAATAACAATAATAGTAATAGTAATAGCAATAATAATAATACTATATTAAGGAATCCAATTTTTAAAATATCGAATAAGATGATCCATAGTCACTATAATAGTATTAATCATTAAAGAAATAATCCACTGATGGTTAAATAAAAAAGAAAAAAAAAGGCAAAGAAGTATCTTTTTCAGAATAAATTAATTAACTGAAAAAAGATAAATAGTTTTGATAAATATTATATATATATTAAGCATATTATTATATAAACGAAATAATATTTCAGTTAAATCAACAGTTCTTAAACTTACAATAAAAATACTTCATACATTTTGGATTGTTATTGGCTAAATAAAATTTATTATCTTAAAAAATTTCAACTAAATTGGAATTTTCTTTATAAGTTATTTTGTTACTGTATAAATTTTATATCCAAGAATATTTTAAAGTTTTTTTTGAAAGCATCTCAATATCTATGTATTCTTCATGCTCATATTTTTCTTGGTTATCAAATGAATGTAATACTGATTTTCATTTTCATTTTAAATGACATAAAATATTATTGCACTATAGTTTTAAAAAGAATAATATAATTGTGCATTTATTTTTCATTCTTTATAATATAAAAATATACATTAAATATAGTGATAATTAATGTCAAAAATATATGAAAGAGAAAATTAACTAATAATTAGATTTCCCCCTGAGATAGCAGAGAAAATACGGGAGTCCTTTGCAAATAATTAATAATTACCAATGACAATTGAACCAAAAATTGGAAAAGGTTTAGAATTCGAAGTATCAATTAACAGTTTGAAATATTAAGATAAAGGTGTATTAGTAGATTTGCCAACAATAACAGAGAGTTATAAATCAAAGGATTTCATAAATTTATATAAATCAAATGATATAAGTTAAATGATTTGGGTTGGAAAGACTAGTAATACAAGATAATGTGGAGACAAAGTAGTTTGTGATAGTGGATTAACTCCACCTACTTATGATATAAGAAAAGATTTTCATCGTAAATAGCCATAGATAGATATTAATGAAATATAAAGAGTGGAAAAAGAATTACATATTATTTAATCAGAATTTATGAAATAATAAGAAGAAGAAGATAATGGATCAGATGATGGAAAGAAAGGAAAGAAAAGATACAATAAGTTTTGATCTATTCAATAAATATACACTCATTAAAAGAGTATACTTAAAAGCTTTTCTAATTCTTATTTGTGAACAGTTGAGGATCCACTGGCTGTTGATGCTGAAGGTCTTCTTCCACAAAATGTTAAATATTAATGTTTAATTTTGCCTTATTGATGTAACAATGATAAAACCTAAATAAAATTAAGAAATACATTTTATATTCTTGGTTCTAAATATTACCATCCTCCTGAATTTTAATGTTCTTCTTAACAAAATACAAATTCTGCATTCTCATATTATTAAGCTACTACTCTAAAATGATCATAAGGAAAAGGTGCTAATTATTCTACTCTAATAATAGCAACATCCTAAAAATAATAATAATTAGATTACATTTCTTTTAGAATCTTATCTTTTTTATAAAATATCATAATAAACTTATCCATAACAAATAATAACTTTAGATATTTCTTTATGAGTTTTAATTTCTTCATGAGAATCAGGAATCAATCTATGGAATCTGGTTCCTTCAAGGAAAAGAGAAATATCAGATGTTGCCTTGGAGAATTTAAGTAATCTTTTAGAATTGAATAAAATTAATGGTTTTCTGAAATCTCTTCTTAATTATCTTCGAAGTGAATGGAAATAATTGGATGGATTAGAACATACACAAACTTAGAAATTAGAATCTAGAATTTATCTTTTAATTCTCTATTCTTTCATCTGAAATACAATATTAGGATCATCATCCATTAATTATAAATATCTTTCCATTCTACCACTAGAATGTTCAGGTCCTTAACCATCTAAACCATGAGGTAACATCATAACTAATCCTGAAGGTACATTCCATTTAGATTCTCCTGATGTAATAAAATTATCAATCATAATTTATGCTCCATTTGCAAAGTCTCCAAATTACCCTTCCCATATAGTCAAAACATTTGGATTTGATTAAGAATATCCATATTCGAATCCTAATACTCCATATTCTGACAAAGGAGAATTGAAAACTTCAAATCTATTATTTCCTCCATTAGGAATCTAATTTCGAAGTGGATAGTATTTAATATCTTTCTTTTAATCATTTATTACTGCATGTCTTTATGAAAATGTTCCTCTTTCACAATCTTAACCACTTAATCTAATACTAAATCCTTCATGTAATAATGTTCCAAAAGCCAAAGCTTCTGCTGTACCAAAATCAATTCCTTTGCCTTATTCGATTGATTGTTTTCTTTACTCGTAGATTCTCTTTACTTGAGGATGAACAGTTAATTCAGCTGGTAAATTATTTACTTTCTCATTCAATTCTAATATATCACTCAAAGCAACTCCTGTATCCTTTACTCTTCCCCATTTTGTTACTTATTAAATTTTTTCCCAAGGTTTTGGTACCCAATGTACCTTATCAAATGTTTCCTTTTGTATGTTTTTATAAGCAGTCTCAAGTATATTTGTGAGTTTCTTAATTTCAGTATTTGCAAAATCATCTGTTATTATACCATCTTTTCTTAATTATTGATCATATATTTAAAATACAGGCTTTTATTTGTTGATGATTTCATACATCTATGGCTAAGTAAATGCAGGTTAATCTTATTCATTATGACCATATCTTCTATATCCAATCAAATCTATTACGATATCTTTCTTAAATTATTATCTAAATCTGACTGCTATTTTAAATATTTCTTCCACAAGATCAGGATCATCAGCATTTACATGAATTATTGGTACATCAATAGCTTTAGCAACATCAGTACAATATAAACCAGATCTACTATCAATAGGAGTTGTAGTAAAACCAATTTGATTATTAACAACAACATGAATAACACCTTCATTTGTATATCCAGTTAAATTTTCTAGTTATAATGATTCATAAACAACTCCTTAACCAGCCATAGCAGCATCTCCATGAATAATAATACCTAGACAGGTTTATTTATTGTTACAAATATCCTACAATGCTCTTGTCTTACCTTATACAACTGGATTAACAGCTTCTAAATGTGAGGGATTTGGTAACATTGTCATTCTAATATGATGTCCATCTGGAAACTATTAATCTCTAGTAACTCCCAAATGATATTTAACATCTCCTATATTACCCCATGATTCTTCTATTTCTTTACTATATTTATTTTAAAATTCTGCAAATATAATTTCTAATGGTTTTTTAAATACATTTGCTAATGTACTCAATCTTCCTCTATGAGCCATTCCTACAATAATATGTTCAACCTTATTTTAAGCACATTAATCTACTAATGCTTCCAAACCTACAATTAAAGTATCTGTTCCTTCAATTCCAAATCTTTTGCTTGTTGTAAATCTGGTTTTCAAAAATTCATTAAATAAATCAACTCTTGCTAATCTCTACCAAGTTGATGTTTATGTTTCCTTACTTGGTTTCCATTATGCTATTCTATCCATTTCTTATTCTACCCAATGTTTTTATTCTGTTGATACCATATGAATATATTCAACTCCATATTTTTTTGTATAGATCTAAGATAATCTATCATAGATTTCTCTAATTGTCCACTCTTCTTTTGCTTCCATAAATGGCTAAAATTAGCTATTATTATATACATAAATAAATGATCTTTAATCCTTATTTCCAAAATATATAGGAACATCTAATTCCTCTTTCTTAAACCCAAAACTATCCAAAGTCATCTCTGGTCTTGAACCCTTAACTCTTCCATATTCTTTTGTATGTGGTAAATCTAATATTAAATTAAATTATTCGATTACTTAATGGATCTAAATCAGCCAATTAATGTCCACAGACAAAAAACATTCTAAACATATAGTAAGTCCTATATAGCAATTAGATTTGTTTAGCATGATCTAATGGATTCAATGAAGTTGTGCCCTACAGTCCTGTTCCACCATTTATCTATTATTAACTATTAAACTGAACTTGCTCGCTAAAATATTATCTCCAACCTTCAGGAACTGATTAAGGGTTTTTTTACCAGTGTTCAAATAGTCCACTAACATATGTTGCCGAAAAAGGATATCTTATTACTTTACTTGAGGCTCTTATCATCGAATTAAAGATATTAAATATTAAAATTAATCATATAAACTAAATCAAGTATTATTATAATATCCTTTTATAATCATTATTTATTACAAAATAAACTTCAAGATTAATAAATTATTTATAATAATTCGTAATTTCATCAAAATCTCGAAACAATACTATCAAATATGTTTATTATTAAATATTAAATTACGCACTTTATTCTCTTTCCTAAATCTTGCTAAGAATCTAATTCTATTTATACTTTTTAAACTAGATTTTTTCTCAATCATAATTTGACTAATATATTTTAACTCATTATTTTTAAAATTGATGTTTCACATGTTTTCAATTTTATAAAAAATTTAGTATCAATTTTAACAGAAATAATCATTATTTAATCGTTTTTATTAAATGTATTATTGGATATATAGATTCTACCTCCTTTTTTATTTTTAATTATCTATTTTATTATTCTAAAGCCATTTTTAAAAATATGTAGATAAAGAATTATTATTTAAATTGAACGATGTAAAATTCTCTTACTGAAAATTTAATTTACAGATTCAACAAAGGATTTATTTTTTGAAATAATTTCAATAACAAACACAAGTTTATTAATTTATTATAAGAATTTGAAATCGAATTTTATTAAAAAAAAAAAAAGATATATATCAATTGCCTTTTAATAAAATCAAGAATATTTTAGTTTTATAATAATATCTTCAATATTTTTTCTCAAATTATGATTTATCCTATATAAATCTAATTATTTCTAGATAAAATCATTGCATTTAGTTTTATAGTAAGATTCTATAATAATTACAAATCTAAATTTTTTTATGATTAAAGAAATTATCCAAAAATTTAATATTTTGTTGTGGATGCAACACAAGAATCTAATTATCTAAATTTAAACTCTCTTTGTATAAAAAATTGAAATATTATAAGATTTAAGAACTCAGACCGCTTTTTATTCTATTATTAAATAAATTATCCAATCAAATTAATATAAAATTGATTAATTTCATTCTTAATCAAAAAATAAGTATTTTTCAATAATAATAATAAAAACAAATGGCAAGATAATCTAAAGCTTAAAAGAAAGGTCCCAAACCAGGTAACTTTCTAGTTAAATTTATATAGCAACAAAAAAAATTGCAAAAAAACCAGCTGGCCCTAGATAAACTAGAACAATCAAGGCTGCAGTTGCTGAGGCTTAAGCTACAACTTAACCAAGTGCTGGTTAAAGAAAATTACCTAGATAGAATAGAAGAAACAAATAAGCCAAAAAAGGTAAATCAAAGAAAGCAACATAAAAAAAATGAATGGATATATAATTAATAAAATATTAAAATAAAATATTTATTTGATTTCATGTTTTTCAAGTAATATTTACAGATAACAGTCTTAACTAGATAATTTATTCAAAAATAAAAGCTAGATTATTAGGCAATTTTTAATGAAGAGAATATATTGCAGGAAATAAAAGTTTCAAACTCAGTAAAATTTGCTAATTTATATTGAAAATAGTGTTAAGTAGATTAATTGAACATCCAATAGAATAAAAAAAAATGATAAGATATATTGTTGATGTGATTAACAATGATAATATAGATAAATCATGTAGAACGAAGTTTTTAATAACCAAATATTATTAGATATCAAGTGAGATTTTAGGATCAGAGAATGAAAAACTCATAAATTATTTATTAGAAAAGCCTGAATTTTAACATTTAGTGCAATAAATAATCCTTAAGAAAATGTAGATATATATGAGGTAAGAATAGTTGATAAGAATGATTTAATGTAGATAAATGAAGAAATAAAAGCTAATTTATTAATTGATCTATAAAAATCTAAAAAAGTGATCCCTTAAATTTTACTTCGACAGGTCTTTTTGCGAAAATTACGAATAATATAAAAATTAATTAAAGTAAGAATATTATATTAATAAATAGTTTTGGGAATATTTCAAACATAACCCAACATTTTCTTGAAATTTTCGATAAATTATTATCTTTAGATGATAATTATCAATAGCCTAATTTAAATATGAATGTATTGCATTGTTAAAAAGATTGCAATAAATTTTAAAAGGAAAAGAGTTTCATAAATTGTAGTTTAAAATATATGTGACTGTTTGAGGAATAATTTAAAAAAGCTGTAGATTAATTGGAAACCTTAAATAAAAAATTAATCAACACCTTCATATTTTATGTCCATTGCTTTAACAACTTAACATACTGTGGTGTATATGTTATTATAGCATAATAAAAATTCCTGTATAAAATATCCCATCTAAATGATTATTAAATTGAAGATGAATATAAATGGAACTTTGAGATTTTAGATATTATTAAATTATACTCATCTATTATCAATAATTTTAGTAAGCATTAAAATAAGAAGATTGATTGAAAGTTTGATTTAAATCAATTGATGGATCTATTATAATACTATAGGAGAATGTAAACTGTCATTATTATATTTGATAAATAATTTATTAACTTAATCAGAATTGTAAAAGAATTTCACATCAAAAATATTTTAATCAATAATTAATCTTGTATAAAAGCATTCTTTAAATAATCAATTGAATCTCTTATTTGAAAAATTGTAATGACTGTGTTTACTTCTTATAGTGAAGGACTATGAAAAAGCTCTGTTTTCTGAGACTCTTTTGATAAAGTTTATAATTTAAATAATAATATGAAAGCTCGAAAATAAATTTGGATTTTAAGCAAATTTTTACATATGAATTAAATCTAAAGATTTTAATTAAGTTAACAAGAATGTAATTAGCCTTTAGTATATAAGTGAATTTAATTTATAATGAATTTATAGATGACTTATATAGATAAGAATAACATTGGATCCTAGAGATAAACCCTAAATAAATACATTTGAATTAGTTGAAGAAGTTTCGAGTCTCAATATATAGATACCAAAACCTCTTGTTTAATATGCATATGTTTAATCATAAGAATATAGAAAATGCGAAAGCATTGAAAACGATGATAAACAAAATGTAATTTAATAACAAGAAGGAACTTAATAAGATTCTAATTAATAGAAAACTTCACAAAAGGAAACAGAGAATGGGGGTTTTTATATGAATTATTTTAGCAATTTTATTTTGATTAATTATTTTTAATAAATCATATATTTGAGTATTCGTCAATCATATTTTTCTTGATAAAATTAAGTCTATCAAGTAAATATTAATAATCTTCATGATCATTTACAAGTAGTTCGTAGATTTTCAAGTTTTTATTTATACAAATTATATAATTAATTTGTTGTCAGATTTGAAACTGATCATCAAGTAGAATGATTATATGAATAATTTTAAAGTTTTATTATCATTAATTGAAAATAGTTTTATAAAATTGATTTTTTAAATTTAATAGTTTATAAATTATTCTACGCTAATATGTAGATTATTAAATGAATAAACATCAAGAAACATAAAAAATAATATGAGAAAGACAGAAAGATTCATATATATAAAAGTTTAAAGAGAAGAAAAAATTTTGAAAATATAATAAGATAATAAAAGTTCAACAAGATTAAAAACATAATTTAAAATGAATGCTTTAATTAATAAATTGTTCCAAAAATAAGAATGAAGTAACATTATTTTTTTTATAATAAATTCTTAAATTTTACATGGCTAAAAAAGATTCTCCTTTTGATAGATAAAAGAAAAGATATCAATAAATTGAATTAAAAATAAATATAATTTCTCTATTTAAATAAATGCGAGGTGTTTAGTGTTTATTGTACTTCAGAATGAATATTTTGTAGTGATTGATGATTTAACTTCTTACTTATTATTAAAATTTAAATTAATAATGTAAGAGCCATTTAAAGTTAGTATTAGAGTTAAACCCTATGATGGAAGATCAAGATTTCTGACTTAAAGAATAGGGAAAGAAACTGTACTATAGAAATAATCAATAGATAATATAAGTAGAATGTCCTACTTAGACAATAAGAGATCCTGATACTTATGAACAAAGATCATTTGCATTTGACAATGTTTTCAATGAAGGAGAGAGTACAAGAGATATTTATAATTCAGTAAAGAAATATAATGGATAATATATTAGTCTATATAATAAATGATTTATGATTGTGTTTCATAAGGATATAATGGAACAGTTTTGGCTTACGGATAAACAGGTTCCGGAAAGAGTTATACTATGTTTGGCAACTTATATGATCCTTTGGTAGAGAATGATGGATTAGTTTCTATGGTATTAGATTAACTATTCTAAATGAACGTTAAAATTAGTATATCATATTTGGAAATTTATAATGAATAAATAAGGGACTTGATAGGAGATTAAGTTGGTTTATAATTGAATGAAGATCCTATAAAAGGAGTGATGTTACAAGATGTGCAAGAATTTTAGATTTTAACAATAGATTAAGCAAAATCAATAATAATTAATGGCAATTAAAAAAGAGTTATGGCAGCAACTAATGCTAATTAATTTTCATCTAGATCTCATGCTATTATTTAATTATTTGTTGTAAATTAACAATATTAATGTAAATTATCACTTGTTGATTTGGCTGGAAGTGAAAAAGCAAATGTAAATGAAGGTAGTAAAGGAATAAGATAAATGGAAGGAGCTAATATTAATAAAAGTTTATTGGCATTAGGAAATTGTATTAATATGTTGGCTTGTGATTAATCTATGAAAAAGTTTGTACCTTATAGAGATTCAAAATTAACAAGACTATTAAAAGATTCTCTTGGAGGCAATACTAAAACACTTATGATAGGATGTGTATAATAAGTAGTTTAATGTCATGAGGAAACTATTAATACTTTAAAATATGCAGCTAGAGCTAGAGCAATTAAAAAAAAGATTGTTTAAAATATTAAAATTAATGATGTTACAAATTGTAATTGTAATTCAGAAAATACTAGTTTGTTATAAGCAGAAATTGAAGCATTAAAATAAGAAGTTTCATTTTAATGTAGATATTGTAAATTATTATAGGTTAATTGACAGAGGAAGAAATTGAAATTAGATTAAATTTAAAACAAATTGATTAATTATAACTATAAAATAGAGAAGGCTTAGAATATTTATTACAATAGATGAATTAAGAAATGGTTGATGAAGATAGGTTGAAGAATGAAATATTACAATATGAAAGAGCTATTAATGAAAATGAGAGAATTAGATAAGAATTGAATTCCTAATTATTATCTAAAAAGAAAGAGAGAATTGATCCAAAAGATGTCTAAATTGAAATGCTTAAGAGAGAAATTACTTTTTTAAGAGATCAAATTAAATAGAAGGATTTGGTTATTGATTCATTAAAAATAGAAAAAGATAATGCAAAATAATAATCTAGACCACATACAAGCTATTAAGAAACTGATAGATAAAAAATGAATAAAGAAAACTCTATGGATATTGATGTTAGAAAAGATAGTTTATAATATTGTGGTTCAACTAAATCAATAAAATAAACTACAACTAGAGAAGATGAATAACATCTCCAAAAATTAAATAAAGCTAGAGATAATTATAAAATTTTTAGAGCTAAAATGATCTAACTTTAAGAAAAAATGAACTATTATACAAAAAACGAAATTTAATTGAACTAAAATTAACTAAAAGAAATTATAGATTTAATGAATGAATTATCAACTCAAAATGGTCCTGTTCTTAAATAGGATGAAGAAATGATAATTTATTTTTAAAAATTTATTAAGTCTTAAACCTAGAAATCATAATAATAAATTAATCAAAATAATAATTAAACTAATCAAAATAATTAAATAACTACTCCATAATAAAGATCAAGAAGTGTAAACCCAAATCCTATTAGAGGAAAAGGAACATCTTAACATCAAAGAAAACCTTTATAACCTACTAATTAATCACCTATGAATAGATAATTGTTCAGTAATCACTCTAAGTAATATTAATAATTAGTTTAAAAAGGAAAAAAGGTATAATATTGGTTTGATTTTAGGAAAGTTATCCCACTCCGTAGAATAAGTAAAAGTTTATTTTGGAATACGTAAAGAAAATGGAAAATCAATTACCGAGGGGGAGTAACAAATCCCCACTACAATCATTTAGCTCAGAAAACTCGGATAAGTATTAATTCACTAATATAAGACCAGAGACGATATTATTAAGCGTAGTTTTGTTTAAAAAGTTCCATTTCAATCAATTTAATGATATTAATATTAGCGATTATTATTGTCTCATTAATAATTCAAATATCTTTCATATTTTATTAATCTTTCTAATTTAGTTTAAAAAATAAATTATTTAAAAATTTCTATATTCTTATTCTCTTTTGTTTAATATAAAAGTTACTATGATTGGAATTATTAAAATTGTTTCAACTTTTATTAATTAAATTTAAATATGGATAATTCTAAATCAAAAGAAAATTAAAAAACTGAACCTTTAAGACCATGTTGTGCTTGCCCAGAAACAAGGAAACTAAGGGATGAATGCATAATTTCTTTAGGAGAAGAAAAATGTTAAAAGGAAATTGAAAATCATAGACTTTGTTTAAAAAAGCTTGGATTTGAATGAAAGTTTTAATTATTAATAATTAAATAAGAGTTCTATTAGATTGTGAACTCAGTTTATTTTAGAATAAATTTATATATATCTCTTTCTTAACTTTATTGTATATAAAATATAATATATAAATATGATTTTTTATAAATCTCTTGGAAAGGTGCCTATCTTTAGATTTTCTACATCAGTTATTGAGATTCTAAATAAGTTCGATGAAGACTATTATGTCAATAATTATTTAAATACATTCAATTCCACAGGGTTTCCATAGGCTTGTTTATGTAAAAAAGAGAAATAATTTAATACTTAGAAATTGGAAATAAAAATTGCAATATTATTGGTTTACCAAGATCAGGTGTTTAAGAAACAATTGTAGATGATTTAACTGATATTTTGCTTAAGGATAAGAAAAAAAATAATTTCTTAGTTCAAATTGATCCATCCCCTTATTTATACACAAAAAGATAACTTTATAAATATTATCATTCTAAAGTTGATCCAATCATAACTGATGTAAGAAATTCTAGTAATGAAAGAATTTATTTGAATAATTACCAACTTTACCTATTGATACCAATGAATTAAGATTAGATTTAGCTATATTTGATTCTATCAATTTAATATAGCAAAACCCTTAATTGAGTTCAGAAAATAAATAAAGTATTTTTGAATATTTGAATGGATAAAAGTTAGGATACTATTAATCAACTCTTAAAAAATTAAAAGAAAATATATAAAAAAATGGAGAATTATCTTAATAATAATAAAAAGAGAGTGATGAAATGGCTAAAAAGTTTGCAGATTTATTATCTAATACAATTCTATACAGAGATTAAAATTATAATGAAGTTGTTCAATTAAGTTTACTATAAGCTTTATATATGACTACATTAAAAGGAGCTAACATTTATTTAATAGGAATGTCACAAATATATTAGAGAATTGCTAGCGGAATATTTTTATCTTTATCTGAAATTTAAGAGATGTTTAATAATATATGTTTAGAAATCTAAAATAAAAGTATTGGTGAAAATAATTTAAATTATTTATTCGAATTCTCAACTATGTTATGGAAATAAAAAGGAATCGAATATTATTTATTATTCAATATTAATCGTTATTTAAAGAATACAAAAGAAAATGAAGTTACAGTTGTTGTTGATGCTTTGCATTACGATCCTCTAAGAATTGCAATATCAAATTAAAAAAATAATTTTATAGAAGAAATAGAAAATAGTTATTTTGCAGAATTTTAACATCCAAAATTAGAGAAACCAGAAAATGATGATCAAATGATCGAGAAACATGCAATTCTAAGTTCTATTTTATCATTTTAAATATGGAAAGAGCCTTGCATAAATAATCCTTTTCCATATTTATCAGTAGATTTTAAAAAGCTGAATGCTGATTAATAACAAGAAATTCATAATAAATTTGATAATTTTTATGAGAAATATTCAAAACAAATTTAAGATGTGAAAAATTCATTAAAATAATAATGATGGTATGAATTTAAATAGTATTATTAATTTATTTTATATTATTGATTAAATATGGTAAAGAATAGTTTATATGATAGTCAAAAGTTTCTGTGGCATCTACTTACACTATAGGTGAATCAATATCTTCTTTAGATATAAGTTAAGATTATACAGCTGCAGGTTTATTGGATGAAACAGTAGCATTATGGAAGAATAAAGTATCAAAGGAAAATGAACCATAAAGACTTGAAGGACATTTTTTAGGAATTGTTGATGTAAAATTCTCAAATAATGGAGAATTATTTGCAGTAAGTTCATTAGATAGCGTTATACGTATTTGGGATTTAAATAAAAGTATAAAAGCAAAAGAAATTGTTTGTGATTAAATGGAGAATTGGAATATTTGTTGGTTGAAAGATTATATATGTACTGCAGGAGAAGGAGGTAGATTATCAATTTTTGGTTTGGATGAAAATTAAGAAGAAATTCCAGTTTTTTCAGTTGAAAATTCATTTGCCTCAGCTATTACCGCAAATAATGTAAATATTGCTGTGGGTACAGATAGCGGATCATTACATATAGTTGAAGATCCTATTGAAAAGAGAAAACTACATTCAAAAAAGATACATAAAAAAATGGTGAGATGTGTAAAATTTAGTAATGATGGATTTAAAGCCTTTTCAAGTTCAGATGATGGTGATATTAAACTTACTGATCTAACAAAAATGAAAGAGATTAAAACATTTTAACACCATTATTCTGTTAATTCAATTGATGTTAATCCAATAGATGATAAATTAGTAGTTAGTTGTTCATCTGATTACAAAGTTAGATTATGGGATACATCATCTGGATAATGTATTGAATAATTTAATCCATTTGATAAAAAAGATGATAAATTATGGGCTGTTCGTTTTAATAGAGATGGGTCATTAATTGGTGTTTGCTCACAATAAGGTTAATTAAGCTTTTATAGTAGAAATTGAATATGTTACAAATAATATAAATCAAAATTTTTATCAATACTTTAGATATTTATAATAATATAATTTAAAATGAATTATATGAGCAATGAATCTGAAATCATAGATTATAATGGTTCTTAAGATATATAAGAATCTTTTGCAGTTGTCACAACACGTGTTGGAGTTCCTAAAGTAATTGAAGATTCCTCCTAAATTCCTGAAATTTTATAAATAATGTCTGGCTTGATGTATTCATAACAATATAGAGGACTTTCATTCTAAAAGGTTCAACCTTAACTTTCTTTTTTATAAGGATAGGAAGATAAAAGTGGAATTTTATAAAATGATTAATTAAGAGGATTGAATTCAGATAGAACTGAAAATAATGCAACCTTAACATCATGTTATATGTAATCAGGTTTGTTTATGCATGAAAATTTTGTTTAACATGAAGGATTTATTTTAAAAAAAACATAAAAATTATTATAACCATTTAAATAGATATATTGTCATTTTTAGGATGGAATTTTAAGTTTTTATTCAAATTAATAAAAATAGAAGGCTCGTTTTGTACTCAATCTTGGTCTATTCAATTTCTAATATTATTAGAAATAAATTGTTAACTGTGATATCTATGAGTTTGGATTAAAATGTACTAATGATGATAAAATTTTTTAATTTAAAGGAATTAATAACAATTAATGGTTCTATTTGATTAAAAAATTTATAGATAATAATAGAAAATTGCCAATAAATAAATTTTATCTAAATCCATTTAATAATTATTATAAAAAAAGATTAATTACAAATGATTAATTTAGATAAATGAGTTAAACTGGAGATATTCTATTATTTCAAACAAAATCTTGCAGTTCCAAAATATAACGATTATTAACTAGATCAAATTACGGTATTATTTAGTTTTATTAAAATAGATCATGTTGCAATGATATTAAAATATTAATCTGGTGCAATATATGTATTGGAAGCTACCAATTAAAATGGAGTGGGAATATTTAATTGGGATTCCATGATTAATCAATTATGGTATGAATTATATTCAATGTAATAAATTTTGTTATCTATTTAATAGGGTTGTATATAGATAGCTTCAAATAATTCGAAACGCAGATTTTTTATTATAAATTGAAAAATTTGTAAAAGAAAACGTTGGAAGATAATATCAATTAAGTGTTACGAAATTATTACAAGATAAATCTATAATTATAACATCATAAAATTAGAATTAAGATCCAACTTATTTTTGCTCATAGTTAATTGCAAAAATATATAAATAAATAGGATTATTAACTTAAGATAAATCTGCTAATTAATATTGGCCTGGATCCTTTTCTAATGAAAAAGCTGAAATTTAACTTAAGGGATGTTCTCTCTCAGACGAATATTTAATAGGATTTAATATGTGAATAAATCAATGAAATCTTTAATTATTTCAATCAGGAATAAAAATTAAAATTACATATCAGTTTTTTTTTTTTATTTTTTTATGAATTTTATAAACAAGAAAATTTTAATCATTTAAATATTATTATATAAAATAATTGATTACTTCTATTTTATATACTAAAGAGACTAATTTAAATTATTAATTTTTTGAATTTAAAGTAGTAAAATCATTTTTTATTCAATATATATATATACAATCTAATTATGAATTCTAGAAAATATTATGCGGGATAATTGAATTGTAAAATTTTAATTAAATAATTAATTTTTGTTTTATTTTTAATTCAGATGAAAAACACAGTAAGCAAATCAAATATGGTTTTTAATAAATCATTTGGTTAACACATTCTTATAAATTAATAGATTTTATAAATGATTGTTGATAAGGCAGCAATACGTCCAACAGACGTAGTATTGGAAATAGGACCAGGAACAGGTAATTTGACAGAATTGTTATTGTAAAGAGCGAAATAAGTAATATGTGTAGAAATAGATCCTCGAATGGTTATAGAATTAACTAAAAGATTTAAGTATTCGTAATACTCAGATAAATTCAAATTAATCTAAGGTGATTTTTTAACAGCAGAATTACCATTTTTTGATTTATGTGTTGCAAATGTTCCATATTAAATATCATCTCCATTAGTTTTTAAATTATTAGCTTAAAGACCTCTATGGAGATGTGCAGTACTAATGTTTTAATAAGAATTTGCATTCAGATTAGTTGCTAAACCTGGAAATGAATTATATTGTAGATTATCTGCGAATGTTTAAATGTTATCAAGAGTAGATCATTTAATGAAAGTAGGAAAAAATAATTTTAAACCTCCTCCTAAAGTAGAATCATCTGTTGTAAGAATTGAACCAAAAAATCCTATTCCTAATATTAATTATATTGAATGGGACGGTTTATTAAGAATTTGTTTTAATAGAAAGAATAAATAATTATCTGCCATTTTCAAAAATAAATCTGTTCTTAAAACTTTAGAACATAATTTTAATGTAATTGAATAAGAAGGTAACAAAATCAATGATCCTGCTAAAAATGTTAAATAATTAATTTTAACAATTATGGAAGAAGAGAATATAGAGGGAAAAGGAAAAGGAAAAAATGATAAAAAAGAGAAAAAGGATAAATAAAATTAATAAAAAGATAACGAATCCGATTCAGAAGAAGATATAGATGACAATTAATAACCAGAGAAATAATAAATTACATAAAACCCTTTCAGATAAAAAATAAATGAAATATTGAAATAATCAGATATGTTTTAAAAGAGACCAGTTAAAATGGATAACGATGATTTCCTTTAATTGCTATGTGCAATGAATGCTCAAGGTATACATTTTAAATGATAGAACTATTTCTGATTATAATTATTATATTGTTTATTAATATAAATTAATTAATGCTTAAATAATAAGATCAATATTAAGATGGATTTGTTAGTTTTATGTTAGAAAAGGAAGATTCCTTTATATTGAATTCTAGTGATAATTCTCTTAAACTTACAAATGATGATGACTATTATAAATAATTAAGTAGACAATTTTATGGTCAGAAAAATTAAGGTAAATAATCATCATTTTCATAAAGAAATCAAAAAAACATCAAAGATTGATCCTACTTTCAAGCAATTTAAAATTATATTTCGTGCTTTTATAACAAATACAGAAAAATAGAAACCTGCATTTTCAGTTCCTACAGTCAGTCAATAATTGTAATAGGTATAAGTTTATTGTAATAATCTTTTTCCTATTATAGTAGATCTAGAAACTCTTATCATTAAGTAAACCTAAATTGTACACTTGTAGAGAATCTACTCAAAGAACAAATATACATTCTACATAAAAAATAAATTAAATAAAAAATTTTTATATGTAATAATAACCAGCAAAATTTAATATCCCAATCCCAACTAAAAAAAACAATGTTCATGAACCTCGAACTTATAGATTAAGAATAAAAGAATCAACTGATTAATTTAATTAAATAACTCAAAATTCATATAGAAGTACATTGAATAGCAGTACTAAAAGCATTGCAAAATTAGATAAAAATATTGATAATTGCTATCCTATTAAATAGTAAAAATAAAAAGATGAAGATAATGCAAGTAATTTATTTAAAATATTTATTCTAAACAAATATTGATTATAATGAAAATATAAATTTTGGCTATTTTCAAAAAATATCTACAAAATTATAATTTCATTTCTCTATAGCTTTTTCTAAAATTACATCTTTAATATATAATTTTATGGATCTTATTTTTATAATAACTTTTAATGGTATCATCATTACCATTATTCTTGTTTTTTAAATGTCTCGAATTAATTTAATTGTCAGAGGCAACCAAAAAACAAAATAGAGAATAAACAAAATTGCTTCAAATATGATAAATAAAGCTAATAGCTAAGTTTTAGAATTAGACATATCTGAATTAATACCTTCTTTTAATTTAATGAATAAATATCGAAAAGTAGCTAAAATTATTTATATTGTTACCTTTTAAATAAGTACTTTACATTACTCTCAATTCTTTTGCCTATTTAAAATTGTTTAAATTATAAATGTAATTTGTAACATTATCATCATTCTAAGTAATATTCTTAAATATGACATTTCCTCTTACAGCATTAGAAAATGAAACTTCAGGATGACCATAAAATTATTCATAAATTGTTAATAAAAATCTAATATTTTCTATAAATCTTGCTAATCCTACAGCCATACCTTAATCAATAGCTCCAGAAGCAAAAGATTTACAGTCCTCTTCAGTTCCAGTTTGCATTTATTTAGAAAATATTGCACAAGGTTAAAGCATGAAAATCTCTTAAAAAGCATCTACATAAACAGTATTTAGAATTTCTACATTTAAAGAATGTTCTTAATGAAAATATGAATCTATTTAATAAAGTGCATCTATTCCAGATTTAAGTAATTAATATGAATCAATACCAGTTATGGAAATATCTCTATTTAAAAATACATGTCTCTCAGCTCCTTCAACAAATTTATAAAAACTTTCACAATAAGATGTCGAATTAATTTCAGGTACCATCTAATTTAAATTTGTAAGCATCTCACTACTCAAAAAATAAAATATTATGAAATAGCTTTAAAATAATATAGTAAAAATTAGAGTAACCAAAATTAAATTTCTCAATTCTTTATTAGAATTTTTATATTTTTTTTTTTTTCTTCTTTATTTTAAAGTTTTATTCAATTCTTCCCTCTCTTCTTTTTCAAGTTCATCAAAATCTGACAACATTTCATCATCTTCTCCTATTTAAATATTAGATAAAAAGTTTTCACATTTTGAATACAAAAATTTTACAGTTTTATCTGGAATATCTAAAAAAAGCACTAAAATTTCTTATAATCTACTAGCCATCTAAATTAAAAAAAATATCAGTAATAGTAATGATACACCTAAAATACCTGAAGATGTTCCTAAAATACTTATTAATTCTTATCTGTTATCAACTGTTTTCTAACTTAAATCTATGGAATATTGCTCAGTTGAATTTTTCAAATGATTTGAAAAATCATTTAAAAGATTAAATACCAAAAATTTAAAATCTTCATCATTAGGAGTCATAAATTCTAATTATTTATCTCTAATAATAAGTGATTTACTCAATAATTATTGCATTGCTTAAACTAAATCATATTTTTAAAAAACTCCTTCACTAACTCTCATATTTACAATATTTTTTGTATACAATTCTTTTAATTATGCATTATCATTTTCGCTATTTAATGTCAATATTGTATTAATTTCATTTATTGTATTAATAGTATTATTTATATTGATCCTTTAATCCTTTTCATATTATGCACTCTCTAAATCAGAATTAAATGTCCAAATTCCTAATTATTTCATTTATAAATTCTAAATTGCTGCAATTAAATTAAAAAATTCTGCATTTCTAATTCCTACTTATTAAACTAGATATAATTGATCACTTATTTTATTGTATTATTAATTAGTTAAAAAGAAAGCTACAAATGATAAAGTGACTATTGAAAGCATTTCTAAATTCATTGTCCAATTAAGTTTTGTAATGACTTTAGGTGTTTATTGAATATTTATCAATTAAAGTAAATTTGTTCTTGATCTAAAAACATTCAAATTATCATTCCCTCCTACATCAATTGAATCATTATCAATCTTTTGAAAAACACTTTATCTTCCTGATTCTTCATCTTCAGAAATGATATCTTCTCTATCTTCAATATCTTAGATTTTATTTTCAAATAATCTCAATGTTTTAATTCCGTCATCTAATTTTACAGATTATGATATTAATTATAATTCATCACTCTTTTCAGTAGAAGGCTTTTAATATTCCATTCCAAGATTCGATGTTATTTAAGAACTTTGATCTTATTAATCCCAATTAACAGACTAATCAACTCTTTATGAGTTTGCCTCATTTCCAAGTTCAGCTAAGAATGTCATAATTTTAGGTATAAATTTAAATTACAATTAGTTATAAACTAATTATTCAGTTTATTATTTTTCTCCTAATAAACTCATATTTTATTGAGTGCCAAATGATTTTTCATTCTATATTAATTCTAATTTAATAGCATAACCTACAAGTTGTTTCTCAAAATCTCTGATTTCTGATACATTACATTAATAAATTTAAAAACATTTATCAGATTTTTACTTTTCAGTTTATTATTCAGATGATTATTAATAAGAAGGAGATTTAGTTTATAAAAGGGAATTGTTACATTTAATTGGTGCTCCTGATTTAGTAAAAAATGAGCTAAATTACTCTTGGAATGAGGGAAAAAGATCATTGATATAGATTTTATTATGAGTTATTAATTTATTATCAATACCTAATAAAGAAAAACATGAAGCAGATATGGATTCAATAATTTTTTCAGTATCTGTTATTATATAACATATTGGTTTAAATTATTTGATTAACTTAAATTATCCTACAATAAGTGTAGTATCATCAAAAGATGAGAGCATTCTAATATTTAAAAAGCTTGGTATAATATAATTGTGTTTTTATTTAACAAAAATGTATCTATCTACATTGAATAGATTTGAAACATTTAGAGTCATAAATTTTTCAATATATCTGTCATGAAACCTAGAAAAAATATTTGGCATAATTTATGTAACTTTTTTATTTAATAATTCTGACTTATTATAAGCTAAAACATTACAACAAGCTTTATTAAGATTAGTAATTTAAGAAAATTTATCAACAGTTGTTGCTATTACTATTGTTGGTAAAGCTTCTAATCCTATGTCTTCTGCATTTATAAATGTTGTTGTTGCTTTATTTCTATTTAAACCTACTTATTATTAGAGCATTCTAGATTTTTCAAGTAATTCTTCTCCTTATTCTTTATCTTATAAAACTTCTATCTGAAACTTACCATATAATCTTAATGCTTTTGCTAAATTTGTGCTTTATTTTTACATTTTCTTCCATAAATCCTCTATCTATACGATTGAGTTATTTATTTTTTATCCAAGTTCATTTAATTTACTTAAATCAGGAAAATCTTCTTATAATAATGACCAAAAGTCCATATGAAGTAATGAAGATCTTTCAATATATCTTTATAATGTCTTATAATTATTTTAGAATTATAATTCATTACCTAAATCGAAATTTCCGTATCCATCACCAGAATTTAATTCTTCTTCTATTATTTTTTTAAATCTGAAAATAATAAATTCTTCATCAAATTTAGGAAACATTTATTCAATAGCTTAAAGTTCAATTAAAGCATTTTATTTTTATTTCATTTTTTCATACATATATATAGCAAATTTTAACCTTAATTTAATAAAACTCTAAAATCTTTTTGTTTAATTTAAATACATTTGATATAATACAATAGATAAATCCACATCTCTCTCTTATAAATTACTGTCATTAAGTCCTATTTTATTTCTTCTATAATTAGGTAATCCTTTCAATTTTAAATGACAATCATCTCTAATACAAGTTATTTTATGATGATCTAAAAATCCATCAATCACTAATCCTGATGTTTAATCATTTAGACTTTCATATTATAATTACTATAGAAAATTTGTCATTTTATAAATTTGTTCAGGTTATTAGCAAGTAGCTAAATTAGTCATTAAAATTTCATATTATTCATTTTATGGACGAATTAGAGTTATTATTATTAAAGGCAATCCTCCCATCCAAGAAAATATAACTCCAAAAAATAATACTCCTTCTAAATATTTTGCAAAACATAGCATAGAAACACCCCATAAATGAAATGTTACTAACATTGAATATGATTTCTAAATTATATGATTATTATATGGTTTTTCAACATGAAACCACCAAAATACAAGAAAACTACCAATTAACATTATTAAAATATGAACATATTCATATACTTTATCATTCATAAAAGTGTAGCATATTACCATAACTAATTCATATAACAACAAAAATGTTGTTGATCTACTTTATTTTTTTGAATTCAATTTTTATGGTAAATAGTTTACTTCATAATATATCATTGAAAATAATAATGTGGTAAAACTAAAAATTATCAAAGCTATGATAGCAACAATTCCATGTACTATGTGTACATTTTCCCAGCAATAAATATCAAACAAAAAATGCTAAAATTAACCTTTCCCATTATCATAACAAGCTATCATTGCTAAAAAAACATCAACAAAAGGTAGAAATAATATTGACAGAAAAAATTCGATCAACGTTTTAAGAATTGCCATTGCCCATGTAAAACTTTGGTTTTATTTATTTGAATAAAAACCAATTACAAAAATAAGCATGAGTGTTATCAAAAATAATGATAAACAAACATACATTATTACTACAAAATACGAAAAACTTTCTAAATCAAAATATGGTGTAATCATAAAGTAGCTAAAATAAGTTATATCAATACTTGAAAAAAGTGTGCAATGGTTAAGACACTGATGTAACTTACCAAATTTTCCAGATTTATCGATTAAAAAGTATAGCATTCAATTACATATATTATATGAGTCTCATCAGTAGCTAAAAAAAAACAGATTGAGATTCAATTTTTAACATCTGTGTTACTATCTTAAAGATTAATTATTTCATTTCCAATATTATTTTATCAACGAATGATCCTTCGTTGTCTAATTAAGTTTAAGGATTATTGTAATTTGATTTTGATTCCATTACTAGTAAAATTTATAAAATATTAATACAATTTATTTAAAAAGAAAGAATCTAATTCATTTAATCTTGTGTAATTGATTTAAATTTTTACACTCAGTAATAAATAGTAATAAATGAATTGGTAAACATAAATTATAATATATAAGTAAATCACTTAATTAAAAATTTTTTACTCTTTTCAATATTTCTGCAATATTCAGGATTAGTGCATTTGAAAAAGTGTAGTTAAAATTATATTGATCTTTGGCAAACATTAGCTAAATTGATGATTATTTTAAAATTCTGATTGAATTTTCATTACTTTAATAATTTTAATTTCTTAATATCTTAAACTTTCTCCAAAGAACTTTTTTTTTAGTTATTATATCTTAATTTTAATAAATATAATCAATTCTGCAATATCTTCTTTGATGTAAATTGCGAATTCGTTTAATTTATTTCCATACTAAATATACTATTTTTTTTTTAATTTTTGGTTTGCTAGAATTAAGTATTTCTAAAGGTACTTTATAAAAGAGTATAAAGTATTAATCCTTATTTTTCATGTTTTCCTTAATTTAATTGAAGCTTTTATTATTATTAAAACCATTTTTTATTTAGAGTTTTTTTAGAATTTACCTTATTAAATTATTATTAAATTATATCTATATAAAATTTTTTGATTGATTTTTTCTTAAGAAGGCCTGTTTACATAATATAAATTGCTTTTATGGATTGAATCGTCATAATTTAAAACCACAGGTAAGATTAGATTGTGAATATTTGGATGATTTTTGGTTTTCATTAAAGTGATTAAAATTTTATTATATCAAAGATTAATTAAAATCATTAAAGCAGTTCATATAAAATATTTTAAGCATCAATTACTGTTTATTTGGCTTCACTCATACCATTTAAAACATCAAATGATAAAAATCCATGTGGCATTGACTAATATTCAATCAATCTTGCATCTTTGTTTAATTTAATTAATCTTTATAAAAGTCTAAAGCTTTCATCATGTAAAGGATCATAAGTTCCAACTTAAATTCTAGTTTTAGGAAATCTTTTCAAAATATCATCATGAGCTTTTGATGGTGATAACATAGGATCTAAGATAGCATTGAATTCTTTTTTAATGTATGAATTTAAACATAACTTTAAAACTGTATGATGCAGCACTTTATAGAAAATAAATTCATACAAGAATCATCTAATGATACTAAAAAACTTGGAGTAAATTGTTTTATGTCTAAAGATAATGCTGGATATGCTAGTAATATACCATCTGGAATTCTAACCCCTGCTTTAATAGCTTAAATAGTTAAAGCAGCAACAAGATTACCTCCTGCACTATCTCCAACTAATACTACTTTATTTGGTACTATATTATAATATTTTTCAATGAATGTTAGTATAAACATATAGACTTACCAACAATCATCTAATCCTGCTGGATATGGATGTTCAGGTGCCATTCTGTAATCTATTGAAAAAATTGGCACTTTCAATGTATTTGCCCATTTTCTTGTATATGTTTGATGAGATCTAGATGACATTGCTACAAATCCACCTCCATCTTTATAAAATAAATAAAGATACATACGTATATGAATTATTATTTTATCAAAAATTGTATCATTTTTTTAAAATTATCCAATTATTTATTAAAATAGAGATTGCCTTTTACATTTTAATGTCTCATAACAAAGAATTCTAACTTATACTCTCTCTAATCTTTAATTTTTCATTAATAAATCATCCAAAGTTATTTTATTTTCTGGATAATATAAACCACAATCATTATTGATTTTATTTATAGTGGATTTTTTATATTGTTTTAAAATATATTCACTTGAAATGCTTCTAAAATATCTTGGAATATATATCTTTTAATTAAATTAAATTGAAGGAAATATTGCAGGTAAGAGCATTTTTATTAAACCTTATTCAGTTAAATTCCAAGTTTAAAAAACATATTCTTTTTTTGGTTCAGCTAAAAAATGGTTTGCTCTACTTTTCATTTTTTACTTATTCAAAGCATAAAATAAAAATCCAAGACCTTACATAAATTTTTGTTTTATTTCACCTTAATATTCTGATCCTTTTGAAATCATTGCATTTGCAAGAAGAATTCCTTCACAAACTCTATCATATGATTATTTTATTTATTTATGATCAGCTAAATACTTTTTTTGTATAAAATTTTTTAATTATTACCAAAATTAATGTTACTCGCTAACAGAAAAAAGATCATCTTAATTCATAACTAAAGCACCAGGCAAAATTTCTATACAGGATTATAATTTAGAACAATAAATCGAAAGCTTTCTTGTTTACTATTTATCTAATGAGGATAATTAGTTTATTTATTCTAAAATATTGTTTAAGATAAAATTATTTAAATAATCGAGAACCATATTTGTTGTATAAGAGTTTATTTTTTAAAACGATTGTTTATAATCGATTCGAATTTCTTTTTATTCTATCAAAGAAAATATTTATTCAACTTGCATTAATCCATCTGAAGCAATAGAAATTAAATGAATTGCTTTATTGCATAAATTTTCTTAATTACTATAATTTGTAATAATGTTTTAAGCTAACCCCAAAATTTAGTTTAACATTGTTATAGAACTTTAAAGATTTTAATAGAATTTATCAACACCTATTCTTGATTGTAAATTAAGATGATGTTCTGCATACATGAAACTAATTTCTGAATTTTATTCTAAATCAAAGTCATATAGATCAAGGCTGTCTTATTTTATAAATTGCATATTTATTTAATAAATGCATTCTATTAACTAATAATATATACATTTTATAGTTATATATAGAAACAAATAAGATGAAAAATTTCTTCTTTTTAAACAACAATAAATTAAATTATTAAGAATGACTCCATATTTGATTTACAGAAACTACAATACTTTATTATTATTAATTAGAAAATAAATTTAAGTTTAGTAAAAAATCATATGATATTTGATTATTAGTATTATCCTAATAGTAAGTTAAATATATAATTGTAGGATTTTATGATATGGTGTTAAAATTGAACATTTTTTGTATAAATTTCTGATTATTAAAATACCTAAATTTGCCATAAGTTTTTCATATCAATGAAGTCTAATATTAATAAAAGGAAAGTAGAACTAACAAGATCACATAATCTTAAAAAATTGTAAAATCTTTAAATATCAATCACTACACTTCCTAATAGTAGAATTCAAGTTAAAACTCCAAATGTTTCAATAAATAATAATTCTTTCAAAATATTATCATAATAAACGACACCAAAAACTGTTTAAGATAATAATTTCTTTAGTAGTCGTGATTTTGATGTTAATGAATTAAAAAAGTAGCATATACGTACATAATCTCAAATTGAAGGTTTGTTATTGAAAACCTAATTAATAGAATCAGCTCGATAAAGAACATTCTCAAATTTTGTTAAGAAACCTAAAGTTGAAGTTAAGCCTGCTAAGATTTATAAGATAATCTAATAAATGAATTAAGAAGATGAATTAAGAAAATAAGAAAAATAAAAAAAAATTTAGTTGATGTAATAAATTGAGATGGAGAAAAGGGAAAAGGAGAAGTAAAATTAATAAAGGGAATCAATCCAAAAAATTAATTCATTAACATCAATTTTATCAAAAAAATCAAATCCTTCAAAATATAAATTATTAAAAGTTAGTCTTAATATAATAGAAAAATAATAAGAGAAAATTTAAATAGATTTAGTTTAAGAAGACTCTGCCTAAATGATTTAGACAACAAAAATAAAATAGAAATAAACAGACACAATATTTAAAATATCTACAATTATAACAGCCTTGATGTTTTAACGTCTTCACTCAAAAATAACTTCTCCTAAACTAGCAAGATTGGTATCAAAACATTATTTGAGTTTAATTAATTATAGAAGAATTGAAGAAAGACTATAAGCTTTAACTTCAAGTCCTTCTATGAAATATATTTAGAATGTATTACATCAAGATGATGTTTTAAGTAATGCTATAAAGGTAGTTTAAGTTAGAGAAATTTAAAAAAGATTGAATGAAGGCCTTTCATCAAGAAGAAAAGCTTCAAAAATATTTTTCAAAAAAAATTCTAGCAGAGAATTAAAAGCTGAAGATATTTTTTCTGAAAAAGTGTTAAAGAGAGTAAGATTTATTTAGATGTGCTTTAGAATGAAAGTTTTTAAATTTAACAAAAAAACTATAGCTGTTTCAAAACCAATTGAGAAAACTAGATAATCAACAAAAGTAAGGGCATTTAAAAGAAGACTTGGGGATATTATATTTATGAGTGAAAATGTTCCAGTATTTTAATTATAATAGGAGAAAAAAGAATAAGAAGAGAAGTAAAAAGAAATAGAAAACATTTAGATTGAAAACAAAAAAGAAAATCTTGGAGTTTTTGGTATGTTATGGAAAGCTTAAAATAAATTTAAAAATTTTTGTAGACATCCAGGATTAAAAATTCCTTCAAAAACTTGTGATGATTGGGTTAAACATATTTAAACCTTATATTATCCTAGTTTCAGATATATATCTGTTTTTTATAGAAATATTGTTGTATGGTCTATTTCTTATTATGATGTTACTTATGATAAAAGCTGCATTGCATTATTTTTTAAAGGAGAAGGACGTTAATAATATCATTTTCGCTTAGATATACCACTAGTTACTATGCCTGACTTTGAAAATAATAAAAATTGTACTACTGTTTGGCCTACAGTAAAAGATTATATGCTAATTTATTTAAGATAAAAAGGATAACTAGGATTACTAAATAAGAATGCTCTTCCATCTGCTAAAGTCTATAAAACATCTTTTATATAAGGACTTTCTCTTAAATCAAAAAGAAAACTCACTGAACTTGATATCTAATCAATTGTTGAAACTTAAAAAATTATTAATTATTTACAAAATAATTAAATTGTTAAAATTAAAAAAAGAATCGGAACAACTTATGATCTATTACCCTAATTATCTGAAACTATTGATTAAGATTTGATAAAATAATACATCATTAATTTACCTTTAATTAGAATGATTCTTATTAATATACTTGTTAAAGAGTAAAAAATATTGGAAAACAAAAGAAAACTTAATTTGGATAGTTCTAATCTTTAAGAAGAATATGTAAATTATATTTAAACTAATTCATAACAATTAAATTAAATATTGTAATTTAGATTCTTACATAACTGCATTGAATTTTTTAATGATTAATTAATAACTAAAATAAATCAATAGAAAATCAAAAAGATTTTTATATAATCTTGTTTTTTAGATATTAATGAAATATTACTTTAATCAAATGACGCATTATTAGGGCAGGTAAGCAAAATTTGTTAATTAAGTATACATTTATGCTATAATGGTAATGTAATATTAGATAAATTGTTATTAGATGTAGATAGAATGAGACCAAGAAACTAAACCAATAATTAAGTAGAATAATTATTTCAGATTAATCCTCTAAATTTAGAATGGATATTTGATTCCTCTAAATTTTCATTATAAATTGAGGCATTATTATTTGAAAAAGATAAATAAAACACAGATTAAATTTTTTATTAAACAAATTTAAATAGAAGAAGAAACGAAAGAATATTTTAACCATTAATAATTAGTATTTTTCATCTCGAAAAGTTAGCCCTAGCAGTTAAAGAAATAATTGATCGTTCAATTTTTGATAAATTCGATATCAATATTATCTTGAAGAATTTAATCTTTGAAAGAGCCAATTACTCTAATATAATCAGTCTAATATTAAATAATTTAATAACTTTAAATTTTAAAACTAGATAGGTTTCTTTAAAAGCTTAATATTAACATATACTTTCATCAACTCTAAATTTTATTGAAAAAATGGATCATCATAGCTTATATAATACAACTTAAAATTACCTAAAATTCAGTATATATCCACATGAAGAGTAAGATTTAAGAAAAATAAAAGACAATCATTTGACTTAATAAAAAAATTTTGAATATCATTCTATTTTTGATTAATAATTTTAATAGATTGATTAAATTGAAATTAAACCTGAATATACTTCTAAGTAATTGGAAGTAGCACAAGAATACAATTATGACTAAAAATAAATTTTTTGGTCTTAAGGTGTTAAAATATATGATTAAGTCTAAAACCAAAATATTGCTTTTGTTTATCTCAGAGATAAATTTATAGTTATAATTATGTCATAATAAAGAGTTAGAATGATAAATATAACTAGATTGAGGAAACCTTTAATATTAGATTCAAAAGATACAGCAATTTTTATATCTAGTTGTAAGTATTCTTAATAAAAGAAATACTAAAAGTTATCCTTATATAATAAATTGTTTTTAACTCTTTTAAAAGAAAATTGTTTTTTAAGAATAAGAATGGAAAAATTCTTTTGCAAATTAAGAGCATCTCTACCTAATTATAGTAAGATTAAAGCTTATTTATTATCTGATTCCAAAGAACTAATTAATTACTTTAATCGTTTAGACTTTACTTTTACTTTTGAGACAATTAATAAAGCAAAATGTTATGCTAATGTTAAAGTATTTTATTTAGGAAGACAGGAATCATTTTGTTCATCAAGATTTGAATAAATTTATAAGTTTGATGGAGAAAATTTATTTATAAGTCTTCAGATACATGAATTTGATTCAAAGCTAAAAAAATATATTCTAATAATCAATAAATGTGATATTGAACAAAGATTTGAAATTTATAATTACTTTACTCCATATTTGATTTATTAATGGTGTTAAGAATTTGTTTTAAATTTAAAATTTGATAAAAAATTTCTTTATAAAACTCCTTTTTCAGTTATGTAAATAATTAAAACGTAAAATGATATAAAATTATCTTCTATGTGGATAGCAAAACGATCATAAAAATGTATTCTAAATGAATATTAAAGAGTTCATTCTTTTGAATATAGTTAAGCTAAATAGTTTTTGAGTTAAAGATATAAGATATTTAGAGTGATAGCACATTATATAGAGAAGTTTTATATAGTAAAATAAAATAACTAAATAACAGTATTAAATGAATCTATGTTTCTTAAATCTAAAAATTACAAATTAATTAAAATTGAATTTGTAATCATTACAATTTAAGCTCATATAGTTTTGGATCTTATTTAAATTATATATTATTTTCCAAAGAGTAAAAAAAGATTAATGACAAATATAAATTTAATTCAGATTTAAGAAATGGATTTTAGTTTGGGGATGATATTTCAATTATTAAATATTACTGAATATATAACATTCAATGATATTGCTAATTAAGTTGATGAAATACAAAGAGGGTCTTTTAAATATAGAAGAACTTCAAAAATGAATAGTTAAGTGATGACAAAATTACATATTATGAGACAATCTATTGATGTATCTTAGCTCAATTTTACAACAGGAAAAACAAAAAGAAGACAAGGATTCGTAGCATAAACTTCATAAATAAATATCAAAACTAAAGTTATAAATTAAGCTATTGAAAAAAATGAAGATATGTGTCAAAAAGTATTATTGATAATTAAATTTACTCGATAATTAAATAAAAGTGATAGAAAAAATGATAAACGCTATTTAATAGAAATAATGTTTTGGAAATTAATGTAGCAGCAAGTATTTTAATTATCAGTTCGTTAAGAAAAGAGATAACTTAAGAGTTATGTAAGTTTATTTGATAGATTAATTGAGTTATTTGATAAAGAATCAAATAAAAAATACCGAATAATTGGAAAAGAATTTTTAGAAAAAAAATAAACAGATGAAAATATCAGATATAATTACAAAGTTTAGTCAGAGTGTAGAAATATATACAAAGAGATGATATTAGAATAAAATGTATACATGACTTAAAATTTAAATTTTGGCAAAACTCCTTTTGTTATATAGTGCAATTTAAATGAGATTTCAATTTTGGAATATCTTTGCACTGAATAATTCAGAAGTGATAATGGAAGTAGAGGATATATTGAATATTTTTTAGAAAGAAAAACAAAATCAAAAGGTATTGATTTATTTGAACCTGGAAAACCTATTTTATATTCAGGATCTTCAAGCTATAATATATATTTAAGATATTATTGTTTAGCCAATTATCAATATAAAGATATCAGAATAAATTTAAGAGAAATAATGAATTAATTAGTTACAGATGGTTTATATAAATCATAATCAAATTATATGAATAGTAAAATTAATCTTAGTGATATTATTGAAATGTGTCATTATTTAACTTAAAAGATTAAGACTTAAAATTATCTAAATTTAGCCAGATTATCTTTAATTTAAATTAATTTGTTACCAGAAATACAATAACATATTATATCAGAATGTGATGATTAATTATCAAAAGAAGATAAGTAAAAATGTGGTGATGGTTTTGTTTGTACTTAAGTAATTCGAAATAAAAGAAATCACTCTATTTATTAATATTAACTATTCTAAACTACAAGAAAAGTTATTATCAATAAGTATGAAATGAGATAAGATTATTTCGAATAGAAGGAATTTACATATGCTCAAATAACCCAATATGTCCATAATTTCATATATCTTATTAAAGCAAAATTATATTATCTAGCTTTGAAAAGATTTTCTTAATCTTACATAGAATTACAGAAAATTAATTAATGATTATTAATATAATTTAATGAATTATGAATTTTCAGTTAATGGTTAAAAGGTGAGTGTTCTTAAAAGTGCTAAATCCCTTTTAGATTGTCATCTACTTAGACAATAATACAAAAGATCTTAAATGTATACTCCAATTAAAAAAGTTCAAAATTTTCAATTTGCTATAAATTCTTTAAGTTAAACCCAAACTACTTGTTAACTTTCAACAAATAGATCAAAACGCACTCTCTAGAGTTCTTAAAAAACTAGAAGAGAAAAAAAACTTGCACCATGTGAATTAAGTTAAAATTTAGAAATCTTCGATAAATTACCTAATAGCCATTAATCATCAATTTAAAGATTAAATTCACCTATTTAACATGTGCCAAATCTTCAATTCAATCTTAATTATCATTTAAGATAGCTAAGATTTAAACAATAATTATAAAAAGAACAATTCTGGTAAGATTTCTCTATCAATCCAACCCCAAGAGGATTTACAAATAGAGTATATAAAATTAAAAAAAATGATCCAAAATTATAGTTTTACATGGACTGTTCTAAACGTACAAATGAATGATAAATTAATTGATGTATTATTTAATTTTGTAATTATTTTGATTAAGTTATATTGAGATGAATATTGTGGTTGTTTTGAATCAAATTTTTAAAAATTTATAAGTTGATTTATATGATTGGTTAAAACAATTAAAATATCATTAATAAATTACTCTTTTTTATTAAATTAGTAAAATATATTATTGATGAATTAGTTTTAGTTAATTCTAATGGAATTAGAAAACAATTTAATCACTTTTTAATAATTTTTTATTTATTTATTAAAGAATATTAATTGTAAATAATGATATAAATTGAAGGAATTAATATAGCAGTAGAGGGATGTTTTCATGGAAAATTTGATGACATATTTGCAGAAATAAAAGAAATTGAAAAAAAGAAACAAATCAAAATAGATTTATTACTAGTTAGTGGAGATGTTTAAACTATTAGAAATAAACATGATATGTACAATATGGCATGTCCTTAAAAATATTTAGAAATGGGTTCATTTTACAAATACTATACAGGAGAAAAAGTAGCACCTTGTTTAACTATATTTATTGGAGGAAATCATGAAGCATCTAATTATTTAAGAGAATTGTATAATATATTTTTATTTCAAAAGACATTTTGGTGGTTGGGTCTGCCCAAACATTTATTTTTTGGGGAGTTCAAATGTAATTCAAATTAAAAAAGGGTAAACTACATTTAAATTAGGAGGAAATTCAGGAATATTTAATAATTATGATTTTAATATTCCTAAATTAGAATGTTTTCCATTTACATAAGATTAATTACATTCTGTTTATCATATCAAATAATTTGATTTATATAAGTTAAGTTTATATGAAGGAGATATAAATGTTTTTTTATCTCATGATTGGCCGTTGTGTAAATATTTAATTGTTATTCTATTTAGAAGTAGAAAAACATGGAGATATAAATGATTTGATAAAAAGAAAAAAACACTTTGAATCTGATATAATTGATGGAAAATTTGGCAGTATATCACATAAATATTTATTAAATAAACTTTAGCCTAATTTTTGGTTTGCTGCACATATGCATGTCAAATTTGAGGCTCTTGTATAACATTAATCAAATAAAAAAACAAAGTATTACTTATTATCAAATCTTATAGATTCTTGGCATTAGATAAATGTTTACCTGGAAGAGAATTTCTCTAAGTTTTTACTTATACAAAAGAGGGATTAGATTTATATAATTAATTTGCATTTAATAATGATCCTATAGAATTGTTTTATGATCCAGAATGGTTAGCAATTATGAAAATTACATTTAATTTATAATAAATTTGGTATAAAATGCCTAAATTATTTGAATGTAATTATGCATAAAAAGAGTAACTTTATTTTTGATTTATTTAGTTTAAAAATAATAAGGTATTAGAAATATTAGTAATTGCTATAAGCTAAAAAAGAAGCTTTAATTTATTTTAAAAAGGAACCAATTAAAATTCCATAAAATTTCTAAATAACGGCAACTCCTTATTTTAAAAATGATCATACAAATAAGTTGATTTTGCCAAATAAAGTATTATTGAATAATCAAATGAATGATTATTTGAAATTAATAAAGGAATCAGAGTAAGAATTAAATGGATTCCTCTTTTATGAATCACAATAATAATAAAATAAAGAACAAAAAAATTAGTTTCATGTAATAAATAAAATTGAAACCCAAATAAAAAAAGAAATAGTTAAATAAGAAATTCTTAATTAATTAGAGTAATAATAAAAGTAATAAAAAAAGAATGATAATATGAATATATAAGATTTTCCATTTTTATAATGAAAATAAATAAAAATAAATTTAAAATACCTATTAAGAGTAAATATGAATTAGAATTCTTTCATATAAAATAATATTGCGTATTAATTGAGAATTAAAGGACTGTGTATTTTGAATATTTTTTAAAAATAAATAAATTTGGTATGATGGCACAGGCTGATTTCATAGAATTCAAGGCATCTAGATCTCATTCACAATACAAATTAGATTTTATTGATTTCGATGACTTTGCATACAACTTAAATAAAACTATATACAATTTTTAAAAGTCTCAACAAGGAAAAACGATAGATAAAATTTGTAAATTTAGAAGGGCAAAGAGTTTCTTAGAAGTCAATAACCATGGATCTACAAATGCTATCTATTAAACTTTTAGTAGGAACGCTCCTGGGTTTGATGAAAATGAAACTAAAGAACTTATGGAGCTTATACTCCAGTTAGAATATTTATTTATTCTCTACCACAAATTCTATCCTGATCAAAGTAACCCTATTTTACTCACATCATATCTCAATTGTTTAATCTACAATAAAGAAAGTATGCATTCAACTATTATATAGAATATTTTGATAATTACACCAACGATATTTCAGAAACCCTCCAAATGTCAATTTTACGTAATTCTTAATAAAGAATTATTGAAGAAAAAACCGACGAAAACTTATTAAAATTTTTAGTCAATGAAATCAATAGAAGGAATAAATATAAGAAAAATATGTAACTTATTAGAAATGATTTAAATAAATTTTAAAAACTTTAACAAAACTACGAAATATAACGAAAAACTAAATAATTAGAACATACTAAATCTAATATGTTAGTAGCTTCATTAAAAATAATATTTTAAAATGTAATATAAAAACTTATAAATAGGAATAAAACCATATAGTCAATGTTCGATTTCCATTAATTGATAAAAACAAATCTTTATGTTTAGATTTTGATAAATTACTGAAGCAAGGGGATATTCATGATCTTTTCAAATAATGGAATTATTATATAGATATAACATCTTCTCATTCTGAAATTACTTTATTAATCTCAATAATTCAAGATCTCTTATAAGAGGATAGTTAGATAATTAAATCAATATTAGAATAAATATAAGATGAATCTATTATTTATGCTTAAAAAATAATCTTGCAAATAGGAGCCTTAACTTAATTCTGTCCTAAATGCTTGACTGTTATGGATAGAAGTCATAAAGAAATTGCTATTCTATTATAATCTAAATTATAGTAATAATTATCAAATTTACAGATTAATGAAAATTTAAATATTCAAAAATAAGTTATGTTCATGCAAAATTCTTAAGAAGAATTATAGAAGGAAAATTAAAGACATAGTTTAGAGAATGCTTTATTATAATTAAATAATTTAAAAATGTGCTTAATTCCTTAAGGACTTTTGAGTTAATTATTTTTCATTCATCGATACTGTGATGATGGTAATCAAATAGAAGAGGAAGAAGAAGAATAATCAAATTAAATTTAAATTTAAGAAAAATAAATACATGATTCTCCATTATAACCATAATTAGAAAATAGCTAAATCAAATTTAATAGATAATTTGTTAGATAAGCATCTAGAAGAACAAGCTTAATAAGTTTTGGTTATTCTGAAATGTAGGCAGAATATTAAAATTTTGAACCATTAAGGCAAAAGTTAACAGATATGAAAATTCATTCAACTGTTTATATGGGTAATGTGGATAAAAAGGAATGGAAAAAACTATTTGATAAAATTAAATAGGAAAAGATTAAAAAAGATTTTTTTAAAACCACATCAATCTCATCTAATTCATCATTCGATTTAAATTGTAATGATGAAAAATTTTTGAAATAAATGAAAATCTTCTTATAAAATCAATAAATGAGAAGATAATGAAATCTTCATGAAGGATCATAATTAATGAATATTTTGTACATTGTATATACAGAATTTTATTTTCTTATTCTATCACAATCTATCATTAAAATCAAGATTAAACTTAATTGAATTTGTTTAAAATATGGTTTTAATAGCGAAAAAAGGATATTTAAATAAAGATCATTAATTTTAAACTTTTTTTTGAATAAAAATAATTGTTTTGAGATAAAATCAAAAATATTTTGTATCTAAAAATTTTATTTTAAAATAAAAATTTGTTTAAATTTGTTTTTTCACAAAAATTAAGTTTAATAGTTATTTTTGTAGATGAAATAATTAAATGAGGAAAAAATTTATTGATATAGAAAATAAAATTAGCAACTATTTACAATAATTATAAATCTATTTATTAATTAATCCATTTCTCAATTTCTAAAAGTTTTATTTAAAAATTTATAAATAGAATTTGAATTGTGGAATATATTACAATATAGTCTGAATTAAACATCAAAAATAATAGAAGTTAATTAAATATTAATCTAAATCGAAAAAAAGAATGCTCTAGATATTTCGACATAAAGAAGGGTTTAATTTATAAGAAAATAAACAAAAAATCATAAAAAAAAGCTGGAATTAAATATGACGAATAATTTTACAAATTATAGAACATGTTTTCAAATGTATTCAATATTTGATGTTAAGAAAACTGTTGAGTTTTCTATTAAATAAATTATTCAGAATCTAAATTTATTCATTACTTAGATTTTAAATAAAAAACACAAAGATTGAGTATTCAACTTTGATACTAAGATTTCCTAATATGCCTTTTCCATCTAGATGAAATCTAAATTAAAATAAATTCCTTTTCTTACAAATAATACATGATAGCAAATAAAAGTGAACAATATGAATAAGATATTTAATTCAAATAGAGATGTTAATTCAACTTATTGACTCATAATTAATTATGTATATAATTTAATCAGAACTAAATAAGAATTAAAAATAAATATTTTCAAAACATTTCCTTGATTTGTCTAGCTTAATCATTATATATCAATATTATATTTTTTTCATTTATTTATATTAAGTTTTTTAATTATTTAATTATTGATTATATAATGAATTTTATTATAATATTTTAAAAATTATTTATTTCATTTTAACTAATCTAAAAGTTTATGAAATTATTAATAACAAAATCAATATCAAAAAGCTATTCTGATATTTTTTGTTTAAAGAAAAATTTTAGGATTTAATTTCAATAATTAGTTTAGTTTAAAAGACTTTATTTTTTTTTAATAACACTAAAGACATCAGTTATATATTTGAAAAATAATAGTTTAATTGAACCAATTTAATTAAAATAAGTATAAATCATTATAATATAATTAAAAAAAAACTGAATAAGTATCACTTGACATTTACAGATTCTTAAATTGAAAATCAATACTAATTATAATAGTGGCATAATCCAAGATCTCTAACTTTTAAGATGATTACTATGGGTTTATTAACAACTTTTATAGTAAGAGTGCTTTATTGTTTAATATTTAGAGATTATGAATAATTTTATTACAAAATAGGAATGCTTTTATTTATAGTTATATAATATGCGATTGTATGGTTGTGTCCTAAATTTACGAGGTTGGCTTTTTTAATTACAAATATACTTTTGATGGGATTTTCTTTAGAAGAAGAACCATCACCTATTTTGTAAAATGCAAAGGGAGCTAACTTAATGGCAATAAATATTATGATAATTTTATCAGGAGAATTTATTGATTCTGTTATTTAATTATTTGTAATAACAGGTTTAAGAATAACAATAATCATTGTTAATAATGATAATAATTATATAATACTCTCAAGTATTATTATCGTTAGCATATCATTACTATATTATGCATATTCTTTTCATAAAGCAAGAAGATCATAATATTTGTTAGGACTTGTTGAGAATGGATGGGATTAGATGTTTTTTTAACTGATAAGAGAGCCTTATATTTTACTTAAATTTTGCAAAGAAAAATTAAACTTTTCAGTCTTTAAACATAATAGATTTCCTTTTAACAAATTAGTTGATTTTAATTCATATGAAGAAGACTCATAAGAAAGAAAAATTTTAAATTTCTTATCAACTTCAAATGTAGGAAAGATATCTCTAAGTTAATTTATTTATGAAAATCTAAAAAAATTTAGGGCAGATTTAAGTTAAATTTTTAATCAAAAATTAAGAATAAGATTTTAAAGATAATTGTTTTAAATAGATATGTCAATATTTTAATCAAAATATACAATGGTTTTATTGAAAATTGAATCATCTAATACAGTTAATTTAAAATAGCTAAAAAAATATAAGTAAAGATTCAATTTATACAATAATACTATAATAAATTTGTTAGGGAGAATAGAAAGTGAAGTAATTAACAATGTTTAAATAAAAGTAATAAAAAGAAAGTTAGTTTTAATAAGATTGATTGAGGATTTGTTGGAGTAGAAGTATTAATTTAATACAGTAAATATTCCATATTTATTTTCTTAAATATTGGAAATGTATCCAGATAAAAGAATTATAATAAATGATGTAAATAAGGTAGAGACAGTTTATACAATTAATAATGTTATTTTAATGAGTATAATTTTAATTTTTGAGAACAGTTCTAATAGAGAAGCTATAAATTGTAATATAGAGAAGTTAAGAGAGAATTAATCAATAAGAATGGAATTTATAGGTAATTTTAAGTAGAATTTAATAAGAAAGACTTTTAAGAATACAAGTTTTTAAGTTCGTTTAGTAATTGATAATATGTTTATATCTTAGAGAAGTAATGATTATTTGAATTTTTAGGGATTTAATTTGAAATATATATGGAACCATTTTGTAGTACTTCAATAGATATTTTCACTTATGAATATTATGATTTATTTTCAGATGAGAGTTGATATAAATAAATTTGGTTATAAAATGTTATAATTATTTAAATTGTAAATAAAATTAAATAAACCGACAAAGGTCACCATAATGAATGGGCTTCAAAGAAATTGAGTTCATATTTGTTAGGTTTTGCATAATTTCTGATAAAATATTTTCTTAATTCTTCCCAACAGAATAGACACATAGAGTAAGGAAGTCCAGGCATTCTAATGATAAATGTTAAAATAAAACCCTAGATTTAAAATATCAACTGGTCTAGCACCAAACCAAGTATTGACTCCAGGTATGTAAACAATACATATAAAAATGATGGTTTCAAGGATAACACCATAAAACATGACAATATTAACAGGAGAATAAATTAAAGACATTTTACGTTCTAGTAATAAAAGAATACTATATACATTTGCAAGAGAAGACATTAGACCATTAAACAAGGACCACAGCAACAAAATATGATGTTTAAGCATATTTAAGAGCAGCAGTTTTAAAACAAGCATTAGTATTAATAGGATAAGAGTTACCTTCAAGTAAGGAATCAGATCTATCATAATATCTACAGAGATTATTAGAGTTTTGATATTGCCATTCTTCAAATGTTGGGAACCATCTTTTGTATGAAGAATCATAATAGACAAAGATGTATCTTAGATCATAATAAATGATTTCTGGATTGATCCAATTAAGAGGATTACTTTAGAATCCAATAGTTGAGTTATATTCACCTCCTGTAGGAACAGTAAGAAGTGGAGCTTATTGCCAATCAGGACTATATGGTTAAGTAGTTAGAAAAGGACTAAAATTTAATAAGAAATAGATTTACTTATTCATATTTGGTAGATCCCATACCCAAGTAGTAGGAGGAGGAGAATATGATTATCCATTTGCTAGAGTAATAGAAGGCCAAGGAATAGATTAATATGGAGTATTCATAAAACTTAAAAGTAATTATGGAGGAAAACCATATTCATTCATAGTACTAAAATAGCTAAAGAATCCAGCAGATGTTGCAATAATTCCTTATAATAAATAAGCATGAGTAATCAATCTAAATGAAACTAAATGATCATCCTTTTTTCTAGGTTTTCTAGTCATAATATCTATTTCTGCTTCTTCATAAGCAAAAGAAATAGCAGGAAGAATATCAGTACCAATACATATTGTTAGAATAAATGCATTACTTAATGGTAATGGTAATCCTATTGCTATCTCACCAACATAAGGAAATACTTCAGTAATATTTGATGTTAATAGATATACTATTGTCTTTTTTAAATTATCAAATATTTTTCTACCTTCTTCAACTCCATCAACTATAGATGCAAAATCATCATTTAATAAAATCATATCTGCAGCATCTTTAGTTACATCAGATCCACTTATACCCATAGAAATACCAATATCTCCTTATTTAATCGCAGGTGAATCATTAACTCCATCTCCTGTTACTCCAACTACATGACCAATATATTGACAAGCTCTAACAATCATTAATTTTTATGCTGGAGATGTACGTGCAAATACAACTTAAGGTTTACTACACCAACTTTTAAGTTTTCTATCTTTCATCTCTTCTGGTAAATTGTCTTTACTTGAATCTTCTTCTTCCATGGCTTAGACTATCATATCACCATGTATAACAATTGCTGGTGCTAATCTAAATGCTTCATCATATGACATCTATGGATTCTCATCTAATAAATCATCAACTGTTTTTCCTGTTATTATTCCTATCTATTTTGCTATAGCTCCTGCTGTTGGTGGCTAATCTCCTGTCACCATTATTACCTTTATACCTGCTGATTAACATTTCTTAATAGCTTAAGGAACAGTTTCTTTTGGTGGATCCATTAAAGAAAACAATCCTAAAAATGTAAATCCTTCTAATTTAAACTTAAGTGTTTCAATTGAATTTAAATTAAACTTAAAACCCTTTTAAAATTCTGCTCTAGGTAAATGAAGTTTTGCAAATCCCAAAACTCTCTCACCTCCTTTACCGAATGAAATATTTACTGATTTGAATTTCTAAGTAATTTATTCATCTATTGGTTAATTTCTTCCTTCAATTAATAAATAACTAGAAAATGTCCACAATTTTTCTGGTGCTCCTTTTATATAAACACAATAATATGAATCTTAAGTCTCCCAATTAACAATACATAAGGAAAATTTATTAGTTGAATTAAATGGCATTTTTGCTAAAGATTTATCTGATAATTCTACTAATTATCTTCTTTATCTTGTGCTTTCTATATCTTCAATAGGTTAAAAGAATTTAATCAAAGCTGTTTCTGAAGCATCTCCAATAGTAGGTTAGTCTAGCCAATTTAAATTAGCTTTCTCCTTACCTTATATATTAAATTTAGCTTCGCTTGTGATTATTGCACAATCATGTAAATCTCTAAAAGTAGGATCATTAATATCATATTCATATTCAGTATTTCTTCCATGTTTATATCTATTCAATGCTACTCTCTTTAATCCATCATACCAAACATTTGCTACTGTCATTTTATTCTATGTTAAAGTTCCTGTTTTATCAGAACATATACAACTTGTAGATCCAAGTGTTTCAACTGCTTCTAAGTTTTTAACTAACACTTATTTATCAGCCAATCTTTTTGCTGTTATTGCTAATGATACTGTTATACATCCTAATAAACCTTCAGGTACATTTGCCACTATAATTCCTATTGCTTAACCTACTGCTGTATCAACTGATGCTTCTTCAACCACTAATGATAATATTAAAAATAAAATTCCTAATCCTACTGCTATACATGATATTAATATCACAAATCTCTTTAATTCTTTATTTAAAGGTGTTTCAGGAGTCTCTCCACCTGTTGCTAAATCAGCTATTTAACCCATTACAGTATTATCACCTATCTATATTACTAATCCTTTTCCTGATCCTTCCTTACATAAAGTACCAAAAAATGCTAAATTCTTTGTTTCTAAAGGATTCTCACTTGTTAATTCTGTTACTCTTAACAAAGGATCGCATTCTCCTGTTAATGCAGAATTATCAACCTTCATCTCTCTAGATTATATAATTCTAACATCTGCTGGAATCTTATCTCCCATCTTTATTTCTATTATATCACCAGGAACAAGTTTCTCTGCTGGCACTTCAACCTTCTCTCCTCCTCTTATTGCTAAACATTTTTATGGTAAAAAGTTTTTAAATCCTTCCATTAATGCATCAGCTTTTGCAGATTAATTGTAAGTAATAGAACCAGTCAATAAAATGATAGCAATAAGGATAATAGCTATTTAGAATAGATTGTTATATTTACCAAGCCATAAATTAGATTTTGCACCTAAAGCGTCCGGGTTAACTCCATATAAGACAAAGCACATAATTGAGGCAATCCAAAGTAAAATTGAAAATGGTTGAACCATTTCAATTAAGAGCTTAATCCACCATGGCTTCTTTTTTTTTTCAGTTAATTTATTATCACCATATTATTTGTTTTTTGCAATAGCTTGGTCTTAAGTTAATCCATCTGTTAAGGATGTTTCATATCTATTTAAAATAAATTAAATGAAACTAACCTTTATGATAATGCTATGACATCAACTTTATGTTCATCCATGTTCCTATAATCCTCCCCTTTGTTTTATGCTTTTTTTAATATATCTTGTTTATTTTATGTTGGAGCATCATATTTCACAATTGTTTCATTTAAAGTCATGCCTTTTTCCTTAATTTAAAAATAACCCTTACTTTTGCTTAGGAATACATTTAACTTTATCTAGAAACTAATGCTGCTGCTTTTACAGAACTTTTACGAGCTTCTTGATTTTATCTTAATCCCAAATCTACACTTTAACGAAGTATTTAAAATCCTGTAATGATTTATGGATTATTTATGAGTGGAGCATCTCCTTCATTTAATTGCCTATACTAAGACATAGGCTATAATTTAATTAAAATAATATCTTATATTTTTCATGCTATCATAGTTTATATATAGAATTTATTTATACAATGAAAGTAATCATATTTACATATTTTATTAAAATCTGTGATTGAAATTTAATAATGAAGAAAAGAATCAAAAAATTGTAAGGATCATCATATATGATTTCTCTTGAGCCAGAAGATGTACTTGGATAAGGCTCATTTGGTAAAAGTTGGGAAAGCCTATGATCTTGATAATAGGGAAGAGTAATTGGTGGATAAAATAATGGAAATAGGAATTTAAAGTAAATAAGATTCTTTGTAACATGCTACTCAAGAGAGAATCGGAAGAATTATTTTCGTTACAATAAATAAAAATTCAATATTAACCCTAAATCAATTAAATCCTTTAGATGATATCTTCATCTGTTTTTATATATTAAATGGTCATTTAAAACCTTTCTCTTATCAAAGTATAACCATTTAAGGATAAAAAACTATTATCTTTGGTATCTTAAATCTTAACATAAGATGATTTAAAATAATAAAGCGAAGAAAAAGATAAAAAATAAAAATAAATTTTAAATGAGAAGATGTCTAACATTAATCATAAGAATTTTTTAACTTATTTTTAAAGGTTATAAACTTAACTCTAAATTAATTAAATTTGAAGATATTTTATTTTCATGAATAAATATTTTTCTTATATAAAGTTGCTATGAGAGTCTTTCGATTAAACTAAGTTATTTCCGCTATTGATTAATATCACATAAAACATCAATGCTGAAATTTTAAATTAAGTTTTAGGATAAATTCAAAAATTAAGAAAACTTTAACCTTTAAGTCCTGTCCAATAAAATTTATATAAATAATCTGATAATTTTCAAATCTTTTAGTCATTACTCTAGTAAGATTAATTAGGCTTGGAAAATTTTTATACTGAAGTTAAGAATAAGATTATTTCAAATTTAAAAATCCTATAAACTAACTTTTTGAGATTATTTCAAACTTATCAACAATTAATTCAATAGTTTAAATTTATATAACCATGAAATACTTAAAAGACAGTTAGAATATTAATGAATTAACCTTTTCTATTATAGAAGACTTTTCGACATATTATGAAAATATTGAAAATACTTCCGAACAAGAAGCGTTAGAGTATCTAAAAAAAGAATTCATTTAATTAATTCAGTTTATTAATCTTTAAATATATAATAATGTAAATTATTAAATATTAATTATTGTTTATATTACGATATTCAATCTAATCATGAAATTAACCAAATTATAATTGCAGATAATAAAATTTTTACATATTTTGTTGCAGGTTCATCAAATGGTTTGCGTAAAGTTTTGTTAGTAAATGAATATACTGGTGAAGTTTCAGTCCAAAGACTAGGGCTATCTTAAGTGGCAATAAGGTATATATTGTACCATTTAGATGGTTACAAATCAGTGAAATTATGACTAATTGACTAAGATATCTAGAAAGATAAATTACTTCCGATGAATAATATTTAATAAAATAGTAATTGGAGCTTATTGATTGATTTAGACAATTAGCAAAATACTTCATTTAAATATTTGTTGGTTTAAGTCCATCAGTAGCATAAGTGCCAGCACTAAATCTAGGTGTAATATATCCCCAAACTAAACCAGTTTATCTTAATCGAATATTTGATATAGACAACCAAGTTAAACCTCGAGTGAATTTAATAGTGCTTATAAGTTCTGGGGATTAATCAAAAGTGACTTCTTATAGAGGATCAACTGAAAATAATCGTGAGGAATTGGTTAAATTACCAACAAAATATCTCATGAAATTAGTATCTTCGACTGCTGCGATAACTTGTTTCCAATTCACATCATTAGGTAAATCTTAATTTGGAATGAAATAATATTAAACAGATGTTTCAATTCCAATTTCTACTTCCTCTTCATTTTAATTTCCTTCATCTGTTGTTTCTTAATCTGTAGTAGTATTAGTTTCAGTCTCTTCAAGCATTTTATATTAGGAATACACACCAGTTGAATTATATGATAAATCTTTATTAATAGCACTACTGCAAAATATTGCATCGAAGCTTAATACATTATAACAAGGATAGGCTAATGAATAACAGAGCCAACAAGCTATTGCTTTTTTACTTTCAATATTCAAATCAGTTCCAAAATGAAATGTCAATTTCATTAATCTACCATCATTGTTTTAAGTGAAGAATTCCACATAATTCGTTTCATTCTTCATATCATAAAGATTGATAGCCCAACTTTTAATTTTATACCATGTTCTTGCCCTATAAAAATAAATAATACATTACTTTAATTTTTTTAATTCTAAAACATAATCATTCTATCCTTTTAAATAAACAATCCCAAATTATTCTTAATAGTAATCTGAATATCGTAATTCTGTATTATTTTCTGAAAATAACTTAACATCATCAAATTGTCTCTCAAATCCATTTAGCATGATTGCATGATAATAAATAATCAAATCTTAATCAGATTTAAATGTAATAATTTATTTATTAGAATAATCAGATAATTGATTAAATTACATAGCGTATATACATCCAATTTTTTTAAGTGCATCAGTATTATCTTTGACTAATTTGAATTTTGTTTAAGTAGGTGATTAAGAATAATAAGGTGCTGAATTGCCACTGAAAGTCATTAGTAATGTGCTATAATAATAATCAATAGAATCTAATTTATCAATGTCTGGTACTTCAATATCTGAAACAATATTGAAGGTAATTTTAAGGTTTTCTTAAGTTACTTAAACATTCATTTTAGTATCAGAAGTTGATTAAAATTTTAATCCAGCAGGCTTTTCAACATCAAAAGGAATCAATTCAAAATCAATTAATAAATCTTCAACAGGAATATGCTGAGAAAAATCAATTAATACAGGAATGGATTTCATGAATATTGGTATATCATATGAAGAAAATTGTGTGGTAATTTCTGTTTTGACTGTTGTAATCATGACTTAGATAATTCCAGCTTCACTGTATGTGGGTATATCTGATTCTTCCTTTGAAAAATACAGATAATAAGATTAAGGATTTGTTGATCCAGAACAACCTATTCTTGTTAAAGCCTTTCCATCTCCTGGATATACTACCAGATCATTGATGACTTTGAAAAAACCACTGTTGGAATTGATACTAAATCTCAATTTTTTATCATAACCACTATTTTTTTATCCAAGTGAAATAATTTAACTGTATTAACCTGGTTTTAAAACCAACTCATTATAATTCAATCTTAAAATTTCATCTTTGTTATCAATTGTGTATTTAATATCTGTCTGTGTTTCTTCTTTCCAATAGATTGTATTCATTTAATTATCTGCTACTAGTTTAAATTGTTAAATATTGCCATAAACATAAGTGGATAATTATTGGATTTAAGTTTTATCTTAAGTGATCAAACTAAATATAGGTAATCCAATAAAGCAAGATGATGCCTCCATGTTGGTCATTCCAGTTATTTTTACTATATATTTTGTATTGGCTTACAGAACTCCTTCAAATTGTAATAGAATTCTATTTCCTAAAGTTTCACATTTTGACATTATTGAAGTTATTCCATCACTTTCTAAAATACCACTACATGAAACAGGAGGCTTTAATTATACTAATTTACCATAATCTTTTGATGGAAGATCAATTACTAAATATTACCCAACTTAGATATTTCCTAAAGTTGTTAAATAATATGTATATTATGATTCAGTTCTAATTCCAATATTTGAGATTTCAAAATCTCTAATTATTAGAGATAGAGGTACTGTAGATGAGACTGCTACATCACTTAAAGTTCCATATTCATTTATTGTAGTTTTATTTTCATCATAATCTACCATTATAAATATTTAATCATCATTATATGTAGATATAGGTTATATGATTCCAACTATAACCAAATTTATTATTGTAAATGAATCTATAGTAAGAGTAAATAATTTTATTGAAATCGTTCTTTCATTATCATATTAACAATATGAATCTGCATCATTCATCAAACAACTCAGACTTTTCTTATTGTCAAAAGAATTATAATAATAAGGTAGGTTAATATAAATAGTAGATTTCTAGTCAAAAGGTTAGCTTAATACTAAGTCTAGTTTAAGTTCAATCATAGCATAGGCTAATGGATAAGTTTTAGTTAATGTAAGTCCAGTGGTTGATAAAAGAGAGGGAGTCTCTTCAAATGTTAATGGAGTATTGGTAGCTGTTCCTTGAGATAATATTGTTGAACCACTTAAAACCTTTACAAGAGGAGCAATATAATTGTTTGGAGTCATTATATTAAAACATCTAAAAATATATTGAACGCCTGGATTTAAATCACTAACAGGTCTAATTGTTATTAATGTGAATGAACTTCCTTCAAAGGATTTCCAATCAAAATTTTAGGATTTATCATGATTTAAAATAGAACAATGAGATTTAGACACTGTACTTGAAGCAATCATTGTAATATCAAAGTTTATGAATTGATTAAATAAGATTCCACGGTTTATTAATTTGAATTTGAATTAGAATTAACCTCTCATACCATTATTCATTCTTTCAAATTCAACATCTCCAACTTCAACTTTAGGAATGAGAGGAGTATTATTAAATTTTAAAGTTCCTGCTCCTACTGAAGTGGAATCAATGATTACATTTAAAATTGTATATGTAATTATAGTATAGGTTTAATCATTTGAACTTGAGTCTGGCATATTAATTCCATATTAAACAATTGTATAAGTATCAGGTGGAAATGCTTATGAAGCAGAAAAAGTAAACCTTATTTCAACTCCATCAGTTTTGGTTATTGTACATGTATGAGGAATTTATTTAGCCTCTGAACTTGATCTTAATTAGCAATAACCTGAGGATGATACTGAAAAAGGCCATGATCCAGTTGTAAATGCAAGAGAAACATATCCATCTTTTGGAATATTATTCACTGTTGTAAATATCCATTTGACAATCTAATCTTGATAGCCTCTTTAAATAGTTGGGAATATATTTAAAGGTATTTGCATTCTACCAGCTATTATTGTGCTTACTGATTCAGAAGAATATGATTGTAAATTGCCATTTTTATCACTCCAACCAGAATAACCTCCAGTAGGAGTTTGAACTCCTTTGTCTGGATAATTAAATCCTTCAATTTCAATATATTAAGAGATGGAAGTTATAACAGTATCTCCTATCATAGGACATAAGAATCCATAGAAATCATTATAATTATAAGGTACACATCTTTATTCATAAGTTAAGGCTGGATTTAATATGAGTCCTTTAGTTTTGAAATTAGGTCCTATCATATTCCATTTACCTTAATAAAAGAAGGCTGCCCCTTATAAGTTTGCCGAATTAGGAGAGATAACAGGAGTAGCTTGCGTATGTCCGTAATATACTTTAGCATCTGAATCTGATTATCCAACTGTTGGTGCATAATTAATAAGATCTAATTTATAGCTCTATCCAGTTTTAGTAATAGCAGCATTAACAGGATCAACTAAAATAAGAGCAGGAGCATTCATTGTTTAAGTAATTAATGAACTTTTAAATGAAATGAATTAACTGTAAACTTTATCATCTTTATTTGATGAAATAGTAGCTATGAAGAAAGTCAATTAATTAACATTTCTAACAGTACTTACAGGAATAACTAATTAAAATGGTGATGCTGGTCCACTTTTAGAGAATGTATCATCTAATATGAATTCTATTCTATGAAGATTATAGACAGATTGAAAAGCATTAGTTGAATCATCACTACCAACATAACCAAAACATTTCTATTTTTTATTTAAAGTAGAGGAACAAGATACATATTATTTACCTTCAGGAGATAATTCTTCATTAAATGGTGATAACTAGAGATACAAGAAAAATATACATTATTAAAGAATATAGCTAATCGAGCTGCTTTTTCAACAATAGATTATTCTAAGAAACCAGTGACTCTAATAAAAGCAGGAAAGAGAGAACCATCTAATTTATTGGTAGTTCCTGTCCAGAAATTGGAAATAGATATATAAAGATTATTCATTTGATTAAATCCACTTAATGTATAAGAATTGGCAGCAATAATTCCTGAAATAGGAACTGTAGGCTTTCTTTCAAGTCCTAATTCAACAGTAAATCCAATAAAATCAATCAAATCTTCATTACAAAATTAGGATCCATTGTTTTAGATATAAACAGGTCCAATAGAAACAGAATATAAGTTATTTGCAGCATTACCTCCAAAAACATTTTAAAAAGTAGCACTGCCACTTTGTAATCGAGTCAATATTATAACTGTATATTTTGAATTATCATTAAGAACATTAACATAATATTGTTCAACAGGAAAAACAAAATCTGCTGCTGAATGTCCTGCAGGAGTAGGTGAACATGTTAAAGGAGGAGTAAATTAAAGAGGACTCTCTGCTGATATTATTGTATCTCCTTTTTTAATTTTTGGATTAGTATATAAATAATAGCCTACTGATCTAGAAGTTACAGAGGGAGCAAAACTAGTAATTTAAGGTCTGGCTGTAAATATTAATCTTTATTAATGATCTGCATATTATAAACCAAAAGATGAAGATGTAGGACATGCAAATGGATCTGAATATTTCTATGAATGTGCAAATGTAAATCCATTCCCACTATTTGAACTTATAATTGCTATGCTATTCAAAGTTGAATAACTAGCTAATTAATCTCTACCGGATGGAATTAAAGGTATACTATCATATGTTATTCCATTTGAAGAAGATTCTATTTAAATTGATCCAAAATCTGCTGGAAGATCACCTGGTGTTGCCTAATATGGAAATGACATTCTTATTCCTATAAAATAACGACTCTCTACATTTAATGTTCCTACATTTGAACATATTATTTTCATTGGCTATACTTTTGTTACACTACAATATACTGGGTTTTTATCAAATTATGGTAAGTTTTCCTATAAACTTCCTTCTAAAATCATAGATCCTATATCTGAATTTAAATTTAATATCACTCTCAATTTTAAATTTAATGGAGTTGTGCTTGATGGATAAAATAAAAATTTAAATGAATTAAAATAGGGATTTTAACTAGTATCTCTTATAATTTTTAATTGTTATGGTAATGTTTTATCTTACAATTATAATCCCCATAAAAATTGAATCACCAAATTTTAATTATTGGGACCCCAAGTCAAAGCAGAAGTAGATAAAATATTCAACACTTTCACCTATTCTACTATTTGATTTGCATATGAAAACATTGTCATAACTTAAAATCCTCCTCCAGCTAATTTTACAAATTTTGGATTCTTTATACTAAAACTAAATTTTAAAGTTGTATTCAATAACTAATATAAATGAACAGTTAATATATTGTTTTCTATTTGACAAGAATATTATGAACTTGTCAATGCTGCTATATCAGTATTATTTGCATCCTTATATGATTCTGATGTACATTATTCCCCTTAAAATTAATAATCATTATCTGTCATCAGAATTACTATTCTTGCCTTTCTATCTATAGGAATTGTTGGAGTTATTTAAACTAATAATGAATGTCTATAATCTAATAATGTTGGAGTTGAAGATTAAAGAGTAAAACTAGATATTAATGTTGCCGGAGGAATTGCTGTAAATTCAATCAATGCAAACGCTCTATTGAAATCATATTTTATCCAATTGACTACATTGAAATCTTATATTGTTAATGCTTCTATTGGAGTCAAAATTTATGCTACTTAATTGCTAAAAGGGGTTTATGATACTATGCTGACTTTGTAATATGTATTTGCTTCTAAAGCTCTAGAATCTCCATCTAAATTCAGAAATTTCACATGGTACCACCCACCACCATCTTTAAACAAAGCCCCAGGAAATTTAGAAATGGGACTGCAATCAGTAGTGCTAACTTCATTATATATGACATCAACTCCTTGTGGAACTGTACTTACAACTGTAGCTTCAATTTAGAATGGGATTTTAAGACTTAAATAACCTGACTTTCCCAATCCACTCTAAAGTCTGAAAGTAAAAGTTAATTAAGTGGTATAACCAATGTTCAGATAATTAATAGAGTAATCAAGTGTTTCAATTAATCCACTGTATACTATTTGTAGCAGTAATAAAAAAAGCATTAATTTATTATAAATATACACATAAAACAAATTTCACTTCCCAGTAATCTAATCAAATATATTTTATGCTTCCTCTTTATAATGATTCAAAGCTTCATCTATGTAATCACTCTTTGAATTCTCTTAAGACTCTTCCATTATCTCTATAATATTTTTAATTAATTTATGAGCAACTGTAAGCATTTTTAGATCTAAAACTTATTATATTATTTCATCAGTATCTTCAAATAACATTTCAAGAAATTCTCTTTTCTCTATCCAATATGAAAACTAATTTTTATTATTTAATTTACAAATAAATAGTAATTTTCTAAGCTTTCCTCTGCAGTATTCATAAGTGTATCTCTCAATCTGAATTCTAGAAATGCTTTTTATCTATCTAATTTATATTACAAGGAATCATTTTCAATCATAAAACTTACATCTTCATATTCATCAAGTAATTATTCTAAAATTGTATTATGTAAAATGTTATTAGGTTCAACAAATTTATCTGCCAGATCACTTAAAAGTAACAATTTTTCAGCTTTTATATTTGGATTACCAAATGAATCTAATAATTAAATTGATTCTTCAAAAAAATCAAATAAGCTCTATTAAAATTAACCATTTCTGATCACGAATTTGATCGCTTAAATATCATATTCAACAATCAAAAAATCATTTTCTATATCAAATTTTTCTCTCATCTCTTAAATCTTCATGAATAGTTCAGTTGTTCCTCTATCTTAACCTTCTAAAATACAAAAATAATTCATAGTAACTTCTAAATATATTGTGTCTTAATTAAAACTTTCTAAATATTCATGAAAGTCTTTTAACATTTCTTCACATTTTGATAGATCTGTTAATTAGTAAGTTGAAGCTAATTAACAATAACTTTGAGCATATTAAATAGAATGTTTTCCAAAAACTTATAAATAAAGTTCTATGGCCTTTTCAAAATAGGGCCTTGCAGCTGTAAATTCTTGGATTTCAATTGATACACTTCCAAGATCTTCAAATATCTATGCAAATTTAGCTATTCCTTTCTCTCTTTATTTTTCTGCTTCATTTGCCACTTCTGGATTTTCATGATTACATACTACCTAATTTATAAAATTTACATGATTTAACTATTTCCATAAATTTCTCTGTTTCCCTTAAAGCAGCTTCATAATTCTTAATTCCTTATTAGATTTAATCTTATTCTATCAATAATTTAGCTTTCATTTCATAATAAAAAGCTAAATTGTATTGATATTATGATAATCCTTGCTCTTTTGTCAAGTATCCTTCACTCTCACCAATTTCATCAAAATTATCATTTAGATAATTTTTTATATACACCACAGATTCTTTATATTATCTTGCCAAATATTTTATGATAATACTTTAACCATTATTCTATTTCTTAAAGGTCTACATCATCAAATAGCTTAGCAAATTTAAGTGGAATAACACCTATGGCCAAATTGTGCCATAAAAATTCATTAAAATTTGAAGGATATTTAGACAAATCAACATTTCTGTAATGCACATCATTCAAATAATCATCAGAAAGTACTTCTTGAACTAATTTATCATCCATTTATTGATTTTCTATCAAATATCGTGCATACTCAATTTTATCTAATAGTAATGAAACACATTTTTTTTATTCTGATTAATCCATTTGTTCTCTAATATATATTATTTTTCTTAGCATTTCCATTTATTATTTTTCATTTTCGCATTCATCCATTTAATCTTACAACTTATCTATTTCAGCTTATTTTTCATCTCTAAAAAATAAGATCAAAATTTACTTATCATGTTTATCATTAAAAAAAAATCCATATTTTGGTGTTATGACAAATGTTGGAATATAAATTTATTGCTTTATTGGAAGAAATGATGATCTTGTTTGGATTATAGACTGAACTATTCTCTTCACAGCATTTCTAATAAGCATTTATAAATTATTTAATAATTTTGATGGTAAGTAAAAATTATATGTACTATGTCTTATTCTTAAAAGACAATTAAAAAAAAGATTTGTTTGTTTTTGTCAGGGTTCTGCTTAATAAGTGTCACGATAAGCTACATCACTTCACGAGTCCGGTATCCTTCCGCCGCTCATAGCGATCCCTATTGCTTGCTCTGTTTCCAGCCTAAGCCATTGCGAGATTCTTCAACACAAGTGAAACCCTCATTACTGATGGATTCCGCAAGTGACTACGAGCTCGGTTAGGGCGGTGACTCTTAACGAAATGACTCAGCGAGCTCTCAGATGACAGCTTACCAAACATCCCCTTACAACCCACATAAAGTGACAGCCAAGTTGCCCCAGCCTGGGTTAATATATTAAATATTCTTCATTATTTATTACGTGTATAATTTTTTTAATTAATTTATGGGTTTACAATTTAATTTAAAAAGCAGTTTCTATTTAATTTTATGATATTTTATTACTTTGATAAATAATCTAATTAAAAATAAGATTATTAGTAAATTTAACTCAGATAGTATTTCTTAAGTAGAAGATTATATTAAATATATAATTATAATAAGATTTATTATTTAAATAATATTAATATATTGATTTATAATTCATCAATTCATAGGCTGTTACATTTATCCAAATTAATTAGGAGGCTAAGGTACTTAAGGATAATTATAATTAGATTGTTAGTTTTAATCTTTGGTATAGAGGGTGCTATCGGTAAATTATACAATTTAAGGTTGAAATACTTATGGATTCCAATTCGAAGGTTAAACAATAGGTTGATTATAAATTTAAGGGACAGGGGCAACAATTTCAATAGGAACATCAACACATGGATCTTTGCTGCAACAAGTACAACCTAAAAGTTAGATATAATTAAATTACCAGCAAGAACTGCTTAAACCTGTAGTCTATAAACAGACCTAACAATCTGTCCATTAGATGAAGGACGAATGCCTTCTGGAGTACTGTTATTATGTAAAACAAGCTAGATTTATTTTCTATCATTTTCAACAGCTTTAATTCCTGCTTGAATTCCTTGTATTTATTAAGAGACAATAGTTCGAGTAAAAAGTTTTTCTCTTCCAGTTCTGTCCCTTAGTGTTAAGTAATTTATTAAACGAGCATCAATCCTTTTAATATCCAATTTGCAATTTGAATTATCTAAATCAGCCCATAAGTAAGCTGTATCTCCAGGGAGGTAATGATTTTTATCAAAAACACATTTAATATATGATGTCTAATGATAAACAAAATAATTACTCCTTAATCTATACAACACCATGTTGATGCTTTTACTTCCATTTAACCCATTAAAGCTGTCATATTCTACTTTAGTGGTTCTCTAACAACAAGAGGTTGAGAGTGTTTGATATTCTTATAGGATTTGTTATATGATTCAATTTCTGCTTTAACTCTGTATGAAATTTTAGCTAAGAAGTTAGATCCTTTTTCAAAATAAGAGCCTGGTAAATGAGATAACAATTAAAATTAAAAAGGAAATGTATATTATCCAACAGGTAAGCATGGAGTGTTAAATGTCCATATTGCTACACGATGTTAATAAAATTAGGTATTGCCTGAATATGTTACATATTCAGTGGTCTGCATTTACTTTCCATCTGAACCAGTACTAGTTCGAGTATGACTCTCTGTCCAATTACATTTTTCTTTGCCGGATACTTTTAATAATACCACTCCTCCAGGATATCCATCTTTAAAAATATTCAAATAGATATTTCCTAAAGTTTTATATATTCTAAATACCTGTAATTATTTCCCCTGCAAAATAAAAAGGTTTATCAGTTCTAATATATACCCCTCCAAAATCAGAGCCTTATTAATTTCCCATTAAAAAGTTTAATATTAAAATCCATATAACATATTGTTTTATTTAAAATGATATATATTATGGAATATATTTTATTGAATTAATAAAAAATTATTATCTATTTTTCAAACTAGTTTATAACCATTATGTCAAATATTTTCTGATATTTATTTCTGTATATTTTCTGCATATAATTATGCTATTAACATTGATTAAGCAAGATGATTTTGAGGTAATTCCTTTTTCAGTTCTAAAGCCAACTCAAAAAATCTTCTTTTGCATCTTGATCAACTATTGTAAGTCATGATTAAGCTATGCTAACATATTTTTCATTCATATCATAAATAATCTTATAATATTGTCCTATTTCACTCAGAACTCTTGATAAATTGATGGCCACAGGAATTCTGAATTCAGGTTAATTCTAATCATATGCTGATAATTTACTTTTTTTATTTTTTAGAACTTATGAAGTTGCTTTATGAGGACTATTTGTATCCATTTATTTTTTACAATATTTCATTCTTCCTATTTCAAATTTATTTTTTTGTTCATAATTTAATAATTGGGTTTAGAATTATTTTATTTTTCATTGCTAAAATTTGTTAAAGCAATTCCAAAATCATAAAATCTTATGCTTTTTACATCTTTTAAATGTTATGGTAAGTTCAGTCGTATAAGGATAGTGTCTTTCTCTGCCATATCAGCTTTGTTAATAATAGAAAAGTTGATATATTCATTAATTTCTTTTAAATAATTACCATGAAATTAAGGTTTCTACATTTCTCAGGCTTTAATAACTATGCTTAGTTTAATTTAATTCTGAAATAAATAGCTAAACAGAAATAAAAAGAAATTGACTTTACAATTATATTTGATAAACCCATAAATTAATTAAAAAAATTATACACGTAATAAATAATGAAGAATATTTAATATATTAACCCAGGCTGGGGCAACTTGGCTGTCACTTTATGTGGGTTGTAAGGGGATGTTTGGTAAGCTGTCATCTGAGAGCTCGCTGAGTCATTTCGTTAAGAGTCACCGCCCTAACCGAGCTCGTAGTTACTTGCGGAATCCATCAGTAATGAGGGTTTCACTTGTGTTGAAGAATCTCGCAATGGCTTAGGCTGGAAACAGAGCAAGCAATAGGGATCGCTATGAGCGGCGGAAGGATACCGGACTCGTGAAGTGATGTAGCTTATCGTGACACTTATTAAGCAGAACCCTGACAAAAACAAACAAATCTTTTTTTTAATTGTCTCTTCCTTTAGAAGCCATCTAATTATATAATTTTTTTGTTTAATATAAATTATTTTCTTATCACAGCTGATCAAACTTTAAAATTAAAGTGATCAATTCATTTTATTCTAGATGATTTTTCTTTTTCCAAATAAAATTAAGTATTTTTATTGACAGAATATAAACAAAGAATGCATTTAAATAATATTAATTAAAGATATTAAATAATTTCAAATACATAAATGATTTCCTAAAACTATTCCTTATTTATATTATGCTCCAACATAATAAAAATTTTCAAAGGTTACCAATTTTTATAAACCTGTAATTAAATCAAGTTCATATAAACTAGTAAATTTTGGTAGAGTAAGTAATTCTATCAGCTTAGGAATAGCTGTAAAGTATAATTTATCTAATACTTTTACTAATCTTTTAGGTCCATCTTCTAAATGCAAAGTTTAAAGTAAAGTAAAATTCCTGTCATGAATATTGAGAGTCTTTTAAAAAGTGTCTGAAATATAAATTTAATTATTTAAATACTCTATCCCACTTAAATGAACGCCATTTACTTCATATTAAAATTCGCAATTTCCTTGAAAATCACATTTTAATAATGAGAAACTTTTAGATTAAAAATAAAATCCAAGTAAATCAGAAATTTAATAATCTAAAGTGATAAAGATTTCATTTTGAATGACTATAAAATCGTAAATAATCAATCCAGTTGGTAATGGAATAGTCTTAATGATTTTCCATTGATTTAGAAAATCGATTTAATTATCATGAGCAATATAAATTTGATCTTCATCAGCAAATAGTGCATAACTATTATTTTAGGAATAAAGAAGAGTTTCTTTTTCATCAAATATTCCATCGTCAGTGAGAAGGAGCATATTTTCTTAAAAAAATTGAATATCAATGGGTGTTATATTCAATATTTAACATCTATTAATGTCACCATGATCGATTTTTGGCTTTTTAAACAATCCAAATTACAAAAGTTAATTAATCATTATTGATGTAATGATTGTAGTGACCATTATAAATAGTTTCATCCAAATAAAGATTAAAATTTACTTTAATAATAATAATATTAAAAAATAAATGAAATTCAAAAGAGATCTAAAGGGTTTATTCAGTCTAGTCACCTTATCAGCAGCTCCTGTCTTATATTACTTTTATAGAGATTAAATTTACAAAATGATAGATGGAAAAGAAAAAAAGAAATGAATTGATATAAATATTATATGAATGTTTGCAATATGTATTAATTATAAAGTTATATAATACTTAAAATTAGATATTTAAGTTAGAATTAATTAACTTGGATTTAATTTATAAAGAGATTATTCTCTAAGTATTTTAATTTTAAAAAAGACTTTATCAAATTAACATCATATTTGATTTAATTGAATAAGAAAATAAATGATTATTATATAAATTATGATGAGAAAAATATTCAAGAATTAAAATAATTTAAATTAATGCAGTTAGTAGTTGAAATTAAAGCTTTTTAAATCAGATAGATTATGTTTCTAAATATAATTGTTTATTTGAAATTCAATTATTTTTATTATAAATGGCTATGTTTTATAATGTTCAAATTTGTTAAATTTGATTAATAAGATTCTATAAATAATTAATGATGGCAATATATATATGTAATTAAACCAATAATTCATTAATTTCATCATCTAATATTTTAAGTATATTAATATATTTTAATTATTAAATATATATAGATGAAAAAAATTATAAAGAAACCTAATTTAAAGAGTCCTATAGAATAATGAAACTTAATCTTGGAAATATTAAGATTTTGACTTAATCCAAATTATTGCTAACTAATATATTTTATATTTGGCAAAAAAAAATTTTCAAATAAATTTTTTTAATAATTTAATAGCTGATTCAAATTCTATGTTAATGATTAACTTTGTACTTAAATCAAATAAAAAAGCATTTAGTACATTAAGTGTATGTTAGAAATCACTTTGATTGTAAGATTAATGAGGAGATTAATAACAATAATTAATTAAGAATATAATTTTAGCTTTAGATTTATTAATTTATCTTTTGGAAGTGCAGAGAGGATATCTTAATATGTTAGAATTTTAACCAAGTAATTATAAAGATTTATTAAATAATGATATCTCTTTTTAATAAAATCATATGCAATAAATTAAATCCTAGAAAAATTTCAATTCATCTTTTGAAAATTTAGCAGTTTTCTCAATCTCAATAAATTTAGTTTTTACTTTTTCTACATTTTTTAGAGAACCTAAACTTTTGTAATTAGTGTTGTATAAAGTCAATAGAAATATTTTAAAATTTATTCCTTTTAAAGAATCTAATTCTGTCAATTTTTATTCAATGAGAGGTTTTAATGTACTATGTTATATGGACAATGTTTTTGATCCATAATATAGTAAGAGTCCTTATTATGTTAGATTTAGTCTAGTATAGTTTTATTCTTAGATGTTTGTTGTAAATAATTTATAAGTGACAGATGAACATAATGCAATTCTGCTGCATCTTCCAAAAATTTCAAATAATTAAAATAAAAATTGAGTAGGTAATCTTAATAATCTTTCATTTTCTAGAACCTCATCTCTTAACTATTTCAAAAAAAAAAATTACTTTATATATTATCGAAGGGAAATAATTTATTCCTGCTTTAACTAAGAAAAGAGTATAATATATTCTGAGCTCTAAATTAATTTTTTTATCAGTTGACTCTAATAACTATTGATTTATTTAATCTAATATAGAAGAGCTATATCTTTTAATATATTTCATCAATTAGCAAAGAGATTTAGTTTGTTCATTACTCAAATTTACGCTTATTCTTTCACATAATTTATAATAAGTGTCTAAAATAAATTATTCTTCATCTTATGTGTAAATTTCTTTTTTTTTATTAGAAAAAATTTGATCCTCAACATAAAATAAACCATTAGAAATAGCATTTAATAGTGAAAAAATTTCTTTTTCTGTTATTTGTTTATCAAAACGATTCATATATTCATAAATCATTTAACACTATAAATAAAAATATTTGTGATGATTATCTTTTTAAAATTTTGTATTAACAAAAGAGTAAAAAATATTTTTTTCTAAATCTGATTTAAGAAATTACTCTTTAATTTCAAGTATTTAATCATAATTCATTTGATTGCTCCAATATAATATAATTTTATTACAATATTTTTTCTGTTTTATATTAATCAAATAGAAGCTGTAATCTTGTTTCAATTTTGAAAAAATTATTAGGATTCTTCGCATTTTTAAACATGTCTTTTTCAGGAGTATTTTTGGTAAAGATCAATTTAGTCCCTTTTTTGTTTTCGAATATTAATCCTTTGGAAAGTTTAGAGAAATAATTCTTAATCAAATGTTTTATCATAATGATTATTTATTTTAATTCATGCCTTAAAAATGTTAACAATTCCTTCAATTCCACTAAATACGATAGAATCAGTTGTATTCATTTAATCTATACTTAAGATACTTTTAGGTAAACCCAAAATTGAAGACTTAGCTTAACCATCTTTTAAACTAAAAAGTTTAATTTCATGAACTCCAGAACTACCTGCATAAATGAAATCTTCATTAGCTTTGCTAAATTTAAATAAAATGACTACTTAAATTAAGTAGCATAGATATAATATGATCTATTATCATCAGATTGATTTCCAGTCCAAAAGATCTCTTAATAAAATTTTCTTGTTCTCCAATCCCATAATTATATTTAATTTTCTGTTCTATGAGATCCAGTTAAAATCAATTATCTTTTTACTGAGAAATCCAGAGAATCTCCTGATAAAGAAGGTCCATAAAATTGACCAACACATTATTTTTCTCTTATATCCCAAATTAAGACATTTGCATCCCAACCACCTGATATAAGAATATTAGGTTAATCAGGTATAAATTTTACAACAAATACTCTATTAGCATGGCCTCTCTAACCCCTTATAATTTTAATATAAGATACCAATCAGCTTATTAGAATTGATGTTATACACTCTTTATATCATCATCATAAATTCTAACACAAAAATCCTTACCTCCTGTTGCAAATAAACTACCATCAAAATTAAAGTCTAAGCATAGAACACTATTATTCTCTTCTACAATTTTATGTAATTGTTTTCCTGAATGAGCATGCCAATGAATAATGTGTCCTTCTGCATTAGCTGATACTAATATCCCTTTTGCCTTTAAACCATAGTTTGGTCTCCATCTTAACGCTGTCACTGGTGTTTAGAATTACTCTAATGTATGTACAAGTTTATCTATTTTTGTTTAATCATCTAATTACTCTAATTAAAAAGATGTATTAATCCTTCTGACATTCCTACTGCTAGATATTGATCGTCTTAATCGTATCTTAAAGAAAATACATCCCCTCCATTTACAGTCAATTATTGCTATAACTTTAAATCCTTTTAATTCTTGTGGACACCAAATCTCTTTTTCTAAGATAAAAAAATACTTAAATTCATATTTCTTAGGCTCCTCAGATTAGTTAATTTATTCCTAATCTTCTTAATTTTATTTACTTTGCATTATATTAATATATATATATATATAAAAATAATTATCACATAAAACTAACTACTTTTTTTCTTTTTCAAATACAAAATTTATTCTTATAAATCTCGATTCTTAATGTATAAAATAATTAGAATGATAATTATCTATTTATTATCTGAAATCTTGAGTGTATCAAATTTTACTTTAACTTAAACTTATATTACTTGAAATTTTCATAATCTTATATGTTTACTAAATACTTGATATAAATTATATTTTTTCTAATAATTTAATTAATTTTTATACATCTTAATTTATAAATTTTATATCTTTTTATAATATCCAAAACAAATATAATCCCAAAATGTAAGATCTTTCTTTATGGATATTAAATTGAAAGATATTTAGATTGAATTTACTTAAGAAAATATTTAAAATATAATAATTTGGTTTTACTTCTTGAGATTTAAGAATGTCTTATAATTAAATAATCTAATACAATTATCATATCAAATAGAAGTATTCTTTGTTTATGTAAATGTTTATAGAATAGGTATCTTTCTAATATCTTAATTCATTTACTGAAATCCATGACTTAGTATTGGAAATGAGCTCTCAAATTCTTCATTCTCAAATAAAATGTCAATTAATTTGATCAAAACTTAAAATTATGGTGCTATCTTGTTTAAAAAGATTGAATCATCATATAACCATACTTCATCTTCAACAGTTGAAACCCTTGAAATGTTCTTTTCTTTCATAATAATTTTTAGGCTATGTTGGATGAGAATTGAAATATTGGATCGTGTAACAAATAGTAAGTTGATTTGATCCCTTGTTTTTTTTTCCAAATTATCTGTGTTTCCAACTAGATCTAAGAGAACATTGAGTTTGTGATATTAATCAAGTAAAAGTTTAACATTTGAAGTTCTTTAATCCATTTTCGATTTTTAGATGATTGGAATATCATTATTATTTGTTCTCTGCCTTTTAGAATTGCAAACACCCATTAGTACAATCAATAGTGAAGAAGATTAAATAGTTAATTTAAAATACTCAATATTACAATTTACTTTCAAGATTTATATTTTGTAATTCATTTTCTTTTTATTAGAGATAACATTACAACATGTCTATTATAAATTTAAAAGTATGTGTCTTTCAGGATATCTACTTAAATATTTATATTAATATTTATTTTTAATCACTCAAAGGTGTTATATTTATTCAAAATTCATATTAACATAATTATAATCATGTACGATTAATTAATTTGTTTGTTAAATTTAAAATCAGAATATATTTATAATACTGATTATAATTGAACTCTTAAAGTAATCAATGTTATTCTTCATCCAGAAAAACTCCGTCTTTCCATTTTCCTATAATTTCTATTCCATTTCCCTAAAATTTTCCTAATCCATTTTTTTTGTCATTTTTCCATTATCCATCATATTCAGAATTATCAAAATCTTTAAAATATCCTTTTCCTTCTCTTTAACCATTAACGAAATCTCCTAAAAAATATTATATAAAAATATTAACCTTTGTAATATTTATATTCTGGTGATGGCCAATGCATCTCTCCTAAACCATCTGGTCTATTATTTTTAAAATTTCCTTAATACTTTTTACCATTTGCATAATACAATGTTCCATATCCATTAAATTTATCATTAACAAATTCACCTTCATATATTTCATTTGCATGTTTTAATTAATTTGTACCTTTACCTTCTCTTTTTCCATTTGAAAAATATCCTTTATAAATATATTCTGGTTTATCTAAAACTCCATATCCATGAGGTATTGAATTTTCACATTAACCTTTATATGAATAATTTTGTTGTTTTATCTCCATTTCTTTTTAGATTTAACCATCCTACCAATAACCACTCTAAAATATTGTTTAATTTATATATTACTGTATATCCATTAAAACTTATAACTCTTCCCCAACCTTTTCTTTAATCATCTTCAAAATATCCTTCATAAAATTCATTTTCTGTTAAATGATAACCAAATCCTTGTTTCATATTATTTTATATTTTGCCTTAATAATAAGAATTATCTTCTAAAGTAATTAGTTTGGTTTCTATATCAAATTAGATTTATTAATCAGGAGGTGGTTTATAAGAACCATATTAATCATAAAATTCTTTAAATTTTGAAGGTAATTTGTCAATAATAAACTCAGAAATAAATTATGTTTATTAATTTTCTACTGTTTATGTTAAATCTAAGCCAATAATTGGTGAGACTCCTTGCATTTCAGTTTAAAGAACTTTTTAATCAATTATAAATTGATTTTCTATAATAATTTATTTTTCTTCTTTAATTTCTTCTTATTAATGTTACAATAATTTTGAATCCTATATAGGGACATTGGGTTTAATTAACTCTTCTTCATTATATGAGACACCTGATTTGAATTAATTTAATGTATAATTATTTTCTTGAATTTTTAATCTATTTAGAAATATAAACAATTTCTTACTTTGGTTCAAGACGTTAACTTTATTAGCTTACAAACTCAATTTATTCTTATCTTTAATTCCATTATTTGGCTTCTTTTAAATATAATTCCAAATCAACATTTCTATGAGATGTGCTTTACTGTTATATTTATTAAGGATTAGGAGCTGATACTCTCTATTATTAATTGTTTCCTACAACGGAGCCCATAAATATTAATATTAATATTATTATTATTAATTCATAATTATTTGTCTCCATGTTTTCCAAATCTATTAAAATCTATTGGTGTATGACAAAGAGAACAAAATTTTAATGCTTGATTTTAGACTTCTTAGTCAATCATTTTATGTTTACAAGCCTTACAAGTATAAAATTTCTAACCATATATTGATTTTCCTGAAGCCATACAAACTCCAAAAATTGTTCCACATTCTTTACAAAATAACTAACTAAAAATCTTAATATTATTTACTATTCAGTAATTTTCTTATTACCACAACTAGGTTTTGGACATTAGATAGCATCACATAAAGCATCTTCTGGTGCATGTCTAAAATTTGATAATTTTTTTACTTTACAAATATTTATGCAGCTACTGATTAGTATCTTTCTCTTTCTTCCTCAGTAATATTATCTAAGTTTTCTAATTTTACAAAGGCTCTTGCACACTCTTTATATGATTTATTATAATAAGCTGCAAGAGCTAATAATGAATATATCCTTTTTGGATCCATATCTAATTCAAATTCACATAATCTTATTGCAGATTTTCTATCTATTATTACATTTAATATACAATGCATATTTGTAATTCCCAGAATATAAGAATTTCTGTGTCAAAATATAGAAATGCCAAGCTTCTGCTTATCTCCAAGGATTATTAAGTACTTTATCTGCAGAATGGTTTAAATCATTTGTAACTAATTAATCTAAAGTATGAGCTATTGTATTATTTTAAGCAGTCATTGTAACATCATATAATTTCTTTTTATATAAATCAACTTCCAATGCAGCCATTACAAATAATTTTTTAACAATTAATGGACTTTAATCACTTTTTATAAGATCTTCCCCAATTTATTATAACAAACGTGCTGCATCTGAATTGTGATTAGCTTTTCTATATAATTCAGCTGCTTCTAATTTCATTCTTTATTCTAATAATTATGCAGCATATTATTATAACAATCCTTCTATTTATACAAAATTGTGTCTTTCAGCTAATTCTACAGCAAAATTCCAAGCATTTAAAAGAACAGCACAATCTATTGCTTTTTTTATGTCTCCTGCCTTTTCAAAACATTTTATAGCACTCTTCGCCATTCCTAGTAATTAGAATCTTTCACCCAAATCACATAAAACTGTATTACCTTCTTATAAAGAATTTGCTAATTCTTCAAGAGTTTAATAATCTTCAATCATAAATGAAGTTTCTATTAATTTTTCAATATTATTTGATAATTTAAACTATTATTAGGCTTTTTCCCACTCTCCTTAATCACAAAAATAATTTCCCAATTTATTTTAGGTTTATACTGTAACTTCATCTGCTCCTACAAGGTCTTTGGATAAGAATAAAACTCTTTAATAATCACCAGTTTTCATTCTCATTTAAACAGCAAGATCTTTTCTTTCAATCTCTCTTAAAATTTTCTCGGCCTCATCAAATCTTTTTAAGAACACAAAAACTTCAGCTTTTTATTTTTCTTTTTCATCATAATCTAATATTCTCTTTATAAATTGTAATCCAGCATAATCTTCTAATTTCAAGTAACATTTTTCAGCAATAGAGAAATCTAATTCCTCAAGTGCCTTTTAAGCTAATAGATTCCATAAAGTATTAGACTATTAAAAATAAAGAAAATAATTACAGGTTATTTCTCAATGACTCCAAACATTTCTTTTGGGGGGGTCTTATCAATTGACTCCTTAATTTCTTTAAATAGTCTACTTTCATATTATACAAGTAATTCCTCAGCTCTTAATTGACCATCTGGACTTAACATTATATCATCCAATAAAGCTCCTTTAACAGTAAGTTCTGAGAATCTAATTTAAATATAAATATTTACGTGCATAAGAAAGCATCACAAGGAAGAGGATCATCAGCAGTTATATCTCTGACTAAATGAATTCTACCTTTTTCCATGACAGCAAATTAAAGTGGATCATTATCAGACCAAACAACTTACCAACATTCTTTTTTATCAAAATCTAATAACTTTCCACCATTTACAGAAATATCTAATAACTATAAAGTTCCCGTAACATCAATAATAGATAATCGAGTGGAATTACAATTGATATTAATGATATTTGCTCTATTTTCAAGAAAGAATTTAGGTTCTACACTAACATAAGGTAAGGTGAATTTTAGAATATTGCCATTAATTCTTCCAATAAATAAATAATTTTCATTAGCTTAAATTGCACAAATGGTTTCTTCAGTTTGTTTTTCTAAATTAAATGTATCTTTATCATAGATAATTTAAGTGTCTGGATTTTCATCAATAAACCAAGCCATTTCTTTACCAATTTTTCTGATACCAGTATTGGAATTAGAATCAAAGGTGGTTAATCTTTAGACTTAATTTCTGTATTACCATAAATAAACATAATCACTATTAGCAATAATGATATGAGTTTTAGTCATGCAATTATATTTAGGTTCAATAGATATATGTTTAGTATCTAATGGACTACCAATTGAATTGCAAAGTTCTACTTTCCAGGTATCTTATTCAACAAGACTGATTAAAACACAACAATCATTGGATCCTTTAATATCAAGAAGACCTCTCATATATCTGATAGTTTTAGATTCTCTTTTAGTATCCCAAAAGATGATGGTATATTCCATTCTATCTTATCTTTAATAGGCAAAGATAAGAGTTTCAGATTATGACAAATAAGCCCATTTATAATCTAATTTGAGATTGGCAACATAAACAGTAGTACCAACTCCCATAATTAACCTAAGTCCATCACCTTCAAAACTCAGACTATTGACTTTATCAGTGTTAGCTACTCTCAAAGTTTTAAGATGATCTCCCATATTTGAATAGAACTAAACAACTGCTCTTTATTCATCTTTATCTTTTGCACTACCAGCTACAGCAAACATAGAACCATTTGGACTCCATCTTACTGATGTAATAGTCATTACTGTATCTATAAGTATAGGTGATTCATCCTTATCATTCTTCATTAATTAGACTCTACCACATGTATAAGCTATTAACAATCCAGGAGGAGTTTCATCAGTATACATTTTCCCATACTCATACCATTGTAGTGCTGCTATCTATTAATTAGGAGTAAAATAATGTTTAGGATCAACTAATCCCATTAAACAACTCATCTTTAATGAATTTAATTGATTTCCATTTTAATCATGTATAATTACTTATCCATCAGCTGTTCCTAATATCATCAATTTTGAATCAGGTGACCATTCTATCAATCCTAATCTATATTGATAATCTTTGCCCCATAATCTATTACCCTCAACTGATCCTACTATTACTGCTCCATCTTCATAAATTATTCCAATCTTAAATCCATCAGGTGACCATTTCATATCAGTTACATTTGATTTCTATCTATTGTTTACCATCTCTTCCATCCATTCAACCTATTTTATATCATCATTTATTACTCCTAAATTTATCCATACTATTATCTATCCTTAATCATCACAAGTAGTCAATTTCTGATATCTCTCATTCCAAATTATTATATTTACTTTCCCCATATGTTATTCTAATGCCATTTCATATGGTAATTTTGCTTGCTATACAATATTTATATTCATTCCTTACTTATCCTTAAATACCAGCCTTTTAATCATCCAATTTTATTATCTTCAATAAACCTTTCTTCTAACCTGATGGCGCATGTCTATTTTTTAAACTTTATTTTACTCTCCTCCTATTGCTATCCATCCTTCCTCTTAACTCCATGCTGTACTATGTACTTTCCCCTAATTTAACATCCCTATCTTCTTTACTAAAAATGAAAACATTTCTTTATTTTCTGATATTTAAATTAATTACCCTATGAATTCAAAAATCCAACATGAACACTAATCACTTAATCTTTCATTCATAGAACAAACCAATATATTATTGAAAGACTTAGAACATATTTTAATTCTAACATAAATTAGAGCTAATGATATTCCTTATTCTCGAATTTGTTAATTTTGCAAATTCATTCATGATTATGATGAATAACATAATTTAGTGATCAAATAATACTCAGAAGCACAATTTATATCTGATCTAATAGCAGAACATCAAACACTTTTTGAAATCTGTAATTGGGCACACCAAACTCTAAATTTTTAGAATGCAGGTGATTAAGATAAAGCTTGGAATCATATCATATCAAATAACCTTTAATAAGTCCATAACTTCTTAAAAGATGATGAAAAATGTATTCTTAATTCCTTAAAACCTTTTGGAGCGGGAAATTAATTATTTGACTTCATGAAGTTATCAGCTAATTAAAATGAAAATTGGGTATTGACATTAGAAACTCTAAATCAAGTTGTTACTTAGAATTAATACTCAAATAATAAATTATATAAATGGGCTACATGTTAAAGTGTGCCTTTGAGTGCAAATATGCCTAAATTTTATGAAAATCTTTGGCTCAATATTAGAGCTGAATTATTCTGTAAAGTAATGACTAGACATTCAGAAATATATCCAAAAATGATGTAATGTATCAATTTTGGAATCAATAAACCATATGTATGGCGACCAAAATATTATGAATTGAATTTCGTGAGTGCTGATTTCGGTGTGGAAACATTAGGTAAACAATTCATTTATTAAATTATTAAATATCTAACTAAAAAATCAAGTGTTGATTAGTTTATTTAATTGGTAGAAGAAGCTATTTATACATTATCTAACATATCTATAAAAATATAAGATACTAAATAAAGAGTTTTATGTTTTTATAAAATTGGTTTAATGATTAATAATTTGTTAGATATTGATGAGGAGGATGAATATAATTTATTAAAGTTGTTAACTGAAGTAATAAAATTAATAGAAGTAGAAAATTTTGATCTTCATATTAAGTTTAAATATTTGACATAATTATTAAGTTTTTTAAAACGATCCCCTACATTTAATTAATTTATATTTCAAACATGTTAAGGTATTATTAACTAAATAGGGAATTCATTAAGCATTATTCTAGAATTATTATAGTAGGATAAATTCGAAAGTACATTAATCACTGAAATTGCTTTTGATCAATTTACAATACTCAGTCCTATATAATAAAATGAATTAATTTCTAAAGAATTTTCTAAATATTTTGACTATGAATAAAAAAAGACTTAAATTAAAAGACTTTATCCTTATATAATTCAAAATATTGAACTTTTTAAAGACACATATCCCTAATTACTCTTGGATTACCCTGATATAGCATTAAATGAAACTGAATACTATTAAACTTATATTAAAAAAGATATTGAAAGCATGAAAAATTTTATTATAGCTAAAGAAATTCCTGACATTTGGTTTATTAAATATATTATTTTTATACTTGATTAAAATAATGAAAATGATATGTATAAATAATAACTTATTAGCTTAGTTCTGATGTAATCCTTGGAATTACTAATAAATATGAATAATTTGAAAAACTAGAAAATAAAAGATAAATTTTAGCATTAATCGCTAAGAAACTTACAGTATTTTCAGAATTTATTGATTATTTGCTTAAATGATGAATCTAGTAATTATAAAAATTTCAAAAAATTTTTTTGCATATTTCTAAATTTAATGAATTTAAATCAATAGATATAAAAATGTCATAAAAAAAGCCACTTCTTATAATTAAAAATTCTTAATCTCCAGGTGTTATATCAAGAGTTTTTTTCCTTTATGTGTTTCCTTTATTGAGGAAAGCTAACAAAACTCCTTTATAGTTTGAAATGATTTAAGACTTATAAATAGATGATTAAAGCGAATCATTGTTTAATAGAATGAATAAAACATTCTTAGTTTAAAAAAATAGCCGATTTGCACTTTACAAATCTCTTTTTATAACATTTAAAAGTATTTTCTAAATAGTAATCATAGAATCGTTTATTATAGTGTTCATTATAATATTACTTTAGAATGTGTGTTTAATGTATGGTCCTATAATGATTCGTTAAACTCTCTCTTATATTGACTATTCTGAACATACATTAGGTAAAAGTTTTGAATGGTTGGGAATAATAATTGCAGTGAGATTTTTTAATGTGATATCTTATTAACATAGTTTCTATATGTTGGTAATTTAAATGATAATAATAATAGACAAAATTAGCATATGATTAACATTCAGCAGTGAGCGTTTTCCTAATGAAAAAAACTCTGAATGTGTCTTTTTAAAGTAATAAACAATATAAAGCAGGAGAAATAATGAATTTAATGCAAGTAGATTTATAAAGAATTTTAAATTTAAATATTGCGATTGCTTAGGTAATATTTCTACCATTTTAAATTGGAATATCATTTTTTTTATTATTTGATTTTATCGGAATATCATGTTTAGCAGGTTTAGGAATAATGATTATGGGATTATTGGCTAATTTTTTACTTGGAAGACGGGGTTGGAGACTTTAAAAATAAGTAATGATAGCAAAAGATAAAAGAACAAAATAAGCATATGAAATTTTTTCATAGATAAAATTCATCAAAGCAAATGCTTTTGAAGAATATTTTAAAAATAAATTACTTGAATGTAGAAAAAAAGAAATTGAATCTATTCATAAGAAGAATATTGTAAGTGGTTTATTTACATTTACATTTTTAATGACACCATAAATAACATTAAATATTACTTTAGCTATTTATATCTGGTTATAACATAATCTTACACCTGCAGAAACATTTTCGATAATTAGTTTATTTAGTATATTGTAATAATCAGCTATTGGTTTACCAAGATTTATTAATTAAATAATAGAAGGAAATATAAGTATTAAAAGAATTTAGAATTATTTATTAACAGATGAGTTAATGAATGATTGTATATAAAATGTAAACGATATCCTTGTAGATTCAATTAATATAGAAGGAAGTTTCTATTGGGATAAAATTAGAAATTAAGAGAAGCCAAATAAATATACATAAGTAATACCTGAGAATTAAATATCTTAATCTTAAATATCTGATACTTAAATATCTGAGAATTAAATAATAGATCCAATATTAAAAAATATAAAATTAAAAATAGATATTGGTGAATTTGTTACAATAATAGGAGAGTAATAAATATATAATATAATATAGTGTTGCAAGTGGTAAAAGTTCATTAATAAGTGCAATTTTAGGAGAAATGGTTTATAATGATTCTGGGTTTGCACCAAAAATAAAGATTAATGGAAAAATAGCATATGTAAGTTAGAAAAGTTGGATATAAAATGCAACTTTGAAAGATAATATATTGTTTGGTCTTCCTTATGATGAAACTAAATATTAGGATGCTATAAAATATTCATGTCTTGAATAAGATATAAAAACATTAGATAAAGGTGAATTCACAATGATAGGAGAAAAAGGTGTTAATTTAAGTGGAGGATAAAAAGCTAGAGTTAGTTTAGCCAGAGCATTATATAGTAATTCTGATATTTATTTATTGGATGATTTAATAAGTGCAGTTGATATGCATGTTGGTAAATTTATTATAGAAAAATGTTTATGTGAATATTTAAATGGTAAAACTATTGTTTTAATTACTCATGCTCTTTATTCTTGTTAATATGCTGATAGAATTATTTTAATGGATAATGGATAAATTATAAAGGAAGGTAATATTGATGAAATTAAATAATGCGAAAAATTTGATTAAATTTATTAAAAATATTTCAAAGAACATAAAAATGAAAATGAAGATGATTAAGATGAATAATTAGAAATTCTAAATTTATAAAAAAAAAGAAAATCATCTAATTAATAGATTGATAATACTAAAAAAGATATAATAGATGATTTAATGATTTTAGAAGATAGAAAAGTTGGAAGTGTTTAGATGGATGTATTTAAAGAATATTTTTATTTGAGTGGAGGTTATCTATTTTTTACTTTTAATTTAATTATTGTTATTATTTAAGTTGTAACTAGATTTGGATCATAAATTTGGTTAGCTCATTGGTCTGGATAATAAGACTTATCATATGATGATAATTTACATAATCTTATGATTTTTTCATTCTTTTCTTTGAGTTTTGGCTTTTTTGCTTTAATTCGCCTTTTAATTTTAGCTAAAGAAAATGTAAATATTGCAAATAAAGTACATTCTAGAATGATTGAGTAATTCTTTTTTTAGATTATTTTTAGATAATTACTTTATGCACCGCTTTGTTCATTTTTTGAAAGAATTCCATTAGGAGTATTAATGAATCGATTAACTAAAGATTAATCTGTTTTAGATACTGAACTTTTATGGACAATATCAATTTTATAAGTAAGTTGTGCAAGTTTTATTGGTATTTCAATTATTAATTATTTATAGCAAGTACACTTATTAATGTTTTAAGTAGTTCATATTATATTATATTTCCTGTTCTAATATTTTTATATGCTGTTTGGAAAGTTTAAAGATTTTATATGGCTGCAAATCGAGAACTATATAGATTAGAATCAATTAGTAAAAGTCCAATCTTGAGTTTCTTTTCTGAAACAGTCAATGGATTAAATATTATAAGAGCTTTTGGAAAATAAGATAAATTTTTGGAAAGACACTCTAAAAATATAGATTTGAATAGAAAAATTCAAATAGTTTAATTGTAAATAACAACATGGTTTTCTATGAATTTAACATTTACAAGTTTGATGGTAAATATTTCTGCAATTGCATTTGTATTATTTTTTGGAAGTGACAGTCCTGCATTAGCTGGTTTATTAATGACAGTAGCAACAGTAATTGATAATAGTTTATAATCATCAATTAATTCAATAACATAAGCTGAAACCTAATTTATATCATTTGAAAGATGTCTATCATTTGCTAAAGTTGAACATGAAAATGGATATAAACAAAAAAAAGATTATATCTTAAATTGGCCTTAAGTAGGAGATATTCACATAGATTCATTAGTTGTTAAATATAGAGAAAATTTATAACCAGCATTAAAAGGTCTAAATGTTGTAATAAAAAGATAAGAAAAGATTGGAGTAGTTGGTAGAACTGGAGCTGGAAAATCTACTGTTACTTTATCACTTCTAAGAATTCTTGAAGCTTCAAATGGATCTATTATAATTGATGGAGTTGATATATCAACTTTAAATTTAAAATAACTCAGAGAATCCATTACAATGATTTTATAAGATTCAACTCTATTTGAAGGAACTTTAAGAGAAAATCTTGATCCTCTCCATAAACATACAGATTAAGAACTTAATAATGTTGCCTTATAATGTTGTTTGGGAGATTTATTATTATAAAAAAATGGTTTAAATACTGAAATATCAGAAAATGGAGATAATTTGAGTGCTGGGGAAAAATAGCTTATATCTATAGCTAGAGCAGTTTTGAAATAGTCTTAGATAATTTTAATAGATGAAGCAACAGCTAATATAGATATTGAGACAGAATCAAAAATCTAACAGACAATTTAAACAGCTTTTAAAAAATGCACAGTAATAACGATTGCTCACAGAATTAATACTATAATGCATAGTGATAAGTATTATTTGTTAGGAATAAATTTAGAATATTAGTGATAGATCAAGGATAGGCTAAAGAGTTTGACGAACCTTAAAATTTATTAGAAGATAAGAGTTCAATTTTTTATAGTTTGTATTTACAAGGAAAAAAAAGTAATAAGATCTGATAAAGTATTTGTAATTATAACAATATAAGAGTGTTATTTAATTTCTAAAGCTAAATTAATATTATTAAAAAAATATAAAAGTAATGGGAGCTACATGTTGTGCTGCAAAACAGATAGCAAATACTGAATTAGAAAATGCTGCTCCTGAGGAGTACAGTCACCATATAGATATTGAAAAACCTAAAGAAGCAAATAATTAAAACGAAGAACTAGAACATGTGAAACCAGTTGAGGAACCACCTCATATTCCTGTAGAAGAACCAGCTCCAGGAAATCCACCAGATGATGTATTTATTAATATATATAATAGGCTTCTAGAGAAAAATAGAGATAACTAATAACTACGCATGGTCCTAACCCAGAAGATGCAAAACCATATGAAAAATAGCTAACAATAGAAAATGAGATGGTACGTAAGACACTAGAAAAACTTGGAGAATATCGTTATGATCCTGAATCACTTTCGAAGTTTAATGATTGTATTGAATTGGAACCATATGTAAAAACAAATTGTTAACTAATAGTAATTTGAGAATGGAGCTATATATGTAGGTTTATGGAAAAATCATTAAAGATGGGGAAGAGGAAAATAATACTGGCCTGATGGGTCTATTTATGAAGGATTTTGGAGTAGTCATACTGCAAATGGAAAAGGTCGATTGATTCATGCTGATGGTGATGCTTATGTATTTAATATGCTATATAAATATAGGATGGAGATTGGGTTGATGATAGAGCTTAAGGATAAGGAACTTATTATCATGTTGATGGAGCTAAATATGAAGGAGATTGGTTAGAAGATTAATAACATGGTAAAGGAACTGAAATGTGGCCAGATGGTGCTTAATATATAGGAAGTTATGTTAATGGTAAAAAAGATGGAAAAGGTAAATTTAAATGGAGTGATGGAGCTACTTATGAAGGAGATTTTAGAGATAATAATATTGAAGGTATTTTTGTTGTTTAAATCTTTAGGACATGGTGAATATATTTGGGCTGATGGAAGAAAATATAAAGGATAATGGTAAAATAATAAAATGCATGGAAAAGGAGATTTTAATTGGCCAGATGGAAAATAATATAGTGGTATTCTATTTATTCATATTTTAGGGGATTATGTTGAAGATAAAAAAGAAGGCTATGGAATATTTAAATGGTCTGATGGAAAATAATATAAAGGTTATTGGAAAGATGGAAAATAACATGGTAAAGGTATTCTAGTTGATAAAGATTAAAGAGAAGTTGAAGCTGAATGGGTTGAAGGAAAAAGAATCAGATAAGAATGATTATCATTATATTATTATTAAATCTAATACTGTATTGATATCTTATACTATAGCCATAATAATAATCTTGATTAAATTCAGAATTTCTTAGATTAATCTTATGGATTATTTTCAGTTAGACAAATTCTAAAAATATTTCATTTATTTATTAATTATTTATTTTACATATTTTTTTTTTGATTCTAATTAATGTTTAAAGTTTTCTTTGTAACCTTCTATTTTTATTTTTCATCATTTTTTTCATCACTTTTACCACTATCTAAACAAATTTACTTAAAAATATCAGGCATTATCACAGTTGAATTTGATTTGCTTCTTGATACTCTTTAATTTTATTATTAATTTATTAGCATTTTTCTTTATCTAATTTAAGCATCAATGTTTTATTAACTGATTTATGCATATTAATTTTAATCAATTAAATGTTAGTAAACTTAATTAAATTAATAATTAAGTCCCTTATTCTTTTGTGAGGTAAAACTATAACTATCTGAATTTGTAGGAGATAAACACAAACTATTAGGTTTTGGAAATGTCGATACATGAGTTAATACTGGTGATTATTAAGGTGGTGCTACTTGTGAAAATAATGTCTAGTATGACATATAAGGATCTACTCTAAAAATATCCATAGACATTTCAAATTGATTTTTCTAAGAAAAATTTTAATAAGCAGATTCTTTATCTTTTTCGAAACTTCTTTTTCTTTTTGGATACATAGTATTATCTAAAAGATCAAATGCTTTTGTTATTAAATTATTTTCTGCTTATTAATATATTAGTAATTTGTTATATTAATATTAATAATTAATAGGTTTTACTTCCATTTAAACTTTTTCTTACTTTTATGTTTAAAATATTTATTATAAATTTGTCATAAAAACTCTATTTTTTATTGGTTCATCTTTATCTTAATTTTCTACTGACAAATTAATTTGGTTTATTATTATTTAATTAAACTAACTTTATAATATGCTAATGATGCAATATAATTTAATAAACAATTAAATTTATATATCTTAACTTTTTAGAAATTGTGCTAATAATTCATCCAGATTCGGAGTATGATATGGTGCTGTTAATTTTTCAATTATACTAAAATTTGGATTCAATTAAAGTTATTTATTGCCACTACTTAAAATTTTAACATCTAAATTTTCTAAATATTAAAGCTTTTCTAAAAAAATTTCTTTTTCACAATTATTTTCAAGAATCTCTTGAAAAACTGAAATATTACTATCAAATTTTATTACACTTCCTGTTCTTATAATGAGCTTTAAAAACTGATTGCTACCAATATTAATAAAATATACGTTTATAAGCTTAATATTAACTATAATTGGTTTAAGCAAGTTAATAATTAAGTAACATTTATATTTTCAATAATGATAGTTTCATCCTTGAGCTTTTGAACGATCTATTCTATTTTCTATTTTTTATATGGGGATTATAATTTTGTTTAGAATTGCTAGTTTATTTACAATAAATTTAACATTTAATATTATTATCAAATATTAGATGCTTTTTTAACTCCTAATCTAGGTTTTTAGATTAATTAATATGGATCAGCTAATTTTTTATAAACATCTATAGGCTTATCACGTGGAATAATTCTAGCATCTGGAGCTTCAAGTTTTGGATATGTTCTAGCTATTTCCATTTAATGTCTTGGATAAATATTAGTTTTAAATAAGTTTTCATTCCAACCACCTTATATTGATGGGGTTAGTGTTGTCACTTTTCTTCCTGCATGTCTTACACTTTATGAACCAACTATTTTATATTTCTTATAAAATTTATACATGAATTTCTTAATAATGCTATTCTATCTATTATTTCTTAATCTTCCTCTAATCCTTTTAAAGATATTTATTTCTAATATCCATTCACATATATTCCATTTAAATAAGGATGAGTATTTTTTTTCATGTAAATTTGAAAATTTATTTTAGGTTAATTCAACAAAGGATGCTCAATCAAAGTTGGCAAGAAAAGTCTGATTTTTGCAGAACTTCCTCCATAATCACAATAAAATATTTAAAGGAATTTTAATTAAAATATGCCTCTTGAACACATTTTATTTAATTTTAATTTTTAATAAATATTGTTAATATTACAATATTTAAGTAATTCTCTAAATTATATTATTGGAAATTTTAATTTTTAATTCTAATTAAATATGTATTATGATAAAATATATATAAATTTTACAATTATTGTTTTTATTCTATCAAAGAGCTTACTTAATAAAAATATAAAATAAAATCTTCAAATAATTAAATTCATTAATCAAATAATCATTGTGATACTTTCTATTTTGAAAAAGGAATTTCTAATTCATCATCAGAAATTTATTAAACTTTCTTCTTACTACTTACTTGACTATTATCAACCACACATTTTTGAACAACATTAAGTTTTTATGGACTTTTTGAAACTCTATTAACTATTTTGTTAATCTCCTTAGTAGTAAGTCCTGTTTGTTATTTTAATCTAATTCTTAATTATTGTTCTGATTTCTAAATTTCTTTTTTCTCCTCTGTCTATTTACTACTTTAATGATATTCTGAACTCTTTGATTCATAAAATGCATAAAATTTTTAATATGTTAATTTGTCTATTTAGAGTGTTTTCAATAATTTTGTTGGCTTATGAAATATATGACTTAATAAACCAAATAAATAAATATTTGAAATATCTTAAAATCCTAATTGAATCATTTCAGCACATTGATTGATAAACATCATCCTCTTTTCATTCACATTTAATTTAGTAACAGATCCTATAAATGAATTGATACATAATTTGACAAATTCATTAAATATTTCTTCACTTTAACACTATTATTAAATTTATGTATAATCAACAATAAATTTCCAAAAATCTTCTTTTTTAAAATAATGATCGTTTTCTAAAATTTTTTATAGTGATTATTATATAGCTGTTAAAATTGTAGGTTTTAAATCATTAAAATAACAACTAGATTTCATCAATTCAAATAAATAAGAAAGATATTGTATACCAAATTCTTTATGAATCAGTATTTATGGGCATTGATTCATCAACTTTATTGAATTATTAAATAAATCCATTTAAGCACTACTTATTTAAGGTAAATTATCAATTAATGTGTTACTTTTCTTTCTTTTAAAATCATTTTATTTTTATTTTTCTGTCTTTGCTTATCTAGATAATTCTTTAAGTACATAATTACTAAAATGAATAAATATTAATTGATAGGTTTAAGATGAGATGTTATATTATAAGTTCAATCTGTGTAATTTAAAATTATTTGTATAAATTAAATTATTGATTACAAGTTACAAAATAGCTATGTGATATTATTCTTTATTTTTGTTTTCTAAAATTTAAAAGCAATAATTATAAAATAGATCTCTTATTTCTTTATAATTAGCTTCATGATCATTTTCTTAAGGTTTATTTGAATTTAATAGATTTCTTATCTAATTTTAAAGAGAACTAGCCAATATATTTGCATTAATTATAATAGATTTTTCATCCCTAATTTCGAAAATAGAGCTTATAGGATTTAAAATTTATTTTGGTAAAACCAAATTTTACTTTATTAAACATTCAATTTTCTAAATATTCAAAAAATTTAATTTCTCCTTATATAATCTTAATCCATATTTTACTAATTCCTTTATACAGTCTTTAACTCCTTCTGAATCTTACAATTATTATTGATATATAAACGTTAATTTACATACTTAATTAATTATTTAAATATTTTGGCTTTTTTGAAAAATCTTTTATACACTAATAAGAATTGCTTTCATTTCTTTAAGTGGGATAATTTTTGAATTTAAGTTTTAATAAATGTGCAAATAAGGATAAAGTAGATTCTACAATTTAATATTATAATTATAAATACCTCATCAATTAAATCTATTGAAGCTTTTATTTTTGTATAGAAAAAGTTTGTAAATTAATCAATAAAATTAATATCTTCATCTTTTGATTCTAACCACCAAAACTTATTTTATTTAAGAGAATATGATAAAATGGCAGCATAAAAATAATAACCCATTATTTAAAATTATTCCTATTAATCTGCTTCAAAAAATTGAGAGTATTGTTCTGGTGAACAAACAAAAGGATGACTATGAATAAAGGAAAATATAAAATTTTAGCTTTCTTCAAAAGTTTATATTTCAAATGGTGCATAAGTCAAATAAAATTCTGTCAATTTAAATAAAGTTTTTATTGGTTTTTCAAATAAATGCAATACAAAAGTAGATTCATATCGTACTCTTAAATTTTTAGCAAATAATATTCTAATAAAGGCTTAACATGTTTTTGTTTTAAAAAAATTACTAACTACATTTGCGCTTTTTGAGAATAACTAAAATTATTAAATTTAAAATATTATACTTTTAAGAAATTGATTAATTTTAATTGTATACTTTCATTAGGATCAAATATTAAACTAATTACAGCTTCTTATTCATCTTATAGGAAATCAATAATTGATTATATAGATTTTTTACTTTCAATTAATGATTTTAAAACTTTTTCATATTCATTCAGAGCAGCTTCTCTACATTCATGATTTTCATTTAAAAACAAACAACCTAAGTAACTATAATATGGATCTGTAGGAATATCTGGATTTAAAAATGAATGAAAAAGAATTTATACAGTTTTTCTTTTAATTATTGTTTGAACATCTTATGCTCTATTAGTTACTAAATATTCAAAAATATTGTTTATAAATTTGGTTGATTCTTTTAAATCTTATTCGTTTTCTAATAATAATACTAAATTTTTACTTATAAATTATAAGAAATTTGAAATCGAAAAAATTATTAAATCTATTAATTCTAAAGCTGCTAATCGAGCAGTTCGAAATTTAGTTTATGAGATTATGGTTAACCAATTATATGTATATTTGAAAAAACCTTCACATTAGAAGGGCAATTAAGTTTGAGTTGAAAATAAAGTATCAAAAAAAGACTTTAATACTTTATTATTTTCAATTTATTAGCATTATTATTCATCAATTAAATTGGACTAATTTTCAAGTTAAAGAGATTCTAATTTATTAATTATTTCTTCCAAATTGAGATTTACAAGACTTAATCCCTTTAAATATTAATTGCAATAGTTCATTCCAACTAATTTTAAATATAATGACACAAAACTAAGTAAGACTCCTTATGAACTTTCAAGCAATAAATCTTCTAATTTTATTATAACACTTGATTATTCAATATCTAAATCATTCATGCATTCTATAATTAGTTTATTATTACCATATATATCAATTAATTTGATTTCTTCTATTTACTAAAGTTCAAAGTCTCTTTTATTATTTTAATTCTTTACACTCTTTTTCATAGTAGTTTTTTAGCAAATATTATAAAATATATAATGCTATTGATAACTTTATGATTTGCCCCCTTAAATGAACCAAAAAAATTAATTTAGGATCTTTAACTATTTTTCTTGTTGATTTTTATATATTTGATAATTTTTGGATTGTTATATTTAATTTCAAAATAATTAATATTGCATTGATGATAATTATGAACAATACACCAAAAAGATAAATAACTTAAGAGTCAGATTTAATAGATTCTCTTATTATAATTGAAGATTCTAATTTTAAAGAAAATTAAGTTGAATACTAAAATAATCTTAAACTTAGAAATGTCGAACTATAATAACTGCGATAAAAAAATACTAAAACTCCTACTTTATTAATATCAACACAATCATAAACTTAATCACATCTATAGATTAGTTAAAAAAGAGGATCTTTAGCTGATTTAAATTCTAATTTGCCATTTTCATAAACATATTTGGGTTAAATGTAGAATAGAAAAAAAAGAGAAACACCTAATTTAAGATTAAATGAATTGTAATAAATAAAAAGATATGAATCTTTGGAAAATTTAATTTAATAACCCACAAATAGAAACTATATAAAAACTTAAAATGATTATACTACAAGAAATAAAGACAACTTTTATTTTAACGCCTAATAAGTTTAAATTCAACAATTAATAAAAACATTGGGAAGCAGAAGATATTGAATTAAGTTTCTATATCGTATTAGAAATTTCAATTTAGCAATTTTCTTATTATTACTATCTTTTCAATACTATTTCAATATACTAGATTACGTTAAAAACAAAAAATACAATATAATAAATTATAGTATTCTTATAACAAAAAATATCCCTCTTGTATTGATGGGGGTATATCATAATTAATTTTACTTACATTTTTTAAAGTATATATATAACTGATTTTCAATACTAATTCATAGTTAGAAATTATTATAATAAGTTTATATAAATATTTTTTTGTATTTAATAATGGACGAATATTATGACGAGCAATATAATATAGGATTAGATGAAGATTATGATAATAATGATCTCTAAAAAAATGAAATATTATTGAGTTAAAATGAACTATATTAAGAATTCTTGAATCGGTTAGATAAAATCAAAGATAAGATTGGAGAATCACCTTAAGTAATTTTAAATGTATTTAATTATTGATATAAAGATATTAATCTTTTTTAATTTTGAAGAATAAAGCATTTATGAGAAATTATTATTAGATGGCGAGTCTGATAAAATTAAGAGTTAATTGTAAGAATAAGGCATTTATAATGAATCTGAAGTGAAATTCCATGAAAACATATTTTGTTCAATATGTGAATAAAATGGCATATAAGGGTTTAGTTTAAATTGTGATCATAAATTTTGTCAGAGTTGTTGGAATTAAATGATAGAAATATAATTTTCAAGTTAAATTCCATTAGTAAGATGTTTATAAGATTAATGTTTTGAAAGATTACCTAATTCCTTTTTAGAATAATATCCTAATTACAAATAAATTTTAATAAAGAGATTTATGCAACATGATAGTTCAATTACATGGTGTCCAGGTAATTTTTATTATTAGTATACTAGGATTAAATTGTGAGAATGTTTTTAAGTATTTGAATTTTTCTCATTCAATTAAATGTCCTTGTGGCATTAAATTTTGTTCTAAATGTAGAGAAGAAAAACATTATCCAATCCCATGTGATATATTAAAAAAGGTTTTAGAATATCAATAGTCAAATGAATATTGGGCAGCTTTAAATGCTTCAAAGTGTCCATAATGCGGAAGATTAATATAGCGTACAGAAGGATGTTTTCATTTGAAATGTTTATGTGGTTAACATTTCTGTTTTAAATGCTCAGGACCATGGGCTAAAGATCATGAAAAAAGCTTTTATACATGTCCCTTTACAAATACTAATAAAAATCCATCAAAACATGCTGTATAATTAAAAAATGAACTTTAAAATGTTAATACAAATATTCAAAATATTTTATCATCTATTAAAAATTTAAAATTGAAAATTAAAAAAGTTTAATTAGATTCTATTATAGAGTATTCAGAAAAAATTATTAATCTTTTAAAAACATCTAAATCGTAAAAATTTTCTTATTATATTAGATTTTTATATTATAAATTCTATTTATTGGAAAATAATGATGTTTCTATTTATGAATAAACCTTTCAATAATTTCAAGAACTAATGGATTTTTTTATCCAGATTTTAGAAAACAAAATTTAGGAAATTGAGGATAATGAATCTTTAAAAGGCCAATTTATTCTAGAATTCATTCATTTTGATGATTCAGAAAAAAAAATCTTATAAAATTTAAAAATCCAAAAGAAAATAATCAAAAAGTACATAGTTGAAACTTTAATAATGTGATCTAGATGTTTTTTGTTTTTAACTTTAGAAATTTATCTATAGAAATTAAATTATTATTAAACCAAAAAATGGGCTATAACTATTAAATTAAATATTTTAAATTATCCTCTACCAATATGTTATTTTTTTAATTGAAAAAAATTATTATTTATCAGCATAGTTTAATATTTAAATTGATAATCTTTTATATTTACAAAGATATTAGAATTCAAAACTAATTCTTTTTTTTAAAGACCACAAAAGAAATCTTTAATTATAGAATCTTATGAATTTAGGTAGATGATATTATTAGCTCATAAAAAGAAATTTTTAATAAATCTCTTTTGTAGTAAAATAACCAAAAATATCTGATTAACCACAAATCAAATGATAAGATAATTAGTTATTCAACTATATTATAAAATTATTTTAACATTTATATGTAGTTATAATTTACAATATAAAGTTTAACAGAAATACCTGTTATATTTAAATGTTTATATTATAAAATTGTTTTATAACGAATTCGTTTACTCATATGATTGAAATCCATAAAATTTTGAAGCTGCTTGAATAAATTTTGATTGATGATCAAATACCAAATGCAAGTTAATTAATTAAATATTATAAAAGAACCATTTATTTACATATAATTAATAATTTATAATTTAATTTATTTTATAATATAAAGTTAATTATAATATTCGTAATTAAAAAAAACATTTAATTTAAATCAATTAATAATTAATTTTACTACAAAATTTATGAAACACAAAAAAAAACATATAAAGCTAAAACCAAAAAAATAATCTTAATTTCTAAATAGAAAAATGATCAAAAAAATTGAGAATTACGATGAATAAATAAAAGAAAATTGTGAATTAAAATTAAATATGATTTCGAAAAACAATTAAGAAATTACTTAATTGAAAAATTAAATGAAGAAATCTGAGTTAGAACCTATAGGGTTAATAAATTTAAGTTTGGAAAAATCAATTAATATCTTAAGAATTAAATCTTGGATAGAGATTTATTTGGGATTAGAAGTTAAAATACTTAATATATAATTAGCATTGTATTATGAAAACAATGATTTTTATATAATTGATATAGATAAGAATGAAAATTATAAATTAAAAAAAGACAATAAAGATATTATTAATGTTTTCAGTATTTTTGAAGTAATGAGATAGGTGAAACCAAAAAATATTTCATCTTTAATAGCAATAGTTGATTAAGATATTTATGATCCTTTTTAACCAGAAGCAAATATTGTAGGAAGAGCAGGAAATAAAAAAGTATGTGTTGTATAGGTTTAAACAGAAGTGGATGTTTTTTACAGTACTATAGTCCATGAATTATTGCACACTCTAGGTTTTGGTCATTGTAATTACTAAGATTGCCTCATGTATGCTAATATTAGTACAAGTATGCAATTATGTCAAAAACATTTAAAATAATTATCTCACTTAAAAAAAATAGAGGAATTAAAAAGATATAAAGAACTTTTAGAAATTTCAAGAACTATTGGTTTGAATAAAGAATGTAAAATTTTAGAAAAATTAATTGAAAATTTTGAAACTCCAACAAAATCTAAAGAAAATGTATTGTTATGATTATAATAATGATATATATAAATAAAAATATTTTTTTTAAATCCTAATATAATTTTGAAAATACAAATGAAATAAAAATACATACACATTTATTCAATGTTAGCTAGAATAATCCCAGCCAAAAACTTCATTGATTCTTTCACCATCTGAAGGATAGTCATGATCAATTAATTTTACAATCTAATATTACTTATTAATCTCTTTTTTTTTTAATTTTGGTGCTAAATATTCTTATGATTTTAATTTTGACCAATCAATTTCGGCAAATATAATATGATTTTTAATTTGCTTAATATTTAATCTTTGAAATGGATCTTTTGTAATAACTTATTCTAAAAAATTTTTTACAGATCCTGAAAAATTTTTAGGAATTCTAAGTTCTTCATTTTGTATTCCATTTAATAACAATCTTATATTATTACTAAAATGTGGAGGATAGCCAGATAACATTTCATATAGCAATAAACCCATTGTATATAGATCTGTGCTTTATGTTACTCCCTAACCATTTAATAATTCAGGAGATAAATATGCTGGTGATCCACAAAATGTATGAGTTATGTTAAAGCCTTCTTTGGATAATCCAAAATCAATTAGTTTTATATAATTATTGTTTGTAATCATCACATTTTCTGGTTTTAAGTCTCTATATATCAGATTTAAAGAATGTAGATATTCTAAAGCAAGAATAATTTAGGCTATAATGAAAATGGCTTAGGATTCTTATATGATGGTACCTTTTGCCATATAATTAGTAAGATCTCCGTTTTCGCAATATTCTAAGAGCATGTAGAGGTAATTTTAAGTCTAATAAATAAGAATATATATTCACTTGAAAAGAATGATAAAGTTTAACAACAAACGGATGATTTAAATATTTCATTATACTTAATTCACTTTATATGTACTTAACATCTTAAAGCACTTATTATTTCAATTACTATTTTAGTGCATATATTTTATTTTTATAAATTACCTAATATATTTTTAGAATGAATTACTTTGAAAACTTGTCCAAAGGTTCCCTTTCCAAGATGTGATAGTACTTAAATGTCTTTTAATTTTATATTGCTTCTAATAGAATTTTATATATTATTTTAACTCAAAATGGATTTTTCATATTAGTTCATTTAAATAATTTGTTTATCAAGATCAAAAATTTAAATTTCTTGATTTTATTTTTCCATCATAATCTATAAAATTGTTTTTTTTTGTTTATCTTGTTCATATGAATTTATTTTATTATTCATATATCTACAATAACCAATAGAATTTTTAATAGATTCCAACCATTAGCGAGTAGCATTTTTAGTTGAAAATGCAATATGTAAATGTTTGTTAAAATATTATAATTCGAGATAAAATAATTTTTTATCCTAAAACCAACGATCTTTGGATAATTTAATTTCATTAATAAATTCTAAAGGAATTAACTCTCAAAAAATATAAATAAAATACTTGGGATTAAATGGATACTAAGATGGAGTCTTATATCTAGCAAGAGCACCAGAATCTGGATCACAAATTAAATAGTTATCAATTAATAACAATTTAAAATATGAAACAATTTTAGCATTTCCTTTAATAATAGGAGGTTTTTGAGGACGATTAGTAAAAAATGAATTAAGTGAATAGAATGTACAAATAGATTATCTAAATGAGTTGATAATATCAAATTGTTTATTTTTTAAAATAAGAAGTTCTTTTTAAAGTAGATTTTTTGTACGTTCTCCTGCAATATCAACAACAGATTTTCCTTAGAATGTGATAGATATATCAATTTTAGGATGTTTCAATAATAATTCTATGAATTCAGGATCATCAATTTAAGCAGCAATATGTAAAGCTGTCCCTTTTGTTGTGATTTAATTAATATTTATTTAATTTGAACCTATTATGAGATTTGCCACTAAACTATATAAATTTGTATATTTTACTTTTAATATTTGTTTACCATATGGCTATTTATAAACAATTCCATCCATCTTTAGAGAGAATAGATATATCTCCTCCAGAACTTATTAACCATAAATACATCTTTTCATTGCCTAAAAAGGTTGCTAGATGAAGTGCATTCCATCCTGTTAATTCAATTCCATTTATCAATTGAATTGCATCATTTCTATCCTCTAAATATAATTCTAAATCACTAAGTTATGATAATTTGATTAATTAAAATAAAGTCTCTTATTCAGGAATTGAATTAGCTGAAGTATCAAGAAATTATGATGGGTCAAATTAAGATGAAAATGAAGAAGCCATATCAGAGAAAGGATCAGTAGTTTTTTATGCAAAAATTGCAGAGCCTTATTAAATTTCATAATCACATATGTAAAGGTTTAATTCATCAAGAACAATCTTAATATTTTAAAATATTACTTTATTATTTGTTTATATTAAAATCAATTTTAGATGATTTTAATCAATTCCTGTCAAATTAGATACTTGGTCATACAATTCAGATATTTTATATTTTGATGAGATTTTGAGTTGTTCTACATTCAAAATTCCCCATTCATTATAAAATCTAATGATGATTTTCATAAAATAAAATATAAATTATATATTAAACTTAAGAAATTGAAAATTACATTACTGTCACATAGCTTGTGATAATAAATTAATTATACACATTAATTTTCATAAAATTAATTTCTATTGTAATTCAATATCTAAAGGTTCAGATGAATCAGACCATCCTTCAGGCTTCATTTTTCTATCAAAATATTATCTATTCTTTTTGAGAGTATCTCTTCCTTCATAAATGAGTCTATCAGAAAATGTATTATTAAAAATAAATTGTTTCATTCCAATAAGTTATAGAGTTCTATCAAATAAATCAAAATAATTTATTAAACATAAGACAATTAATAAACATGGCATCAAAGCTGTAATACTAATACCAAAAATGGGTAATAATTCAATCTAAATATATAAATATTAATTTTACATTTCCCATAGCATATCTGAAAGCAGTTTCTTATTTTAATTTAATCATATTTAAAAAGTTTTAACATAATGGTGCTCCAACTCTACTAAAATTGATAGTTGCAAACATTAAACTAGGTGCATCTGTTTAATGATCTCCATATAATCCATAAAATCCTTATATTCTTATTCTAAATAAACCATAATAAACACAGAAAGCTATGTATAACAAAGGAATAAAAGAGAAGAATGAAATACTCAATAATCCATTCACATATCTTAGAGGCAAACCGAAAATAGTAAATTAAGTACCCATAAATATAGTGACTTCAGAAATCAATACTAAAATAGATAGTATTCCGAAAATCAATGATATTATTATTTTCAATTAAGGTTTAACAACGCATAACCAATACCATTCTAATAAATCTAATTGTTATGCGAAAGTTCCTTCTCTTGCCTTTTTAAAAGAGAATTAAATCTTTTTATCTTAACTATTAAGAGCCTTGATAATATCTTCCATTTCATATGCTGATTTACAATTCTCTTTCCATTAAGCTTTAATTCTTTTATATTCTAAGGAGTTCTTTCTTATTTCCTAATATAAACTCATCATTTCTTCAACAGATTCTGGAGCTTTGTTTTTAAAGATGGCTCCTGTTATGGCCATAAGAATTTAAGATTTTCTCTTCTCTTCTTCTTTTGTTAATATTTTATGCATATTCCTCGGTATTTTGTTTAAACATTTGTTTAAGTAATACATCATATCATCATTATCGAATCGACAATCCTTTATTTTTATTACTTTCATAGATGTTTCCATTAATTTATGATGAGCATCATCTTTTTCTCCATTTATACTTGCTGTTCTGAAATAAAGATATTTCAATTATACATCTAATTGTGATGTTCTCATTTAGGCTTTTGGAATAATCACTAATCCATAACCCAATAATAATATAATTAAAGCTACTCCAAATGAATTTGCCATACTCTTCAAAAATGTACCTAAACCACATTGTTCTGTTTATCCAGTATAGAAAATGGCTAAAACAAACACTATTCCAACCACAGAAATTATTATATAAAATCTCATATTATTCTTTAAAGCTTTTTTTAATTTATCCTTCTTTTCTAACTCAACTGATTCTTCATATTCTTACATTATTGGAATTACAGTCCAACATAATATAAAATTAGTCCAATATAAGATTTAATAAGTCTATCATTATATTAATATCAATACTTCAGCTAAACTCAAATAGTCATTTGAAATATCTCCAACGCTTTAATCTCTATATGTGATATAAATATCAAAGGGTAAAAATAGTATCAGCAAAAAATTAATTAACCAAGAAACCAGAGCCATTCCTTTTACATATATGCTAACATCCTTGCTACAGTAACTCTAAATCAAATAACCTACTAAGCATGTTACTATCACTATTTCAAATATTAGTATTAAATACATTAATTTATATGGAGAGTGATTTAAATTTACGGTCATTCTATGCCGGAGACTCTTAAAAAGATAATTAACTGATATAATTATTGATCACATGTATTGAAGGTACTTCTACTAAGTTTTAAGATTAGAAAATTATCATAATGTTGCTGTTGTAAATTATGTGAAAGATTAACATATTTCATAATAACATGCTTGTAATTTTAAACCTTACAATGAAGAATTCTTAATCTAAAAATAATAATAAATTGCAAACATTTCTTAATTTACAGGGAAAATAAAATAATATTCAAGACTCACTCTTGAAGCTAGTGATAATAAGTTTCTCAGTTCTATTAAATAAGAAAATAAATTTTTATCAGGCTATGATATTATTGCTATCAAACCAAAGAGTGAAGTTGTATTTACATTTTTATGTACAACATTAAATGTATATAACCATAATGATTAAATAGTTTTTTGATATAATTACTTTTGATTGTTATGAGAAACTTCCATTTATTCCTAAGGCAAAAATATGCAAATAGCTTTTGGATAAAAATATAATGTTTGAAATAAACTATGGAGATGCCATTTAAGATCCTAATAAAAGAAGATAATTCATTTCAAATGCATAAATAATTATAAATGCTACTAAAGGGAGAAATATATTATTTTCTTCTGATACTAGTTATTGGCTATATCATAGAAGTCCTTATGATTTAGTAGCATTAGGAATAACAATAGGTTTAAAAAAGGATTAAGCTACTTAGGCTGTTGGATTAAATGCTGATATGGTTATTAAGCATGGAAGTATTAATCTTTTAATTAGTTCATAGAAAAACTTGTAAAGGAATTATATGTGAAGCTGTTTAAAAAGATATTGATTATTTTGAAGAAAAGAAAAAGTCGATCAAAGATAAATAATTAGAAAGAATAAATAAAAAAATAAAATTATCTTAAGATGCTTATACCATTTAATAAAATGATTAATGAAATAATCTGTTTATTTTTCTAATAAATATTTATTAAATTATAATTATGCTGTCTGCAATAATACCTAAATTTCGATATTATTAAAGATTAAAACAACATATGGTAATATTGTTAGTTAACTTAATTAGGAAATAAATCAGAATATCCGAAAAGAAAATGTTGATATTTAGAGAACTTTTCATAAATATTAAAAACCATTATGGGCAAAAATGAAATAAAAAGTAGAAGATAATAAAAACAGAATATATTTATTTTGCGGATTGATATTTTTGTGTTAATTAAAATTTGCATATGAAAGTAGATAAATTTTTTAAAGGGTTTTAGTTTATTTAGCACGTATTCCTTATAGAAGAATATTATTTAACAAAGTCAAATCATTTTGTTTAGGATTAGAAAGTGTATATCCTAGACCAATAGTAGAATAGGTTTTCAAGAATGAAGTATAAAATGTATTGATAAATGAGTTACCATAAGAATTAATGTCAAAATTTATACAATTAGATAATTAATTACCAATGGGAGTGACTAAGAAATTTATTATACGTTGTCTAACAGAATGTTAAGTATCATTAAGTAAAGAATAGAAAAGAGAATTCTATTAAAAACATGGATTTTTTTATGGAGTAAATAGTATATAAATATAGATATATTCTAAAAATAGTGGAATAAATTTAAAAGAGCTAAATAGTATTTTAAAAGTTTAAAATGTTGATCCAAAAAGATTAATAGATGTATTTGATACATTAAGAGATTAGGTAATTTGAAATGGTCATCATATTAATTTTTAGGAAATACAATATTAGAATAAAGCTTTAGAGAAGATGAATTAAAAGTAACCATAATATAGTTGTAATACTGCAGATGCAATTACAAGAAGAATATAACCTTATTATGATAAAATATGAATGTGTTATTAATAAATGTTCAATTATAGTTAATATGAGGAAGAAATTAATCATCCTTAATATCGAACAAGAGTTAGATATCAGTAAGCATAGTTACTAATAAAAGGGATGCAGGAACTTAACGTAATCTTAATGGATAATTGGATGTGACATGTTTTTTAATGGCTGTAGAAATATAGAGATTAGTTGCTGAAAACACAGAAATGAAAATTACTATAAAGTAATAAAGTGATAGCGGCCTAGATAGAGTCAATTATGAAATGTAAATAAGGGATCTAATGGAAAAGCTTCAGTAATTGCAACAGTATATATATTACATTTAAGTAAAGGGACAATTATTTGATAGGAAATGATAATGAAAGATTGAGAAAGCTCGTTAAAGATCTAGAAGGTTCATTATAAAGATATGAAACTTAATTAAAAGATTACGATCCTAATTGGAAAAAAGAATTAGAATAATAGAAAAAACAGCTAGTTTAATTGTAAAAAAAAATAGGTGATGATGATGTTGGTAAACTATATAAATATATTACAGATGATCTAAGGTCTTAATTAAACAAATTAAAAAAGAAGTTAGGTGATTATGAAAAACAGTTTGGTGGCAAAAGTCCAGAAGAATTATAAAGAATGCTGGATGATTTATAAAGAAAAGCTAAGTAATTTGAAGATCTATAAAATAAAATTGGAGGTATGGATCCTGATACTTTAGCAAAAAAACTTAAAGAATTAGAAAAATTATAGAAATCTTTTGGAGGAAGTCCAGAAGATTTATTAAAAGTAAAATTAATAAAAAAAATTTTTTAGGAATTAGAAAGATTAAAAAAAAAAGCTAAAGAAGCAGATGATCTTAAAAAAGAATTAGATAAATAACAAAGAGAAAATGATAAATAGAAAAATGATTTAGGTTTTCTTGATGATTTAAAAGTATATTATATAAATTTATGAATCTTAGAAAAATGCATAAGATTTATAAATGGAAAATGGATTTTTAAATTAATAATTGAATGATTTAAAAAATAAATTAAGAGAAGCAGATCAATTAAGAAATGAATGTGAATCATTAAAAGATTTATTAAAGAAAAAAGATTAAGAAATAGCAAATCTAAAAAATTAATTGGCTGATTAATAAAGATAAATATAAGACACATAGAGATAATTATAAGATTAATTAAGATAATTAGGAGATTTGTAATAAAGATTTAGATAGGCAGAATAAGATAAATAAAAGTTAGAATCAGAATTGAATAATTGTTTAGATGAATTAGATTAAGCAGATGGATAAAAAGATGCTGCAAATCAATTAAAAGATGAAAATGATAAACTAAATCAAGAAGTGGATTAATTAAATGAAGATAACAATAAATTATAAAATGAAAATGAAGATTTAAAAAATCGATTAAATGATCTAATGAGATAATTATAAGATAAAGATAATAAATTAAAAGATTTATAGTAAGATTTAAATAAAAAGAATTCAGAATTAAAAGATTTAGGTAACAAATTAAAGGAAGCTAATGATAAAATTGAATGGATTAAAAATGAATTTGGATTAACAGATGATGATTTAGATCCTAAAAAAAGAAAACTTAATAGTAGAAATATAAAGGAAAACATTTTATTCTAAAATATATAACCATCAAATTTGTTATTGAATTTTCTATTACAGTCTGCTGAAATAGAGAGATTAGGAATAATTATCGATAAATATTATAGTGAAAATGAATCTTTACAAGTTTAAATAAAGACCTATAAATAAAAGAATGAACAAATTAGTCAATAATTATAATAATAACTAATATTGTAATCTTAAATGACATAAGATAATGAAATAGATAAATTGAAAGAATATTATGAAAATAAAATAGTAATGTTAACAATGGAGTTGAGTAGATTGAGAAAATAATAAGCTTCTTCATCATATTAATCAATACCTATTTCTCATAAATTATAGCCTAGACCAGCTAGCTTTAATTATGGTGATACATAAGTAACAACTTAAATAACACCTAAAAGAGAGGAGGATCTATTGAGTTTAATTGTTTTGATGGGAGCAGAATTATAAAATTTGAGGGATTAAAATAGTTCATTACTTTTGCAATAACATGATAAAGATGTTATAAAAGGATTATTAACAACAAGTGCATATGAAGGACAATCTAAAACTCAATAAATAACATAGGTTAAAGAATATTAAAATAATTATGAAAGTTATTAGTAAAGAGATTCAAATTAATTATAATAAAGAACCTCATATTAGGATTTATAGAATAATAATACCTAAATAAACAGTTAGTACAGAGTAAGGACAATGAATGACTCAAGATAGAATGATGGTTACAATTAAGATAAACTCATCTCTCAGCAAGGTGATAATGGTTCACAAAGATCATATCAATATTAAGCTTAAATTCCATATAAATATGAATAAGGCTCATAGCTGAGTGGAAGTGGTTATTTAAAAGTTGGAAAATATGAATCATCTAGATATGTAAATTGATGTATTCACATAAATATAAACATTTTCATTTATTTATTAAATATTTTGCATATCTTAAAGTTTATTATTTTTTTTTGGTTATTTATATTTATGGATATAAAAAGGGTATTGTATAGGTATTTACATTAATAACCATAAGATATTATTATAAATTTAACATAGTAAATGGTCACTTAAAATTTAAAAATACAATAACAAAATTTAATTGCTTATTCTCCTCAGTATTAGATTAGAAATTATTAAAGATTAATCGAATCATTCTTTTGAGATATCTACTTTATTATAATTAAATACATATCTAAAATATTGAATTATCCGATAACTTATTTAATAACTATTCTAGCTCTAAGATACAATAATTAAAATAAAAAAATTATAAAAAAAAATATCTAGTATAAAATTTTAATTGATATTGAAAGCTTCTCAAAATATTTTGGGCTGATATTTAATTTAAATATCATAAAATTAATATGTAATCATAGTGGAATTATTTATTTCAGTACATAAATATCTTTATGAAGATATATATCCCAATACGATAATTCTTATGTATTATTAAAATCAATTTCTTCAAATAATCTAATAATTAAAAGAAATTTTAAATACTTTGTGATAAAATTACTTTTATCTTTATACTTTTTGAGTAGATCTAATTTCTTAATAGTTTAATTAACTTAATTCTCATCAAACCATTTTTTTAATTGACTTTATTCATAACCATATTTTTCTCCTAGAATTTTGCCAGCTCTATTGTATTCAATCCAATCATCTTATTATAACAAATCAAAAATTTCATTTTTTTCTGCACTCAAAAATTTGATTTAATCAAACTAAAAGTAAGTTAATCTCTTTCTATTTAGATTAGGAAATATTTGTGAAAATATTATTTCAGAAGTGATTGATTATTTTTCAATATTATCCCATAAATCAGGGCAAGTTTATTTTTATCTAAAATTTTTAGGGGAGATAGCTTTCCGTGGAGATTTAATTGAGTTTTCTTTATTTTATCTTTTTTAAGTTGAATTAGTATTTATCTTCAAATTTGTTTTTTTCATAACGATTAGATTAAAATAAATATATTTCTTGATTAATAAATTGATACATATTTTAAGAATTTAAGTATAATTAAAAGAATATGAATAATGCTTTTAAATAATTTTATAACTCTTTAAAGTTCATAGAAACTGATAATTTATTTTAGAATTTAAATATATAATTAAGATGGATAATGAAATATATGAAGCAATATTTAGAGATAAAGTAGAATATAGGAAGTAAAATGGAAAAAANCAATAACAAAATTTAATTGCTTATTCTCCTCAGTATTAGATTAGAAATTATTAAAGATTAATCGAATCATTCTTTTGAGATATCTACTTTATTATAATTAAATACATATCTAAAATATTGAATTATCCGATAACTTATTTAATAACTATTCTAGCTCTAAGATACAATAATTAAAATAAAAAAATTATAAAAAAAAATATCTAGTATAAAATTTTAATTGATATTGAAAGCTTCTCAAAATATTTTGGGCTGATATTTAATTTAAATATCATAAAATTAATATGTAATCATAGTGGAATTATTTATTTCAGTACATAAATATCTTTATGAAGATATATATCCCAATACGATAATTCTTATGTATTATTAAAATCAATTTCTTCAAATAATCTAATAATTAAAAGAAATTTTAAATACTTTGTGATAAAATTACTTTTATCTTTATACTTTTTGAGTAGATCTAATTTCTTAATAGTTTAATTAACTTAATTCTCATCAAACCATTTTTTTAATTGACTTTATTCATAACCATATTTTTCTCCTAGAATTTTGCCAGCTCTATTGTATTCAATCCAATCATCTTATTATAACAAATCAAAAATTTCATTTTTTTCTGCACTCAAAAATTTGATTTAATCAAACTAAAAGTAAGTTAATCTCTTTCTATTTAGATTAGGAAATATTTGTGAAAATATTATTTCAGAAGTGATTGATTATTTTTCAATATTATCCCATAAATCAGGGCAAGTTTATTTTTATCTAAAATTTTTAGGGGAGATAGCTTTCCGTGGAGATTTAATTGAGTTTTCTTTATTTTATCTTTTTTAAGTTGAATTAGTATTTATCTTCAAATTTGTTTTTTTCATAACGATTAGATTAAAATAAATATATTTCTTGATTAATAAATTGATACATATTTTAAGAATTTAAGTATAATTAAAAGAATATGAATAATGCTTTTAAATAATTTTATAACTCTTTAAAGTTCATAGAAACTGATAATTTATTTTAGAATTTAAATATATAATTAAGATGGATAATGAAATATATGAAGCAATATTTAGAGATAAAGTAGAATATAGGAAGTAAAATGGAAAAAAATTTATAAATGAATATGAATTGCTTGAAGATTTAGGAGAAGGATCATTTGGAAAAGTAAAAAGAGTAACTCGATATTATAAAGAGACAGAAGATGCTGTAGAATTAAGTAAATATGATTATGCAATGAAAATATTTCATAAAACAGTCTTAGCCCATTAGAGAACTTGTTTTTATGAAAGTAATTCAAATGATCCAAAAATGACGAATTTATTAGAATTTGCAGATAATGAGATTAACATTCATAAATATCTGAATCATCCAAATATTTGCAAATTATATGAAATAATAGATGATGATAATGATTAATAATAGAAAATATATTTAATAATGTAATTAGGTGATTTAGGATGCATAATGAAATTTTGTGAGATGACATTCAAATATATAAGAAATTAGGCTATTTTAGATTATTTGAAGATGAATTATATGCAAGCAGCAAAATTATTATTTAAATAGATAGCTTAAGCAATAATGTACCTTCATGAACACAATATAGTAAATCGAGATATAAAAATAGATAATATAATTTTCTCTACTTTATATCCTATAAATGAATGTTGTAAATTGATTGATTTTTCAACATCACGTATAGCTGAAAAAGATAGTATATTTTTTGATTGTGCTGGAACTCCAGGATTTAGAGCACCTGAAGTATAATTTTGTTTAAATGATGGTTATTCACCATTTAAACTTGATATTTGGTCATTTGGAATATGTTTATATATTTATACACATGAAAAAGTATTTATTTTAATTATTATTAGTTACCTTTTTGGGGAGAAGGAGATCTAGAAACAGATTTATTAGCTAGAGATTAACCATTATAATTTGAAGTTTAGGATGATTTATTAGTAAACCTAATAAATAGTTGTTGTGCTAAAAAGGCATCAGATAGACCAACAATATAATAAATATTAGAACACGAATGGTTTAAATGAAAAATTTATTTAAAATATGAATTTATAGTTAAATATATAGCAAGAAGTTTGTAGATTTGCAGATATCAATCACATATATGAGACAGTATAAAAGAAAGGATACTTAGCTTAAATTTCAAAAGAATTCGAGGACATTTTTATGAATGAAATAAATTTTGCACAACAAAGTAAATGTAATTTAAATTGACAGGACTAAGAGAAGTGATTAGTGTAATGGAGAAATAGGGATAAAAGATTGAATATAATTAGTAATTGTATAGAAATCTGTAAATTTTTAAATCAAACTTTGATGTAATAGTTACAGCAACAATGAATTAAATTTGGAATAGACTCTTAATGGAATAAAATGTTTAATGTTAAGATTAACAGTCATAAATATTTAATATAGATACATCTTAAACTGTAAAAAGAGCAAATGATCTAACAAAATAATCTGTATCTGATTTTAAAAAATTTGCATCTAATCAATCAATTTGTAGTAGATCACCCAGTAAAATGTCATCTAAAGTTATTCCATTAAGTGAAATGTCATATTAATCAAATGGATCACCTACAACATTTCCAAAAGCAAGAAGATAATTAGATAATAGTTTAACTACAAGTTCTCCAGGAGTTGGAAAGTATAAATTAGATTAGAGTTTGAAATGTAATAAAAACAAAATATATAATATTTAGTAATTAGAGAATCTTCTCCTAATGCAACAATAGGAAAAGCACCAAAGATAAGTTGGATTGATGAAAAAATCAAGAATGAAGATTCATAATCCCCTGGACCTATTTATAATCCTGTAAAAACCTTTTGTTCTAAAAAAATAAAATGAAAATAAATATCATCCCCAAAATTCTGTAATTATTTATGAATTCTCTTCAAGTTCATTTATTTTTTAATCAGTTTAATAAGGATCACTATTCTCATAATTTTCTAACATATCAGATATTTTCATTTAAATGTCTCTTCCTAAATCAGTAGATCCACAAATATATAATATTCCATCCATATTAAAATGTTAATATAATTGATCTATTGTTATTAATTCTGTGACATATTATTTTGGATCTTTTCTTGAATATGCTATTTTTAATTCACTTAAACTTCCTTAATTTAAATATTCTTAAAGTTCATCCTTAAATAAATATTCAGCTTCAGTTCTACATCCATAAAATAATTTCATTTCTCCTTAAAATGGACAATTATCAAATTAATTTTTTTATATAAAATAATCTCTTTCCTATATAAATCCTCTAAGTGGTGCCAATCCAGCTCCTATTCCAATTAATAATGTAGGTACTTTTGAATTCTTAGGTAATTTAAATTTTGAAGGTTATATATATCCTTTTATTAAATCTCCTTTTTTTAAAGTTTTAAAATATGAACTACATAAACCTAATCTCTCTTAATTCAATACAAGTTAACTTGCCATTATATGAATATTATTTGCATATTTCTTATTACTTGATGATATTGTAAAATATCTTGGTTATATTAAGGGAAATATTTCAATTAATTTTTCTAATGTTAAATTGTTTATCCGATATTTTTTTATTAGATTTAACAAATTCTATTTTTAATTTTAAAATAATTTTTGATAATCATCTCTTCCTTCAAATGATGCTAAATGAAGTAATTCATCTTAATAATCTTTTTAATTTCTCACATTTGAAAGTTCTATTAATTATTTTTTCGTAATCAATCCAGAGAAATCACAATATCTGGTAATATAGCATTCAATTACCTTTTTAAATATGTATATATTGAAATTGGATTTGGAAATGGCTATTTCTAAGTAGTAATAATAGTAAATCTGATATTTTTATCTAATTTAAGTAAACTACATAATTCATCAATATCAGAACTAAACTCAATTATTATAAATATATACTCAGAGTTTTATGGATATATTGCAATATTCTAAGCAGTTCTATATTCAATTTCTTAATTAGTAAGATCTAAAAATAAAGTAGAATTGCCTCTACAAGGTTTTAATTTTAATTCTTTTATTTCATTTACTGTAAATGTAATACTATTAATATATTTTTAAGCCATAAAATCTAGATTATCTCCTAAATAATTTTCTTGTTCTTAGGTTATTTTAATTTTAATATTTGTAGCATCTAATTAATCTTATTCACAAGTGTATAAAGGAAATAATAATTATAAAGTCTATTCAACTTCAGAATTAATCCATTATTAATAATCATTTTCAGTTTAATCTTTTGCAGAATCACCTTTACCCAAATTACACAATCTTTTAGCACCTAATTATTCAAGTCTTTTATCAAGTCTGATTCCAAATTCACAATAATGTTAATGATTTGTGCTTCCTAATGCAAAAATTAAATAATTCATTCCTTAAAATTCATTTTTATTTCTTTCCTCTTAAAATATCCATTAATTAAAACTTTCAGTATCAGCTGTACATGATCCCATTCCATAAGTTGAAACAAAAAATACATTTAATTTACATGATATTAATTCTTTTGGATTGAATTCACTTAGATTGATTACTATTAATTAAATAATTATCATACTTTTTGGAATAAATTTAAGATTTCTTGCTACATTACCAAATTGAAATGCTAATCTACTTGAATTTCCAGTTGTAGTACCATAATATATATATATTGAACCTCTTGTTTCTAATTAACTTGCAGATGATGTACCACATCCCATATTTAAACAACTTTATTCTAATGACAATTTTATTTTATGTTTTTTTATAATATGATATTATATAAATATAATTATAATTTTAACGTAATTTAATGAAAACTCTTGTTCTTTAATATCCCAAATAAAAAACCATGTATAACCCAAGCAAACCTGCTGTTAAAATTGATGCAAATAATCAATTCTTATAAAATAATGATTTAAAAATTTTAAATTAGAAAAATGTAAATGTTGTAGATAGATTATATTAATAAGAAGAAAAAAAAAGAAATAAAATTGAGAAATTAAAATAAGAATAAGAAAGATCATTAACACCTACTAAAATTTCATTTATTAATAAAAAGTCTTAATAAATTCTTGATACTAAAAATCTTAAACCATTTTTAGAAAGATAAAATGAATTAGTTTAAGAGAAAAAAATGAGAGCAGAATTATAAAAGATTTTGGCTACTTAAGAATTAGAAGAATTTGAATCTAATAAAATATTACCTTCAAGATCTCATTCACAATTTATTAAAGACTCATAAGATTGGGTTTAATATAAAGAATTAAAGAAATAACAATTAGCAGATGAAATATAAATAAAAAATGAATAATCGTTTAGACCATTAATTAATCCTAAATCTGTTGAAATTGCTGATAAAAAAATGAAAAAAAGTGGACTCTATTTAGTTGATTAAGCAGATCGATTAGCTATGCCAATTAGGCAAAGTTTTAATTTTGAAAAAGAAAATTATAGCTTTTCACCTTGTATTAATGCAAAATCCAGATAGTTAGCTAATAAATATAAATTTTAAAGAAGCTAATCACCTTGGAATTAATATTGAATATATATAATTTATATTTATAATTATATTTTATAATTAATTCAAAATAAAAGATGGTTTTTTCTAAGTCTAATTTTGTTCAATAAATAATGGATAAATTATAATAGAAATCATGAACGATAAAAATTTTGAAGATTCAAGAGACTCTTTAGAATCGTTGTTTGAAAAATATGATAATAAATAGAATCCTTTAGAAGAAATTGGTTTAAAGATTAAAATAGATTAAGATTCCTTTGAATCAAACTCAATTATCTAAAAATCTTAAGCTATTTCTGAATAATCTGATCATTCTTTTATTTCTATATAAGAATTATCTTAAGTAAGAAAAGAAAAAAAACTTATTTTTTAACCTGAATTAATCGAAATTAAGAAATCTAATGTTTCTGATGTAAATCATATGATAAAAGTTTAGCAAAAAACTAAATCAAAATCATTAGAAGAGATCAATAGACAATTTAAATTATAAAAAGAAAATCCTCCTAAAATACATTAAAATATATAAGTAGATAAGAAAAAATAATAAATTTTACAACCTTAATAAAAACAAATGACAAATCCTAAATTATTATAGATTAATAGTTATACAGTAAGTTCTTAAAAACCAAAGATTGATAAAATACGATAGGTTCCTTCAAATCCAATTAAAAGTATAGTTAAATAAGAAACTATTAAGGAAACTAAAAAATCAATAAGTATTGAAAAAGCTAAATAACAGTGTCCTATTTTAAAAAAAACAAATGCTTAAATAACTTAAGATTAAAAGACATTTTAAGGAATGTTTTAAGAAAAATGTGGAATATTTGCTGTTATAGGTAGACCAATATTTGAATTCAATTCATTAATAAAATTTTTATTTCTAAGTGATTACAATAAAGATTCTGAAAATGAAACATATAATAAAATACCTAAAAAATTTAAATCAGATATAGAATATAGTAAAATATTTGAATACTTATTTTTAAATGAATCATTCAATTAAATAAAATAAGAATTATAAAGAATTAATAAATAGAAATTTAGAAGAATTTAAATAAAATAAGATGAAGCTGAAATAGATAAAGATGGATTAATTTTTTAAATAAGATAGTATTAATAAAATATAAAAAAGAAGAATAGAGATATAAATAATTAGTCTGAAAAAAACTAATAAAATACAAGTGATGAAAGTGATCATAAAGAAGAAAGTGTTTGTGATTTGACAGCTTTGAAGAATTATATTGTAATAATAAGCAATAAATATTCATTTAATCCTGTTAAAATAAATAAGTAATTATAATAATATAAAATTAGAATAAAAGAAAAAAGATAGCTATTTTTTGGTATGTTAATAGAACCATAGACACATTAATATATAAATTAAATAAAGATTTAAACATTTGTTCCAAGAGATCCAATATATTAGAATTGGATATCTGTATATTTGTTTCCTTTTGTGAAAATTACAACATAAATAAGGTAAATATTATTTATAATTTAAGAGAGTATTTGATGATAAATAAAATTACATAGACTCCATTATATCCTTTAATTTTGGATCCAAAATCATAATAACATTTGATAGGTGCTGATAATGATAAGATTTGGAATGTAAATATATAGAATGTAATTTAAAATGGAAAAGCAATGGAATCATTTTTTCAATATATTAACTAAAATTTTAATTTTTCATAGGCGAGTGCAATATAGCAATTAATATTATAAGAGAGAGGGATTTGTTTATTATAAGGACCTCCTGGGACAGGAAAGACTCATACATTAATAGGTTTATTATCTGGAGTATATGAATACATGAAAATAATGAATAAATTTCCAAAAAAGAAGATATTAATCTGTGCTCCATCAAATGCAGCTATAGATGAAATAATATATAGAATATTATAAGGAGGATTATTTGATAGTGAGGGAAGATCTAGAACTGTAAAATTAGTAAGATTAGGAGTTTTAGATGAAGAAAATGATAAAAGTGAAATAATTAAATAAGTTTCATTAGAGGATGTTGCTTAATATTAATTATTTAATAAAAGTTAATTTAAAGCTAATTCAGATCAAAAGACAACTGGTGAATTAAGAATTGAATTAAGTAAAACGACTTAGACAATTAAAAAAATAAAAGAAAATGAAATATATGATGAATAATAAAAAAAATAATTAAATGAATTATGGAATAAAAAAAACTAATTAATGAAATATTTAGAATAAGTAAGAACTAATAAAAGAAATTAAAAAGAAAATTATGTAGTATTTTGTGAAAAGATTATAAGTGAAGCAGAAATAATCTGTTCAACTTTAAGTACAGCTGGAACTGATAAATTAAGTAAATTTATAGATTCATTTGAATTATTAATTGTTGATGAAGCAGCATAATGTACTGAACCTTCAAATAATATTCCATTAAGATTAGGAATGAGAAAGATGATATTAATTGGTGATCCTAAATAATTACCAGCTACTACTTTTTCTTCAGTTTCATAAATTACTCATTATAATAGAAGTTTATTTGAAAGAATTTTAGATAATGATTTCAAACCATTCTTTCTAGATATGTAATATAGAATGCATCCTTAAATTAGAGAATTTCCATCATTACATTTTTACGATAATAAACTAATTGATCATTTTTCTGTTTATGAAAGATTGATACCAAATAATTACTTTAATTAAAGAGTTTTATTTATTGATGTAGAGAGTGAAGAAACTAAAGATGATAAATCATATTAAAATTTAATTGAATGTAATATGATTGTAGAAGTTCTCAAAAATATTAAAAATTCATATCCTACTTAAAGTCTTGGAGTTATTTGTGCTTATAAAGCTTAAGTTAGATTAATTAAATCTGAAATTAAAAAATAAATAGGAGATTTATTTATTGATGATATTTAAATTAATACAGTAGATTCGTTTCAAGGTTAAGAAAGAGATGTTATTTTATTCTCTTGTGTTCGATCTTCCTCTTCTGGAAACATTGGATTTCTATAAGATGGTAGAAGAGTTAATGTAGCATTAACTAGAGCTAGAAATGCTTTATTTATTTTTGGAAATGCAATTACTGTAATTTATATATTATATATTATTTTAGTTAGGACAATGTTCATTATGGAAGAATCTTCTATTAAATTTACATAATAGAAAGCTATATAGATATATTGGAAAAAATGATTTTTTTTCTTTTAAAATTTTAGCTGAAGATATTTGGTTTGATAGATAAAGAAAATTAAATTAATCATTATTAACACTTTTGAATGATAAACAACTTAATCTTTAGGAAGAGTTAAAAACTAATGAATAAAATAAAGATATTAAAATTTTATAAGATAAAGGAGATTCAAAAATTTATAATAATGAAATAAAATCTATTTAAACACCTGTTAAAATCTAAATTCCTACTCATGTTAATCATATTAATCATAATCATATTTTTAATAAATCTAAAAAGTATCATAAATAATAATATCAACATAATAATAAGTAACATTCTCATAAAGAAAAATATTAAACTAAAAATACAAACAAATAATAAAAATTAATTGAAAAAAATGAAAAAATAATTCATCATTCCTATAAAAAAAATAGATGAATTATACATGTAGATGAAAATCATTTCTATTTGATTTATAAATTTATTAAGAATTCATTTTTTTTTTTTATTTTTTTCTATTCTTAATTTATATTAACTGTTTATCTAAATGAAATTTCTTAATAATGTATTAATTTATGAGGAAATTAAAATTTTAGAAACTTTTAAACAGTTTATTTTGTTTAATTGAAAATAATAACCAAGAATAAAGATGATATAATTAAGAATGGATCTAATAACTAATTTTCTTTTTTTTAATATAAAATAATCAATTTAAATAAAATTTTATTTATTATATGGGAAATCTATAAACATTAATAAATTATCATTCCCCATTCTCTTATATTGATAATTTAAATGATTAATTATAAGATGAAGGAATGATAAATCATCCTGGTCTTGGATAGATATAATTATGGAAAATTAAAAAATAAAACTAACCAATGATATTTTCTTATGTAAATTAATGTATTTATATATTAGCATGTCCATATTTATAAAAATGATTCCCATTTGATTGAATTTCATAAAATACGTTGTTAAATTAATCATCCAAACATTTTATCATATTTTGCATGTGCAAACTCAAAAGCTTAAAATATAGGAAATGTTTAATCTTAATAACTATTTTTTGCATATTATTCCAATAATTTAAAATAGAAATTAATATAATAAAAGACATTTTCAGAAATTGAAATTTGGAATGTAAATTATTGAATATATTGAAGATAGTTGAATAAATTGTTAATGCATTAGCTTATTTATAAGGATTAAACAGATATCATGGTAATTTGATAACAGAATCAATTTTACTGAGCAACAATAATTAAATAAAACTATTAGATTAGCTTGAGTAGATTCCTAATTATGATTAGATTAAAAAGGATGTATTCGATTTAGGAATCATAATTATAGAAATGCTTACAGGTCGAGGTAAATGAATAATTTATACTTAAAGCTAATTAATTAAACTTTAATTAATCAATTAAACAGTTAGATGGAAGATATTCAATTTAATTATTATAATTAGTAGCTAAAATGCTCTAAAAAGATATTGCATTAAGACCTGATTTTATTCAACTTTAATAAATGATTTAAAATAGATGTAAAGAACCAATAATTTTGCAAAATTCTTTTTCTAATTTGAATAAACCTGAATTTGTAAAAATTTATAATCGTTCATAAAGACATTAAAGATGTAATTCTAATTAAGGAATTGTAATTAGACCTTAAAGAATGAGTTAACCATAAATTAATCCTAGAATAATTTAATCTAAATAATAAAATAATAATACATAAATTAATAATAGTGTTGTGCTTTATCAATCATAATAAGGAAATATTTAAAATTAAAATTAAGAATAGCAATTTATTAGTTATGTTTAAATCTTTAACCAACAAACACCATATAAGCCAGTATCATAAGTTGATTAAATTTCAAATGCAGATAAAGTAACATTATTTTAAAGTGGTATTATGCATAATTCATTTTTATGGCATTAGAATTCTCCACTAAAGAAATAAAGCTCTGTGTTATAGTTTATTTTGCCATAGCGCATTTGATCAATTTTATTTTGATTTTAGAAATATAAATTTTATTCATATCTATAATTTTGATATTAACTTTCATAAAAAATATTCAATAGATATTCTAATTTTATTTCATAAAATAAATAAAAAAATATCTTTTTTTTAAAAATACTGATTATTTTACTTTTATCTTATTATAATTTTATATATAAGATTTCTTGAGTAAAGAAAATTACAAAAGAAAATAATTCTTAAATGCAGACTCTCCAATTTAATATATATAAAAATAAACTAGATTATTGATTAATAATAATCTCATTCTCCATGGAATCCTATGCATTTGTTGAAAATGCATTCAAAGACATTTAATGCATCTCTTTATTTCTCTAAACAATCAAATCCCTATTATATTAATAAATATATACAGCTGTGTAATTAAATGGATCTCTTTCTTATACTCTCATACATTTTTTGAGTTATTTCATGCAACCTGTTGAGTTGTCACAAACCTCAAATTCCTATTTACAAACTCCTTATAGACATTCTAACACAGCATCAGGTTAGTGGTGTCTTTTAGATAATACTATCAAAATGATTGATAAGAATAGTAAATATTTCATCAGATAATTAAAATATTATATTTATATATAATGAACATATATTTATAAATAAATAAAATTATTTATCTAATTAGAAATTTATTGTACGATTTTGTAATTAAAAATTATAATTTTTGAGATGCATATTTCTTCAGAATGAATAAACATATTTTTGAATAGTTCAAAGTTGAAGAATGAAATTATTAAACTTTATTAGTAACAACAAAGAATGAAATTTATTAAGCGATTTATGATTTAATCAGGAAAGCTCGATCGATTTAATTGTTTAAATTCTATAAGGAATATAAAATATTAGATAATTCAAACAATATCAACCAGAAAAAAGAGTTTAACTTCGATATTCTAAGATCTTAATAGCTTATTTCTATTATTATTAAGTTGTTTGAGTTTTCCTATGTTTTGGATCATTTTCTAGAATAACAACACTTTCTTCACTTAAACTGCATTCATCTCTATCTGCTTAACATTATAAAGTTATTTAAGTATCACTAAATATTGCTCCATGAATTGATTCATAATCTTATAAGAAAGAAGAAACTGGAATTAGTTTAGATTTAATAGCCATTTATTTTAAAAATGGAATCAACTTTAAAAGACATTTATCTTCATCAGAATCTAAAAATGAAGGTATTAATAATCCATTTTCTGGCTACATATCAAATGCATTAGGATTATTCTACAATTAAGATGGACTTAGATACTTACATCAATGAAAATTAATTAATCTAATGGTCTATCCAATATTGTTAAGTCTTTTAAGCAAATTCCATTAACAAATCTACAATTTGATCTTGCAAAATAATCAGAAATATGTCTATCTACATCAATATATTTTAAGACTTTATCACAATATGATTCATAGCCAGCAGTGAATATTATAATTTCATAAAAAAGACTCATTTATTAGAGAAACTCCCTTAAATAAGGTCTTTTACATAAATAAACTTTATAAAGAACTCCTCTATGCTCTACATCTAAAATTATTTCATAATGAAAATTTTTGTTTTCTTTAAATTCACAATGCACTAATGTTTCATCTAAATCTAAAACAAGTGTCTTTTTTCCTCTTATTTGACTATTTTAAGTTGAAAGTTAAAATGAAGAATCCTAATTGGCAAATTTTTATTTGATGTTTTTATAGCATTTTTTAATGCATTTCAAACAATTCATTTTAATTACATAATTTTATAATAAGAAACATAAAAATATTATATAAAAACACAAAAAAAGAAATATGAATAATATTCTCTCAAACCTAAATTAATTTTATGTTTATTGAATACTTTTTGCTTTTTACTTAAATTTAATAAAATTATTTTATGAATTTATACATGAAAGAAAAAAAGAGAATTTATAATAAAGTCGAGATAAGAATTATTTGTTGATTTTATAATAATTATAATTATGTTATAATTAATATAATGAACGAAAAGTAGAAATAAACACTTTTAAACTATTTTTGCTAATGTAGCAATGAAAAAATAAATGTTATCTCTGAAATTAGGGATTTTAGATAAAATGATATGGTGAATGTTGTTGCAAGAGCCAATCTAGCATAATAGTTAATCTTATTTTAATAAAACATAGATGAAGCATATGAATTAATAAATGATTTAATTGGACTTGAATCATAAAATGTGAAATGTGTTATGCATACAGCAGCTAGAAATTTTTAAGTATTTGAAATCTTGGGTATTCAAAAGTAATGTCAACTTTTAGTTGATATTGCAAATAATTATTAAATACCTGATTGTGCAGTACATTTATTATTTGCTTAACCATTTTAAGAATAAATGAAAGAAACAGCATAAATTAAAAATTAAAGAATTAGATATTTATGTAGATGTCATCTAACTTTTATATTGGAAAATCCTGATCCAGAAATTGAATAATTGAATGAAATTTTAAAATTTACCCGCTTTTTTATTATGGATTCAAAAATAATAATAAATGATGATACAAATTTCTTCTTGAGAGCTGAATTCAATCGTCTTTAAAAATCAGAATTCCATGAAATAGGTTTCTCTTAATTTAATAAGAGAAATACATTAAATTTAATAAAAAAACAAGAATTTACAAATATTAATCAAAAAATTATCGATCACTTTACTGTTGAAATAACAGTTTATAAATTGATTGCCTCTTCTAACTTTTAACTAAGTTTTATAAGTTCAATTTAAATAATTAGATTTAATATGTTATTACTGAGTTTATTATATAAATATAATTGTGAAATAGATTTGTCTTTTTAGCATAATGATATGGAGAATGATCCTTAACAGATTTTCCCTTATTTACTTTAAATTCTTACTTTATTAATTCAATTAAATTAGGAAAAAATAATTTTGAAAGTATTATCTTTAATTCACACTTTAAAATTTAGTAAAATAGAAGATATGCAGAAAGTTAACGATTCAGCTAATTTATTATTGAAATAATAGCCGAATCAATAAATAATTGATTCTTTATTACCAATATTTAAAAGATATACTTTTGAAATTTATCATAAATTTGCTATTTTTAGTAATTAATAAATTGATCTTTCTACTTTTTCAAAGGAAAAGTCTGTACATAATTTAATAACTTCAATATTTATTAAATAAGACAAAGATTATCTTGCTGCCAATTTCGATAAATTATATATGAATTAATGTGTAATGGTAATTAATTTTTATTAATTTAGTTGACTCTAATAATCCCAGAAGAGACATTTGTGAATTTCTTGAATTAGTATACTTATTGTAGTATAGATATGACTAAAAATTTCTACAAACAAAGATGACTGAATACTTCTCTTATTCTCAAGAAGATTTAAATAGTACACTATTGATGATTTCTCAATAATTAGAAATAGATGTAAATATCAAATAACCTTAAAGTCTTTCATTTGAATATATTTCTATTATATCTAAGCTTCTTCATTTAATTTTAGTTATTTGTTAGAATCCAAAAAATAAGAATCTTTATATGGAATATTTTTCTATGCAAATGTAATTTATTAATAATTTTGATAAGAAATTGCCTAAGGAATCAGATTATAAATATAATGGCAAACTTGTGAATAGTCCACTTTATAATGAAATAGTTGTTTTAAAAAAAGCAAAGACACTTTTATTAAACCTATCTATGATTGAAAGAGTATATAAACTACACAAGATTGATAATCGATAAATATTATTGTTAAAATTATCAATTTTATCTTATCATGAAAGTGTTCCAGAATATTTACTTCTATAATTATCAAAATCTTAGTAACATTTTAAGGATTTAAAAAAATAATATCCAAAAGCATAAGAAATAAAAGAAATCAATTTTTATGCAAAAATAGAGAAATTAAAAAAGAATTTGGGTTCAGATATAAAAATAAAATCATAACTAAAGTATAATTATTGGAATAATTAATGCCTTAACTCACTAGTTCTTTATTTGAATTTTAAGAAAAACCAAAATATTAAGATGAATTATTCTAATAATCAGATATTCATATATTTAAGATAGAACATAAAGAATTTATATCGTTTTATTTAGGAAATGGTGAATTATGTACACCAGCGTTATTCATAAATTATAGAGCAGAGGCGATTTATGTTTATTTATAAATATGTTACAAACTATTAAAATGTTTAAAATACTTAGGTTTTTATAAAACAATAAATACAATTTCAAATTAAATAATTTTATTTTCGTAAAGAGCTTTAGGAATTACAGTTTTAGTAAATATATATTCTCGAATACCTTGGTTGATTGATACCTAATAATGGTAATAGATAACTGATGGTATTTGTAATGTTGTCAAATATTTAAATAAAAAGTAAGACTATGCATAAGTAACAAGTGAAAATGCTAGATAATCATTATATCGTCAAAGAAGAAGTTAATGGGCTAAATTAAAAGAATCACATGCTAAATTAGTTTAATGTTTTGACGAGAACAATTTATTAAAAGGTAAATTTTATAGAGCTTTTTTTAATTTTACTTTAGAATATTTATGTCTATTAAACCATTCAAATCCTTATTTGTATGACAAACTACTATTAAAATAAACAAGATCATTTGAGTTAAAAACCAACTGCATTGTCTTAAAATAATTGTCTAAAAGTACAGATGCTAAATAATATTGTTTTTAAGTTGATGAAAATTGTAGACATGAATTAGTTTTTTGATTAAGTAATATTAGAATAAATAATACCAGTTTTAGTATTAGGATTATGCGAATAACAAATTAGTTAAAATATCTGCAATTATGGATATTAGATGTTTATTTTAGTTTAAAATTAATTAGCATAAACACTTCATTCTAATATCGATTAATCAAAATTATATATGTATTTATATTTAAGACTAAAAGAATTTTTGACTTATTCTTAACCGTAATTCATTTCATAAATATAATGTAAATGTCCATAATAAAAAAAATATGATAAAAATAAATTAGAATTTGATTTAATAGCAACTTTAGCCTCATTTTAAATGAATCAAAAAAGAATACTTTTACAATAAGAAGATATATCTATAATGAAATGTGAAAATATAGGTAGAACTTCTGAATTAGCAAGTATATTTGATATTTCAATTAAAAGAGACATTATTGTAATAAATTTCTTTGAATTCAATGGTGAAAAAATCATATTAATTTCTAAATATTGTCATCTTACATAATAATTTGTTAATAAATAGGTTAATTTAATCAATAAATGTTTATAATTTAAAGATGCTTTAATGTATTACTTAAACCTAATTTAAGAAAATATTGATTGTTTAGATGAATCTTCTTGTGCTCCAGGATAATGGTGGTCAAAAAGAGATTATTATGAATAATAATTACTTAAAAGATAATTAAGTATAGAATATGCTTTATAAGAACATATTGATTTTATTTATAAATCTGATAGTCCATTACTTATTTTAAGTCCTTAATTGCAATTACTTCCATGGGATCATATAAAAAATACAGTCTTTAATCGAGTATTATCTTTAGGACATATTTTAGATTTAAATAATCTATCAACAGATCCAAAATAAGATCTATTTTATGTTCTAAATCCAGGAAATGATTTACAAAAATCAGAAAAGAAAATTCTACCCTTATTAAAATACTATAATTTAAAAGGAATTGTAAGAGAAAAACTGAATAAAGAATTAATAGTTGAATGCTTATAAAAGAAAGATTATTATTTTTATATTGGACATGGAGGAGGTGAATAATATATTAATGAAAAATAAGTTTTTTAAGCTTAAATCTCTTTAAGTGGTAGACCTTATTTATTAGGTTGTAATAGTGCTTAAATGATTGATTTAGGAAAATTCAAAGGAACTAATTTATCTTTTTAAGAAATTTATTTAGATCACGTTGATTGGCATGGATTGGCTGTTTCATATTTATTAAGAGGTTGTCCATCTCTATTTGGATCTCTTTGGCCTATTACTGATAAAGATGCCGATCAATATGCTTTAGATTTCATTAATGAATATGGTAAAAATTAGGATCTTAAACCTGAATTAATTATTATGTAAACAAAACCTAAATGTAATTTGAAAGTTTTAAATGGTGCTGCATTTGTACTTTATGGAATCCATGAGATGAAATGAACTGATTTTATAATTAATTTTTTAAATATTATTCAACATTTTTTCTGCATTTTATTGAGATTTAAAGCAAATATAACTTAAAGAAAATTCAAGATTCATAAAATATATAAAAAATAACTTTAATTTTTAAAGTAAATCAAGCAATTTTATATTTTATAAAAATATTATACTTTTTATTAAACAATATTTATGACATTTATAGTTTACTGAATTTTATCAACAAAATCTTGCTCTGAAAAAATAATTTTTTCACTCTTAATTAATCAAAGTAATTTAAATTGGGTATTAATTTTTACTAATATTTATAAATCAACTAAATATATAACTTTTATATTTTAAGCAAATATAAAGATTGAAAAAAATTAAGAAAAATAATTTTTCAATTTTTTAACTACTATAGAATATACAAATTAGAGAATTAGAAAATGAAAAGCTTTTTTTTCAAATTTCTAAAATTTAAAAGCATATTTCTATAAGTACATTTATAATATTTCAAATAAGATAATTTGTATTAAAATCTTTCTCTCTTTTTGATAATTCTAATTCAGTATATATTTTAGTTTTATATAATTTAGTTTTCTTCTTTTCTTATGATTATTAGATTTGAGGATATAATTCTAATTCTTTTTCTAGCCTTGAGGAATTTTCTAATTAGTTCTTAGTAGTAATTAGTGATTTTTATTAGTTCATTGAAAAATTGGATTAGAGAATAAAAGATGAACAAGCTTCACTAACCCTATGATTATTTTAATCACATAAAATAGTTCTCGAATTAATATCTGTATTCAAAGATTTTATCAACATTGTTTATAACTTGTCTGTTTATAAAGAGAGATCTAAAGTTTAATATAAAGACTTGGATAAAGACCTACTCTATTTTTCATCATTAATATCATTTTAAATAGTTAATCTTCCTCTATCAGTTCCAAGAGTAACTTTAAGATTTTCTGTTTAGTTGCTTTATTCATTTTATAATTTCTATTGATCTAAATTTATAATAAATTGATTAATAAATTTTATTGGAGGGGAATGAATTTATCTGTGATTGATGTACTTGCATACAAACCTCTCTTGTTTTTGTTTAGATTAAGATTTATTTCTATTTACAGAGGAACTACCTTTTCTGTAAACAAATGATTGAATAGTGCTTTTTTCATAATTCTATATAACATCTTATATGTTGCCACTTAAGTGATAAGGATTATCTTAGAATAGGAATTCACTATTTTTAACTTTTAATTATTTGCCATTCATTATAGACCCTGATTTAAGTTTAGGACTTGAAGTTTAAACTTTTTCAACTGAAATGGTAGATTATTATTGTAACGTAGCCATTCGGCTTTCATTTAGTTTTTTATTATTCAACTTTTAATTTGGAAATTAACAATAACCATAGAATTTGTTTTGATGAGGAGCGTAACTTAAATTATCTCTACATGATTTACTACTCTTTCTTGCAGTTCCTTTGTGAATATCAGTAAGATTTAATTGAAAACTTGATTATTCATTGGCAACCACCTTATAAGTTGATTATTTTGTTGAATCAATTACTTATGATATTCCATAATTCAAAGTATGACTAGAATAATAAATAAATTTACTTATTATTTTTACTCATTTTATTAATATTTATTGTTATTATTTAATTTGATATTCTAGTCTTTTCTTATGCTAAGAATATCAAAAAGATTTTATAATAGATCTTAATTAGTCAATTAAGAATATTTTCTTTTTCAATTAAATACTAAATATAATAATGAAAAAATAAACTTCTTAAAGAAATAAGAAGACTTTATAAATTCATACAACATCGGAGAAATTGGAATCACCACATAACAAAGAATTCGAGAGCGAAAACTTAATTATCAATTATTTGATATTAAACAAAACTTAATTGTAAATTTTGAAGACTAATTGAATACTTAATTTTTTAATAAAAAATATAATTTCTTCATTAAAATAGAAATTATCTTCATTAAAAAATAATCTTTGAAATATATCAAATAAATTATTAAAAAAAGGAAGATGTATTTATGCATATTAATTTAGATAGAATAATTAAAAGAAAAATCAATAAAATACTCAATAAAAAAAGTAATAACTCTTTATTATGAATGAATAGAAACTAATAAACTAAAAGAAAAAGAACTTCAATTATGTTATAAATCAATTAATTTAGAGATATAATTCTACAAGTTACCATGTATTTGACTTAAATCTTGTTGGATTTGTAAGATAAAATCTTTTCAACAAAGTTTATTTAGAAATAGCTCATAAACCAAAAAGTACTTGAGATAAAACTCAAAATAAAAAAGTAATTAATAAAACTAGATTACTTAAGAAAGATAATGTGATTGAGGTATGCCTATTTTGAGAAAAGTAATCCATTTCTGGAATTTAATAAGATTATATTATATTATAAGGATAAGACCTTAAAGAATAAAATCATAGAAAAATTGAAAACTTATTAAAATAGATTATTCTATAGATTATGTATAAATTAAATGAATTTATATTGTTTAAATAAAATATAAATAATTAACGAATTTGAATGTACCAGCAACACACAGGGACATAATAAAATGAATAATATATGATTTAAAAGCTACAATAAATGGAAAAGCATATCTACTAGTTAGAATCATAACTTGGATTAGCTAACCAAGAGATCTTAAATCTTAAATAATAAAAGTCATAATTATGCTAGTAACTGAATGATATTCAAATAAATTCTGTAGGTTAAGAGTTTACTGAGGCTATAGTAATTATTTAATATAAAAATAAGAGTAAATCATCAGTTGATAGAGTATTATAAAGAAAAGAGAAGAGTGTTAATAAAGTAAAAAAGTAACCTGGAACATTAAAGTTAGATCTTTTAAATTAAATATTTACAGAATATCCAAATTTAGTCAGACCTATCATACATATAAAGTTAACAGAGGAGGATTTTAATTGAAAACTTTACTAAATTAATATTATAATATATGATAAACATAAATAAAATGATAATATAATATAATAAAAAAAGGAAATAAGGGTGTATGTTTAGAATTTTTGAATGATAAATGAATCACTATCAGATTTCTTCTCCAGCTGATTATCTTAAGGCTAATTATTCTCTTAAGGTTCTTAATTCCTTGTTGACTAATCCGATGGTTTATGAAACAACATCTCTGTCAGAGGTTCTGGCAGCTCTGGCATCTTAGTAATCTTAAACAGCTTCTTCACATTAGGTGAATCTATCGGTTCTGTCAGCAGTAACGTTTTCAATTCTTTAGTTGGTGGTGTCAAGTGAGGCTTCAACTTAAGCAATGACATCATTCAAAGCAGCCAAATCTGATTAAGCGTTAGCAAGAGCAGTTCCGGCAACAGTGAGAGCAATGACAACAAAGTTTCTTGATTTCTTGTAAGCTTCAACTCTCTTATCTTCAGCGAATCTCAATAAGGATAATGAATCAGCAATCTTGGCTAATAATTCATCAGCTAAATCGATGATCTTTGAGACGGCTCCAGCATCAGCTAATTATTCAACCTTTGAGGCAATTGTGGCGAAAGCTTTGAATAATTTGCTGTATCCCTTTCTGTGTTAGAATTTGGCAGCCTTCTTAGCAGATTATGTGAAGTGCTTTTAGATCATACTAGCAACTTCCTTGGTGAATTTGTGAGCTGGTTATCTGGTTGCTTTTCCTTTTTAGATGAAAGATTCGTGTTCAATGTTATCAGCGAAGAGTCTTCTTGCTTCAGCAATGATAGCTGTAGCTTCTTAGTGTTCTAAGACTTTCTCTTCAAAGTCAGCATTTTCTTCAGCTCTTTAAGCATCGAGCTCATCCAAATCCTTTTAGTATCCCTTGACTTCAGCTTATTTTTAGGCAACTAATCCTTATAAGATTCCTCTTTATGGGTATAATTATCCTTCTAATCTAGCTTCTAATTCAATCTTCTTTCTGTTGGATTCAGCCAAATCTTTATCGAAAGCGGAGATGTCCTAGAAAAGTATTAGAAGAATATCTTACAACTGTGCATGCATCTTAGTATTCGTGGTTTCTGGCATCATCTTCCTTTTATTCAGCAACATATCTGTCTTCCAAATCTGTCAAGGTTTAGAGTAATCTGTCCAATGGATCTCCTGTTTAGAGTTCGAGCCAGATGGTATCGAACAATGTTCTTCCGAATGGTGATTAATCAATCTTCTTGATTGTGGCAATGACATCAGCTTATGTTGATGAGGCTAACACAATGAGTGCTAAGGCAAGGATTATTGTCTTCATTTATAATAATATTGAAAAACAAAAAAAGTTAGTCGTTTTTATTCCTCAATAAATGACGTCTTATTTTTTTTTATTTAAAAACATTTGACTAATTTTATTATTTTATATTATTTTCATGAATCTCTTACTTATTAAGTCAAACTCAATTTCCTTTATTAATCTCATCTTCTTATTCTAATTTTATATAATTTATAAACAATTCAAATCATCATTCATCTCATGTAAATCAATTAACTATAACTTTCTTTAAGAATTCTTCTTTCATTTAAAATTGAAACTTATTAACTTAAATAAAAATATAATATTAATTAGATTCACAAATTTATTTGGTTTCATATATTGTGATTGAGTGAAAATAAATAAAAATTAAAAATGTAAAAATAGAATAAAAGAGATGGATTTTAATAATCAAAATAATTGAGATTCATTAGAATTCAAAACATTAAAAAAATCATTTGGAAATCTATTTTTTGGTACTATAGGTTTATTTTATTATATTTTGTTAGTGATTTTTGAATATTATATTTTACTTTATTCATTAAATTTTTTTTTTAATTCCCCAGTTGATAGAAAGAGTAAATCTAATATTTTTTCTTTAGTTTATTGACTAATTTAATTTGAATGGTTAGTATTTTTTTGTGTATTTTTAAAATTATTACCATTATCATCCTCTTTAAAAAACATAGAAAATTCATCATCACATGGCATATCAATATGATGTTTTGTAGGAAATCTTTAAGATTCATTAATACATTAATGTCCAAATTATCTTTTGAGACTTGTAGAGTTTCTATTTTCACAATCACTACGAATTCTATAGGGATCATCTGGTTCAGTCTTCAAAATTGATTATTTTTCCTTTGAGTAACCTCTTTGTAATTAATATAATATTTCTCTTGAATCATCAAAATCTCTTTTTGGTAAATGCACTATTGGAGAATGAATAATTTCACTAGGTTCAGTTTAAGTTTTTTGAATTGGAATATAATTAGAATTATTTCTTGCTTTTGCTGAATCATTTCTCAATCTAATATTACTATGTTAACTGAAGCGTATAGTTTTTTTTGGTTAATTACCAAGTTCACTTATGTTAGGTTCATCAGATTTAAATCTTCTTGGGGTAGACTATCTCATTTGAATATTAAGATTTTCAAAGCTTTTAATTTTAGAGAAAGATTAATCACTTTATTATTACAATTAAGGAGAAGGTATGGAAGGTAAGTCAACTTTATTACTTTTTAGAATTCTCAATCTATATCATTATTATTATTTATACTAATTGTTTATCCTTTTTAGTTTAGGAGAATTAATAGCTTAGGTTATTATTGGAGCAGGTTTTTTTTTGATATTTGATAATCGATTTTGACTTTTTGATTTTGATTCTTCACTTTATTATTGACTAAAGCTTTGTTTTATTGATTGATTTCTATAGGACAAATGATTTACAGGTTTAATGAAGTAGAGCTATTACCTCATTGATGAATATAATTTTATGATTGTTAACAATATAAATGTATTTAAATAATAGGTTTCATTATTTAATTCTTCATATATAATAAAAATAAATATTCTATCTTTGATCTCTTATATCCCTAAGATCTTTAAAAAAGATAGAAGTTTAAAGAGTAAATTAATCAAACTTTTTTATTAATAAAATAGGATTTAAAAGATAAATTATACTATTATCTACGAATTAATGTATTTATTTATATATAAATTAAGTAGATAATAAATAGCACAATTATGATTGATAAATACAATAAATTCATATTTCTTCTTATGAACAAATATATTCTAATGCTTATTTTATTTATTTAGTAAATAACTCTTTTGTAGTACTATTCAAATAGTTGTTCAAAACTAATTAAAGTTATTTAATATACCTTAATATCCTAATGAAATTAACTCTAGAGTTTACATTGGCAATACAAGAGTATTTTTATATTCTTAAACTAATTGAACCAGTAATTATTAATACTAAATTAAGTTAAATATATACCTCAATTGGATTAAATAAAGAAATTGCAAATATAATTTCGCTATTGGGAGTTGAAAATTTTAAAATTTTAGGAAATGCAACAATAATTGTAAAGGCTAATGAAAAAATGGAATTTAAAACAGTTTTGCCGATAGTGTAAACTTCTAATGTTTTTTTCTTTATCATTTCTATATCAACTTATTCACCAATAACTCCTTCTTATATTAAAAATTGCATCACATTGCATAGTATGCTAGCAATTTATGATAATTAAAATGCTTCTTCATTAATTTATTCTTCACCTTTAAGTTATTTAAAATTTAATATTTCTTTTAATGTACTTTCTGATATAATTAACAATTCTAAATAAACATCTGAACCACATCGATAAGCTAATGTTTCACTGTGTTCTGAACAGATTCCTTCCAAACATTCAAACAAATACTTTTTATATTTTATCAAATTAAGAAATAAAGGTTTAAAGACAGTTATAAGTTATAATTATTTTTTGAACAAGCTTAAATATGATGAATCTTAGTAGATTACAAAAAATCCTTAATTAATTTGTTTAGAATTCGAAATCTATCCCATAACTTTTAACAATTTTGCAGCTGTCTTCAATATACCATCCTTCACTTACTCACCTTATTGTAAACTAGTTTAAACTGATAATAATAAATAATCAATAGAAGTAATAAAAAAGGTTGTAGCTTTACCATAAATTTAATAAAGTAGAATTTATATATTTTCACTTGATAATCGTGTATTTCTAAAATTAATTAAAATTATTATCTTACTTATTTTTAAATATTGAACATAATAGTGCAGTTAATCCTAAAGATGAATCATAATCTTTTACAAATATTTGAGTGTTGTCAGTTGACAAAAGAGATGATAAATCAGAAAAACTATTTTTATAATTTTTTATTATTACACAATTCTTAAGAATACTCTATATATATTATCTACTTCTAATTCATCTACTACTCCAATCATATCCCACAAATATTTTAGCATATTTATTTTATTAGTTTCATTTGTTAGAGATTTTTTTATTTAGTTATAAATTTCAACTAATGCTGGAACATAATCATCAAATAAATCATCAACCCAAACTAAAGAAACTAATTTGTAAACTTATTTTCTTTTTTTTATATATTAAACTTCATTAAAACATGTTAAATCCATCTATAAGAAAAATTGTTTTAACATACTACTTATAGAACTCTATCTAAAAAATCTTCTATCAAGTTATCTCTTTAATCTAAAATAGAAATAAAAAAATACTTTTCATATGTGTATTACAAAATTATAAAACTATATTCCACTAAGTCAGGATCGTGAAAAGTAAATATTTAAAAACTTAAATTTATTTCAAATATATTAATTACCATTTCTCTAAACAATTCTCTATAACTATTAAATAATTTGATTATATTTAATTATCTTTTCCCAAACTCATTGATCTATTATTAATCTAAATAATTACAATTACGATTAAGATATGACTATTTTTTATGTCTCTTCATAATATAGATTCTCTATAGTTTAAGATATATATGTGTGAATAAATATGAGAATACTAGTGTGATAAAGTTTGCAAACATAATTCTATTTTCATATTAGATTATTTTTACATCTGCTGGAATGTTAATTTTATTTGTAAATGCAATCAAGTTAAGAACTCCTTATAATAACATACAAGCTTAAGGGTGACCTTCTTATTTGTTTAAGTGAAATTATGATTCTCCACTTAGTAATTCTAATTAGGCTGGACTTAAAACAAGAGCAGAAATTAAACATAATAAAGCACTAAATTTTTCTATAATTTGATTAATTATTTACATAATGTAATTAATTGTTCTTATGGTTATAATGTTTATACTTGCTAATATAATTTATTATTTTATACATAAATGGGTAAATTTTTTAATAATTCGGAAATCAGATTTATACATTCAACTGTATTTTGTTGATAAACTTAAATACACAAATGAAAGCTTTTGTCTAAGTACTTTTTTATTTTTTTAATAGGATAATTGGATGGTATTTCAGAAAATGGATTTCCATTATAAAATGCATGGATTAATAACTTAAAACTCATATTGACAGAATTTTAAAGTAGTTCAAATTATTGTAAATATTGAGAACTATATATATTAATTTAGAATAAAAATTGATGCCAAACTTCCTATAGTTTAATGAAAACGCTATTTGAAGATAGTTTTATTCCTTAATTATTGAGAATTCTTTGATTTATTTAATTTAATTATTTTACACATTAATCAAACAAATCCTAAAATTTTCTTAGTTTTTTTAAAGTAAAATTTGACTAATAAATAACTTATACAAACATACAACTAATCTTATAGCAAAAGAACAAACTTCATTAAAAAAATCAATGTTGTTTAAATATAATTCATAATTACTTAACAGGAAAAGTAAACCTTCCCAAAGAGTTCGTCTAACAATTTTTTTAAAATTATGCTTTGAAATAAATAATGATAATCTTGCAGATGAAATTCTCTATATTATACTAAGTATTTTAATTGATATGGTTTAATCTATAGAATAAAATTCAATAATTGCTCTAAAATACTCTTGATTCAATTTTTCATCATTAATTATTTTAAAATAAGAATCAGGAAACTATAATTTTATTATTTTATACACTGATTATGAAATTTTCTTTAGTATCATGATCAACATCAATTTCATAGAAACTTAGATTGAAATTAAATGTTAAGAATGAATTAAGTAATTAAATTAATTAATCAGCATAAGATTTGTCTAATTAATAAATTTGTAAGAAGGTTCCCATTTTTAATGAATTTTAGACAAGTTTATGAGTATGCTCTAATAAAGTTGATAAGGATTATCTAAGAATATTAATTATACTAATAATAACCTTTGAAAGCCCATCATGACTTTTCTAAATTCTAGATAACCAGTTGCATAATAATATTAGCGAACACAACTTAATATATTATCAAATAGTTTGCATCCTAAAGTTAAAATTTAAAAATTTTAAGTTTAAAAAAATGTGTTAATAAGTTTTTCCACCATTTATTCTGGAGCTATTATTTCAGACCAATATTTTCTCATCATAAAAGCTAAGGCAAACAAAACAGTATTTTAAACATAAGTTTGATGTTGTAAACCTTTTGAAAAATAATTTACCACAATATCCAAATGAGTTGTTACAATTGTAGTATAATGTTTTCTTTCATTACTAAAATATTTATCATTTATATACACCTTTCATATTCTTCATAACTTTAAGATTATCTCTATGGAATTGAAAGTACATTAATAAATTTATAACCTGAAGCTATTGCTTTTTGAAGTAATGAGTAAATCACAAAAGTAGTTTCTTATTTACAATCAATTTCTATAATGTTTCTTAATATTTGTAAATTATTCCAATCCAAAATGAATTTTCTTAATTGTTCTAAAACTTATTGATTCTTCTATTAATAATCAAATTGAATTAATACCGTAAAATCTCCTGCAGAATATGATTATAAACAATAATTGTGTATTGTTTATTAAAGCGCAGATGTATTATTCATATAATTAAATAATTATTATAAGACATAAAATGAATAATAGAATATCAAAAAACTTAAGCTAAATAACTTCAAAGCTATATGTTGTTATATTTTTCTTGGTAATAATTTAATATATATAAATAGATCTGATCATTTTATAAATTGGCGGTGTTTTATTTATCTAATCAAATATAATATTATATTTCTACAACAAAACTATTACATTATAATTTTTGCATTATATATTTTTTAATTATTAATGTCAAATAAATTTATTCTTTAGATTCATTTATTAACATGAAGACTAGAATTTTGATTTAATAAAAAGAAAGAAAAGTAATTCCAAGAAACTTTTACATGTTTTTAAATTTTTTGGAAAGTTGATTAAAATCATTTTTGAATTAATCAAGTAGATTATTTGAACTAATTCTTGTATAATTGAAGTTTAGTTTTATATTTAAATTCCATTATTAGAATACATAGTGTATGATCATGAAAGTATTTTTAAATAGTTTATTCTGAGAATAAATTGATTGGGCGGTTAATTATTAATAAAGAAAGATAAGTTTATAAATTATGAGATGTATTAATATATATGTTTTATCAATAATTATATTTAAATTTGAAATAATGAACTTGTAGTGGAATCCTTATTTCAATCCAAAAGAAAATGTTTAGCAGTTAAATGTATCAATCTATATTAATACAGAATCTATCGTTTATGAGATTTGATGAAAATTTACAATAACCATTATACAATAAATAGATTCAATTTCATAAAAAAATATAGATTTAAGTAAATTTAATTTATAGTTTAGCCAACATTCTAACCTGATAATATAAAATATAAGAGAAATAAAAAACAATCAAGTTGTGTACCATTTTAATTAAATGTACCTCAATAAACTTCTAATCAAACTTTAACAAAAGTAGCATAATTAAGTTTAAAACCTATATTCAGTAAACCAAAATGCATAGAAAATAATACATAAAATGAGAATCTGAAGGGATCAGCAATATGGGAGAGAAAAGATTTTCAAAATTAACAAATAACATTTGAGTCTTTCTTAAAAGAGTAAAATTTATCTAGAAATAATTCAATTGAGCATAATAACAATAATAAATCTCTTTTTAAAAAGAATCATCGTTAATACAGTCATGTTGTTTAAGGTAATTCTGGAGCTTATTTTATGATTTCTAATATACCTTAAAATAATACTAATACAAATACAACTAATTCATATTATTCTAATTGTGAAAAGTAAGGATTTATATTTTATATTTGTAGTTGTAATTCTTAAAGAGAAGAAAGAAAAATTGAAAAAATAAATGTTCCTAAATTTTTTATTCCAGAAGATAATTCTAATTTATTTAGTGAGAGAACAATAAAAAAATAAAGTCCTAATAATTTAATTAAACATAAAAAAAATACTAGATGTATTTCTATGGGAGAATAAAAACAAATAGGACTTACACTAGAATGTGATGAATCAAGTATTACAATTCTAAGTGATAATGCTAATACATTATTACCTAATCCTACAAATTCTAAAAATAATAATATTTCACAAAATGAAAATACAATTAATCAAACTTCTTAAATAGGAGGATTTTCTTAAGAAACTTTATAAGTTTTAATGCTTTAAGAAATTGAATATGCTCCTAATAGTGATTATCTTTAATCAATATAAACTTAAATCACTCCATTGATGAGAGCAATTTTAATGGATTGGATGATTGAAGTTTGTTCTGTTTATCTTATGAAGAGAGATACATATTATTTAGCTATTGCTTATGTTGATAGCTATTTATCTAAAAAAATAATAACAAAACCAGAATTATAATTATTAGGTACTGCTTCTATGTTAATAGCATCTAAAATGGAGGTATAATTATTAATTATTATATTTTAAAGGAAGTTGAAGCAAAAAATCCAAAAGATTTTGAAAAAGCAAGTAATTATGGTTATTCTTTGAATAAAATATATGAAATGGAAAAGGAAATTTGTAGAATTTTATAATGGCATTTAAATGTTCCAACTATTAATCTTTGGATTGAATTTTATACAAATCAATGGGATAATTTTATTATAGATGATATTCATAAAAAGTTTAGAGCAAATAATAATTCTTCATTTAAAAGTATTAATTTAATACTATAAATAAGTTATGTTAAAATTGTAGGGATATATTGATTGTTGTTATCTTGATATTGAAACTCTAAGTTATAAATCAAGAAAAATTGTGGCCTCTTTTATGTATCTTGTTTTGGCTTTAGAATATGAATAATTTACAAAAGAGTATATTTATTATGAAATTCCTAAGACTAGCAAATTTATCCTTGTTGATTGTAAATATCTTTTGTAATCACTAGCTTAGAAATCATTCAACAAAATATTTACAGAATTTGCTTAAATCAGTTTCGGATTCAATCTTGTGGATTTGATAGACAGTATTAAATATGCCTCAAAATTTATTATGTTGGATTTTAAATACAGTGATACAATCCAAGACAAAATAAATATTCAAGTATTTAATATTATCAATTCTTAGAGACACGAAGATTTACTCATATATTAAAAATATAATTAAACTGGACTCTCTTTCATTAGATATAAACTCTAAAAATGATATAATTTTAATTAATTTTGTTTTTATACTTTTATATATTATAACCCTAATTATTAATAAATATTAAACCTTTTTTATGATTATTAAAGTATTCTTTTTTTAAATTACTATTACAATTATTTTTAACTCATTATAATTAATTGATATTTTCTATTTCATTTACACTAATTGTAGATCTAACTGTTATCTATCATTAAAGAAATAAATATTTGTTTCTATTATGTATATTAAATTTAATTATCTGTAAAAAATTAAATCCTATAAGCTAATCTTCTAAGTTTAAATTCATATTACTATTACGATAATATCTATTTTAGTAAGAATGATAAGGATTCTTATCGATTCTAATAGTCCATAACAATAATTAAATTAAATTGTCATATTAAATTTAAGGAATTAATTCACTAAATATTAAAAAATATTAATTATTTATAAAGAGATTAAATAAATTTAATAAAATTTCGTAGATATTTGTGAAAAATTGTAAAAACTTAAAATTGAATTGTTTATAAAATAAATTAATTTATAATCAGGATTAACTAAAGGAAAAATCCATGATATTTTTTTTATAATGAAAACCAGGCTAGTGTATAGTAGAATGTAATAATAAATCTTCTTTATCAACACCTTTTAAATTTGGAAAGATTTTGAATAGTAGTCTTTTATAATCTTTGGAATTTGCACAGATATTATGATTACAATTAATAAATTCTAAGGATTTATTAATATGAGTTAATTGATTCAATTAAATGAGATTATTTGCACTTATATTAAAGATCTTGAGAGATTTAGTATTTGAAAGTGTAGATATTTGATTATTTTAAACATAAAGTTCAATCAAATTAGGAGGCAAGCCATCTAAAGTTTTTAACTAATTTCCAGCAACTGACAAAACTTTTAATTCTGTGAGTTCTTCTAATTTTAGTTCTTTAATATTAAGATTATTTATGCTTAATGCTTATAAATTTTAAAAAATCATAGCGACTTCTCGTATTTCTTAACATCTTTCTTAAAATGTTAATATCTAAATATTAAAAATTGCTTTATTAAGATTATGAAAAACAAGATAGAAATCTTATAATGTAAAATTTTACACACCGTTAAGTAAAATTTCATCGGAATTTTATGTTAACTATTTGGATAATTCTTTAATTAAGAGTTAATGAGGCTTTTTTAATTAATGCTATTATTTCTGCTTTGAAATATATTTACTATACATACATTTTCAATTTAATTTTCAATATTAGTTATTTTAGCTAATAATTTCTTTTAAGCTTCCTACAGATTTTCTATTTTTAATCTAGGACTCTTAGATAGTCGAGCAACTTTACAATTTTGCTATGTTTTAATAAGTTTTGTAGGATCATTATAAGATAGTCTAATTTCTTATTTAACTTTAGTGTCACTTAAGGTTAAATCATTAATAGAATCAGTTAGAGAATTGACACAAGTAGATAATTATTGATCCTATTAATGTAGATTACCAATAATTTAAAAGAAATCATCATATGTTAATCGTTTTTTCTTGAATTTATATACTTCTTCAATAACTTCATCTAAAGAAAATAATTCATCTTAGAAATTTGTAGATTCTATAATAGTTTCATCTTTTAATTAACTAATCAATTCAGAAATGCTTAGAATGCTATCTTTTTAGAATAATTTCTTAATATGTATAAGCCAATTGAGTTTAGATGAACATACTTCCATTATAAGTTTAAATAAAATTAATTAATAACTATCATTTATTTGATTATAGGTAATATTAAGACATTATCAAGAAGAGTTTATAGATGTTACTATAAGAAAAGAATATTTTGGAATATAATTTTATGATATTTAAATAGAAAAAAGATAAGATAAAAGTATAAAAAGAAATAAATTTATTTAACAAAAGGAAAAACATATAAAAATAAAAAAAGAAATAGTAATTCTTAAATATAAAATGTAGTGAGCTAAAGTTATGAGTAATGGAAGCTTGATTAAATGTGTTAAAGGGAGTATTAAAAAAAGAGAGGCAAAAATATAGATTCAGAAGGATATAGTTTAAAAACTGATTAAAAATAGAATAATGGAATAGAATACAAAAAACTTTACAATCTTTACTTGGATGAGTGTGTTGATTATTATAATAAACAGAGGAAATCAGATTATGAGATGAATTGGTAATATTCAAAAAAAGATAGAGAACCTATTGGGGAATTATAAGTAGTTTTGAATGGTAAAGTTATAACAATTTTGAAACAATAAATAAAAACAAATGGGAAGAGATAAAATAGAAAAAATAGTGATTAAGAGATTTATGCAATGAGTAATAGTATTTCAGGACCAAAATTTAATGATATACCATGTCCATAGTTTCTAAATATCTGAGTATATTAAATCATAAAAAATATAGAAATAATAAATCTTTAAGTAAAGACATTTGAGTAATATATAAAGTTTGAGATAAATACGTAAAGTTTGAATGTAAAGGAGTATTAAATAGTTTGTATTGAATTTGATGATATAAATTAAACTAAAAATGTTTTATTTGAGTTTACTATTTTAAATTAGTTTATGCTTGGGGGAATTGGAGATTATAGAAACAAAGGAATCTTCTGAAACTTTTACAACTCATATGGGAGAGCCAAACATAATATATTGGATACCATAAGCAGAAGATGCTATATTAATACCTTTTTAATAGAATAGCTTTTGTTAAATAAGATAATAAACTGTTTAAACAGAAACATAATAATTTACAATCATTTAATAGGATGATTTTAAAGAGTAAATTATGAGAATAAAATTTTAGTTATGAATTTGAGAAGGATACTCCATTAAATTTTAGAGAATTTATTGGTATGGTGCATGTAAATGATGGAATGTTAGCAATAACTTCTGATGCTGTAGCATATTTAATAAAATTTAATTATGACAATGTTCTATAAAAATAAGGATTTACAATGTATGGAAATGCTAAAGATTTTGCAGGTGTAACATGGAAAGCTAATCTTTAAACAGTTCTGGAATCAATAGAGGCAAAAGAAGAATTACCATAATTAGTATATTCAAAATAAAATAATTGGGCTTTTGTTATATATTCTGATTCTGCATAATTTTTTAGTGTAAGTTAGATGGAGGAAAATATTAAAAATATGTATGTTAATTATGTATAGAATTGGGTTAAAAGAGAGGAAAGAGGATTGACAAAAGTAATTGATGGATATCTATTTTCAGCAGTTGGAAGAGCAGGAATGGATATATATGAAATAAAAGAGAATGATGTTTATTATAGATAGACAATAACATTTAGAGATTTTAATTTAAAAAATGAATAATTAGAATTAAAAGACTTTGCAATTGTTAAAGCAAAAGTTGGATAATATCAAATATATTTACTTGATGCTAAATAAGGTTTAATTGTAGCTTATATGTTTATTAATAAAGAAGGTTTTTAATTTGAAATAGCAGTTGATATAGAATCTCAAAAAGGTGGAATTGCTGTTGATACTAAAAATGGTAAAAATGTATTTGTTGCATATCAAGTTAATGGAATTCATTTTTATGTTGAATATTTAGTCAATTTTAATGAAAAATCTTATTCAATAATTACAAAAAAAGAAAGTAATTATAGAATATTAGATGTTGATGCTACAGATGAATTTGCTATAATCAGTGGTGTAAATCATCATTAAATTGTTTTTAATAATGGATATGAATTTATTGCTCCTCATTAAGATAAGATTATGTTTACTTAAATAGGAATGAGAGATTTTTAATTTTTCTAATATACTTATGAAGAAGATGAATTAAAAAAAGCTGCTAAAGATGACTATTAATATGATGATTTTTTCTTTGGTGTAACTGCCACAAATGCATTTCTTACTTAATTTAGATTTGTTCCTGCAAGAGTTGTTTGTTTTGCTGATCATAGTAATTATATTTCATTATTTAGATGCTCAGGGATCTCTTAAATAATATTATACATTATAATATAATTAATCATTTACTGAAAATAACAATGTTTCTCCCAATAAAATTATCAGAACAACTAAAAATTTTACTGTTCAAATTGTAACAACTTATTTATTTGCATAACAATGGAGACTTATCAGAATCTTACTTATTTTATTAGGAATAATCATTTTAATATCCAGTATCTATTATAATCATTTATTTATTTAGTTGGAATTATAATCTATTAGTTTAGAAAATTTAGAATTTAAGAATTAACTTTAGAAAATGAAATTGATTAAGAGAGAAAAAAATAAGTTGATGATAGTGGTTTCAAACTTAATGATTCTTCCGTGATTATGAAGGTTTAAAAAGTTGAGTGAGTTTAATATCATATATTTATTGATAAAAATTCATATTGATTTCTATTAAAAAAATAATAAAATAATTTTGTCGAAAGTTGGTTTTTAGCATTATCTCAAAAATATTAATTAATGTAAAATTATTTATATTATTAATAATAAACTACATAAAATTAATTTGAGATATGAAAGAAATAAATTAAAATAATTTTATTTTGTTTTATACTATTTCTTTTAATATAATAATATCAAAAAATTTTGGGTTGCAAAAACATCTTACTAAATTGTTAATGATGAAATAATTTCTTGTAAAGCTAGATTTTAAATTAAATATTTTGATAAAATGGCTTTGATATAAGCATATTAAATATTTGAAGAAGCAGAAGGATTCATATAAAAGAAAAGCCAAATTTTTTAAACATATATTTTGTATAAATATCCATAGTATGTGGAGATAGTATAGCTAAATAGATTCATAAATTGAATAAAAATTTATTCTATCAAAGACAGTATCTAAAAAGGGAAAAAGCTATTTTAATAATATCTTAAGAAGAAGAATAATTATTAAATCAATTAGCCTTCAATTGTTAATAGTTAATAAAATATATTGAATTCTATTAGAGATAATACTGATAGAGATGCTAAAATACATAAGAAATTTTTATGTGTAATAATACAAGGGATGAGCTTAATAAATGTTACAATTATAAGATAGCCATAAAAGATATTTTAAAGTCAATTCTGAATTGTTAGTAATGAGTAAGTATAAATTTAATGATAAAGCTTATGACGAAGATAATTAGGAATTTATATAGATTATGACAGATAAAATGGAATAATTAGATATAAAGCAAAAGAGGAATAGAAAAAAAAGTAGCAAGAATATTTGAAGTTGTATAGTAAAATTGAGAAATATTATGAATAGAAAGATTAATTTGGTTATGAGAATGATGATGATTATGGTTGGAAATGAATTTTGAATAAAAATTATTATCAATTTAAAATATAATAAGGAATGAAAAGGATGTAAAGCAAAGAAGATATAATTAAGGATCAATATATGAAAACTCTAACTTGTTTCTTATAGGATAGTACTCTTTACGATTGCTTATCTATCAATAATTAAGTGACTGTGATTGATTAGTCATTTTCTCTGTTTGATGTTTTTAATGTGTTTATCGATACACATATTGATGAAGTATTGTTTTGGAATCCAGATGTAGCTTATTATGATGGAGTATTCACTTAAACAGATTTGATTCGAATAATCCTTAAATGTTATCAAAATATTTTGAATGGTGTTCCTAATGGTAACCTATAATACATATTTTAGTCAGTGTGGGGAAATAGTAAAATATAGGTTCAACCAATTATGGAAGAAGAAGATGAAGATCGTACTACTCCTGTGCATTAAAAATAATTAATAGGATAAGAGCAAATAAATAAATTGCTAATTGATTTAAAGACAATTTCAGTCAGAGATTGGTTCAATTCCTATGGAGAAAGTCTTCATCAAAGTAGTTTGGTTTAAGCAGACATGGCTGATAATCTTAATGATGCTATGAAAAAGATATTAAAGTAGGGTGTAACAAGAATTGTAGTTATTGATACTGAATCTAGAATTATTGTAGGCATACTTTAATAAAAAGATATTTTAGCATTTCTTGTTAAAGGATTTAGTTAATATTTCCATTTATAATTATCATTGAAATCTCATAAAGTTGAAGTTCCTCATCAAAACAATTAATAATCTGAACAACATGAATTAGAAATCAATTATTTTAGTGATAGCATCTTACTTTTGAATGACAAGCTTCCTTATGACACTAATGTATATGAGTAATTATATCCTAATATTTAGTGTTTTTTATAAATTGATCTATGTATTCAAACGTAATGCTATACCAATTGTTGATTAAAACAATAAATTTCTAGGTTTGATTGATCGAAGAGACTTCTAATTTATTCTTAAATATCAAGTATTTGACATGGTATTATTAAATATTATTAAAAGTTGAATAGACCAGCTATTGATTTATTGAACTTTATCAAAATTGAGAAAAAAAAATTCGCTGGATTTTCTATTTGTAATAAAGAATTATTTCATATGAAACAAACATTAAAAGAAGTATTTTTCTATATATATTTAGGTTGTTGAAAATCTATTACTCTCTTCTAGGGGTAGTCTAGTATGCTTAAATGAAAATTAAGAGCCGATCGCTACATTATAAATGTCTGATCTCTTCAAAATTTGTTTAGATGATATCGAATTAGAATGAATTTATTTTATCATAAATATGTGTATATATTTTTAATGAATTTTTATAAATTTCCTTAATAAACCACTATCCTAGTATACAATACAGCAAATAAAGAGTAAGCATAAATCAAAATTACTAATGATTTTAAATTGTTCTTAAACTCTTTAAATGAAAAGTTTCAATTACCTTCCAAATTTACTTTATGTTATTAATTTAACGTTAAGGATAGAGTCATTTTTTTGGCTTGTCCATCAGATTTTTAATTATTTTTGAATAAGATATAGAAACTGAAAGTTAAGTATCAATTACTTTTAATATTTTTTAGTAATTATCCTATTATCTAAATCATTAGCTTGAAATAGAATTAATTTATTTCAAAGGAGATGATTTAAGATGCTGAAGCATGGTAAGAAAAACTGTCAGAAGGATATTCCTCAATAATTGTATAGAACTCAGAAATCGAATAATTAAATGAAGAATTTTAACATGTTTCAATCTCTTAAAATTAGTAACAAGATGAAATCAATTATCATAAATGCCAATTTTGCTATAAGGATTTGGAATAAAATAGATATTTTAGATGTATGGTTTGTTTTTTCTTTTAAATTTGTGAAATGTGTAATATTCATAGAAAATTGAATGAACATTCTGATTGTCATATTTTTATTTTATGTAATTAAGTGATTGATTGGAATAAACTTAAATAAGATACAAAGATTAGATTAATGAATTAAAAAACCAAGCTTATGAAAAAGTTTAAAATACATAAAATGAATATTCATGAACTTATTGTTTGTGATTGTTGTAATTCTGCACCAATTTAAGGTGTTCGATATTCCTGTTGTCAATGCCCAGATTTTGATTTATGCTAATAATGTCTTAAGATTTATCATCATGATAAGACTCATAGTTTTATATAATTAACAACGAATATTGAATTTATAATATTTACATGAAAAATAATATATATAATTATATATGAGTTAAAAATTTGAATAAATTGCAAGACTCACAAGAAATAGCACAAATTTTAAAGCGAATTTCGTGCCTTTAACTTTAGTAGGTACATCCCTAATTTCATTTATTGCTTGGTCAAAATTACCTTATGGATAAGCATTTCCTCATTTAACAATTTCAGAATATGTTCCAAAGAAATCCTATTTTCATTCTTTAATTTTAGCTCCATTAAATTTTTAAACTAATGTATTTCAATAATCAAGTAATTAGGGACATTTATCAGTTTATGGTCCAGCAATGCTGTACTCTTTTTATTAAATGAGTTCAATTCTATGTAATACTTAGTTTTTAGCATTTTATTTAATTAATTCAGTCATATGTTCATCATTCACAGTTTATTATGAAAAAAAAAAAAGTGCAGAATATGGTATAAATCTAATGTCTCCAAAATGTGTAGCTGCAATTACTCCTTTAAGTTTCATGACAGCTTTATTAGTTTTAAAACCACATCTAAGATTAGTAAATAAAGTATATACTAAATAATAAATTCATAGCCTCCTTTACCATTTTTTTTAGTAACTGCTATGTATTGTATGTATGAAATATAAGAATATCAAAATGGGTTTGTAAATGAAGTGTGTAGACCAACCCATATTTTGGCAATGATTAATGGATTAATATTAGGACTTATTTTTAAAAGATTCATTTGAATTCTATCTTTTACATTATTTGAACAAATATTATCAAATCCTAAATATCATAATTATTCTTAAAATATTAGATAATTTAATTAAAATATATTATTAGAAAGGTAGATACTAGAATTACCTACATAGAAAATTTAAGTAAAATAAATATTTATATCTTTATTGACCATAATTTATTTAATTTATTATTATTGTACTAAATAATTATTTTGATCATGATCTGTATAGATTTGGTCTTTTAGCTTTGAACACAGTTCTGAATTTTTTGTGACTAGCTCTAGGAACTGTCTTAACAATTGGGAATTTAATTGAATCTCCCTAAAAATATTTTTGATTTAATTTACTCTGTATTAATTAGTCTTTCCTCTCTTGATATCAGCACTCTTAGTTAAAACAGAAGTTCTGAGAATATGAATAGTTTATGGTTAAGCTCTGTGATTTCCAGCCATTTCTTAATCTAAAAATTTATAATAAATTCATACATAATTATGAGACTGCACCATTCAATGTGGTATCTCTAAATTCCTTATACATATTGTGTATAGTTGTTCTGGATTGATATTTAAGAACTATTCCATAAGTTTTAACATTTGTGTCCCTTCTCTCAAATAATTCTTAAACTGCTAAAATCTAACCATGAGAAGGTCTAAGTTTATTTAGTCTTCTTAAATTCCACCTACAATATTGCATAATCTAAATACCAAAATCTACTTTTTGCAGCAACTGTATTTCTTGCAAAAATTCTCATACTTATAACTTTGGGATTTGGATCTTCTTTTGATGGAAGTCTTCTACCTGAGACTAAGTATTGTCTAATCTATAGATTATTTTCTTCTTATGTACTTTCATTTATAAGGAATTATCTTATGGGTCTTATGCTGAGTTTTTAACCATTTTTTATTTTAAAAAAAGATTTAATTTATAATACAATTTATTATCACAAACAATAGAACACATCATAATATCTGTAGCTAAAGGAATTCTTTTTTATTATCTGATTCAATTAAAAACTAATTCAAAATATTAACATTTTTATTTAACTTTCTTATCTTAAAGTATTTATATCCAAATAATTATATAATTATTTACATTTTCATCTTTAAAAATAGAATGAATAATCAAAAAATTATGATTATCAATAGTCAAACTTTGTTGATTATTTCAATAATAAATTTATTTTAAAATAATTTTGAATGGGATAAGTAATAAATAGTATTAAAACCAACCCTAGTAATAATTTAACTATGCAAAATCATTATTAGCCATAATTCATTAATTTTAGACACACTATTTCAATATTATCATATAATATATTAGCTGCTATTTATTGTGAATAATAATATTTTAGTTATGCTCAAAATCAAAATCTATAGTTTGCGAATAGAAGTGCTAAAATTATTAATTAATTGAAAAATTTCAATCCAGACATATTTTGCCTTCAAGAAGTGGATAATTTTGAATTTTATAAAGAACATTTTAAGAAACTAAATTATAATTCATGTTATGTTTAGAGACCTTAAAGATAAGATGGATGTTTAATTGCTTTTAAAATTGAAAAATTCAAATTAGTAAAATATTCAGAGTATTCCCTTGATAAGATGGCATTAAATTATGGATTATCTGTTCATTACTAAAGACAGAATGTGTTTTAAATTATTAAATTAGAACATATGTATGTATTTTTTAAGATATCATAAGATTAACAAAAAAACAGCTAATCATTGGAAACATACATATTTTTTGGAATCCTGACTTAGATGATTTAAAATTCTTTTAAATTGTTCAACTTGTTTAAAAAATGGAGGCTGAAAAAGAATCAGATGATTAAACACTTATTTTTTGTGGTGATTTTAACAGTTAACCTAATTCTAATCCGATTCAATACATATAACAAAACTAACCAATTTTAGAAAGAATTGAGAAGTCTTAAAATTAAATTAAACTCTAAAATGAGATATTTGAACATTATGGTCCTCCAAAATTGAATTGGCAAAGTGCTTATCATCCATTCCCTAAATTTACTAATTATACACAAAATGTAAATTTTTGCATTAGTATAGTTTAAAGGATGTATAGATTACATTTTTTATCATAATACAAATTTAGAAAGGATTTTAAGAATTCCAGATGAAAAATTACTTTAATAAGAAGTAGCTCTTCCTAATACCTTTTTTCCAAGTGATCACTTACCAATTTTAGCTTATTTCGATTTTTATTATTGATAAATAAGAAAATAATGATATTAATTTCAGCATATTCATTTTTTATATAATTTATATGCTCAAGAACAAGCAATATTAATTAATAGTATTATTGGGATCAATTTTAAAGTTAATCTTAATTAATTTCCTAATTTATTTTTCTAATTTACTACTTCTATTCATTTTTAATATACAACCTTCATTATCAATTGATAACACTTACTTAATTGAATCTGAATTATTTTATTTAAATTGTATTTATACTTCATATTTTTCTTTTCTTCCTAGGTTACCTGTAGCATTTATTTTTTTGTTATTTAAAAATTATTCAATATTTATGATATCTTTAAAAATTTTTCTTATATTTGGTTCTTTTTTATAAAAAATATATCAATTTAATTTAAAAATTTTAAGTATAAACATATCCCTAAAACTGTTAAATATTTTAGATAGTCATATCTTACAAAACATAAAGTGTTTGAAAGAGAAAAATTAAAAGTATTAAAATCATTAAAATGGGAGGGAAAATTTATCTTATAATGGCTAAAAATAATAACTAAAATATGGTGAAGTTATTTTGTATTGTTTTTTTGAATTAACTCTATCATACAAAAATTTACAATTATTTAACAAAATTGAATAGGTTCTTGAAAATTTTAGTTTTTGCTGTAATTTACATAATTTATAATAATATTCTTCATGATATTAATCTAGAGCCGAATAATAATTAATTTATCTTATTATGAAAAATTCACAGAAATGTTTAAACTTTCAGAATGAAGTTTATAATAACTTAGAAATAACTTCATCATAAGTTTTGAGAGGGAAATTAAATGAAAAGGATGAATAGGTCAATTATTTTGAAATACATTTAGATAAATGATTTGTAAAGTTCTTGTACATAATCGTTTAAGATTCAAGAGTTTAATCTATAATTACTAATAGACAAATCATAAGAGAAATTGTAGCAATAGGAATAATTATAAGGGCATTCTCCAACTTGTCGAAAAAGATCAAGTTCATTTGAAGAGTTATAATAGAAATTAAATGATTATATTGAACAATACATTTAAGAGATTAAAGAGCCACAACATTTTTTAGACACTTATTCGTTATAGAACTCTGAAATATGTGATGATGAATTTTCAACACAATCCATCGATTTATGCTAAAGAATATACTAAGTAAAAATATGTTGATTTAATTTTAGAGAATAATAGCTTAACTGAATCTATCAGTAATATAATCTAATTCTTTTGATCAGTCTACCATTATTTCTTCACCTAAAAATAATGATTCCATTTAAATAATGAATTATATGACTACTTCTACTCCTCTAACTCCAGTTTAATTGGAGGATTTTCCAAAAAAAAATATATCAAATTCAGCAAGTTAAGATAAAATAGGATTTAAAAATAGTTCGTAATCTATGAAGTCTTGAATTAAATATTAAACTTAATGATTCATTATTATATTTGTTTGATCATTAATTCCTTTTTTATGATTAAATCTAATTGATTTTGCAGTACACTATAATATGTTCTTAATGCGATACTTTAGCAACTCACATACAAATTTAATTTAGCAAGAATAATAATTAAATGTTGTCAGAAACTGTTATTTAATAATCTCCAGCTAAGAAAACTATTAAAAGAATACAAGGTTATAAAAAAAAAGGAATTTTTACAGAATAAGTTGAATAAAATAATTTTGAAGATGAACATAAACAAAGTTTAGAAGATAGACTTAAAATGTAAAATTATTTAAAAGAGGCTAAAGAAGAGCTTATGAAAATTGCTAATCAAAATAAAGATTTTATGATATTCTCCTCTTATGAAGAAATGTCTAAGCATAGAGAAAAAAGAAGAAATGAAGAATAATAAATGATTTTTAAACCATTATAATTTCCAACTAAAGGCGGATCTGTAATAAGATGTAAAAAAATACAGTAAAACACTACGCCTGAAGAAATGAATGCAAATTATGGTATTTTAACTTTGGATTAGAAAATTAAAGCAAATAAAGCTTATACTGATAGATAAGAAAGTAATTCCCCTAATAAATTTGATTTTACTGAAAAATTTCATCATATAGAAGGTAAAATTGCTAAGCAAAATAGAATAGAAATCATCAAAGAATATAGTAAAATTTATAAAAGAGTTCAAATTAAAGCAGTACCTAAATAATTAAATGAATCTCAATATAATTCAAAATATAGATAAGCAGTTTAAAAAGTTTAGGTAATTAATCATAGAAAAAGTGGGAAAAATATTTTACCTGTTTTATCAATTGAAAAAAAAGAGTCTGTAGAATCAATTCTTTCAGATCTTAATTACAGTAGATGGTCTTTGGAATAAGATATTAGTTATTAAAATATTCCAGATTAAAAAATTGGTTTATAATAAAGATTAGGTGGTGGATTTACTAAAATAAACAAAGAAAAATATTTAGAATACTTTTCTAAATGAACTTTATGATGTTATTTATTATCCTTTCATATTTTTTAAAGTGGTTAATTAATAAACTAATTTCTTTATATTATTAGTATTTGTTAAATAAATTTATTTTTTCTGATATACAACAAAATCATACTTATACTATCTGTTTCTAACTTAAAACCAACTTGCATAGATAAGGTATATCTTATTTTTCAATAAATCTTTTATAATGATTATTATTTAAGTCAATCGATCTTATTCATTTCTTTTAAGATTTAGAACCATCATATTTTTTAGAATATTTCTTTTAATCTATCATTCATTATAAGCTTTAAATAAATAATTTTAATATATAATTAGAATTTTAATGTAAGTTGAGGACTTATAAAGAAAATAAGTTAATTTTGTTGGATAAGAATAAAAGAGTAAGAGGAAACTAATTAAATAAGGAATATATATATAAAAAAGTATATAAATAGTTTAATAATAATTTTTAAGTTAATTTAAAATCCGTTTTTTATAAATATTAATTTTAATGAAATTCACAATTTGCTTCTTATTGGGATTGGTAACACTAAATGCAGTCTTTGTTAAAAAGCCATCTGATCCAAATGCTGGAGTGTTTGCTGAATTGGAAGAGGTATTATAATTATTGAATAAAATAGATTGAAGAACATGCATTGGGAAGAAAATTACTTGATACAATAGCTCTTTAAATGAAAAATTAAGCGCCATTAGCTGATATTGCAAGAATGCTTTAAGAATTAAGAGAAAACTTATTATTACAATAATAATAAGCTGAATTAAAACATGCTGCTGATGAAGCTGATTGTGCTGCTGAAATAGCTGGTTACAATAGAAGAATTGATTATGCTTCAAATGAAATCAGTGAATCAACAACAGAAATCACTGCCTTGACTGCTTAAGTTTAATAATTAGAATCTGAAATTGAAAATATTTAAGTTTAATTAGGAATTCTTAATGAATAAGAAGAGACATTGAGAACATAAAGAGCTAAGGATGCTGAAGCTTTTGCTTAAAGAATTAAGTCTACAGCTGATGTTGTTGAAGCTTTGAATGTTGTAGCAGCTAAATTATCAGCTATTCAACCAGAATAAGATCCAAAGGCTGTCTTTTTAGAATTACACAATATGGGTAAGAGTAATCCAATTGCTGCTTTGGTTTCAATTGCCTCAGCTTTCTCTAAGGAAAGATTATAATAAACATAAGATAAGATTGCTGAACTTAGATAATCAATTGAATAATCAGCTGTTGATGATTAAGAAGCTGAAATCTAAGCTTAAATTGATTATTAAAACTTATTGGCTCAATTTGCTGATTAAAGAAAGAACTTGTAAATTATTAATTTTATTATTCTTATAGCTAAAATGCTTTGAAAGATAATGAAGCTAAATTAACTTAAACTTAAAATGCTTTGGGAGCATAAAAGAAGAGAAAAGAAGATGCTGGTAGAGAATTAGCAACTGCCACTGCTGGAAAAACTTAAAAAGAAAATGATTGTGAAGCCCTTAGAACTTAATATGCTAGAGATAGTGAATAAAGAACCAAGGAAGTAGGAATTATCAGATAAGTTGAAGAAATTTTGGCTACTAAATTAGAAGGTGCCTCAGGATACTTAAAGAACAGAATTAATTGATTTGTTTTTATTCAATTAATAATTCTAAAACAATATTCATATATCCATTATTAATATTCATCAATTATAGAGAGAATAAGTGTATTAACAATTATTTATATATTATATATTATATTATATATTATAATATATTATATTATATAATATATAAATAATTTAATATTATTTCTTATAATTATTATGATCTATAAATATTAATTATATAACACTCTAAATTGTTTATTTATTATTTAATTTTTATTACAAAATGTCAGAAACATAGAATCAATAAGAGAATAATTAAGGAGAGTAGAAATAAGAAAATTAATAATAAAATAACAATGGTGAATCAACTTAACAAAATCAGCAAAATTAAGAGAATAAAAATGAAAAAAAAGAAGAAGAATAAGGTTAATAATAAGGAGAGTAACCATAATAAAATGAATAAGAGATGATGGAACAGAAAAAAGAAAAAGGTTATATTTTTATTTTATTAAATAATAGGTCCATATGATATTGATGAAACTGATTTAACACCAAGATTTGTTAGAGCAATGTAAGTACTTGGATACACTTATTAAGATTTATAAAAAAAATATAGAAAAGATGTAATTTAGATCATAAAAACAAAAGGTATTTATAAATTATTAGATTTAGATCCTTTGGGAAATAAAATAAATTAAGAATTGATAGATGCATTATCTAATCATTTAGAACATTCAAGAAAATAGAAGATAGATGAAATAAAAAAAGAAATATAGTACATTCCTATTCCTGAATAGAAATAATAGTAGTCAGTAGCAGATTAATCTATTATGTAATCTTCTATAGCAGAGAAGTCTATAATACTTGATAAATCAATTGTATCAATGAGTAAATCAATATTAACAAAATCCTTGTCACCTTTGGAATTAGAGTTTAAGATGTATGATAAAATCAAAAAGAAAGAGAGAGCAGAACTACATAAGGCTAAGAAGGAAGAAGAAATATTGTCAAGATAAATTGAATATTAACATAAACAATAAGAACTTGAAGAGAGATTAGAAAAACATAGATAATTAAAAATTAAATAAAAGCATATGTAAACTTAATAAGAATTGGAAATTCAGAAATGGTTACATAATAGATCTGATGCTGAGTCTTCTAATTTTAATTAGGCTAAACAAATTGTTGAAAATCTTAAATCTGAGTTAAAGGATACTTAATAACAAAGATTGTATTTAAATCCAAGAGAAAAGATTGAGAAAGTTAAAAGTATGAATGATTTGAGAGTCAAAGAATTAGAAGATTTATAAGCTAAAAGAGAATAGAATATGATGGAGAGACTAGAAAAATTGTAAGAATTATCCTCAAAAGTGGATAATGAAAAAAACATGAAGACCTTTTAAGAATTACAAAGAGAACTTAAAGGATTACTTAAATAAGAAAAAGTATAAATTAGATAGGAAATGTTAGATGAATATCATAATTATATGAAATAATAACATTAAACTGAAGATCAAAAGCGAATTATTTAAGTTATTAAGAATAAAGTATATAATTATTAATCATTAGACTCGCAAAGAAGTTCAATAAGAAATGTATAAGCAATCTCTTGAAATTAAATAATAATAACTAGATAAAAAGTTAGAGAAATTTAAATAATTATAAACAGATAGTTTGAAAATCAAATCATCTTCACTTGTAACTTTTCCAAAAAATGTTTCTGCTAATAATTTTGGATAAATGAAAGCAGAATATGAAAGAAGGATAGGATATTAAGAAGATCTTATTAGAGAAATTGAAAGAACAGAAAATATTTAAAAAAGATAAAGAAAAGAAGAATAAATGAAATAAGATATCAAAATGTTGAAGGAAGCAAAAAAAGCTGAAAATAAAGAATTAGATATGTCTAAAATATCTAATATTGTTAGAGATATGAAATAATTTGAAAATAGCAATATGGCTAGTACAAAAAGATAATTGGCTTAAATTAAAAATTAACATAATGAACGTGAATAAAGTATTTATTATTTATTATATAAAGAAATTATAAAAGAAATAGAAGAAAGAAAGAAGAAGTAAGAAGAGTAAAAACAAAAATAAGAAAAATTAGATAATGAAAAAATGAAAGAAAGATTAAGAAATAAAATTGATTAATATAAGGAACAAATATAAAATGAAGAAAAAAAGAAATAATAAGAATAATAATAAGAATCATAATGAAATGTTATAATTATAGAAAATTTAAATAAGTAAAGCACTAATTTCAATATACATCTTCCAATTATTATAAAAAAAATGACTATTCTTTTATTTCTGCTTTTTATGTTAAATCATTGCTCAAAATCTAAGATTTAATCTATTTGAAGATTATATTGTTGATCTTAAGCACAAATGATTATTTAATTTTAATTAAATGAAAGATTGTAACATAAGCTTCTAAAATAAACCAGCCTTAGTTATTTCTCGAATCTACAAATCAAACAATCGATTTCACTTACCAAAAATAAATTAATTTCAATCATAATCTCCAAACAATATTTATTACAATGAATATTTTACTGAAGTAAGAGGAATTAAAGCCTTGCCAGATAAGCAAAAATAAAATTCGGAAGGAATATTAAAATGTAGGTTAAAAGAATTAGAAGGATAAAATAAATAACAAAAATCTCTTTCGGCTAAGCATCTATACAACGAGCAAATTGAGAAAAAGGAGATCAATAATTTATTACTAGAACCATATTTTGTTTAAAACAACTTAAAAGCTAAAAAATATATAATAGGAGCATTTTAGAATGATATGTATAAACAGTCGTTGGGGTTTTCGCCAAATTCAAAAACAACCTAAAAACAAGAGAAAGAGATAAGGAAGCCTAGGTTTTTTTTTTAAGAACCTCAGACTGAAAAAGTAAAACAACCTAAAATGACTCAATCATAAATTGAATATTCAAAAACAGATTAAGAATATAATTATTGGAAAAATGATGATTTAGATTAAGAAGAGGATGAAGATTTAATTAATAACTATGTTAATGGATTACTTTGATTAATAACTGTTTTAACTTTAGCAATTTTGATTATAAGTAGTTTTTATTATTTCTTTTCAATTAGTTTGTATTATTTATTGAAACATCAAATAGTTATTTCTCATAAAACCATAAATTTATATTAAATTTAAATAGTATACTAATTATGGCAAATTTGTAAGAACAGATTATGTCACAAATTCATGAAATATTCAAAGAACTCAGTATTGAAACATTACATAATAGAATAGCAAAAATAGTCGAATCCATCCATTTTAGAAGTATAAGATGCTCTAGCCCAAAAACATCCTAGATTGCCAAAAGCAATTTTGCAATCTAAGATTAAGATTTATTTTTAAGATAATGTTATAAAAGAGTAAAAGGAAACTAAAGATGTAGTTGTGATAGAGGATAAATAGCCTTAGAAAAAAGTAAAATTAGATAACACCAATAATAATTAAAATTAAAATATTGGAAAGAATAATTAATCATAAGCCTTAGATGAAGAAACATTGATGTAATTTCCAACATTAAATGATGTTGGAGGGATTGAATCAATAAAATCATAAATAGAATCTATGATATACATGCCATTACAGTATGCGCATATATTTACTGAATTGGGAAGTAATGCTCCAAAAGGAATTTTATTAACAGGAGCAACAGGTTGTGGAAAGACTTATCTTGCAAAGGCTATTTGCAGAGATTTATACTAAAAATATAAATTGAATATATTTATGAAGAATGGATCAGAAATCGTGGCATCTTTGAGTGGAGAATCAGAAAAAAATATTAGATAATTATTTTAATAAGCTGCATAAGAAGCACCATCTTTAGTTTTTATAGATGATATAGATGTAATTGCAGGTGATAGAGATAAAGCAAATAAGTAAATATTTTAATTTCAAATTTAGATAAATGGAAAGAAGAGTAGTAACTCAAATAATGGGTAGTTTAGATTAATTGCCAAATAATGTATTCTTAATTGCAACTACATCTCATCCAGATTAATTAGATCCTGCATTAAGAAGAAGTGGAAGATTTGATAAAGAAATCATGATAACAGTTCCTACAGATGAATAAAGAGAAGATATTTTAAGAAAATTAACTAAACCATTAAAGATAAATAATATAGATTTTTATAGTTTATCTAGAAGAACTCCTGGGTAGATATAATGAATATAAGATAGATATGTGGCTTCTGATTTATTTTCATTAAGTAAAGAGGCAGCAGTGGAAGCAGTAAAAAGATTAATAAATAGCGAAGAGACTGTAGAGATATAAGCTATAGATTTTGAGATGGCATTAAAAAAAGTGTAACCAACAGCAAAAAGAGAAGGGTTTGCAGTAATACCAGATGTTACTTGGTCTGATATAGGATCATTATAAGAATTAAGAAAAGAATTGGATAATTGTTTAGTATTACCAATTTAAAATCCAGAAGTGTTTTAAAAGTTTAAAGTGAGACCACCTGCAGGAGTATTATTATGGGGACCTCCAGGTTGTGGAAAAACTTTATTAGCAAAAGCAGTAGCTAATGCATCAAGAGCAAATTTTATAGCAGTTAAAGGACCTGAAATATTAAATAAATATGTTGGAGAATCTGAGAAAGCTATTCGAGGAGTATTAAAATAATTAATAAATATTAGTTATTTACAAGAGCTAGAGCTTCTTAACCTTGCATAATTTTCTTTGATGAAATAGATGCAATTTGTCCAGTTAGAGGAACAGATGGAGGAGGTTAAGTAACTGAAAGAGTTGTAAATTAATTATTAACAGAATTAGATGGATTTGAAGATAGTATTTAAATTAATAATATAAATTTAGGAAAATAAGTATTTATTATAGCTGCCAGTAATAGACCTGATATTTTAGATCCAGCTATTTTGAGACCTGGAAGAATTGATAAACCTTTATATGTTCCATTACCTGATGAATCTGGTAGAGAAGACATACTTAGAACTATTGCTCAAAAATCACCTATTCAAGATGTAGATTTCTAAGAATTGGCGAAGTCTTGTGAAAACTTTACTGGAGCTGATTTATCTAACTTAGTTACTTCTGCAGCTTTAGATGCTATCATATCTTTTTAGAATGTTATTACTCATAACAATTTCATTCGTTCATTAAGTAAAGTTAGACCATCTATAAGCGATGCTGATAGAAAAGCTTATGAAAAGTTGCGTTAAAAAATATAAATGTGATTAAAAATATTTGTTTTTATTGAAATTAATATATGTCAGGAGAATAACCTATACTTAAAGCATCTAATGTTAAATTAGATACAATTGTAATACTTTTATAATCCATTTTAGGCTGCTATGAAAATTATCAAATTAGCTAATGATAATCCAACTATTAATCAATATGGCTATCTATTAGGAATTATTGAAAGTGAAACTATTGAAGTCACTAATTGCTTTCCCATTATTGATGTTGATGAAGAATAAGATCTATAATATGAATATTTAGATTATGCAAAAAAACATCATTTAGATTTTCATAAACTTGGTCTCTATATCATTACAGATTAAAATAGACATTTTACTTTAGATTAATTTGAAGATATTAATAGACTTTAATTCTATGTTAAATATGCCTTTGTCTTAGTTTATTCTTTGCAATTGGCTAAATCTGGACATACTTAACCATTCTAAGCATATGTGGTAATACATCTTTTTATTATTATAAATAGATCAATGAAAAATATTCAGAAATCTATTCCAAAGATGAAATTCCTGTTCTAAATATTAAGAACGATAAAATCTATAGAACACTTCCATTAGAATTACTTAAAACACCATTAACATAAGTAATTACAAATCTAATTATTAGGCATTCTTATATTAATATAGAACTTCTATTGAAGAGAAATTTAAAAATGAAGAAACCAAATTTACATCTAATATTTCAAATTATGGTAGATAACTAATTGAAACCATTGAAGAATAAGTCACTTTATCAGATAAAATCAATTCATCTACTTAAAATAAGAAAGAAGGAGATAAAGTATATTATTTCCTTCAATATAACTAGCAACCTGAATTATTAGAATATTTAATTTCCATGAATAAGCTCTATTATTTAGCAGAAACTATTAAAAGAGAAACCTAATTTACATTAGAAACAGAATAAGTATTGACAAATATATTAAAATAATGATTAATAGTATATTAGTAAATTAACATATCAGACCATTTAAAATAATCTTATTTAATTTGGAAAGCTATTTTTACTTATATTCTAATTTGTTTTATTGTTTTATAATGATAAAAAAATCTTTGAATTTTTATTGAATGATAGAATTGAATTATATGTTCAAATGAATGAAAAAATAATTTAGCATTGTTATTGAATACTTAACATAAGAATGGCTTACTTAACTGATGGAATAATTAAATTATTTTGTGTTGCTTCAATATATTATTAATCAAATTTCTTCTGGAGGACCATACCTATCTTTGGATGGCTAATTATTGAAGAATCTAAGAAACTCTTATCCAACAACTTTATATGCATTTGCATAATTTTATTGGCATTACTTGAATAAAGCTTCCTAATCTCCTATTGGTTAAACATCTTAAATAGCTTTCACACATAATTGAAACCCTTATGTGGCAAATAAATCCTTAAAAATATCCATTTATTAAAATAAATATTAATAATTTTTTGTTTTTGTTATCAAAATTATTTTTAATAAAAATATCCTATTCTATTTTGTATTTAAAATTTGAAATTCTGATAAACAAATATTGTATCTTTTTTTTTTAATATTTATTATTTAAAAAAAATTTATATAATCATTTTTTTAATGATTCATAGCGTTATTTCTATTAATTGAATTTAACAATGTTTTGATGTTTAGATAAGATTTTTGCATACAAAGGTAAATTAGAGTTAACTACTTAATTTTGATAATATTTACCCAAATTATTGAAATTATAGAAGCTTTTAGAAAAGGAGCCATTCATATCGGGTTAACTAATTAAAACTTTTCCTTCAGAATGATATGGACTCCCTCGAGTTTTAGGTTTACTACTACTTCTTGAAACTGAAATATTTTTATTTTAAGATAGACTTCTAGAATGTACCATTTGATAATTTTTGAGATCTGGGGTTTTGGATTTCTTAATACCTTATTTAGGTTTAGAGTTTTATTAGGGTAAATGAGATTATTATCTATTATAAATAAAATAACATTTACCCATAAATTTCGCTAACTTATTTTTTTTTTTATAATTTCTTATGAAAATTATATTATGCTTAAGCAAGGAGATGACTATTAATAGTTCCTTCTACAGAATTAATTCTTGAATTTTCTTTGCTTTCTGAGAATTTACAACCATTAGAAGGCCTCATTCGATTAAATGATTTTTCTTACTATTTTTGATGAGTAGTAGTAGGAACTTATTAATCTAATAATTATTATTTTGTTATTGATTTATGAACAGTTGGCATCTAAATAAATAAGTATATGTATACTTCTTCATCAATATGAAAAGATTTAGATTTGTCAGTTTATCTTTATATTCTCATGATATCTTGAGTATTAAAATATTAAGTCTGTGCTATTTTTTTAGACACAGATTCACTTCTTTAATCTAGTCTAGATTTACATCTGGTTTATTATTATTAATTAACTGGTTATTTGTAGATATATTATTCAGTATCAGATTTAACTGCAATGCTATTAGGATTGGGTTCATTTCTACTTTATTTATTAGTTTGATAACTGGAATAGTTAGTGCTTATTAAATTATTAGACTTTTTAGTAATGAGACCTTTATATAAAGCATCTCTATAATCTTAAAGTTTAAGTTTTTTATTATCATTAAATGGAATGGCTATACATTAATCTAATAGAGTTTCAGGTTCAGTTTATCTAAAATCTTTAAGATAAGGATGATCTAAGGCTTATTCTGCACTTAATCTTTTATTAGGATTGTAGACTAACAATTTTCTAATTCATTTTTTATAGATACTTTATAAAATCTATTTAAAGATCATTAGCCTTAGGAAAAAACTAATGATAACTGAATTACTTTTTTGTATCCATTTGTTCAATAATTTGATAACCCATAGGTGCATTGATTGATTCTAAATCAGATGTAGATGGTTTTCCAATTAATTAGATAATTTTATCAATTTAATCTAAAGTTGAAGTTCCTTTGATATAGAGTAATCCATACCTGCAAAACAAGCTTTACCTAATATCATTTCTCCCAAAATACAACCAACACTCCACATATCAACTGCAGTAGAATAATAATGAGATCCAAATAAAATTTCAGGAGCTCTATACCATCTTGTTGCTACATATTCTGTCATTATTGGTGTTTCTAAAAATATATAAATTTTAAAAACCATTATTATTTTCTGTTTCGGATAAACATCTTGACAATCCAAAATCAGCTACTTTGATATGACAATCTGCATTTATCAATATATTAGCTGGCTTCAAATCTCTATGAACTAACTATCCAGAATGTATATATTTGAGACATTTGAGAATTTAGTACATCACATATTAGATATGCATATTGTTTAATAGTTCTGCTCTGATAACCTATTTAATATTTAAATATATCTTACTCTATGCAAATCTGTCTCCATATATTCGAAAACCATATACAAATCTTTATTGTTATCTGCTCTAATTACAGATATCAATTTAACTATGTTTTCATGATTATTTAATTATTTCAAAAATACAACTTCTCTGTAAGTTCTTTAAGCATCTGTTGAATTTTAAAATGCATCAAACACCTAACTTATTTAATAATATAAACTTTTTTCAATGCAACAATTTATTTAGTTTTTGTATCATAAGCTTTCCATACGATTCCATATGCACCTTTTCCTTTATATTCTTATAAATCGAATCTTCTTAAAATATGATCCTCTACTTCACTGTGATCTTCTTCTTTCGACATTGAATGTAATTTTTAACTATCAAATTATTAAATCAAATAAAAATTAATAAATCATCACCTTCATAATCTCTTAATGCTTTATTTTATAAATAACTAATTACACCTTTCCCGTCTAATTTCAAATGCTCTTTTAAAGATTTCATTCTATAAATAATCATAATTAATATATACGCTTTTTAATTAGCTTCTTATATTGTTAAAAAAGCATCAGCCTTAGCTTTTCCATTTGATAAAGTGGAATTAGCTTCACCATAAGCTTAATTTAAGGTTACTTCTCTATTATACAATGCTGTCATCTTATTTGTTTCTAGTTCCACTTCAGTTTTATTCTTCTAAGCTTATGCTTTTACTATCTCTTATTTTTTAACTTCAGAACTCCATATTGCATTTTCAAAATCATTTGGTAAATCTACAGAACGAAGTTAAAAAAATTCACAGTTGCAATATAATTCTTTTTCAAATAACTCATCTAATGCTGCTTACATTGCTATTCCTATATTTTATCTATCCATAAAAAAGTCATATGCAGAATATTAAGTTGCAACATAAGATAGTATATCTATAGATTATCTAATCAATATTGGTTTATGCTTTATTTAATATGTGGCATAAAGTGGATAAAGCTATGTTAAATTGTAACTAATTATTTATAATTTTATTCATATACGTATACTAAAAAGATATTTCTAAAACAACTTCTAAACCATCACTTGTTCTTGAATGAATCATTTTTCTGTCTGCACTTTTATCATCAGAAAATTCAACTGTTTAAACTGTCTTTGGAAATGTTATAAATTCATGTCCAATACCCAAAAAATGTATTCCTGCTTAATATATTTTTGGAGATATTGTTTTCGTTATTGAACTATAATCTAATCCAACTTCATTGTAATCTAATGAACTAAAAGATAAAATGATCATTAAAAATAAAATGAAACTACTAATCCCACAACAAGTTCCACAAATTCCTGTAAATTCTCCTGCCATTATAATTTTAAGTTATTTTATAAATTAATAAATTATTATTTATTTTTAATGTAATTCAAAATAAGTCTTCATATTTTTTCGAGTCGTCTTAGGATTCATAAACATCTTCAGCATCACTTAGATCAACTTATTTCTAAATAAATGTTAAGGAAACGTTTTACTTGTAATCTAGACTTTTATTTAACTTCTTTTTATTTCATCTTTTTTTTTTTCTTAGATTATTTGTTTTATGTTTTCTTTTCATAAGCTTCTTATTCATTTAATTATTCTTCTGAATCCTCCCCCATTTCTTCCTTTGCAAATTATTCATCCATTTCTGCTTATTAATAATTATAATCTTCATCTTCAGATTCTATAAATTCATCATCCTCTTTTTTTGCTTTTGCCTATTCTTTTTATCTCTTCTTTCTCTCTTTCTTACTTAATTTACCTTATTTTCCTTGATTTTACATTTCAATTCCCTAATCCATATTCAAATTATTAAGCAAATCTGCAGCAATTTTTGCTAATTTCTCCATTTAAGTAGAATCAATTTATTCTTATTTATAATTTTATTATGTTACAACTTGTTCAAGTTTTACTCTTCTTTATTATTCTAATATTAATAATTCTTCTTCTTTTTATTTTTCTTTATGTTCTGCTTCTTTTAATAATTTATCAAAATTAGTTTAAAAACTATGAATAAAATTAAATTTATCTTCGCTCTTTTATCTCATTAATTAATGATTTTATCTTATTATATGTCTATGTTCAGTTTCATGTTACTATTCTCTATTTTACCAACAGATTCCCTATGCCATATATTCATAACTTTTAAGTAAACATTAAAAATAAATAACTGCAGTTTTTAAGAGTCCATAAGAAGATTTCTCTTCTTGTATTTCATAACAAAATTGATGTATAATCATATTAAGATTAAGTCTATGTTTTAAATCACCTGGATTATTTAGAATTTATCTTTTAATGATATTAGCACTATCTTTATATTTTTTGTTATTCAAATACATTTTGGCAACAGCAAGATCAGTATGATCATCTGGTTTATAATTAGTTTTTTCATAATATTTTTTAAAATATGTTTTAGCTGATTAATTATTATTAGGCATAACTAAACAATCCAAAATAGCTAAATTACTAAGAATTCTTGGTTATTGATTAGCATATTCCTAGAGATCACCTAATAAATTAAGAGCTTCTGAATATTTTCCTAATTCAGCTATTACTAATATTAATGTAATAGCTGCTTATAGATTTTTAGGTTCATGTTATAGTAATTTCATACCTGTACTAGCTATTTATCTAAGAACCTTTTTTTTGAATAATTAATCATCATTCTTAGTTTTATCTGCTGCCAATTAATAATCATGAGCCATTAAAAAGATTTTTGAATAACAATCTTCTCCATATCTTTTAAATTAATCAACTGCTCCTCCTTAATCTTACAATTAATAAGCTATATAGCCGTGTATCATAGGAACAGGATTCTATCCTTTATAATTTCTGTTATGATTAACATATTATTCATAATATATTTTAGAATCTGAAATGGTTCTCAAAGCATCCTTATAATCTCCAAGTAGAAATTACAAATAACTCAATCTTACATAACTGTCAATAAAATAAGGGTTTATTTTTATACATTATTAATGTAATTCCATTGCTGTAACATAATCTCCTAATTATTCCATCAAAATGCCTTTGTTAAAAGAAAGTACAATTTGATACATATTTTTCTTAAGTTAAACTTCCTATTTTGATGCTTCTTCAGTAGTATCGACAACATAATCAGGTATTTAAAATTCTTCAATTAATTATTGACATTTTTCATAGCTTTTTAATGCTTTTTATAAATCTGTATTTGCTAAATGAACACCCATATTAATATATAATTCTGGGAATATTATTTATTCTGTTATCTTTTGTAAAATCATAGTGTATTTTTGATTATTAAATTTTGATACGAGTAAATCTTCAGCAGTTTAATAGTAAATGGATGCATCTTCATTTTCAATTTGTTAAGCAAATTCAATCAAAGTTTCAAAATCTTTATTATTGTATTGTAATGCTTTTCTATAGGTTTCAATAACTGGTTTTCGAATTTATAAATTTTTGGATTAGATATAAGCTAATTATTTAAAGAATTCCCAAATAAAATCTGTATTTTCATATTGTTTTGCAATTTTTTCAGCTAATTTGTAAGATTCAGTGTAATTTTGAGATTAAGGATTCAAATATAGTTATGATAATCCTAGTAGAACAAGAACATTGTTTCTATTGTATTATTTGGCTTGATTATAATACTTGAGAGATTATTCATACTCACCCTCGATTTATTTGATAAGACCAATTAAATATAGATATCTACATTTTAATAAGGACCAATCATTTCTGAATTGATCTTCTAAAGTTTTTTCTTTGAATTAAAATCTTGAAACATTATCTAAAGCTTTTAATCCATTTTAGATACAAATCATCGCCTAAGATTAGAATTTGAATATACTCTTTAAAAATCTAATTTAAATAGATAATGTTCACTCAAATGATAGAGTGTAACAGGATGATTCTAATTAATAGTAAAAGCTTTGCATAATTTATTAAAGTATTCATTATAATCGCCCTTATCAAATGCTAATACTGCCAATCCAATATGAGCTTCAACATTTTTTGGTTCCTATAGTTAATTTATGAATAGTTTACTAATTATAAGACTCTCTTAAATGCATAATAAGCTAATGAATATTATTCTAGATTATAATAACAATATGCTAATCCTAATCTGGCTTTTCCTGCAATATTTGGTTTATGTTTAAGAGCTCTTTTAAAATATTATAAGGAATCCTTATAATTACCAACTGCAAAATAAGCTTAGGCTGTACCTATACATGGAGTGACTGAAAGAGTGTCTCTTTAATAAATTATAAAAGAAAGTACCTTGCTGAACTTGTCTCATCAAATGAAGTTCTATAATAATTAAATGTTTAGTCTTTATCTCCTTTATAAAATGAGTATAATCCTTTAATACTAAATGTATGACTAACAAAATCATAACGATCTGATAAATTAAAATTTTTAACAACATTATCAAAATATTCTGATGCTTTATCAAAGCCATCTTATCTTGTTGCTTAAATCAAATAATATAAAGATAATGAATTATAGATTCTAATTTTTATTTTTTTGCTTTAATCATCATTATATCTATTGATTAAATTATTAGTTAGATATTTCATTAATTCCAAGAAGTCATCATACCTTTTATGGTTGAAAAGTGCATACTACAGAAAATAATATTAAATTATTTGATTACGGATATGCTTTCCCATTATTATAATGAAGCTTCCTTAGTCATTAATGTTTGAATGATTTCATTGACATCATTTGGGATTTCCTATTTATCAATATTTGGTGGAAATGGCAATAGTTTGATAAAATAGGACATTATTAATTAAATTAATGAAATAATTAATAGTGATTTAATTATTGATTTGTTTAACTTTAGCTTCTACAGCTTAAGATGATCTTGTTCAATCAGAGGATTTGAAAGAATATACATAAGGTGTGTTTGATTTTGAAGGTTAAATGTATTCAGGATACCTGAAAGCTATAGATGATGATAAAACATATTTTCATTATTATTTCATGACATCAACTTTTGAAGATTAAGATATTTCTGAATAAAATACACCTGTAATGTTATGGTTGAATGGAGGACCTGGTTGTTCATCCCTTTAAGGAGCAGTAAATGAAAATGGGCCATTTGTATTTAAAGAAGGCACAGCTGAATTTTAAGAGAACATATGGAGTTGGACAAAATTTGTATATATATATATTATATATATAGGCTCATATGTTATATTTAGAATCTCCTGCTAAGGTAGGTTATTCATATGGTAATTCTGATGTAAATGATGACACTGTAGCCATTTAAAATTTGAGAGCACTTGTAGATTTTTTTTAAAGATTTCCCGAGTATTAAGCTAAAGACTTTTTTATTTCAGGAGAAAGTTATGCTGGAATTTATATTCCTCTTTTAGCTAATTAAATATTATTACATAATTAATAAAATCCTAATAATACAATTAATCTTAAAGGAATTATGATTGGTAATGGTTGTACACATCCTACTGAATGTAGTGATGTTGCTGATATCTATCCAATTCATACTATTGAATATTTTGCTAGGCAAGGTTTTCTTAGTGAAGAATAATATAAAACTGCTTAATATTTATAGAATAGTAAAAAATGCTCTGATTTACATTAATTACATTAAGATTGTATGGATTTTTTAGAGGAAGTTGTTAATTAGTATTATGAATCACCATCGTAATTCTTTATTATTTAACTTTAGAGTATTTCTTATGAATCCTTATAATATTTATGGTTATTGTTATAATTTTAAACCTGATTCCTTTTTACTTAGAAAAAATGATCCTATGTTAAAAAGATTCAAACCAAAAAATAAATTAAATGATGATGATCAATTTGGTTCCTGTACTGATGATATTGGGATGTATACTGTTTTTAGAGATCAAAAATGGAAAGAAATTACACATATTAAACTTGATAGTCCTGAATGGGATGTTTGCACAGAAGATGATGAATTTATTTATGAAAAATTTGAACAACAGTCCTATTATATTTATGAATCATTAATCAAATCAAAAAAAATTAGAATTATGCATTTTAGTGGAGATATTGATTCAGTTGTACCTATAACTGGAACTTTATTTTGGATTTAATTACTCTAAAATGAATTATGTACACTAATATTTATAATTAGAATTATCAACTACTGAAAACTGGAGAGCATGGTATGTACCAGGAGAATAAACAATAAATGAGTAATAAAATGCAGGAAATGTATTTGCAATTGAAGGATTATAATTTGTTTCTGTAAGAAATGCTGGACATATGGTACCAACTGATCGTAGAAAAGAAGCATATTATATGACCAAATATTTTATTCTTGACCGAAAACTTCCAGATAGATAGTAATCAGTATCTGTTTAATGATATTTTTCATTAAAATAATAAATTTTATTTATTTAGAATTTAACTAATAATATTTTCATTATTTATAAATAAAATTTAATTTGCGGTGTTATTAAATGAAGGGTTTGAGATTAGGAGCAAGAGTTTTCAGTCTGATATCATCTCCTTAATAAGTATTTTTTAGATAAGGATTACATTAAACATCAATTTACTTGTTTTCTGAAAAGACAAAGAAGCAAGATACTCAAAAGAATGATTAAAAATAAGAAAAAGCTTAATAAAAAGAACAAAAAGAAGAATAAGAAAAAAAAGAAACATAAAAAAAATAAGAAGAGAAAATTGAATCTCTTGATGAATCTCATGAAGATAAATTACATAGAGTTGAATAATTTTATGGTAAACAAATTGAAAAATTAGAGAATTAAATAAAAGATTAAAAAGAAAAAATTCATGATTAAATTAAGTTAATAAATTAATTAGAAGCATCAAATAAAGATCATAATTCAAAAATAAAAGAATTAAGAGATGCTTTAAAAGCAGAAATAGAAGAATAGGAATTATAATAAAAAAGAATCTTAAAGTATCAAATATAATAATAATAATTTTTTAGGGAGAAAGAACAATTAAAAGTATTTGCCATATCAAATTTTGCCAAAGAATTATTAGAAGTATAAGATAACCTTGAAAGAGCAATTGGAAGTACTACTGATAAACCTGAAAATAATCCTTTATTAGAAGGTAATTTAAAATTAGATTTATTAAGGTGTTGTTATGACTCATTCAATTTTAGAAAAGGTGTATAAGAAATTTGGAGTTTAAAAGATGGATATTGTTGGTAAGAAATTTGACCCAAACTTTCATGAGTCTTTATTTTAAGTCGAAGATCCTGAAAAAGAACCAGGAACTATATGTTATGTTGCATAAGATGGGTATGTAATTGGAGAAAGAGTTTTAAGACCAGCAAAAGTTGGTGTTGTTAAATAATAATAATGATATATTATAATAATATTTTAATTTATATATTTAATTGTCATTATTAATCACTAGTTAATGCTTTACAAAATAATTCTTTAAAGTGTTAAATCTCTTCTACTAATTATTCTTTAACGTGAAGGTTATTTTCTATCAACTGAATTTAAAAGTAATTTTGGCAATGCTTAAATTGGTTAGAATCTATTTTTCCTACTCTCTTCATATTCTTATAATCCTTCCCAATCATGGAGAAGATCTTTTTATTTTTTTGGTCTAATTACTTATTATTATGTTTATTAATAAGATTAAGGTTATTCTTGATAGGAAATACTTGATATAGAAGAATTTTTAGAAGAATCTAAATCTGAATCTTTTCCTTTATATAAAATAATAGGTTTATTGTTTTCTTCATAATATATTTTACCAGCTACATATTAAACAGAAGCTCTATTTTTCAATTTATTTTATTATTTATTTAATATTTCTTATTATTAAAAGACTTTAGTATCTGCCTATTGTTTTAAAGATTATTATTAAATCTTTATTAATTGATAGTAATCTTCAAATTTTATTTCTTATTCAATTTTCTACTTTGTTTGGTTATAATTAATTGTATTAAATTTACAATCTTCTTGAGATATAAATGATAGCTAGAATACGATTATATTATACTTTTCCACAATGAGCTATTAAAAGATTTTAATTTAGAATCCAAGCTCCTTCTAAATTATCTTCTAAGATTAATTAAATCAATAAGATTTTTCTAGAAGACCATAACATAATCTTTCCATCTGATGCAGCAGTTAAATAAGTTTTGTTTTTCTCTTAATAATCAACAGATAAAACTAATTGTTCATGATCATTTCCTTTTTCATCACTATGCAAAAATAATTATTCATTTTTAAATTTAAATATTTGAAATGGACCTTTATAATTAAAAAATAAAGCCTTATTATGAATAGTAGTAAAATATGCTATCTATTAATTAGAATTAAAAGATCTAATACACTTAATTTATTTTTCTGTAATTGCAATTAATTTTAACAATCCTTCAGAACAATACGTAAATAAATAATTATCAATTTCAGCAATATTAATTACTTTTTCTCTATGATAACTCATTCTAGCAAATATTTTTTTTGGATTATTTTTTTATACTGCAATAACTGATCCTTTTGACATACCAAAAATTAATTATTCTTAACATTATTAATCCCTTGATTAACCAAAATCAGCATCATAAGATGGTAATTTAATTTTTTTTGGAAGAAATACTGTAATTATTACTTAAACCATATGATAACCATCAAAATCCATAATTTCTTCACTTTAAATACATTAAATTGAAGTCTGATTAGAATTTATAAATAACATTCCTGTTTCTAATAACATGAAGTATAATAGACCATCAGTAACAATTTATCTCACTTCCATAGATTTAGGAGGAGGGTATAATATAATAGGTTCACTATTTTCAGATATTGATAGTCCTGGTGTATTATCAAGTGCTAAAAGTATATTATCATTATGTTTGTAATATGATACTATTTTAGAATTTATTGTTTTAAATATTTTTAAATTGTTATTTAAGTACCCAATAAACATTTCGTAGTCATTCAACAATAAAAATCGACTTCTTGTTAATAATTATAAATTTGAATAAATCCCGACTATATTTACTGTATATACATTTGTAAATTACTTTAAGATAACTATTAAATTATTTAATAATACCTATAAATCCCATAATTTTATTATAAAATCTTAGCCTTAACTCCAAAACATCTTCTCATTTTTACTCCTAACTAAAGATTCTATTTTTTTTGAATGACCTTCATAAGAATGAACTAATAATTCACTTTTCTTTACTACTGAACTAATCTTCCATAATTTTAATTATCCTGTTTCAAAACCTACTACAAAATATCTAAATTCTATAAAATGTAAAATTGAAGTTAACAAATTTTCATTTTTTGTAAGATCATGATATTTTTATACTAATTAAAATGTTGTTGTTTATATTGTATTATAATTTGCTTCTGATTAATCATTAATTTACAATTTAACACGATTAAACCAATTAGAGAATCCTTAAATATTATAATTATCCCATTCTTTTTACAACTACTCTGTCATTTTCTATTTCATAATGGTTAAGTCTTTATGAGTCCAAAAAAATAAATAATCTTCATTTATATAAAATCCTAGTATCCATTCTTCATTTGTTTTTTCTTTGCTTTTTTTATCCTTACTATTTTTTTCTTTTTTATTTTTTTCATCATTGTTATTTTCTTCAGTAATCTTTTCTATATTATTTTTTTCTTCCTTAACTTTATCCTCATTATTTTTTTCTTCCTTACTTTTTTTTTTATAAACAGATTTTTTACTAACATAAGCTATATCAAAATTATCTTTAGCTAAATATTTACATTTATCTTCTTCTTATATTCTATTAGTTTAATTAGAAGATTTGATTTTCTTTTATTCTTTTTTATAATCAACATCTAGTTGTTATTATTATTTAATTTCTGGAAGTTTTTCTTATTCAATTTTTTAATTTCTTTAATCAAATTTAGTAAACTTAGAATTTTATTTAAATTATTTAGTCATCTTTACTTCACTTTAAATTTATGGGTCTTTCTTCTTGATTATAAATTCGAATTTTAATAAATCAATTTCTATATTCAATTAAACATTTTACCTTCCAATCCTAATAGCAATAGATGACCATTAAAATAATGAAGTCCAACTGTATATTTTGAATCAAACTTTATAGTATTTAACAAAATCATCTTTCTTTTTAATATATATAATTACAAACCTTCATAGAGAATAAAGTAAATCTATTAAATGATCTAATTATATTACTTCAAATTTATCGCAATATGTTATATTTATACCTGGCTTAGACTCTTTAAATTTTATATCAATTCTTCCCAATTCACATAATAACCCATAATCATACTCTATGATCCATCTTCCATCTTTTATTAAAATAGCCTACTATGATTACAAATTAAACAATATCTATGTCGGTTAATTGAATCTCATAGCTTCTTTCAATTAATAAGTTAGATGAATTTATTTTACTTGCATAATTATTATTTATAAATTATAACGAAAGTTTGATAGAGATAAATCAACTATTTTTGTTTAGAAATGGTCAAATATCTTCCCTCTAAATAAAAAAAAAGAAATTAAAGAATAGTCTAGTTTATTAATAATTCTGTTTTCAATGAAGTTCCATATATTATTAGAACTATTTTAGTTTAATCTTATATATTTAACATAATAGTTTATGCACTATTTTCTCCCTATTATAGTTACTGACCCTAACCATTAATAGCAAGATAACATCAAAAAAAACAGGAACACTACGATATTTCAATTAGAGATTTAGAAATTATATAATATGATGAAAATATAACCTTTCAAATTATTTGGATTAATATAAATTTCTTTAGAAAAATAAATTTTAAAGCATTAATCTGGTAATTCTTAGAAAATAACATTTATTTAAAAACTAAACCTTCTTGAATGATACCAATAAAATTAATAATAAATAGATTTTATTTATTAAAAGTCATTTAGATAATAATACATCTATGATAATATATATATTAGATCCATTAAAAAAAATCATTTTATATCAGATTAAATCCAAAAATAATGTGTACAGAAACAAATTTAGATGTTGTTCTCAAATAAATTAATGACAGTTAAATATATTTTATTTTAAGGAAATATCATTTAATTATTCTATATTAGTTAGATCATGATTTTTTGATTAATAATAAATATATAAAAATCATGATGTTCATTCCTATGTGCTTTGAATCTAAAGGTTTAGGAAATATAATCAAAGATTCTAAAATGCATTATGAATGGGATTTTTGTTTTAGATCTGAAAAAGAAATTGAAACACATAAAGTAATTTTAATACATTCTAAACTTAAAAACAAAATTTCTTTAATTCATAATGGAAATAGAATGTATCAGGATATTTTGTAATTCATTAATACATTTTAGAAAAGATAAATTTTCTTTTTAGTGGATTATTGATGAATTTTATAATAAAGCTATGATTTATTAAGAAAATAAAATTTGGAAACTTTAAGTCAACAACATCGAATTTAATGAAGGTTACTCTAATCTTCAGGAAGAATTAATTCAACCTGTTGATAATTGATTGCACTTTTATTTATTTTGTGAGAAATAATTTTATTTAGAAATTGATTTCAATAAAAAGCTTAAAACTTTATTTTGTTTTCGATAATTTCAATTTGAAATTGAAAAGTTTCTTTTTGAATTTGATAATATTAATGAATTATTAATATTTTAGATTTGTGATTAAAATAAATAAAGTTATTATAAATCAAAAATAATGGGATCATCAAGTAGTTGCAAATAAATGTAATAATGCTAAGAAAAAGAGGTTCATATTGGTTCAGTTTACAATTCTATAACTATAAATGCTGTAGTTGAATCTTCTGAATGCATCCCTTAAGAGGCTAGAACAATTTAATTATATAAATCTTAAAAGTCAATATTGCATCAAAAAGAATCAGAATTTGACAAACGAATATCTCAACTAGGAAGGGTAGATCATATTTAAAATTAAATGCCTTCAATTAAAGTTCTAGATTCAATGGGAAATAATTTGTTAAATTAATCAAACTATGGATCATCAGATATAAGACCATAATACTGTTGTTATTGTCATTAATTAAATGATTAATAGTAGTGTTATACATTGGAATGTTTAGATATATTTCATGAACCATGTCTTATTTTATTTATTACAACTTAAATTACAAATGGTAATTGTACTTTACTTTGTAAATGTTAAGACAAAATTCATACAAAACATTTAAGATCACTTATTTCTGATTAAAACTTGGTTTAAAGATTTTTCTCTAATCAACTTGGCACTTTATAATTGAAATATTAGGATTTGTTACATTTTAAAAAAAATGAAATAATTGAACGAGAATGTTGTTTTCATTGCAAAAAATCTATTATAAGTTAAAAAGTATAATTAAAATGTAAACACAATATTCATAAATATTGTCTCAAAGAGTTTTGTACTTAATAAATTGAATTTGATAAAACTTATTTGATTTGTTACTGTGGAGCATAAATTACTACGTAGTTGATTAGATAATTTAAGAGCGATTCGTTTAAACTTATATTATCAAAATTATTTAAAAACTAACTCGTGGAACTTTATAATACTAATAAATTTCTTTAAAATAAATTTCATTTCAAATAGTTTATTAAGACAGTAAACTATTCTGAAGTACAAAAATAATCATCATATTCCATGTAAATATAATGATATTTTAAATATCGTCATGTTAATTTTAAATATCAAAAAATTTACTTTAATTTTTAGACTTAAAATATTACTAATATATTAAATTTAATCAAATAATCTGTAATTTTTTTTTTAATTTAATTAAACCATAGAGAAATACAATTTATATTTATAACTTTAGACAATAAATCATTCTAAATCCTCAATTCCTTCATGCATATATCCTTATTTAATTATTTGAATTTGATTAGAAAGTATTTTTTCAAAATCTTCTTTAGTTAGTAATTTATTTTATTTTAGACAATTGGTTATATTAACATTACAAAATACACAAAGAATTTTTGTTTAATTTTTAATTTATGCTATTTCTTTTAAGCATTCAAAATGATAAGGATGAAAGCAATTAGGTTAAAAATATTCAGATGCTACTTATTTGCAATAAGAACATTTGCTAGTTACTACTTTAAAATTAGAGTATTTTTATTAATGTTCAATCTAATAAATATGCATGCATATTGGACAATAATATTAATATTGATCATCTAAATCTAAGGAATTTTAAAACCAAAAAAATCCACAAATCTCAAAGTTATAGCAAAATTTTAATTCATCTTTGTATATTTTACATATTTCTAAAAGTTAGTTTTCAAATTTATTTGAAAGCAAAAACTAAATAGGCTAATTTTATTTATTTTATTAATTATTCTCCTTATTAAACTAAACAATTTTTCCTAAAATTTTATTTTCTTAATCACAATTTAAGCAGATATAGTCTGTACTTTTTTTTTGTGAAATCCAAAAAAAATTGCAAGTAGACTATTTTTCGCATTTTTAAATAATGTAAATATTTACATAATTTCCATTTTTTAATTATTAAGCTCTGCCTAATAATTTTGAATATATAATTTGTTCTGATTTAACATTATCACTATTTTCAATTTATTTTAATTGATTTTCTGTAACACTATAAGGAGCTGGTAGAACTTAATTTATTTAAGAAGTTTAGAAATCAGGTAGTAAGGGTATTTTGGGAATCGAGTTGCTAGAATTGAGTTTTGTGTTTGATTAAGCAGCTTCTTAACTTGTTTTTTATTCAGGATTTTCAATTAATTCCTAATTTGGAGGGATTGGAATAGATTTAGTTTCTTAGGTTTTTAATTTTTAGATGTCTTGCATTTCCATTTCATTTTTGCCTTAATTTACGCTTTGGAAAGCATAATTAGAGCTTTTGAAAGATTTTTCTGATAAACTCTATAAAATTGGAAGAGTTAAGGGATTTTCTTATTTTTCTTTATCTGATATTATAAATTTTATTTAAACCATCAAAGCAATAATTTCTAAAAACAACAAAAAGTAAAGCAAATAATCTAATAAGTAGTCTAATATTTTAAGAAAATTCTGGAATAAAGAATCTTCACTTTAAACCTAATTAAGATTTTTGTCTTCTTACAATTCCTCAATTTAAAACACCCAAACCAAAATCAAAGTGAGAGCTATTAAAGTAAAATTAACTATAATATGTTTTTTAAGGTTTGGATTATTTTGATATTCAGCAAATTTGTTTTTGATATAGGTATAAACCATTTTAATTATATTTTAATAAATATTGATATTTAATAATGTAAGTTATTAAACTTTGACAATGTAAAATATATTAACACATATTATTGTTTTTTATTGCCTTCTATAGAAATATCTATTTTTTTATATTTATTTCTTTAATGTTCTTAATGTTCATTTTAGTTTCTTTTTTTTTTTACTATTATTTTCCTTAATTTTAATTTTAGTTTAAGAAACGTTTTTGTCCTTGTTATTCATTTCCTTTATTTTATTACGTTGATTATTATTATTGTACTTACTTTCATTCTGCCTAGGCTTTTATTACTAACCTTATTTATTTTAACAATATTTAGTTTGTTTAAAAAATAAAATAAATTAAATAATTTTTATTCTTCATAATCTTCATCCTTGTCATTTAAATACTCATCATCAAATTTATCTAATACTTTATCATTATTATCCAATTGTTAAACCTCCTTTGTTAATATTTATGATGATGGATTTGTTATTGTGTTGTTATTTTTCTTATTATTACCATGATTTGGAGTTTCATTGGTTTTATTTTACTTTTATTTATTTTTAAGTTTATGATAAATATTTTTTTTTTGAGGTTCTTTATTTATTTATTCTTCTAAATCTTCATTCAATATATCTTTATCATCTAATTTATACATTATCTAATTTAGTTTCATTTTCTTTAACTCAAAATTCTAATTATTGATCAGCTCTAAAATATAAGTCTAAAAGTGATTATTAAATCTGTTAATATTAATTTATTAAAATATCTTATCTTACTTTAGATTTGCTAGAATAAGTTCTATTCATTAATGATTATAAAAATTAGAAATTATAGTAAAGTTATGCAATCAATTGAAATTTTAGGTTTTGTATTATTTATTGTATTTAAAATAATAATAAATAAAAAATTCTGAAATCAAGTGTTAGGATATGAGTGATTTTGAAACATTAGAAAATGATTTAGGGAATAAATACTGCAATTTTAAAGAAATTGGTTTTGGTTCTTATGCTACAGTGTTTCATGCAGAATGTCTAACCACAAAGAAAAATGTTGCAATAAAAGTATTTTTTTATAATTACAATAGATGTTCAGTAAATAAGGAATATAAGTACAAATTCTCTTCTATCTAAATTAAGAAATAGAAATATTGAAAAGATGCAATCATGAAAACATCATAAAATTTTATGAAAAATATGAAACTTAGAATACTGTTTATATTGTGTTAGAAGAATGCAAGAAGGATCTTGGAGCAATATTTGAAGAATATTTTGATTATAAAATGCCAGAAAAGTATGTGATATTTATTATCCTTTAATTGATTGAAGGTTTTAAATAACTTCACTTATAATTTATAATTCATAGAGACATAAAACTAGAAAATATAATGGTGTAGATGTCTGATTATTAATTGGAATAATTAAAACAAAGATAATTTGATGTTTTATATTCAGCAAAATTTAAGATTGCAGATATGGGATTATCTAAGTAACTTGTTAGTTAAACAGATTTAACATAAACTTATGCAGGTTCACCAATGACTATGGGTATTATATGATTTACAGCTAGCTCCTGAAATCTTAGAAAATAAATCATATGGAAGACAAGCAGATATTTTCTCTTTAGGAGTTATCATGTTTTAAATGCTTTTTGGTAGATTTCCATTTAAAAATTAAAAGGATCACATAAGTGAAATTCAGAATCAAATAATATCATTTTAAGATACATAGATTCAAATTTCAGATTCAATGAAGCTCATCATTTAATCAATGATTAAATATAATCCTAATTAAAGACTATAACTTAATGAATTAAAATAAGAATTGACTAATTTGTTGAAAGAAAGTAAAATCATTTTTGAATTTGATGATGATTAAGATCTAGAAAATTAATTTCAATTAGATTAAGAATAACAAATAAAAAAAGACATCGAAAATTATGAAGTTTAATAATAATAAGAAAATGATGAATAATTTGAAATATTAACAATAGATAAATATAATGATGATAAAATTATTGAATAATTTTAAAATAAAAGAAAATAATATCTATTATTGTCTAAAGCATATTAATAGATTTATGAATAAGATATTGTTGATTAATTTTTCAATTATGATTAATATTAGGAATGTGCTTAATAATTGTATTAGCATTTGAAATCATAATTAAATGAAGATTAATACTAAAATATACAAGCATGTATATATTTAAAAGAATTAATTTTAAATGAAGATTATCGTTTATTTAGTTCATAAGAAATAGTTAAAGAATACAAATAAGAATCACTTTTTGGCTTAATAAAATAATCAATATTTGGAGCTCCTTAAAAATAATCATTTGAGAATTAATTAAATGAAGTAAGGAAATTAAATTTGTAATTAATAGAGAATTTAAGAGTTGATATTTAAAATCAAAAATAATAATATTTATTAATTACTTTAGTTCAATTAGAAATGTTTTTTAAGAATCAAACATAAGAGTATTAAAAATTAGATTATAATTTGTTTAATTTAGATTAAGATAGTTTAGATTAAGATCCTAAATAATTGTCAAATATTTTAGATTAAATATTTACTAATATTCTAACTTGATATTTGTTCTGTATATTAAAAAATAATTCTAATTTTTATTATAAAATGACTGAAGAAAATAAAAGGCCTCACTTGAAAAAGTTATTGACGTTCCTTACAGAAGCTCCATCAAAAACTATTTAAAGAACTAAAACTATAAGTATAACCTTTGCTATTCATCTTACAAAACCAGTAACTTAAGTCTCAAAACTAAAACGATTTTTTACCTTATCATTTGCAATTGTAAAAGAAAAAACAAATTAGAAAATAGAGAATTTCTAAAGTAATCTTTAAAAAACTTAAAATGATAAATATCTTCATAATTCTTCCAAATTTTCTTGGAATGGAAAATTGAATATTTAATAAAAAAGAGATAATGAATAAAATGAAGATAAAAATTAATAAAAAGTAGATCATTTGAAAAGATGTTTAACTCCTTAAAGTAGAATTGAAAATAATTGCAATTCAAGTTTAGCTATATCTTAATTAGATGATTAATTAATTGATAGAAATGCAGCATCTTTTGCTAATATGACTTTAGAATTATCGATGAACACAAATGTTTTATATTAAATGGCTCTACCTTCTAAAGATACTAATTAATCTCATAGAGAACTAAACTTTGATGTTATATCTAATCCTATTTTAGAAAAATCAGAATCATAAGAAAATATAATAATAGAATAAAATTAAGATGGAATTATAGAATAAGAGTAAAATACTTAATAAAATGATTAATAAACTAATAAAAATTTTAGTAAAATTAAATTTAAATAAGCTGTAAATTTAGTAGAGACATATAATATTGTTACAAAAACTTATCGACATAAATAAAAACTTTTAGAATTTATTTAATAAGCCCCAGTTAAAATTGTTTTAAAATCTAAAATTGTATTCTCAAAATCCTAATGGAAATTAATTATAAAAGGCAACAGTAACGCAATCTAGAATAATGATATTAAAGAGGATAATAATAATAAAAATTAGTTAAATAATTAAGAATAAATACTTTTGAAAGAAAAAAATCTTGTAGAAATTCTTTAATAAGATGCAACAAATTAGAATGACAATCAACAATAATAAGTATTAATGATAAAAAAGAAAATATCAGAATTTTAACCAGATTAGTTAAATAAAAATACTACTACTATTTAGAATATAAATTAAAATAATCCTGATTTGGAGAATGATTCTAAAAAACATTAAAAAAGTGTAGTTAATTTTATTGCAAAAAGTGGAACATTAATGAAAAAAAAAACAATTGATATGTTTTAATAAATAGAAAATAAATTAAAAGTTTAAGAAGTATAGAAATTAAGTTTTGTAAATTAATAAAGTAATATAGAAGTAATAACAAATCATAATAATTAGTCAAATAAAAATGAACAAGAAGATAAAGATAATGTTAATTAATTTTAAACAAAATTTTAAAATCAAAATTAAAATTCTGATTAGGATGAATATTAAGTTGATCCATATTTAGAGGAATAATTAAAAATATCAAAATAATATTCAAATAAAATTGAAAAAAATGATTAATTTAATTACAAAGATGAAAATTCTAACTAAATGAATGATTTTTAGGCAAACAGTAGAGGAGAATTGTATTCTAATGATAAGCTTCCTTAAGAAATTACACATATTGAAAAGAAATCTTTCCATTAAGATAGCTCTGATACAAGTTAAATGTTTGATATTATATAAAAATCTTGTAGTGAAAATTAGAAAAGTAAAATAAACATTCAAGATAATCAATCTAATTAATAATCAAGTAAATTATTCAATAAAGATATGTTAAAATAAGAATATGAAGAGATAAATTAAGAGATTTAATAATTAAATATTCAAAAATAATAATTGCTTCCAAAAAGAAAGTAAAATTAAAAATAATTTAGTGTGTTAATTAAAAGTACTTTTAAGCCAAACTATAAAAAAATGGCTGAAATTTCAGATGATAATGAAGCATTATATAAAGCAAAAGATTTAGTAAGAAAAATGAATCAAAATAGAAAAGATAAGGAGGAAAGAAGTAAATTTTAATATGAAAAAATTGAAAAATATTTCCATAATCTATAATATCTAAAAGAAAGTTAAGAGGTTAATTTTTATATAATATAATTAGGAAATGTAAAATAGATATGAGTAATAAAGAAAATAATAAATATAAAATAGAATAGAAGACTATTAAAAAAAATAAAAAGAGTTTTCTCAATTATAAAAGATAAGTCACAATTTTGTTTAAAAGTTGATAAATGTTGGTCCACAATAAGGTTAATTAGCTAAAGAATTTGAAGACAATGTAATTTCAATAAAAGGAGGATATAGAAAAGTGAAATTAAAGAACTTAGGGATTGAATTACCAAAAATAAATGGAAATAACAATAATCCTATGTTTAGAAGGTAAAAAAGTGTTTATTGTATAATAGGTATATGAATGAAGAAGTAGTAAAATCAAAATAAGATGAAATGATTAGAAAATATGAAGCTAGCAAATAAGCACTTTTTAAATCAATAGATTGAATTTAATTTACATGTTTTATATATATATATATATATTTCTTTGAATTGATAAAATGAAAGCTGATAATATTTTAACTTTAAAGAATAGAAAAGATTTTTATTTGAGACGCAATTAAGCAATTTTGACAAAATTAGATAAAGAAAAGAAAGCTTTAGATGTTAAATAGACATAAAGAGTTAATAGGATGTTGTAAATCAGTTTTATGGATATCGAAAATTTTAGTAATGTTAGTTAATCCTATGAATTTAAAAGACATAAAAATGCAAAAAGTTTAAATTCTAATAGAGATTATTCTATATCTAGAAGTAAAAACTTCAATTAGATTTTTCAGAATAAAATTGATTTAACTCCTAAAATAGACAGTTGTAATTACTGGTATGATTTCTAATACATTTGAGGGCAAAAATTGTTTATAAGTAGAGTAAACATGACGCTGACAAAAATTTTAAGTATTAATGAATACATCATTTTTATATTTGAGCTATTTTTTATTTCAAATTATTTAAATTAACAAAATAATGAGAGTCCAAATTTTTTTGATACCTATAGGTGCTGTCATTGTTTTTACTATTTTTATGATCACAGCTTATTATTATTGGGATAATACTGAAGATTGTAAATTATTAACTGAATTTAACTTTATTAGATGTCTCAAATATATTTCCTCCTTAAATTGACAATGGCTTGTCATTTTTTTCTTAAGATGTATGTCAGAATGTTAAAAAAACAGAATTATTTTCAGAATGGAAAAAAATTAATGAATAAGCTCAATAATTGAATGAAAGATATTCATCTGAATTATTGAAAAAAGCCGCCTTTGTCATAGATTAACTAAAAAAGAACCAATAAATTTACACTTAATCATAAGGTATATAATCATCTTATTTATTAGGCGAGGGTTAACAATTTTAATATTATTAAAAAAATCTTAAGGAATGTGTGAATCGAACTAAAGTATCAAAATTAGAATTGGAAGAGATAATAAATAAAACTGATTAGATCATGTAATAAGAGAATTTTGAAATTAAGTAAATTGGTGGTAATATCTTTGATCACTAAAATGGAGTAAAAATATATTATATTTTAGTTAAATAAATTAATTATTGAACATGCAGACAAAAAAAAATAATTGAATGTTGTAATAGAAACTTTAAAAGGTTTAATAGATTAAAAAGAGAGACTTCGAAGGAGCTATAAGAATGAAAAAGAATTATAAGATTACCAAAAAGAATTAGAAGATGATATTAATAAAATCAGAGAGTATATGGTATTATAAGAAAAAAAAATTACATCTTATTAATAACAGATGGGAGATTAATAATTGAAAGTTTCTTACATCTCTAATAGATATGATATGGTAAATAATTAACTTCATGATCTTAAATCAGTAATAATTTTACACTAATCTTTTAGTTAGAATAATATTTTTGTTAGGATGATTTGTATATAAAAGAAGATGTCCCTATTATTTAAGTCATTTTTGAATACTCTAAAGCTTTAAAGGATAGAATGGATAATTTGAAAATATTAGCTGAAAAAGAAAAAGATCCAATATAAAGATAAAGAAATAGAGAAGCCTTAAATGAAATAATAAAAGCTTAATAAATTTCATCTTAGATGTATGATAGTTTGCTTGATATTAAACTTGATTGTAATCAAGATGATTGCACTATTGGAACAACTCTTGAGAATTTCAAATTATCAGATCTAAAAGAAGAAATTTAAAAAAAATAAAGTACTAAATTATTATATTTATTAGCTTATTTCAATTAAATATATTCAGAAAAATAATCAATGGAATTTTTATTATAACAGATTACATAACAATTAGATAATGAGAAATCAGCCTACTTGATTAATAAATCAAGATTAAATAAACTTATTGAAAACTAAAACTTTTTAAACAAAACTAAAAATCAATCAGAAGAACTTTAAAAATTAACTAATTAAATTTTTGACTTAGAATTTTAGAAAAATGCTTTATAAGTAGAAGTAGAAAATTTGATGAATTAAATTAATGATCAATAACATTAAATAGACAGCGAAGTTGAAAAAGTAAATGAAAAAAAAAAAAAAGTAGAAACTCTAAAAATTGACAGAAATTAATAAATAAATGATAAAAAATAAGAAATTTATAATTAAGTAAAGGAATGCATAAAGTAAAAAAAAATATATGACAACTTTGTATAAAAGTAATCCAATTAAATAGAGAAGGCAAATGAAATAAAAGCAGTTATCTAAACTGAAGTTAAAGAGATAGAATCAATTTTAAATTAATATAAAATTACTTATGCAGATCTGAACCTACAATAAAATTATGATATTATTGAAAAGAAACAAGATTTATGATTATGATATATTTTATTATACTTAATAAGTTTTAAGAGTTATTCGATGTATTTAATTACTTAAAATTAATAGAAAACTTTAATTAATTAAATTAGTAATACTAAAAATGAACTAAATCATACATGTTAGTTTTTAAAGAGAAGAAATCTATAATAAAATGTATTTTAATAAATAGATTTAATAGTTACGTTGAGAAATAAGTTTCAAATCAAACATCTACAACTGAAAAGTCATGTTAAATGGATACTGAGTTCGATTGTGATATAAACAAAAAAGTTTAATCAACAGTAAAAATATAATTTGAATTTAGTGTGATTCAAGTGTTTAAGGGAACTAATCTCATGAAACAAACTCTATGAAATGTGAAAATACACCTTAAATAAACTAAAAAATGGAATCTTTATGTATTGATGAAGAATCTTTTAATTTGGATGAAGTTCTTTTTAATGAATGTGATAATTTGAGTCATATATCTGAAAATGCTAACAGTTGTGAAAAATGGTAAGAAGAATCCATTCACAGTTTTATCTATGAATAAAAAGGAAATGAAGAAGAGGATGAAAGAAAAATGAAAGAAAATAATTACTTTTATCTTTTAAAGTAAATGGAAGAGACAGTAAAAATAGAGAGAATTCCAGAACATTTAAAAAACATTATAGAAAATTTAAAATTTAAAATTTTTTCTATTGGACCTTTAAAATTATAATGTTAATAAGGTCATTAATGGGAAGCAAAGTTTGATGATTTAACATCTGAGTATCAATGTAGATAATGTTATGAAATGTAAATAAATAATATATCTAAGTAAATAATCATAACAACAATCAAAGTTTAATTAATAGAAATAAAATCAATCACCTAAAAAACATGGAAAATGCAGACTAAATCCATAATATCTCGGATCATCAAGATGTAAAGAATGTAAATAGTAATTAAAATAATAATTAAAGAAACAAAAATAAGAAAATATTCGATAAACTAATGATATGTAAATATTTATACTAAATTTAAAGGTATGAGAAACTTTAAAATGAATTATATATGAAAGCTGTTAGATTATTATCATAAGGAAATAATGCTGAAAAATAAAAAATTATAAGAGCTTTTAGAGAAACAGAAATAGAGGTGGATAAAGCTGCATGGAATCATGCAAATCGTTTTTGCGCAAAACAGGGAATAAATTCATCAGAATAAATCTCATAAATAATGGTTGTTTATAAAATGTTGCTACTTCCTGAAGGAGCTTTAAAAAAATATGTTTAGAGTCAATAAAAAGCAATATTAAAATAGGAATATAAAACTTATGCTAAATCTGTACATCCAGATAAAAATTCTCATCCATAATGTTGTGTAGCATTTTAAAAACTTAAAAAGTTTTGGATAGACATACCCAAGACGGGTATGAGTAGTGATATAAGTTCTAAGTAATAATAGTGAGCCACATAACTGAATCAGAAATTTGAAGATATATAGGACATATATATAAAATTATTAAATAATTTATTATTTATGGTAAAGTAATTATTAACAGAATAAGAGAAATAAGAAATATTGAAAAAGAAAGCAAAAGAGATTAGAGAAGAATTTTTTTAAACATATGTTCCAGTTTAAAATGCAGAAGAGTCATAAAAGAAAAAATTAATAAAAAAAGTACTATGGAATGAACATATGACTGCAACATCAGATGATAAAATTTTAATTGATTAAACTTTAGGAAATGAAGAAGCTTAAAGAGAAGTTTAAATATATTAAATTACATTTGCAAATGTTTAAAGATCTATAGCATATTTAACTTAAGAAGGAGTAAAAAATAATTATTAAATTATTTTAGATTCCTGTTTAAAGACCAGATGATTTTGAAGTTGAAATGTTTAAAAGCCCTAAATAAATGGATAAAATTAAATTAAAAATAGAAAAAAAGAGAGATGAAAAGAATAAAAAAGAAGAAGAAAAGATGAAAAAGCATAGTAAAAAATTAAATAAATAAATGAAAAATAAAAAAATGAGAGAAGAACATAAAGAAAAAAGAAAAAATAAGGTAGCTATAGAATAATGGAAAAAAGAGATTAAAGAAAAAGGAAGTGAAAAAGCTAGGGATTTAGATGAAATTATAAAATAAAACAATTAAAGATCAAAAAAATTTAAGAAATATAAAAATTAACAATAAGATGGTGTAAAAAAAGGAGGAATGTTTAAATAAAAGAGTGATTCAAAATTTGGTAAATTTAAAAAAACAGGAAAAATGAGAACATAAGAGAATTCATTTTAAAAAGGAACAAATAAAAAATTTGGATAAAGATCTTAAAGCTCAGATGCAAATTGGTTTAATAATAAAAATAAATTTGAAGGAAAATCATAAAGAAGTAGAAGTTATTCTGTTTAAGGAAATTAAAGAAATAATAAATAAAATAATGTTGATCAAAATAATTCAGATAGAAAATACTATGGAGGAAAATTTTAAGGAGGAAAATAATTTAGTGGAAGATAATAAGGTGGAAATTAGTTTGAAGGAAAGTCTTTTAAAGGTAAATTTGTAGGAAAAAAAAGTGACAATTAATCATTTGGCGGAAAAAGATAAGGTAAGGGCAAGTCATTTGGGGGAGGAAAATACTAAGCAAATAAATCATTTAGTGGAAAATAACAAGGAGGAGGTAAACTATTTGGTGGAAAATAGCAAGGTAAATCATTTAGAGGTAAATTTAATAAACGAGAAAATTCATCATTTAAAAATAAAAAATCTTTTGGAAAATGATAATCTTACAGAACAAAAGGAAATAAATGATTGTGATTTTTATTTAATAATAATTCATTTTTATTGTTAATAGAAGAATAAACTTTCATTTCTACTTATATTTTATTATTCTTATAGCTAAAATCCTGAAAGTTCATTTTCATCTTTTTTAACTTAAAATTCAGGAATGATTTCAAAGGCTTGTTTTAATAAATAAGCAAAATGAAATGAAAAATGTAATTTTGTAATAAATAACAGGATTTCTGTCATTATTTTTTATATACCAATATCAGGTGTATCTATTTGAGATCAAAGAGACTGAAATTATCTTTTTATATAAGCTTTTATATACCACAACATATATTCTATCCATACAGCAAAGGATATAAATGTTGTAATTGAGATTAATTTCATCAACTTGGCATCTAATGTCTGATTTTAAAAATATTTTAAATATACTAGTATTATTAAAATCTATATAAAATATGGATTTACATCTAAATAACAACATTTATTAAGAGATGATATTGTAATTAACAAAGCCATAATAGCAACTAGATATTTATTTAATGTTTTATCTTCAGTATTTACTATATTATCTATTTGCTTTTCTCTAGACTTAATTAATAAATATTATAATTAGCATGAGAGTTTGAAATTAAACTATTTGGAAATATTGCTTTAAGGGTTTTCATAATCTGTTAAATCATCTTTTAATTATGAAATTTATTTTTCTAACTGTGATATAAGTTCACTAAAATATTTAGTCTTTTATAATAGAAAAAGTTTACTTTTGAAAAGATCCATAAACCCAATAAAATTAAAATTCTAGAATAAGGTTCTATGCATTAAAGTTTAACTTCCACATTAATATAAGCTTAGCTATTGAATTATTAAACTGCATAAGTAGCTTAACCAATATCAATTATTTTATTTCCTTAATATGCTTTTACAAATTCATTTATAATTTCAGATCCATTTTCAATCGGACTTATAAATTATAATATATTAAAATTCATAGGAACCATTCCAGTCTAATTCATTTTGAGAATGAGTTTAAAGACTTATTGTTGAACTTGAAATTAAAAAAAATACTTTCATTGATAGACTAAGTTTATTAACAACTGCATGAATTTGAATAAAATACTATCTTCATGATTCTATACTTATTTAATTATTCCTAATTATTCCTATTTTGTAATATTAAGAAATGCTCTTAAAGAGTATTTATTTGTGATTGTTAAGTTTTAAATTTCTATTCTACTTTTATTTCGAGAATGGTTTCTGTTTACTAATAAATATTTATAAAATTATTGATTGTAAGTTTTTAATAATTTTGTATAACTTATTAATATAATTATAAAGTGATCGAGTTGTCAAAAGTACCATGTGATTTTTCATCAAGAAATTTATATATTACATTCTCTGATATTGGCTAATCAAAGTCTATATTCAAATTACTGAATACGTTTAACAATATATGCTTTCTATCAAAATCCATGGTTATTGTTATTTAATTAAATATCAATTTTATTAAATAAATTATTTTAAAGAAGAATCATAATTTTTATGAATTTTCCAAAATAAAAACTTCTCTGAATCAACTATCAATTCACTCAGTTTTTCGTACTCAATTTCTTTTTCCTTTTCCTATTGCTTTAACTTTTATAATTTTTAATTTAGTTTTTCCTTTTTCTCACTTAATTTTTCTTTTAATATTTTGTCTTACAAATTTAAAGTTTACTTCGAAAAATGTGATAATTATAAAGAAAGTTGATCAAGAATTTCATTTAGAAAATTGATATAATAGAGTTTTTCATCGCTTGTATAAATTTTTTTGATGTTTGATCTAGTTATATTTCTCCAAAAAAGGAGAATCTTATCTTATGTAGGTATTGATTGTTTTACACTTTAAAAAAATTCATATTATTTTTATAAGATTATTGGAATTTTGCAATAATTAATTCTACAATTGATTTAACTAGTATAAAATTCTTCAGAATCATTAATTAGGTAATATCCACTATAATAATCACATTATTTATAGATCCAATCTTCATAAAAATAAAATAGCATTAAAAGCAAATCTATAGGTATTAATAAAAATAGATTTTCCTTTAAATCAAGGAAAATTTTTGTTAATTATTCAAATTGAATTTCCAATCGATGATTGAGAAATTTATTAATAGTATGCCCTTTCATAAGCGTACTCTATTAAAACATTCTATAACATGAAGTGCTCTTAATTTAAGAATAACCAATTCTTAATTTTGGATCTTTTTATAATAACCCAATAAGTAATTCTTTTGCTTATGAAGAAAATTTAGAGTTCTTGATTAAACTTAAATGATCATCCTTTGACTATGGTTAGAATTTGGGTTAATTTCGGTTATAAAATTAGTAACCAAATAATAAACAAAATAATAGTATACCCAAACCCCAAGTATCATTTTTTTCTAAATCATAATTTTCCAATTATAAATTTTCTGGACTCATAAAATTCTATAAAATAAATAGAAATTTTTTACAATAGTTCCAGTTCTTAAACTCATTTCTAAATTATTTTTGTTAATATCTGTCTGATAATAAGAGATTCCGAAATCACATATTTTGATACGATTTTTTACTTAAAATTTTTTGTAAAGCACATTTTTTACATTAATATCTCTATGATATAAATGATTCATAATTTTATTGTTAGATCTTTAATAACTAGATTACTTTAGCAGTATTAAAGTATCAACTATTTCTTTGAAGTATTTAAGTGCTTGCATTTCTTATAATGGTGTATCTTCATTTTTATCAATTATACAATCTAATAAGCTTCCATCACATAATTCTAAATATAAATCGTAATATTTATCAATCTATTGGGTTCCATATAATTAAACAATATTTTTTGATTTGATTTGTTAATAAACTGATAGCTCACGTTTTATATTTTCTAAAGGGTTTTTTCCATTCCTTGATTATTTTTTTAGTTTACTTGTTTTAAGATGCAATATATATTCTTTTTATTGCAATTGGAACTTCTTATATTTCTTTGGTATTATTAATGTTTTTTATCCACATTTTCCCTCTATAAACAATTCCATATCCACCTTCCCCTAGAATAACTTCTTTATCGTAAATTTTATCAATTTTAACATCAATAATTTCAGCTAACCAGCCTTAATAGAATAGACTCATGACACTTTTTCTATTATAATATTTGAATTATTAAGAATTGTTATATTAATTTCAAATTATGTCTTAAAATTAGAAACCATTCTTAAATGGATCTCCTTACACTAGTTAAAAGTAATTGTATTTAGGATAAGGATTCCTGTAACCATAGGTAAAAACATAAAATTAAAATAGCAATTCCCAGCAAAAGTTGTTGTCCCATCAATTAACATTCAACTAAAAAATCATGTAACTTTGAATGTTGTTAAAAGCGGAAGTCATACATAAAGAGAAGACAAGGTTAAATAAAATGATAAAAATTAACCTAAAAAAAAATAACTACCAATAACCAAGTTTAATAACGCTGTCAATAACAATTATGTTTCTAGTTATTATTAAAATTACTTATCAAATGCTTCAAAGTTGAACTCAAAAACTTAAAATTCTAAGGAATTATAATAAAAAGAAGAATAACGAAAAAATACTTTTGAAGAAAGACATAGTTTTAAACCAACAAAACCAAAATCATCTGAGCAGTAAAGCAAGAATCCTAAATTATCAACTGAACCATCTTAAAATCATAAGAGTATGTCTTCTTAAAATATTATGAATTTGTTGAATAAAATTTAATAACCAAAAAATGATCAAAATAGAGCCAAAAGCCCAGTTACTGCATCTGTAGACTTTAACTTTAAATAATTATTATAACAATATTAAAAAACTCTTTCAAATGGTTAAACTAGAGCTAAAAGTAATGATTAAGCTAAAGAAGTAAATTAAATTTCTGGATTTATTACTGAAAGGCCTTTATCTTCAGGATCTTATATTATAATACATTTGTATGATTCAAATAATAAGATGACTGAGTTAAGATTTGATTGTGCTTATGGAACAACAGACAATTTGATAAATTTTCTAATGACGCAATGCATAGATAGTAATTATAAAATGTATTATTTCAAGATACCAATATTATTGGCTTTTAAACAACTGATTAAAATATAGCTTTAGATCATTATTTCAGTTTAGTTGGAAAAGGTTTACAGTTTTTAAATCGAAAAACTATAAAATTATCACCATTAAATTGCAATTGCGATTCAAATAAATTGAGTTTAAAATCTTTTTAATTTTTACAATGCATAGGAATGGGTGGTTTTTCTAGAGTTTATTTAGTTAGATCAAAAAGTAATGGTAGATTTCTTGCATTAAAATTAATCTCAAAATAATTCATAATAGAGAATTAAAAATAAACAATTGTTTAAAATGAAAGAGATGTAATGGTGTAATTAAATTTAAGTGACTAACATTTATCAAAATAGTTTATTTGTTAATTGGAATGTGCATTTGAATCGAGAAATTGGGTCTGTTTTGGTATGGAGTATTGTCCTGGTGGAGAATTATTTAATTAATTGAGAAAGGTGAAAAGAATGACAGAAGAATAAGCAAAACTATATTTTATAGAAGTTTGTATTGCTATTGGATTTTTGCATTGCTAGAATATTTTATATAGAGATTTGAAACCAGAAAATATTTTAATAGATAGTGAAGGGCATTTAAAATTAGCTGATTTTGGATTAGCAAGACCAAATATGGAATCAGATGATGAAGCCTATTCTTTCTGTGGATCACCAGAATACATGGCACCTGAAATGTTATAATAATAAGGACATACTTTTGCTGTTGATTATTATTGTCTAGGAGCGTTATTTTATGAATTGATAACAGGATTACCTCCATATTATTCAAGAGATACAAATTAAATTTTCAAAAGCATTTTAAGTGATCCTCTATCATTTCCTCCTAATATTGGTAGTCCTGAAGCAAGAGATTTAATTAGAAGATTATTAACAAAAAATCCTGAGTAAAGATTAGGTATTAGAGGAGATGCTGATGCTATATTATAACATCCACTTTTTGTATCGATTGATTTAAGAGATGTGATCAGAAGAAAAATTGATCCACCCTTTTAACCTAATTTAACTTCTTTTAATTTTGATCCAAGTGAATTTAAAAAAGGAGAAGCATCATTTAAGTTAGAATTATAAAAATCCTTATAAAGTGATGATGAAAATAAATTTACATCTATGTTTGAAAATTTTTATTTTATTAGTGAAACTTTGAAGTAATTTTCCGTATTTTTTTTTTAGATTGAAAAGATTGCGAATTCCGAGTAGACCTACTACATAATCATAAGATTTCAATACAAATGATAAAAATTATAACTCAAATAATTCTTAAGGAAGAAGAGGAAATTCTTATATTAATGATTATTTAGAAAAGGGCTTTGCATATAAATAAAAATTAGAAGAAATGTAAAGAAGAGTCTAAATGCAAAATAGCCTAAATAGTGGATCAATAAGATAATATATGGATCCATTAAATAGTGTAGATAAATTTAAAATAAATAAAACAATAAAAAAATGATTATAATTATAAAATTAATTTTGATTTTCATTTCAGGTATTAATCAATTCTCAAAACATGATTGCAAAACCTTTTATTTCATAAAATATTGATATTCATTTTAAACAATTAAATTATCAACTTGATTACTATCAAACTCTAATCTTCCCATATATACCTAAATAATAGTTTTATATAAAATTACCTAAGCTAATGTAATGGTATCAGAACTGAAGGTTATCTTATCTAATATTTAATTTATTAATTATGTTGTCCAATCATCATATAAATATTAATAATATTTTTAATTTTCTAGGACAAGACAAGGAATAACATAATCCTCTATTATTTATTGGTATTCTGATATCTTCTGTTACTTTAATATTTGAATGGATGCATTTTTATAATCTTAATTAGTGATGTATTTTGATATTTCTTAATCCTCATTAGCTAATTCTAAGTAATTTGGATGTTTATTTATCAAATTTTATAATCTTAAAGCTTCTTTATTCTCTAATATTTTAGGTTTTAATATTAAAATAAATTGATATATTATTTCATAACTAATATTATTACTAACCAATTTAGATAATAAAGATCTGGCTAAAATTTTCATTTTCCCAATATTTATGGTGTTTTTTCTTGTAATTATGATAAAAAGTAGATAGACAAGGGAGTCATTACTTTATTAAATAAAATTTAATAAAATGTCATATGAACCACTAGGCTATTTTGTCTTCATAATTAAATAATAATAAAGGATAGCTTAATCAATAGTCTTAATAGGCATTCCTTAGAAATGCTTATAAAGACTTAACCACCATTAATTTTAATAAAGTGGTTTTGGTTGTTCACAGTTAATTCTCCAAATAATAAATTCATCTATCACATCTCCATTTACTAAAGCAATTTTTTTTTGAGATTTAGAATTTACAGTTAATAATATTTTTTAAATTGGATTAAGGTTCTTTTAATCTATAACAACCTCTCTAAAATCATTATTTTATTTTTTTTTTTAATTTTCAAAAATTAGACTAAAAGCCAAACCTCTATTTTACTTATGTTAAGTTATTGACTATAGCTCTGTTAAATCAAAAACACAATTTTGTGTTAGCTTAGCATATTTTCCTATATTGATTGATGTATCACCAAAAAGGGCATTAAATAGTTTTAATTAAAATTAAAAATTTTTATCCTCAAATTTCTAATACATCTAAATGATTAATGTAGAAAGTTTCATTTTTTACGATTAATAAGGAATCTTTGAAGGATCAAGAAATAAAATTTAAAGGATACTTTAATTTTATAATTAATGATTACAGTACGAATTGTTTAAGGGTACTTTTAAATTACTTTTCAAATTAAACTAAATAATTTATTCATTTCTTAAAGATAAATTAGAATTTCTTAAAGTATCTATAGATGCTTTATATTTATTATTAAATTATTTTAATTCTTCTAATTATTCTTCATTACAATTTTCATCTGAAGATGAAGAAGACCTTTCTTCATCTAACTAACCTAAAACTATACTTGCATTAGTTTGAATAGCCACCTAATGTAAATGAGTTGAATCGTCAGAAGAACAATAATCCGAATTAAATTAATATCCTGAGAAATGCTATACTTTGAAAGTATAAGATCGATTTGAACTATCAAATTTGATAAATTCAATATTTTTCCCTTCTGCTTAATATTTAAGATTTTATTCAAATTTCTCATTATCATTGATTTTTAGATTAGCAGGTAAGTTGAATGTAATTTCGCATTCTTTATTTAATTTATTTCCATTATCTGGCTTCAGATAATCATGCATAATCTCAGAGTCATACAGATTGATGCATTCTTGAGTTAATTCAACAATTTTATCAAGGTCCAAATAAAGTAAATTACAGGGAGTCAACCAACGAACTTGGCCAAATTAATTAGAAATACAAAAATCTTATACACTAGATAATTCTTATTCAGTTTTTTAATCAAAATTAACGTTACATAAATAACCTGGTTTTGTAAGTTTTGGTTTAATTGTACAAAAATACTCAAATGTAATATATCTTGGACATTTATCTAAATATATTGTATCATCAAGAATAAAGTCTTATCCAGTTTTAATTCTTACCATCTAAAAGTATTAATATCTTTATTTTCCAAAAATATTTTATTCAGATAATATATTTTCTATAAAGAATTTAACATGCTCAATTCTACTTTTTGGTTTGAATGATTATGTAATTGTTGGAAATTATTTATCACTTTCTAAAAATTTTATAATAATATGTAAAGTATTATCTTACGTTTCATAATTAGAAATCTAACTACTATTATATTCTACAATATGCGATCTTTGTAAACTAGAATTCATTTTATTGTAATTAATAGACGATTTTCCAGTTCTTGAAATAGAAAATAGCGAGGGTGACTTGCTTTTATTAGCTCTAACCGATGTTGATTAATTTAAAATTCTTTCTCTTTACTATCTAATTTATTAATTCTGTCTTTCATGCTCTTATATAATTAATTCTTGTTATTCAAAATGTTATTCCTCATTTTTTTGTAGTTCTTAGAATTGTTGATATTTTTATTTCAAAACATCTGCATAGGTTTATAAAATATCGGCTGCATCTTTAACTTTTTCAAATTGTTAAAGTTAAGGATACATTATTTATTGCTAGCTTTAAGATTATAATATAGATTAATAATACGGGGATTGTGAATAGTTCATAAGATTAGGATATAAACTAGGTTATCCGTATATAAAAGGTTATCCATACCCATTACTATATCCAAATAAATTTGGTTAAGAGAAGATGTTATTTTAGGGATATAAATTATTTTGAGGAAATAAAGAAGATTAATTGTATAAATTAAAGCTTTATTGTTGTGGCTATTAAAATATGTTAGGCTGATTGTTTTAGGCAAAAATGTTATTGTTAGGGGTTTATGAAAAAAGATTATTTGTAGTATTTGGAGTAGTTGATTATTTAAAAATATTATTATTGTTATTATTTGAAGAGTTAAAAATATTATTTTAATTATTTGGCTGTTAGAATATATTCATACTGTTATTTGATTATTGTTAAAATAGCTGATTTTATTAGTTTGAAGTATTATTAAATATATTATCTGATGTTGATTAAGTTTAGAAGACATTTTTTGTATTATTTTGATTAAAGATATTATTAGAACTATATGTAGTACTTTGGTAATTATTAGTTGAACTATTATTCCATGAATTTCTATAATTTTAAAAAAATTAAGGTGGTTATAGGGCTAATATTTAGTCAATAATTTACTTTAAGAATTAACATTAGTTATCAATTTTGGATTGAAAAGACCTTGGCTACAAGCATTTTAAATCATTGATTAATGTGAACGTTGAATTTGCTATGATCGAATTAGAAAATAATCTTCCAATCTCACCATCATTAAAGTCTTTATTGATTTACTACAAATACATTACCATTCCTTTATATTCTTATTAAGCAATAATAGTTGTAGAATACTGAGGACCAAAACTTTATGAATCATTTGGAATATAGTCTAATTTTATTTGTTAAAATTAAGCTCTGTATGAACCTTCCACTCTCGTACTAATTAATTTCAATTAACACATACTTCTTTTGTTAATTCCAATTACTATTACTGTTTGTGTTTTAAAATAAATTAATTGCCATATATTTATTTAATTAATCAAATTCTTTAGAAAAAAATAAATTAAAACTGACATTCCTTATTATTTTGAAAATTGTGTTTCAATCTGCTTTTGATAGATTATTGTGAGATCTTGGATTAGTTAATAGATTTTGATATTTTAAATTATATGAAAAGAAATTAAAATTTTTTAATTATAAATTAAATAAATGAAAATTCTCAAATTTTTTTGAATGAGAAACTTAAGAAAACAATAGCTCTCCATTTTTACTCAAATGCTCATGAGAATTATCATTTTAATATTCCTCCACCTTCATTTAATCTTATTAATGTAATTTCGATGTAATCTAAATTTCCTTGACGTATTATATTATTAACTAAAAAATTTTTCTCCACCTTAAAAACATATTTTATGTTTAGCTCAATAAATTAGAGTTGCAAACAAATTCATAGTTGCGAAGGAGAGCTTTCAGCAAAGATGTGAATTGATTGTGATTGATGAAGCATAAAAGGTTTCCGCAATTTTCAGTTTAAATTTTTTACACTATATTTCATTTTATTCCACAGATTATCAATAATTAAAATTTAGTTTTCATTGAACAAGAAAGAACTTTCTGTTATTGCTAATTGCAACAAATATTTATGTTCTGTTATGGTTTAAGCAGTGCAAATATTTAAAATTCTTATCTTTGTTCCAAATTAGATTAATTAGATTCCAAATAATTATACTGATTGAGATTTTTAACCCAAATAATAATGTTATCATTGAAGTATTCATTTTTTTTATTTAATAACCTGTTATCAAACTTATAATTTTATTGTCAACTATTATTTCGTATTTTTCTTCTCATTTTTCTGTCAGGTAAAGAATATGATTAAATCTCTGCCTATATCCCAATTTTTATTCATACTACAAACCTGTTGTAATTTACGATTATTTTTTAATTTTTCTATAACTCAAAATAATATTCTTAATTAAAAATTTTTTGGATAGGAAACATATGAGAGGGTTTGGATAACCAAAGTACATAATACGACCCCTATATGTTAACTAAACAAAGTAGATACATGGTCGCCATTATTATGGTGTAATTTTAACTAGGTTGAATCGGAATGAGGCAGGTAGAGATTATGGATGAAGAATGAGCATAAGCAGACTATAATTTATGGGCGATAGGCTAACTGATTTAACTATCAATTATTTACACCACCTTATTCAAATGATATTTAAGAGTAGGTAAAACATACATTTATTTAAATGTTTTAGTAGTTTATTAAATTAACAAAGATAATTGCATTTATTGTTCATATTAGTGCTTATGTTTGGCATGGAATTGTTTTCTGTATTAATGTTGCTAATTCACTTCTAAATATTTTCTCTTGTATTGTAGTAATTTAACCTATTTGAGAAAAGCTAGGAATAGCTATTCTTGACCCTTAATAAATCCTGAATAGATTTTGATCAATCCCAAGACTAGATATTTTAGTTTCAATATAATCAATATCATTGTATTTGGGTCATTGTGCCTACCAAAAAAACATAACTAAATATCAATAGCTTTATAAAATGAGCCTAACTAATTGTTTATATAGACTTAAGCACGATATAGTAGATATGCGATATAGTTTAAATGTGGCTTAGCTGTTTCAAGCACCTTAATCTCAAGTGGTTCAAAGTGTTTTAAATAATGTGGGTTTAGAGCTTGAGGGAATGGAGTATAATTATTGATATAGATATTAATTGGAGCGCATTATCTAGAGCTGATTTGTCAACTTAATTTTTGAAAATTAAGGAAAAAGCTTGAAAATGAATAAGTATTATATTATAATGTAATAAGTTGTATTTTATTTTACTTTTAATTAATTTTAGAGATGATTACTTCAACCATATTTATTTTATAGATAGTAATTATTCCAAGAAGGTAAAAAAAATTTAACATCAAGAAGATATGGTACAGATTTCTATATTTGGAATAGAAGGATACTTAAGAGTGATGGTACTGGTAGTAAATTTATATTATTTTAATAATCCAATTAGTTTTAGATAAGATTTAAGACATGTTTTAAAACAGAATTATTATAAATAATTTATCTAAGTCGCATAACTAATTTATTGGTAAGAAAAAATTGTTCTTATGAAACTTTTTATGAGACTTAACTCGTCTGTGTAAAGCCATGATTAAAATCCTGTAATGGATATTGTAATTCTTGCAATAATTTATTTCTTAAATTTCCAATTTTCAATATTCTTTTTATATTACTTTATAAATTTAAATTTCTATTTGAGCTTCATCGTATGTTGATTTCCTTAACAATACTAGAATCCATTCATATCCAAAAATGATAGAAGAGGAACAATATACTTAAATTCTTCTCTATTTCATTCTCTCCATAGTACTGTAAACAATGAAATAAAATAATCTTTTCAGATTTTAAAGTAGTTCCATCTGGTGAGAAGCATACTGATACGACATAATGTTCATGACCATCTGATTTGCCTTTTTATTATCCTGTTTTAACATCCCATAATCTGATTGACTTATCACTACTACCAGATGCTAAAGTAGTTCCATCTGGTGAGAAGCATACTGATCGTACATAAATACTATGACCATCTAATTTGGCTTTTTATTATCCTGTTTTAACATCACATAATCTGATTGACTTATCATCACTACCAGATGCAAAAAAAAAAAAAAAAAAAAAANTAAAACATACATTTATTTAAATGTTTTAGTAGTTTATTAAATTAACAAAGATAATTGCATTTATTGTTCATATTAGTGCTTATGTTTGGCATGGAATTGTTTTCTGTATTAATGTTGCTAATTCACTTCTAAATATTTTCTCTTGTATTGTAGTAATTTAACCTATTTGAGAAAAGCTAGGAATAGCTATTCTTGACCCTTAATAAATCCTGAATAGATTTTGATCAATCCCAAGACTAGATATTTTAGTTTCAATATAATCAATATCATTGTATTTGGGTCATTGTGCCTACCAAAAAAACATAACTAAATATCAATAGCTTTATAAAATGAGCCTAACTAATTGTTTATATAGACTTAAGCACGATATAGTAGATATGCGATATAGTTTAAATGTGGCTTAGCTGTTTCAAGCACCTTAATCTCAAGTGGTTCAAAGTGTTTTAAATAATGTGGGTTTAGAGCTTGAGGGAATGGAGTATAATTATTGATATAGATATTAATTGGAGCGCATTATCTAGAGCTGATTTGTCAACTTAATTTTTGAAAATTAAGGAAAAAGCTTGAAAATGAATAAGTATTATATTATAATGTAATAAGTTGTATTTTATTTTACTTTTAATTAATTTTAGAGATGATTACTTCAACCATATTTATTTTATAGATAGTAATTATTCCAAGAAGGTAAAAAAAATTTAACATCAAGAAGATATGGTACAGATTTCTATATTTGGAATAGAAGGATACTTAAGAGTGATGGTACTGGTAGTAAATTTATATTATTTTAATAATCCAATTAGTTTTAGATAAGATTTAAGACATGTTTTAAAACAGAATTATTATAAATAATTTATCTAAGTCGCATAACTAATTTATTGGTAAGAAAAAATTGTTCTTATGAAACTTTTTATGAGACTTAACTCGTCTGTGTAAAGCCATGATTAAAATCCTGTAATGGATATTGTAATTCTTGCAATAATTTATTTCTTAAATTTCCAATTTTCAATATTCTTTTTATATTACTTTATAAATTTAAATTTCTATTTGAGCTTCATCGTATGTTGATTTCCTTAACAATACTAGAATCCATTCATATCCAAAAATGATAGAAGAGGAACAATATACTTAAATTCTTCTCTATTTCATTCTCTCCATAGTACTGTAAACAATGAAATAAAATAATCTTTTCAGATTTTAAAGTAGTTCCATCTGGTGAGAAGCATACTGATACGACATAATGTTCATGACCATCTGATTTGCCTTTTTATTATCCTGTTTTAACATCCCATAATCTGATTGACTTATCACTA